CCCGCTAATCGGAGGAGCCCGCTCGCTCACAAGAAAACCGTCGCTCGGATCTGCTTTTGGCTCGGAAGAAATCAACCCGCTAATCGGAGGAGCCCGCTCGCTCACAAGAAAACCATCGTTCGATCGTCGTGGCGTGGAAGAAATCAACCCGCTAATCGGAGGAGCCCGCTCGCTCACAAGAAAACCAGGATCGTTCGATGTCATGTTAGAAAGATGTAATGGTATATTTCTCCGAGGAGAGACCGTGTCCAAGATTCATGACCGAGGCAGGGGAATGAGGATGTCTGGAGGAAACATGAATATATGCTAGAAGGAAATTAGTACGCAAAATTTTAGGGACATGTTGTTGTCATAAAAATTGGACCTCCGCCATCCGTCACAGCGATCGCATGTTGGACATTGCTCTCACCTGTGAGCTGAGAATCGGGTGGATGCTGAGCGTTCTCGTCTGACATTTTCGTTCTTCACTTAAAACAATCGCTTACCGCGGCCAATGAAGGCAATACAAGAATCTTTCTTCAATTTCCTTCCTAGAAAAAGATCCCTCCCTGGTACAGCTTGTATTTTGCTTACTTACTTTACCGTGGCTGCGCTGTCGGTCGTGTAGCTCACCACAAAAACATATTTATGAAAGACACAAAAGATCATGAATCTTATTCATAAATATATTATAATACAACTTAACACAAATAAAACTACATAGACGAAGACGAATGAGAGTCGTGATCGCATTCTACAGGGGTACGTCAGATGTTGTAATCGCGGGAGGGAACGTTAAATGAACGCATTTATAGTGCTACGTCAGGAGGCAGCACAGCACATGAGATGAGGAGAAGCTAATTTCTAGCAAGGCCCTACCGAAATGGAGTCGTAACAGACGACTCGCATCTGATCCTGGTACTTCTGCTTCATATGCACCCGAACTTTCAAACCGATATGAAGCGGTGGATCGGGCAACGCGTGCTTCCGATGTCAAGACGTCGCCACGCTCAGACGAGAATATCCAATAGCAATGGACGAGTAACCGAGTCCTGATGAGTGTGCGAGTTCCTCGTAAAGTGATCTCCATGTCTACGGAACGATGTCAGCGAAAGGGAAAGTCAAAGGCGGGTACAGATAAGAACTTAGACTGAATTGATAAGTCATTCATTGTTGTAAATTGTACGTTGAACACGTTGACCAAAACAACACTTGCGCGATTGAATTTCGTGCTTCCCTCGTTCCCAACGATGTACCAAAGAAATCATCATACCGAAAAGTCGCCAAAAAATCAACTAAATAAATACAGACCGAAAAGCAAGTATTTTGATTTTGTCTGTTGCCAGTCAAGACAATAGAGACGAGCTGTGAAATCAGGATATTAAGTTAAGTGTGCCCAAGACGTGAAAAATAATAATGAGAAGCGTGCCGAGTGTGATGTTATTGAGACGTGTGATTGATTCGTTGGTTGGAGAGGAAAAAACTAAGATTAAGATAATTGTGCAACATTGCCCCGAAACTGCTTACAAAAAGATGCAGGAATTAATGCTTCCATGGACGATTAACTACGTACTATTAGATATCGAATTCTAGTGCTCGGATGCATTTCCGTGAAGGTGAATCTGAATCGGCAAAAATTATAATCCAAAACGAAAAATGGTGTGGCTGGGCGCTCCATCATTCAGATGTACATTGCTATTTGACAACTGGGTATGCACCTGTTCAAGCTGTACCAGACAGATAGATACAAATGACCCATGATTCTAGATGATCTGCAACTATGTGCGTGTGTGAGTCGAATCGGAATCCCTACAAAGCAAAAGAAATGCGCACTCATTGGCTGTACTACTTTACCTTTTCAAAACATCCTAGAACAGGTAAGCGCAACCTCGTCCTAGGAATATTATCAAATGACTTAGGTGGTCGATAATGACGGCCTGTCTATTATTCATCATGCATGCACAAGTAGAGGTAGGTACCGTATCCTTAATATCTTCCTAAAAAAATAATCTAAACTAACTATGACCTACAACGAATTGCTTCCTTCTGTTTTTGTTTCAAACTAGTCGAGCCTGGACAGCCCAGGCTGTTGCCTTCATGCCATGAGAGAAAAATGACATCAGACCGCTCCTCCACTGCGTTCGGTGGAACGCAGCCATGCAAGACGTGCGCTTGTAGGGCTAGACACAACTTCAGGCATGAATCGCTACAGTCTCACACGTCCGCCACGGCTGATCACCTGCCAAATGACCTCTCATGTTGAGGCCCCGTAAGCATTGTATTATCATTCATCACCACGCAGCGAAGACGAGAAACGGATACAGACGGGCGCCTCAAAAATTTTTCCATCGACGTTAATTGGTCAGGATTCATAACCTTCTCTTACTGCATGTTGTTCAAGAAGGCCTGGGCGTCATTCAGCGCCTTGATTTCACCATTCATGTGCGCTTTGCGGACGCCAATACTTCCGAGAATGAACGCGCACTCTTCTTTCTTTCCCGACAATAGGTTTGACTCGACCTGCCGAGTTGTAAGAAAGAAATATCTTCAATAAATATGCATAGTGCTGGATGTCAAAACCTTACAAAATCTCAAGCTCCTCTAGCATCGCGCTCCGACTCATAAATTTGATCAAGGTAGCAGTTTCTCCATTTGTGAAGTGCCACCGAAAATTTGTCTTCAGTCTAAATTTGTATATCAGTTTCTTTCGTTGATGATGGTATTCGTCCCACGACCGAAACCAAGAATTCTGTCGAGAAGAAGTCAGAGCGACTGCTTACATTTTAGTTTAAGATTTCAATTGCTAATCGTTCTATGATAATTAATATAACTGTTACCCCATGGGTTTCCTTCATCGCCTTCGTAGTCTTTTGATTCTGCGAGAGCTCGGTTTCTTTTTGCGCCATCTCACCGTCCTTTTCGGAGATTTGCTTCTGATACGACACAATCAACGCGTTTTGATCGTGAACCAGGTCCTCGTAGCTCTTTTGCTCCATGTTCTCTTGAGTAAGGGCATTGCGTTTAGAGGATGGAATAAAGTCACCAGTCGCTCAGAACTGTAGGATTAGGTACAGTGATTTTACTACTTAGATATCCAACTTGCTACGTAGCCGTAGGCTAGCAGAGCCATCTCATCTTTTGGTGTTGTTTCTGATCATGGTATTAACTCTACCTCTTTCATCATAACTTTCATGGCTTTCTCGGTGTCGTCCATGATGCCCTGAATCATCTCGAGGACCTTATTGCCACCTTGGTTTACTTCGTACTGCTTGAACTCGTCAGGCTTACTCGGCTCTTGTTGCACCAGCGCGGCTCCCGCTGCTGCGCTAGTGTAAGCGCCGTCAGAAGAAGTAAATGCTCCGGCGAGTACCTGGTGGTCACTTTGATTATGCTTGGTTCTAGTTCTTCGTACAGAGAAACATCCACGAAAGGACGCTGACTCATGCCTGTCAGTAAAATGATAAACCTCCATCGGATTCTACAAGTACAGCTCCACCGAGTAAATAGCAATAATAGTCTATACGTCGACGCTAAAAGCATTATGTTACCGAGCTGATGAAGCACAAAGTAGTACCTCTTTCGTCTTCGTTAACAACTTGAGTGCAGCGTCGTTGTTCGCCTGCTCCGTTCGGAAGGCCGTACTTGCCTCTTTGCGCTCCTCTGCTGCCTGATTCATTTGCTGCGTCGCAGTAGCGACGTCCTCTTGCAGAGCCGCGATCGCTGCCTTCAACTCGTCGATCCCGGTCTGCAGTGTGTCTGCTTGCGCGGCGAGCGTCTCCAACTCACCTGAGAGGAAAGGAAACGCCAGTATTTGGAAAACTTGGATTTGAGCCACACAGCTAGTCGGATGTGAATGCTACCACCTAAACTCATGAAAATATCGGAATGTCTTATTTTAGATTCTTTAGATTTAGGAGCACTGATGAACAACGGGAAATGACAAGCACCTTCCAGTTCGTGAACGAGTTTTGTTTTGGCGTTGATGAACTCGTTGCAGCCGTCAAACTGCGCTTGGTCGGTTTTGATTGTGAGCTTCAGCTCCTTCACAATCTCATCGATAGCTACAATGATCTTGTCGAAAGCTCCTGCCCGAACTTTTTGGGCTAAAATCGTCACTTTCACGTCTTTCCACTTCTTCCCAACCTGGGAAAGAAGGTCTTTGCCACGACGTGCTTTCGCCTCTGCCGCCTTCTGCTCACTCTGGTTCCCCAGACGCTCCTGCACAAACGAAAACGTGTCTGCGAACAAATCACGCGCCGAAGCTTAGAGCCACTGGCAAGGGTATCTGACAAGCAATCATTTCCCTTGGAAGCAGTAGAGTGGATGAGGCACCCATTTTACATAAGCAGTTCCGTGATTCGTACTCATCTTCGAGAAGACCAAGACTAACAGGAGTGTTTCGAGTTATAGTTAGCCCCCTTTACCCTAGGTATCAGAAAATCTTTTCATAATCATCGGAATCTAAAAAAGCAATAGCCGTATCGACGGCCTTCATCTCCACTGCCCGATCAGCTGTGCGCTGTTCGTAGTCCTTGACATTTTGCTGACAATCCGCGATCACCTCCGCGAGCATTTTCTGCTCTGAGTCGAGAGTCTCTGTGCAAGCAGCTAGCTGCGCCTCCGCGTTGCCTGAACAAGAAGTAGATTGGGTATAAAAAAGTGCACTCTAACTATGTTTGAGTCTGCATCTACCCAGGTATAGCACTTCGGAAGAAAAACCAGATATCACACAAGATTGATTCCATAACACAACATTGAATGTGTCCTCTTCTCAAGCTGAAACATTATCTTGACAGTCATCCTCTCCTGTCGTAGGTTTCTAATACTGTTACCAAGTTCTTCCTTTGCTTCGACGAGAGAAGCCTCGTTTTTTGCTTTCGCGGCCTTCGCGTCTTTAATGAGCTTTTCTTTGATCACCTTTCCTTTCGCAAAAGCATCAGCGTCCGCTGCGTCTGCTTCCTGCGCCTCGGCGAGGTCTTTCGTAAATTCGTCATGCATGCTCTGGAGCATGCCAAAAACTTGCCCTGATGCCGAAGAATAAGCGTCGAATGTTGGTTGCGCCAGAAAGCTGATATAGATTTGGTAGAGTTGTATTTATTCTCCACTCGGAGATTCTCAGCCTCACGGCAGTACAGGTACTAGATGAATACGATCGGCGAATTTTCATAGTACTTATGCGAATCTCCATACTAACCATGCACTTGAGACCTACGAACAAGAAGCTACGAACCAACACAAGACATCTTCATAGATATTTAGAAAATTTAGATCATAGGGTTACGCATCGATCGTGACAGTGAAGACACGTGTAAACAAGAAGAAGAAGTTGATTCTTCCTACATTATTCATAAGCAGACGGATGCGAAAACCCGCTGTCTCTGTACTGCCATAACTAGCTAAAAATATGCACGTCTGCGAAACAACAGCAAAGACTTATGTCACGACAGTTGCCAGGATTTCTGTATTACTTCCGAGAACCAGACGCCTTTTGTCCTAGTCCTCCGCTCCGATAAATCAGTGACTATTATGTCACACATCAAATAACGACGGAGGACGCGCACCTAATTAGAAGTAATGGTCTAGTTCATACATGGGAGAAATGTTGTGCATTTTACGGAGAGAAAGACATGCTCTTTTCCACTATTCGTTCCTAGTGCGCTTATTTCATCTGGCGTCTTCCTCTCGCTCTTATAAGTTGTCGTTGTTAGCATGCTTCTGCCAGGGTGATAATTCTGATGTATTTCGACTCCGTAATTGATGTTCCCCACTGACCTGAGACTGGTAAAGTAGTCTTCGATGTCATACAAATTGCAATTGAAAAACCTTGTGAGTGCTTGTCGCTGGCTCGGGTTGATGACGCTGTTCACATGGGCCCCCATGACTGAAACGCGCTCCTTGAGCAGGCGCTGCGCTCGTGAGAGAACTGCTTTGCCACTCGTTTCGGCTTGCAGGAATCCTGTGTTGTGCTTCTTCAGCACTTCAACCGCTTGCGCGAGGGCGGACACTGTCTGCACGAGCTCCTACGATTAGAAACTCTCTCTGAGGAGTACATCCATCATAGGTGCTGCTGCATATCATCCATTTTGAAATATTGCTTTACATTCTGTTTGAATTTGTTGTAGCTCCACCTGCAACACGATCACAGATATCGCACTTCTGTGCAGAGGATCAGACCGACGATGAAGAAAGAGAAACAGATAGGATAAGACAAATATTAACTTTCCAATTCCATCTTGGAGAAGAGCCTTAATTCTGTGCCTTCTCGAAGGCGGTCTGCGTTTTTCTCCTCATGTCAGTCATTGTTTCCAGAGCTTCCGTTTCCGTGTCGATCTGCTCCGTCAGTTCCGCTATATTCGTCTCCGCGGTGCTTATGCGGCCCTTGGCGCTGTCGATTTTTGCGGTTTCTGATTTTTGACACGCTTGAGCCTCCGCGATGGCTTTCTCCTTTGCCGGCACCGTCTTCTTGCACCAGCATTGCATCTTGGCGTAGCTAGCCTCATCTGCCTTGCTATCGGCTTCAAGCTCTTTCTGCATATCGTACAGCATCTTAGTCACCTTGGCAACGGGGCCGCTGGGCATCCCAGCTACGCCCGCGGCGCCAGCAACGACAGTGAGGGCCGCCCGCATGATCTCCACCTCAAACAAATATATATACGTGGTCCACCTCGGGCCCTCTTTCTCTCCTGCACAACTTACCTCAACAAGAATCAACCTCAACGATATTTATGCGAAATAGCTCATGCTCAGATGATTCACACGCGGTGGAAAAGGCATCAAAGACGATTGCAACTACTTAGTAACTCTGCTCTTTTCCGTGGATATTTGCACGTCCACGGCAGCGTGGAAGACGTCATCACCAGAACATTTTTTCTGGAGACCAAATCATCCGGAAGGGGTCTCACGCGAACCGATCGGACGGAGAATGACACCCTTACATTACGACCCGCAGGGCATCTCGAAGAAGAAGAAGATCATCCATGATCTACATAGCTCGGAATTTCTTCCAGCATCTTCACTTGAGTGGGAGCACCGCATGCTTTCACGAAGTGGGCGAAAGCAATTTTGGTTGAACACAGGAACCACGCAGGACAAGCGGTGGCAATAAATTAGCCTGCTTGTTGACATTTAATACTAATATTATTTTGCTTTTCAAAAAACAAAAAGTTGCAGTTCAACAAATTTAGCACACCAACCAGGTTGCCACTCAGAATCAATGGGTAATCGTACTGGTGGAATAAAAGTAACATTAATCGAATTGGGGGCGAGTGGGATTTTGATTTCATACTTCAATTTGTCCGAAGGAAAGTGGATTATAGTTCGCAACGGATATCCGCCTTATAGTCCGTCGATATCGAATCAAGTAATTGACACTATGTCCTTACCTTGGTGAATTACTTTCGACTTCGTTCTTTGTTTAGTTACTTCCGTGGATAGTTAACTTATTCCGTTTGAATTCTAGGCGAGGTAGACCTTTGAGATTGCACCGTTTGCAATCTCTTTGACTTTTCTAGTACTAGTCAGCTAATTCTGAATTATTCTAGTGACTTTGGTGTTAGTCGTGGTTTTAAATTGTTCCGGGTTATTTCTTACTTATGGCCACGCGGTGGTTGGTCAAGCTAGTTACTTTGAGCTTGTTACTCAGGTGCAACGGTCTAGGAACGTTCTATGACAAGAATAAACCAAAGCGGAACAAAGAAGCTAGAGAAAAAAATTCAATGAATTGTCTAGGGGGTCTACGAATTCAAAAGAGGGAAATCAATGCTATGAATTCTATAAATTCTACATGCAAAGCGAGGCTGATAACCTATGTTGTACCGATACAACCGATAACAAACTTGATAAAGGTAGAACACTAGTTACTTCCAGGCGGGGCGTGCTTCAAGGTCCAGAATGTAGTTTCAACGTGCGAAAAGACATTAGATCCTGTCGGGAAAGAGTGTAAGGTTTTTCATATTAGTGCCTTGACTACGTTACTAGGCTAATGTTACTTAGTGTAACTCTCCACGTTCTTCGTGTTTATTCTACAACCCTCAACAGAGTGGAAAACACTCAAACAGAAGCGCTCTCCTTTGTTCATGCTTTTCGTTCGTTTCCCTCACTTCTCAACAGAATCAGAACACGCTCATACAGATGCCAACAGAAAGATAGTCGAAACGAAAGAGGGGAACGATTGAGTAAGTATCGCTAAAAATAGCACTGATCACCACATTGCAGCAAAGAAACGCGTGGATTTCTGACGCCAAGAATTTGAACCTCAATCTTCCGTCCATCTCTGATCTAGTGCGACTTCGTCCGGTATTTCTTTCTCAGCAATTTGAGGCCTGAAGGCAGCATCCGGATCCCAACTTGCGTCGTACTCCCCTCGCCTCCTCTCTTCCTCGCGTTGTCGCAGATACTTGGAGACGCCCCAGTATAAGACAAGGATAACAGCAATACTGGTTACGATTAGAGGAGCCAAGACCACCTTGCCTACATTATAATGGATACTGGATCATCTTCTAAATAGTTCATTCTGATTCTCTGACCTAGTCCTAGTAGAGCTCATCATTCTCTTTTCTCATAAATTTCTACACGATTCCAAATTTTGATTTGCGAACTGGACAAACACCGACCAATAGAAAATGAAAAGGATTACAGGTTGCTCTGCTGGATAGTTTGTGCTTTGCATTGTGATTAGCCTTAATACGACGATCTTGAAATACCACCAGATTTTGAGCAAGAGGTCGCTGTCCTGGAAAAACACAACAACGTAGTCTACCCACGCGAACCAGTTGATCGACGCATAATTGGTATCGCTGTCGCCACTCGGACTCGAAGTCGTACAATCCGTGCCGTTTCCTCCGGTGGACGTGTTCGTGCCACAAGTGATATTTGTGGAATTCTCGTCGCCGGTAGACAGAACAAGTCGTAGCTCTCGCTTCTGTTCTAAAGAAGTGGAACTGGAAGTAATCGCGGCGTCGCTCCCGTCGTTCTCGCTATGGTCGTTGCTATCAATTCCATGCTCATGGGCGTCGCGGATATCACTTGTTAACGCATGTTCAGTTTCCATCTGCTTATGCGCAGTTTCGCGGCTCAAAAGCTTTTGCTTTGCGGAGGAGCCTCTAGGGGATGAGTTGATTTCTTCACCCCCGCCACCGCTCGTCGTTCCGTGCCGAATACTTGTGCTGTAGTGGTTATGCACTGACCCCGTAGAAGCTGCATGATAGTCACTGGTTGATGAAGATTTGCCATCTCGCGTTGTTCCCTCGCCTTCAAAAAAAACGGCCGCGTCTCCTGAGCTGAAACCTCCGCGTCTGCTCGTATCAGCATTGTGGAATTCCCCACTTGAGGTTACTTCCCCTTTTGATGCTACGCGACGTCGCTTTTTCCTCGACCACTCTCCAGTTGAATCAGCTACAGCTTCGTCCGACTCTACTATTTTTTGTGCACGATTATTATTTGATTTGGATGAGAGTTCTTCTCCAACTATATGCGTTATGCTGCGCTTGTCCTCCTCCTGTCTTGTGTCTCGGATGCTGGGTGTTGAAGATGGTCTAGTAGGTTTATCGAAGATTTGGTCGACGTCTCCTAAAGCGACCAGCTCTGCCTTTATTTCAAATCTGTCACCCTCTTTCATACTTTTAGTGCCCTTCGTGGATGTGACCGCCATTGTTCTATAATCTGAGATCTCACCAAGCGAGTTTTTGCTGTTTGTTGCCGAGTTGTGTTGCTGTTCGTTGACCCGGTCCTTGGCAGATGGACCTAGTGCACTACGACTACTAGTTGTTGACAACGAAAATGAGTGACTAGAAGATACTTCATCTCCTATGCTTCTTTTCTTGTTTTGATGATCCCTGGACTTTGCTTTTTCGATTTCCTTTAGTACTTCTTCATTATGTGTATTTGTATATGTTGCAGTACTACTAGGTGGCGATGATTTTCGTATGCTGTCCACCAACTGTTCATGAGCCACCGATGACCGCCGTATTATCCCCGCATCTGAAATGCCTACGCTTGTAATTTTGGCATGTGATGTTCCAGCTTGCCGCTCATCTAGTGTGCCTGTTCCAGGCTGCAAAAACTCTTTGGTGGCATCATAATCGCCCGTGGAGACTGTTTTTGTCGCGCCATGGCGGCGATTCGTATCGTGCGCCACTGAAGCCGGCTCAACCCGGTTCGCGGACCCAGCGGTGCTGGTGCAGGCCCTGGTAGTACAACTCCACAACACCAGCCACTCCAAAATCGGAATTCCTCGTCCGGAGCGCAGTCGAGCGCGACTTGCTTTTTCCCATACTAATAGCGGAAGCACGCCCGCTATTACTTTTTCGCCCATCTATTCTTACTATTTCGCCCATGTCAGAAACTGCAACTAGCTAACCGCTGACCTACTTGATGTTCTTCTTAACATGGCATACAATTCTACAAATAAGACGTAAACATTATTTAAGAACATAGAGATAGACATACCGCTATGACGATCTTTCAGCCCAAAGACCTGTAAGCAAATATAAAAAAATACGCTCCTTGATGAATGTGGCTTTTGTGTCGAAATCTCAAAACAAATCTGAAACATTCATTTTCATACGAAGTTAATAAATCACACAGCTATCTTTCCCTTTAAACCTAAAATACTAAGAGCGCAGAGGAAGCTGTAGACGTAGAGATGCTATCTGTGTCATATATGTACCAAGGAGGGAGGCGCCCCCCCTGTGGATGGATCTGTGGGGCAGCACAGTGTTGGAAGAGCGACGAGAGCAGAACGAGCCAAGAGAGAAGAAAGAGGGACGAGAGAAGAACGAGGAACGAGAGAAGAACGAGGAACGAGAGAAGAACGAGGAACGAGAGCAGAACGAGCGACGAGAAGCGCCCACCCGTGGCGTGGTGGCCTCTGGCGTATCACAGTGGGGGGGGACGATCGTAGTGCTTCCACCACCATGCTGATAACCGAACACAACAAGCCCGAGGCCCCCCCGCGACAGCGAAAGGCCGGAGACGCAACACACTACTTTGCATCGCTTATCAATTCAGAATGATAGTAAGTTGTACTCTTGGGGGCGTAGTAGGGTCTCAGACTAGACAGGCCAGGGGGCGCACAGGGTGCGCGTCTTTTCCTTTTTTCGCCAACAAGAAGAGAGGAGGAGAGGGAAAAGGGAGCCACAGTGGGAGAAGGGAGGCGCCCCAGGGTCTGGAGGGTACACACAACACGCCAAAGGGGTCCAGCCTTGCCACCTTTGCACCTTCGCCAGGTCTGTGGGGGTATTGCAACACGCCAAGGGGGTCCAGCCTTGCCGCATTCGCCAGGTCTGTAGGGCACACGCAACACGCCAAGGGGGTCCAGCCTTGCGACCTTAAGCAAATCGTTGGGGCACACGCAACACGCCAAGAGGGTCACGCCTGGCCACCTTTGCCACATTCAGAAGCCTTCCAAGTCGGCTTCTCAGTGCTTGAACGGCCTCCGACATGGTGGCGCTTTAGGGTCCAGGCAACAAGCGGGAGGGGGTCAGAGGTGGGCGCTTCGAGGCCTTCCCGACCGGCATCCCCTCGAAAAAAGGGCGCGGGGCTGGAGGCCCGCCCCTCAAAAAGTTAGATCGAGGGGGCAGGAATCTAATCAATGCTTATGGATCCCGAACACTAAAAATGCCGTGTGATGTTGAGTGGTGGACCTGGATCCAAAAACTAATTTTGAGTAATTACTCCAAAGCGCACCAATATGAAAAACTATCACAGGAGCAATTCGGCCACACATCGATAAGCTTCACACATTATTTGAGGGAGGTTTAGGCTAGTCCTCAAGGCCGATAGAACGAACTTTTTCGCACGAATGTGATTGCAACACGCATACCTTTTCTAAGATAAAAACCAAAAGTCAAACTATGGAGTGAGTGTTCAAAAATACTCTGCTTCTGTTATAAATGTTGAGTGAAATAACTCAAGAGCAGGCGACTCAACAACAACGCGGGTTGATTGCGCTCGTCATTCACATCCCTATATTTACAATACAACTATCTTTATAGGAATACGGCGCTTTTGTGGCTAAGTATTTGCCTTGAAAGCGATTCTAATTCTATGCGGCGGTCATCATACTCTCTCTCTTTTTTTTGCATTATCTGCCGCGTCTAGTTTTGTTTTCGATGTCGGTACAACCGCTATCGTGATGGACCTGCCGTCCATGACTTTTGCTATTCTTTTTCTTTCTTTTTAGCTCGCATAGGCATACTAAGGTGTGCAGAGTGAATCACCTAGTACATAAAAGATCTGCGAAACGCTAACAACAAGTACAAACTACTCCGCTTGCAGAAAGACGGTGGGCTCTCGTGTGCCTCCCTTGTTCTTATTTTCTTTGTCTGGTACAAGATTCCGGACCTGTCCTGGTTCCTGTTTCGGCGCAGAGGTAGTAGATACGTGGCAGCAGAATGCCTGATCCTCTAAGAAGACAATCAATGCAGATTACTGGAACAGCTTGTTCACTTTGCTGTTCAGTCGCTTTCTAACGTAACATTCATAATAATCAATACATCTATGTACTATGGGCGTTGAGCTGCAATAAGAATCATGAGTTTTATTTGCGGTTTTGCGCAAGAATATCAAAAATTAGTAGAAGAAGTAATTGTATCTATATTGGTGGGTCTGAAAAAACACACGTTACCAAGACTACTGAAGAGTTGCTTACCTCTTAGGCGTCCACGTCTTTGAATAAAGGATTCGACATAAAAGTTAGATTCTCATCTGTTTTTCACGAACCATCGTGCTCATGTAAATGAGCGTTCGTTTCTTGTATTGATTGGAATGCAATGATGAGAGAAGAAGTACAAGTAGTCGCTTTGACTTTCCTACCCGCTGGTAATAGGTGTCGTATGCAAATCCAAATGCCATATTTAGAAGTAATGATATGTGCGCTAACATTTTATTGCGCACTGTGATTATGTAAATGTATGTTCATGTTGCGCTTGCGACATAAGCGTAGTTGCATCGCGATTAACTATGGTACATATCGAACGGATGGAAGAGAGATCCCCCGCATCCGCAAGTTTCTCGGCCAGGGGTTAGACTCTCAGCTTCTAGCTCTCCCTACTCGGATAGGATAGAAGTCGACTCGCCGTCCACAGGGTGACCTCTGCCGTCACTCAGAGCGAATGTGTGCACCTACTTCTTAGATCAATGTATACAATAGGCGTCAAATTTTAGCGACTTTGTTGAATCGATAAGGATGTTCTCATGCCAGAAACAAAACGTAGCGAGAGCAGATTGGCTCTTTTTTTGTTAACAAGATAGCAACTCTGCACCTTAGATGTTGCGAAGTTGAGACTGAGGAATAGAACATGAGATATCAAAGCGTAGCATCATTGCATGTGATATGGGATCGACTCCTAGCGTGTTGAGCTTCCGGGATACGGATACAGTCAGCTAAACAAAAAGGATTCTTTGTTTTCCTGCTTAGTCGTAGTTATGGTCACACCTAGTACATCATATCTAAAATCCACATAAATAATCTAAAATCCACATAAATATGCAAATATTTATCAATATTTTCATCGGATTTAGAAGTAGAGTCTGTAGAAAATCTGGAAGTGTGATCGAATAACGTTCTGATGAATCGCGTTCTTGCATACATATGGCTTTTTTGAATATTTACATGCTGGTCTTCCGATCCAGACCTTTTCCCATTTTTATGTAGCTGTTATCAGAAAGCTTCTCCCGTCGGCATGGGTGCCTGGGTTTTTGCTACTTGCTTCCTGTGGACGATTTAGGCTTTTTGCTCTCCTTCGAGCCCGTACTCGATGCGCCCTCTGTTTGCTTTCGTTTCATGCCCATCGTGGTTTTCTTCACTGGAGGTGCGTCTGCGGCCTGTTGTATTGATACCGATGTGACGCCTACATCACCATCGGGTTCTGCGGACACTCTACTGCTAGACGGAACTGCTGCTGCTGCTGTTGCTGTTTCCCCTGATATAGCCCCAGGCGCTACGCCGGCACCGAGAAAGCTGGTACCAATAGACGAGGAAGATGACGCACCCGCCGCTGCGCGGTTGATAGCGGCAAAGCGGTCCGCGAAACTGGTATAACCGCCCGTGCTTGACGAAGACGCTCCTGCACCAAGGTGTAGCCCCCCACCTCCTCCAAAGACGCTCGAGGAAGAAGAGGACGAACCAAAGCCGGAGAGTCCGCCTGGCCGTGACGCGAGGACACTCGATGATGTTCTGTTGAGATCGATGCCCGCTGCGTTAAGCGCCGCACTCCGCACTCGCTTTTGCGCTAGCAGACGCTCCAGGAGCCCAGCCGTGGACTTGGGCTCGGGGGGAGGCTGCTCTACAGCCCCTGGGGAGGGTGCAGCCGCCGGCTCCATGCCGAAGAACGCTGTGATTTTCTGCTGCTTCATCGCTCCTGGTCGGTCGTCTTCCTGCAGACTGGCTGACTCTTTGACACTCGCGAGGCCTGGAGGCCCGCTCTTAGAGGTACCAACAACCAGTCTTTTCGACCTTCTTTTAGCTTGTTCCAAGGAGGAAGTGGCTAATCAAAGATGCCATTAAAGATGGGTTGACGGTAACCATAACGATCTTTTTCTTGCCCCGCGCGGCCGTCTTCATCGCTTTGTGAGGACCGTCTGCTTCGGTCGTCTCGTCAGCAGCTTGACTTAGCGCAACGCTCTGCGTTCCGCCCTGTGTGAGCCCGCCCTGGTTGTGTAGACAGTTGTCGTCCAAAAGATTTGCTAAAGCAACTATGCAAAAAGGAGGAAATCAGAACCTCGTGCATCCTCGTGGGAAGACAAGGCTTATTTCACAAGCTGTAGCTCTAATTCATTCTAACTATTGTAACTTCAACTTGTTGGTGTTGAATTTGATAAAATGGAAGATATCGCAACAAAATACCGCAGCAGCTAGTGCTCTTTTTCCTGGTCGCTTCGCGACGCGGTCCTCCACTTGCCTCGTTTTCATGTATTCTCGTTTCTCCTCCAAGTCAATGCCTTGAACCGGGATATCCATGATGGGTGCAGGTTTCTGCTTTGCTTTCTTCAGTTCCTTGAAGTCAGCCATCCGCGGTGCGAATTGGGACGCGTCGTCCTCGTCGTCCGCCCATGCGGCTGCCTTCTTACCCCGCTTCGCCTTCCCGGCTGCTTCTTTCGCCTCCGCTTTCTTCTTATTGTTCGCGCGCACTTTCTTCGCGTCCTCCTCCTCTTTCTCTTGTTTTGCCCAGTCCTCCTCAATCTGCGTTCTAAGATCTGACAGATCCTTGTCCCACATCTGCTCCCGAGAAGTATTCTGAATAATCGAAAGCTCGTGTTTCTTATCCTTCAGTTGCTTCTGCAGCTCTTCTACCTAGAATGTTGGGTGAACACGAACAGTGAAGATGTGAAGTAGATGTCTATTTAGATGCTCTACCACGGCAAGATAAATATGTGCTGAGGTGGCACATTATGGCTCACGCTCATCTGAGTAAATTTACAACACTTCTCGTAAGCCCTAGCACTACTCATTGAGTGCTTCATTCTTTCCAGAAATCTATTTTTGAGCACATGCTTTTTTTAAAAGTAGTTACTTGGAAGAAAAAAAGAAGGGCAGCGACGAGAAATTGCTTCCGAGGAATTTTCAATGACTCTTTGTTTTCTGAAATAATTTTTGTGAACATGTTCACGTGCTTATTGTCGATCGCTAAAGGTGCAAGTTTGTGTGAGCATGATCTTCTACCTAGGAAATGTTGTGAATGATTGATGTACCTTCTCCTGCGTGAGGTTCCACAGAGGCATGCCCAAGAGATAGTTGAAGTCGTCTGTTTTCCCAGCAGACGCGCTTGGATCTGCAGTGTCTTCATCTTCCCCATCCTTGTTTCCTCCTTCCTGCTCCTCCTCAGGCAGCGTTCCTAGATTGCCCTTCTGGATCTCGCTCATGCGCTGAAAACCGTGGGACAGCAGCTCGTCTATGATGACTTTTTTTCTCTTGTTCCGTATCTCCAACTGGTTGGACAATATCATCAGGATGAACTTTACCTTGGCATCTAGGATCAGCTTTTCTCGACCCAATTTGTCAATCAAGAAGCGCTTCCTCTTGTCGTAGAATTCCAAACGCGTGATCGCGAACTCGTCTAGAATATCGTTCGCCGTCTCATACCTAAAGTAGCAGAAATAACAGTCTTGTTTCGCCTTGAAAGTGTGTCAATGGTTGATGAATCGTGGTCCTTCACCGTGTTATAATAATGGTATGAGGTAAATATATCGTAGATGTTCTAGATGGAGTTGGAGTTGGTCGAGCAATGTTAAGTAGTTCAGGGTACACGTACATGAGGTGATGGGGCGAGCACACTAGTTAGAAGTACCGTTTGATCTTGTTGTGTACATCGAAGAGCATCATGTTTGTCGTCGCAAGGCTGGTGCGAAGCTTAAAGACGTTTTCCATTCCCTGTGCTTCAATTCGCGCCATCTGTTCTTCTGTTAGTTTTAGGATAAAATGCACCGTGTTTTCTGTGTGATGCTCGCGCATATCCGTTATCACCGGCTCAGTAGGCGGCTTCTTCGACTCTGCCTGTTTCTCGTTTGCAGCCGCCTTCTCAGCGGCCTTCGCCGCGCCAGGTAGCATCGCTTCGAGAAATTCCTTGTAGTTCGACGTCCACTCCTTGATCGGCAACTCAAGGATCTCCAGCTGGGTCTCGGAGACTTTGCGGATGATGCCGTTCGCAAGGTATTTGCCGGCTTCCTGCCCCGATGCTGCTACATCGCCGATGAATCCACGATACCATGGTACACTTTTTAAAGAGCGCTTGCACCAATCATATATTTGCGGACGTTTCCATTAATAAATCAGGCATGCTCACGTTTGGACCACGTGATGACCAAGTCCGGCGTCTATCTTGAAGTAGTACAACTGGAGAAATCGAAGAACTGCATCTGCACGAACTCGAACAGTTGGCTAACAAACAACAAATTGTAGTACTGGTGGAAGCACACCATCTCGTCTAGTCAAACATTGCCAGCACCACGCTGATAGTAGAAATATAGAAGTTACTGAGCATTGACTTGTCTAACAATGGGCAGAATATTATGCGTGCGTAACATTTCAGTCATCGGTTGCTTGCGCAGGTATCGTCTGAGGTTGTCAATGATCTCAAGCGGATTGAAGTTCGGAATGCTAGTGCTCCAACCGACGCCAATACCTGCTGCTCCGTTCACGAGCACCATTGGCAAAGCAATTAGAAAGAGGTTGTCATTATGATAAAAAAGTCAGGAGCACCAGTGAGCAACTCCACGGCCAACGGGAACGGCCCGTTTTCCTCGTCGTTATTGAAGTATTCGATAAACTGAAATAAGCGAGTAACTACTTGAAATAAGCGAGATACTGAAAGGAGAGGAATGTAGTCAAGACTCTCTTATGTCAGTCACTAACTCGCGTATTTTCAGTTTTCGAGAATACGCAGCTCGAAATTTTTCGTCCTTTTCAAACTCAAAGTTGTGCTTTTTTAGAAGCCTTTCTGAGTTCTCAAAATGTGCATCTATCAACAAATATCGGTTGAAGCGCATAAGATAGGTACATAGAAATGGGGTTCGATCCACTGGCCCTCCTCGTTATGATACGCTAGCACATTGTCGTCCAACTCATTGAAAATGTTTCTGGTGTACGGCATCAGGCGAGTGAAGATGTACCTTGTGTAAGTGAGATCATACTGCACATACATATTTCATGCACGATAAAAGTTCGTCCGTGAAAATCGGAGGACCTACTTCCTTGTACTACTGGCCAGAAGTAGGTGTGATTCCAGAACGTTGATATTACAACGGCCGGCGAGAATGTTGATATTATCGCGTTTAGTATATCCACGGATACCAATAACCACATTAAATATTCATAAGTGTAAGTCTTTACATTTACAATCAAATAAAACTAACGAAGGCCATGGACTATGAGAGAATACCTTGCACTGGCGTGATCGCTGCCACCCGCTAGGCGCTTCCTATAGAGGAGAATGCGTTTTGCATCTGTCTTCTAAGAAGACCAACCTGGCGCTCTTTTTACATGGAAAAGAAATTTCTACAAAGGAACAGTCCAGTTCGGCCTTCTTGTTTGAAGGATGTAAAAAAATACTCATCTTCCGTAAGTACCGAATTGCCCGCTAGGAAAGAAAAGGTTCAGGTTGTTGCTGCCGACGAAATCCTGTGCCATATTCACGATGGTGTCCTCGAGTGATTTTTCTCCGTGATGGTATGCACCCTTCTCGGACACGTAGCCAACGAACTGGGCGACTTTGATGTCTTTCTTCAGCTTTTTCTTGAAAGCGCAGAACATAATCTTCCGCTGTCCAGGCTTAAATCCGTCCATGATATTAGGAATCGCTCGGAGAGCCGCGTACTTGGAGAACCAAATCAACTCTTTGTTGATGAAATCCGAAAACGCCAGAGTCTTGATATTATGGTTCACCGTGTCATCTGCGGGTTGAGTCATGATAACAGCTCATATTTTTAGTAGACACCAGCTTGTTTTCTCTACTGATGCTATTTCTATTGGCAATGAGTAACTTTCGGACACGAGCTGCACAAGAATCTGCTTTGTTCAGAAGTCATGTCATGTAACCTCTTTTTACGTCCTCCTCATTCAGAAGCGAGTGTAAATTCTTAATCTACAAAAAAGTGCACGTAGATGTTGATGTTTTTAATCCAACTCCACTGCTATAAGAAACTAGATGTTGATGCTTATGTTAAGTTGATCTATTCCACTGTGAGTGTGAGTAGTTCAGATAAAGGACTCCAAAGGTGATGAAGATAGTACTTTCTCTAACGTTATTCATCCAGTCCTTGCGGTCGTCGGCTCTTGCTTTGTTGAAGGCTAGGTCAATGGCTTCACGCGCCGTAGGGTCGTGGGTGAAGCAAATTTCGTTGATTTCGATATCGCGAGATGTTAGAGGTTGCTTGAAATATACCCCCAATGCCTTCTACTTTACACAGTGAATGCGACCATTCGTTTTCACCTAGAGGACTCGACACCTATCGGTTTGTATTTGAATTCATTGACGAATTTTACTGTGTATTTACAATCAATCGAAATCGGTAGAGAATGGCCATACAAAATACTCCTTTGCTTCCTTGGCAGTGGATGTTCCCAAACCTTTGTAGTATTTGGTGTCCCAGCCCTTCCCATTGTTGTGCTGTTTCCGCCAGGATTCGTAATCTGCAGATATTAGAGGGAGAGCAACTGGTCTAGATGCAGGCGTTCTTCAAACATCTGAATCTTTATCAGATTGCGTTATGCCAATGCCTATGTGCCAGTAACCATATAAAATTGCGTCATAATATCGTATAAAACTTCTTTTCAAATTTGCCTCCTTTGTGAACCTTTACAATTGGCGTCACAAACTCCTTCAGGAACCCTTTATGCTGCATCAAACTCGGCCACCAGTTCTCAATCATGTTGATGAGGAGGCCCTTGATATGGCTTCCGTCGAGATCCTCTGCTTTAGACGGGATTCGTCGGTTCTTTCACAACAAAAAGTTGCCAAAAAATCTGAAAGTTAAGTTATATCATCACCATTCATCGTGCTTTTTCCTGCATTCGGTGTTGCTGGTAACATGCCGATTGCGTACTGTAGTGCATTACCACTACGATAGTATTAAGGTAGCGCTAAAGATTGATCTCAATTATATTATAAGAACGAAGGGTCATCCCTCAAAACGCAACAAAAAATGTAAACAAGCTTTATATAATTATATAAGTAGTTGTACTTGTAGTTTATAACATCGTTCCATAAGATCCGTCATGATCATGATGCTTCCGTATCGTAGTTTGTTCAGATCTTCGTAGGTCTGATTTGGAGTCAGACCCACGATCTTCAAAATCGCCTGGATCTCGCTGTTGCCCATCAGCGTTTTATGCGCTGCTTCCCGGACGTTGAGAACCTTCCCACGCAAAGGAAATACACCATAGTAATCGCGCCCTATCACGGAGAGGCCAGCGACCTGTAGATGTGTGAAGAAGTAAATTGCTTCGGGGTTCATTGAGCACGCCAGGATCTGCATAATCCGCACCCGCTTCAGAAAATGATTATCACTTTATGAGCGATGAAAAACTCCTATACAACTACAAAAAAATACCGCAAGCGCTTTCGCTGAATCTCCCTCTGTGAGAATGAGTGTGCACTGCGCCGACTTTTTACCCCCCGCCAGATGTTAGAGAATTCAATGGGCTTCTTTTGGTCAATAAGAAATCTCCGAAGTAGAACGAGTCTTTACAGAGTCGTTCGCTGCTTTTTCTACGACGCCTCGCACATCGTCGACGCTTACTTCACCAATGTACCATCTAATGGTAGTAATTTGGAACCGAAAAAGAAAGTGAAAAAACTGCCAAGACCAAACATTACCCGGAGGAACTGTTCAATAAAATTCGAACCTATGTATAGCTATGGCAACTACGTCAGCAAACAGTTATGTCAGAGCAATTTATAAGGCTTAACCGCTCGCATGACATGGAGCGCATGGATCGCATGGAGCTAAAGGGGGAGCTTCTTGCACCCCTTAAAGCTCTGCGCTCCATGCACTTCATGCTACTCCATGCACCATGCGTGCTATAAACTCCTCTGTTATGTTATAACATACTTACTTAATAAATAGAAATACCCGTTTGTTCTTTTGCCTTAATCATTTGCGTCTTCGAGTTTCGGAACGCCCAGTACGCGCATTTGATTTCCGCTAGCTTTCATCTTGCGACCCAGGTCTACTTTTTCTTTCGCCTTAGCCCAGTTGAGGATCATGTCGATAACTCCACTTTTCTGGACTGACTTGAGAAACGTTTCGGAGAGCTCGCACTTAGACCCGAATTTCCCTTGTTGCGTCTTCAGGGTTTCCTTGGTTTGCGAGTCGAAAGCAGGGTTTTCGATCAAGCAATTGACGAAGATCCACAAGTGCTGCTTCACATTCGCTGGCTTGATCTGGATTCCCTTTTTGTTACCGGCCTGCGCTTTGGGGTTTAGAAGAAGGAGTCGCGGCGAGGCGGTGTGCGATAATCATCGTCATAATTCGATGCTGCGTAAAAATCGTAAGTACCAACATCAACGTCATCAACGGGAATAAAAATGAGTTGCGTCACAAAACAGAAAGTCCTTACGTCGAACCTGACTTAAGCAGCGCTATATCATCGATCCCGATACCGATTATCAACATAGACATTTATGGCTCTTTCTACACATTATAATCTAAATTTTTTTCGACAGAATCAGAGCATCATGTAGTTTTGATACTACAACTACAAAAGTTGTCTTAACTTCAATAGTGCGTCCACTAGCTGGTCTGCTACGTGTGCGACGTGCGTTCCTCCTTTGATAGTGTTGATACTGTTCACAAAAGAGACCTGTTGAAATTGACCTTCGGTGGATAAGGTCGCGCAAACCTCCCATCTAGCACCGCACTTTTCATGAATCACCTGTAACGATTGTCGGCCCTCGGCTTCCTCGCCACGCGATACGCAGTTTACGAAAAAATCGACATAGCCAGGAATTAGAGTTTCTGGTGGTCTTTCCCTCTCTTCAAGTGGTGTTGGTGATGCGAGTATATATATGTAAAGGTGGTAGCTTTATCATGATTGGTGGTTCGTCCCCAAGTACATTAATGGCGCAATCATGCATACATATACAACGAACAACAAAATTTTTCCTCTTAACTTGAAGTCCTTCACCGGCAACAGCTTATTGTTTAGATAGACCTTACACTTCTTGTCCGTGGTTGCCGCGATGTCCCAGACGCGTTTGTGGAAAAGGGCAACCGTGTCCGTGTCCAGTTCAGTCATCGAGAACCGCTCGAGATCTGGTTGGAACGTGATGCGTGTGAAGGGCTCCTTTTTATAGTTTACGATAGTCGGCTTGTTCTTCACTGTCATGTTCTGCTCCATGACCTGCGTGAATAGCTTGCCTTCATTGGCATCGGCGGTTTCCACGATAAACTTCGTAGAAAAGACGTTGGTGAGCTTTGCGCCAAAACCGTTACGTCCACCCGTGACTTTTTTCTCATTGTCGTCGTAGTTGTCCGAAGTCAACAAATTACCGAAAATGAGCTCTGGCACATATATCTTGTGCTCTTTGTGCATTTTCACTGGAACGCCGTCGCCGTTGTTGTAGACTGCTATCGTGCTGGTCGTTGTGAAGGAAAAATCGTTTCTACAACTAGTACTAGGTTTTCGATCAACATGATTGCAAGTAACAGTCCTAAAAGTAAAATGTTGAAAGAGACATCGTCAATCAGTTTTGGTTTGTGCCTTGTTGATTAATAAAATTCAAGTACCCAGCTTCAGGATTTATGTCGACACTGATGCAGTTCATCTTCGAGCTTCTCTGCAGGTGATCCGCGGCATTAACAAGGATTTCGTCGAAGATCTTGTATAAGGCAGGAACGTAGGTGACTTTGCGAAATTGCATTTTTTCGTTCTGCGTATCGAAGACCCACATCTCCTGCATCTGAGGCTCGCCTGTAAAGTTTAAACAGGAAGAAAAAAATAAAAGACATAATCATAATTCATTGAACTCAGATTGAAGAGGCTACTCTCGGAGCTGGATCATGAATCAAGAAACATATTCCGGGATGATCTAGGACGACGAAGGGGGTTAGCGATAGGGGGTTAGCCCTCTATAGGGGGTTAGCCCCGTCCGTCGCCGGCAGCTTCGCGCATAAACATGCAAGCTCTTCCCTTTCGGATAAGCATGGCACTACAGTAAAAAAAAGACGAAAGCTACTTCATTGAATTGCGCATGTTTTGTAGCAATATCTCAGGCGCTTAGACTTTCTCGATGATAAAGCAACAGAAATCGTGTTGTAAGTTAAGGCTACATGATCCCACGTAGGTGTCCGGGCGCAACAAGATATGTTCAAGTTGCGATTTCTTCTGATAAATCTGCTCGATGCTCTTGCCCGCCCTGCCTGCCACATGGCTTTTAGTCCCTACCTCCTCGCCGGGCGACAAGGAACTACGGGACGGCATCTTTTGAGATTTGATCTACTGGCAGAAAGATCAATTTTGGTTTCTATTTTTCTTTTTGCACGTATTGGTATTCTTACGTACTGAAGGAGCAATAGTTGTACTCTAAATCAAGTCGCAGTCGTCGTGGACTCTAGTATTGTAAACATTAACATTGCCCAAAGATAGATTATTCAGCATTTAAGGCCGGGCCGTTTATGAAAGTTTTCCACGGTTATACGGGTTAAACCGCTCCCATCCGTTGGATGAATCCTTGCGTATCTACGTACACGTAGGGCCTAACTTAGTTTGTTTGAAATAACAAACACTAAACTTTTCATCGTCATGAATTTTCTGCTTTTCTTTCGTTTTTCCCTCCCTTTTTCGTTTCAACTCTTTCTTGATTTCACCGAGTACTAGTAGTAGAGGTAACGGCAACGGCAAGTGGATATGACATAATACAACAAAGCCGCGAGCAAGACGAAAAGCACATCAGAACACCAAGGCAACCGTTTAGACGTTCAGTCGACGAGCAACGATCGACCAAACTAACAGTCCGCTTAACGTTTTGGTCCGTTCTTCATGGAATTACTTCTTTCCAGACGGTAGTAATCAACGCCATAGACCAAGACGGTGACGGAAATTAGAATCCGTCATATAAATATTAACTTCAAGATTCTTCCGAGAAAGCGTACCCGATTCGTAATCGACCCCAGCGAGAGTGTGAAACAATGCTTTTGTGCGGTCTAGTACTAGAAGTCTTCTACTGGAAGAACTCAACTCAATAATTGTTTACTTGATTCTTGATCTTGTATCGATATCGAAAATTAAAATCATTTAGTCGCTGTCCCCGACACAGATCAGTGACCGAGTAGATATGTCAAACGTATTTTTTATCGACGAGGCTGCTTGTCGTCGAAAAGCTAAAACCGAGCCACTAACATTATTCAAAAATCAAATCGATTCCTGAATCGATTTCGTTGACAAACAAATAAGCAGACCAAGCCAAAGAAAATACAGCATTACAAGCCTACACTGGTAGCGACGAAATTAATGATAAAATTAATATGTCTATGTTCTTGCCAGTATGTTCATCTTCATGAATCTGACCAATATCATCGTTCCCAAGCGCCATCGCTTCAATCTAAAAGAACTGAAAACTTACAACAATCAGCACTTTGCGCTACTCCTGGAGCCGTGAGCCGGAGAAGATTATTCAAGCCATGGTAAAATCTTTCTTCGCGTTCGCGCGCGCGGCCATTTCTCGACCTGTAGAAGTAGACCGACGACGTGTGGTAAATATTTTCCAGAATTATACAAATAACACGTACATATATAATAAGTACTTATGCATCTCTAACAGCGTCGTGGGGCTGAATCCTCACTGCGCGGCGTCAGTAAGCATCTTCTTGAACTTGACAGAGAATGTTTTGATTCCGTGTGGGTATCTAAAATGAACGAACCAGATACACATGCAGGCACAGGTTGTGATTGATATATATTTATATATAATGATGTAACTCTCAATTTGACTACCTGATTAAGATTATTCGCCATGAAGACGCCCTTTGTCTTTGCCTTTGTAGTCGGATATATTCAACACTGCTACATTTTCTCCGATGTTTTCTTTCTTTTCCCAGGGTTTGCTCGGTCAACTATCCAAGTGCCGTTGTCCTTGTCGCTCTCTTTTCAGCGTTGAATAACATGGTAAACCAGCCTCTAGTCCTCGTCTTCGCAGATGGGTAAGGACTGACAGACAAAGACAACTAGCGTCTTCCGCTCAATCTTTTCACAATCTGTCACTCGGCTGCACGTGGATCAATTCCTACTTGAAGACTGTTCGTAGAGGTGCTTCGGCGTACTCGAAACTCTTCTACGCAGAAATCTACTTCAGACCTCAAATGAATCGACTGATCTTTCCGCACTTTCTTGACGTTTCTCTAACTTTCAGCGATGACAATCTTCTACTTTGTTTACTGGTGTAGTAGGAAACAAATTGCGCGCAACCAGGACGACGTCCAGAAAAGGCTCTGCTCGATGATTCCGCTTCAAAAACCTACTTGCTCGTACTTGCAGCGCGGCTCAGGTTCTCGTGATAGAAACCCACACGAATGTACTTATTTGATAAAAATTTGAACTGCTTTGATAACTCAGTAGCTGCAGCAAAGGAAGACGCGGCGGGGGGGGCAGCTTGGGTAGTTGATTGCTGTTGGAATAATGTACGAACGAATGACCAGGCTCGCGAGCATAGGGAGCCGCAACATTAAGTGAAGCCTTTCTACTTTTTGATGAGGGTAATTAGTGAGGGACTGCCATCACTTCTAGCCGACGGTTTCCATTCATTTTCTTGTCGAGGGGAGAAGCTTCAGAGTCATGAACTTCCTTGCGAATGGAAATAACGGGTGGCTTGTTTTTCAATATGCATCAGTCACTTTTGTCATTGATAAATCATTAGAAATATGCGCGAGTCACAAGTTGTAGCTTTCGCTTTTCTTTTAGCTATCATAATCGAGGTGAGGTTTGGTCCCACATCAGCAGCAGTTACAGTTAGAATATATAGATAGTTTGTAAAGACACGAATCAGCAGCGGCATAGGTAATTCTTTGTGTTGATCTCTATGATTAGGAAACTAACTAAGTAACCTGTACTGTGCCATGTAGTAGACCATAGTAACTCTGGGCCAACAGAGCATGCCCACATCAGTGACGATTGTGTTGCTATTGCTAAAGAATTTTGCCGAGATTTTCCAAGGACTGAATATATAATGTCATTCAGTGCGAGAAGCTTCATGATATGTAGTAGTTGTATGTGTCACCAGGTAAATAAGTACTTAGATTAAGAATATAGCAAACTGCGAGTCACGTTCACCATCATGCACATCTACCAAGAGTGTGGGGCTCCGTTGAAGTCAGGTAAGAAATGCAAACGAAGGGACCTCGCAAACGAGCGTCGTCATCCCATTTTTGATGCTGGGCTGCATTGGCTATTATAGCTCGAGATGCTAATGAAATACTTCTCGTGCTGCTGTCGGAGGTTGCTCCGTGCGGCGCACGTCAATATGATTGACGAGCCGGGTGCTGCTCCCATGTTCAGTCTTGATATGGAAGCTATACGAAGTAGCGTTACTCTTCCACTCTGTTCCACTGCGTGTTGGGAAAGAATAATCGGAAAAATTGGACATTGATTGTGCTTCAGGGAGAACAACAAGGAGGTGACGAGTCAGAGTCTCTCACATCAAACTTCGCGCTGCCTAGTCGATTGCTGCTCTCGCGTTCATCTTCAGAAACAACACTCCCAGTGTGCGAAAAACGAGCCACAAAGCCAAGGTCATACAGACGTAGTACGGTAGTAGAGAAGCTTGTATGTCGTTGCCACGGAAGAAGTCGTCCCTCTGCTTGCGAAAATTTTCACGATGAGTCAAGTCGTCGGAAACCTTCGTCTCATCGATTGCGTTGAGCTCCAGTAGTCCCATTGCCGAGCAGAGATGCGACATCGGGATCCCGTGACGCATCCATCGAATAGAGGCTGGAATCTGCGACAATGCACGCATCACGCCACCGAAACACGCAGGGACCGTGTTTGATATCACAGTGAGCAAAACCAGGGACTGTGGTGCAGAAATAGAATCATGAAATGAAGATGAAGATCGACATCATGATTTCTTCACGTCAACAAGGAGTTGTCTTGGTGCAAGATGATTGTTTGATAAGGTGATTGCTGGACGCTCATTGCTCAATACTCACTGTTATCTTATCACCGAGCAGTCTATAAGGTTTCGCCGAGCGCATGGCATGGAGTGCATGGAACACATGGAGTAGCATGGAGCAGGTACTCCATGCACTCTATGCGTGAAAATTTTGCGAGGCGCACTCCGGGCGCCTCTCTGTCAGAGTGTGCACGCCTCTAGCTCAGTACTTCGGGGAGGCACTTCAGCCGCCTAACATGCCAACCCCAGCTCCAACTATGTATCACGCAGAGCCCTCGGGCCGACGCACTCACTCGCGGCCCAGGCCCCGCGTCCTCAGGCCGCCCAAGCAGCAAAGCAGCAGCAACGCCGCCAGCGACCCCTGGGCATATTACGGCCAAGACAGTGCTATCCGCGCGTCTGGCCTATCAGCCAACCCTGACAGCGAAGACTCCCAAGCCACTCACTCGCCGGCAGGGGCCGTAAAGGCGGCCAAGGCATCAGCCTCAGCGCCGCCGGCTGCGCCCATGGTTGGGGCTACAACTCCCCGCCTACGCTACAAACCCCCGACGGCTACAACTTCCCACCCACTCAGTCGCAAGCTGGTTCCCTTAGCTCAGGGCCCCCCAAAAACCAGCTACAGCGCCGCCGGTAACGTAACCCCCCGACACATCACCAAGCCGCCCGCCAGACGTCTAGCCTATCAGAGCCAACTTCGGCGGGGCATGCTCCGCGCGTGCCCGTCCCTTACACGCTTGCGATGTACTCCATGCGTGGGCAGGCTGCAGGTGCTCCATGCACTCCATGCAACTACTCCATGCGCCACGCGTTCTATAAACTACTCTGCTATCAATCTGTTGTAGTTGCAACATACTCTACAAAAAGAAATATACGCATGCGGGAGGAGCTTCAAAAATAGGAATACCACTTCGGCCCTGGTTGTGAGTGTTGATATCGCAACACCGACGGCTCCGCCTGATGTCATGCACAGAAACATGAGGAACCACAACCACCAGAAGGAGGCGTTTGTGCCGTACGCGGCTTGCAGAATCACGACAATCAAGAGAGTTTGCAGGAGTGTGAGTGGTAGTTCTACCAACATCTTGCTCAACAGGTACATCCACGTAGAGTACATATTGCTCGTGTATTCGCGTAGAAAGACGGAGCGCTCTGCCGGAATATTCAGAAGCACGATCTGTGCACCAGCTGTAAATGCCATGAAGAAAACGGTGGCGACGGAGATAAAGAGCTCGCGAATGCGTGCCGAGAACTGCGCTTCGGTCTGAAGCTGTGCGAGCGTTCCGTCGTCACCTAGGTGTTTTCCTTGCGCAAGATACCGTCCAACGTGCAAGAACGCGACCGAGTATAGCACAACCTGCAAGACAGGTGTGAACACGCGAAACAACAATGAAAAGAGATTGCGGTACGTCCCTTGCACCTCGCGAATAAACAGAGCTTTCATCTGCGCGCACAGTCGCGGCCGTTTTCGTGGGCGCAACTTTTGCTTGGAGTATTCTCCTGCTATGTGGTTGTCCATTTCGTTTTCTGAAGATGCGCTTGCGCAGTTAAGAGGACGCTCTGCAGCTAATGGTGGAACGGCTTCCAGCTGCCGAGTGACAATCTCCAGGCTACTGTTTGTTTTGTAATTTACTCTTGCAGCAGCAGGCGTGCTCTGCTTTGGTAGCACAGACATGCTAGTGTGGCCGTGCCGGATATCTTCCTGTACCTCGTTCGCGATGAAAGGCACAAGAAGATTCTCCATAGAGCTACGACGGGATTCAATACCATACAGCTGACTTCGAGAACCAACGCGGGAAAAAATTTGCTCATGCTCTTCCAGTTCCACGCTCTGCTTGCTCATTACAGCCCCCGTGACCATAGACGAAGCGTCTAACAAGTCTGGAGCAGTAACAACTGCATTGCTGGATACCATTTCTTCAAGCCTTTGAGGAATGTTGGCAGGGAAACGCGTGGAACTAGACTCGTTTTCAAGGGCAGGCGGAGCAAGAACATCCATAATGTTGCTCGTGGACTCGCTTCTCGATAGAATGCCGTTTTCCGAGCTGCAGGATGTTGCAGCGTCATGATCTACTGCCCTGGAAACCACTACTTCGAATTCGGCAAGCGACACCAGTCCGGCGTTGAAAATACTACGGGACTTCCGCACAATGGTAGCGACTTCAGCCTCTGGAAGCGATTGCGCGAGGTTGAGAAGCCAGTCGGACATACTGAATTCCATCGGAATTGAGTGGCCACACATGCAGACAAACCCTGATATAGTCCATGACCTTAGAAACAAAAAGAGCTGTCGGGTGTCGATGGCGCACGTCTGCTGAACCATGTAGGTAGTGTAGCCAGGAGGAGCGCCAGAAGTTGAAATACCTGCAGTCTGTGGATGTATTAATGAGCGTGTCGCGCTACTTGTGTCTCCTCCTACTGCTGAGTTAAGGATACTAGAGCTCTCCTCCGTTCCACCTTTTTCGGTTAGGCTCTCATGAATCTGCTTTTGGGCTCGTTGATCTTCCTCTTCTGAGTCTTCGTCTAGCTGGAGGACACGTCTTGAGCTTGATGCGGCGCTCCCATCTCGACGTAAGGACTGCGATTCAGCCACTAAACCCAAGCTGTTGAGAATCTTGTCGTCTCCGGTCGCATTATCGGATAACGCGTCACGTAGATGAAGCGCACCTGCACCACCATGATGATTTTTATTATCACGGAATGTTAATCCTCTCGTTCCGTCCTTAATGATATCTTGGTCCACGACCTCCCCAGTGATGATATGTGCGTTAGATGGTGCCGCACTGATCGGATCCCCGTTGTCTTCTGTCTCGCTAGCTAGAGCTTGGGTTCCCTGTGTTGGGGTGTCACTTGTGCTTCGCGTCATGTTAGATCCACAAGTCCCTAGCATTGGCGGCGGCGACCCGCCTGCGGGAGCTCCGGGGGCCGCTGGCGCGGCAAAATTGATGAAGAATTGGCGCGCAACCTTTGTCGGTGTCCGCCTAACGCCAGGGTCCGCGGATTCAATGCGGTCGCGGATGTATTGTCTTGCGGCTTCGTGCTGTTCTTGCTCGCTCGTAGCGTTGTTCAGACTTGCGCTCAAGGCGGCTTTGCGGGGCCCGCGTCCCCCGCCGTTCAGGTGGAGTCGGTTTTTACCTGTCACGAGTGGGCCACTGTGGACTCGCAAGGGATGGTTTGTGGCCAACGTCGCTGCTGGTATGGGCATGCCACTTCTAGTACCATCAAGCCCACCCCTCTGCTGCGTCGTGATAGTCGTGCCTGCTTGCAAACTTCCTTCTGTTGTTGCTTGACCGACTACGGCGAGAGCAAAGCTTGCTGCGCCAACGGCGGACGACGAATGTGCTGGTCCAGATGCCGAGCGCGCTTTCAAGCTATTGCCGCTGAAATTGCGACTTTTGCTCGAAGTTGCTGGGCCGCTGCCCGGGACGACGCCAACTATTGTGCCGATCTTCACGCGGGGCACCTGCTTGATGCTCTTTGCTTCGTCTCGGTCATCACCGTTTTCTAGTGCTGGGAGCGTCCGGTCTCGCTGATTGCATCGGGGGTTGCTATTTGCTGCCCTTGTTGGGCCGACCAAAGGTGGGGCAGAACTGTAAGTCGCGGCAATTACGGCTTCCATGTTCTTGTTCAAGCCATGAAAAAGAATTTGACCATAACGCATGCAGTACACGCGGTCGAACAGCGCGAAGAGCTCACTTCCGGGCTGGTGCACTGTGAGACAGACAATGGCTTGCTTCTCCTTTGCAATTCTCTTCAGGTTCTGCACGAGCTGCAAAGACGAAAAGCTATCTAACCCGCTTGTGGGCTCGTCCAGAAAGAGGATTTCCGGATCTGCAATAAGCTCTAAGGCAACGCCGAGCCGCTTTTTTTGACCGCCGGAGATCCGCTGAACAGGCACGTTGCGGCAGGCGTCCAGACCCAACATTTCCAGAGTCTGATCTATTTTCTCTTCCAGAAGATTCTTCTTCGCGGCACGCTTTTGCGCCGAAGACGCTTTTGAATCGCACGCAGAACCAGACCTACGGAAAAAACAGGACCCACTGCTTGCCCCCGGAATCGAGGTGCTCTGTGCTTGCTTCGATGTAGAAAATGGGCGTTCATTAACGACCGGTAGTTGATTCTCAATGTCGCCTTGACCAGTAAGATCCAGTTTCTCGCGTTTCGACTTTTTGCGCCTCTTCGAGCATGAGAGATTTTTCAGAAATGGACGCTGTTTGGAATCCTCATCCTTGGGCGATAGAGCCGTCGTCTCATCGTTGTTGCTCAGTTCGTCGTCAGACGATCCAGAAGTTGTGTTAAGGTCGTCGTCCCTTTCTGGGGAAGAGCAACGGGAATGACAGTCCTCTCTATCGACATTAGCCAGCTTCACACTCATTTGTGCCTGGTGGAGTCTCCCAGACGATTTTTCTTCGCTACTGTCGCGCCGCCTTCTCTCATTTACGAGAATCTGTTCGTCTCGGTCAGGAATAGGTGGGGTTGTAGGTGCGAGGGCTGAAGATGAGAAACTGCCAACAGCGTGTTCCTCGATGCAACAGCCGCGCAAGGTAGCGGCAAAGCGCAAGGACTCCTCCACCGTCTGAGTTTCCACGAAGCTCTCTGCTTGCATGATGAGGGCGACGGAGTCTTTTAGGCCCTCAAAAGATGATAAACGCCCGCCGTAGCGAATGTCTCCCGTGAGTGACAGACCCTTGCCTGTCCAGCGTTGCCTCGCGGCTAAAATGTTCATCAGAGTGCTCTTTCCAGCTCCACTAGGGCCTATCAACGCGCAGACTTCGCCGGGAAATAGGCGGCCGTAGCAATTCTTCAGAATTTGTTTACCTCCGACTTCGAACGTCAGATGATCCCAATCGAGTGTTGCTGTGCGCTCTGGATTCAGTGGTGAGCGGTATTGCAGGTCGTTAACGTTATTCCCGAAAGTGTTGCTGTCGCGCCCTGACCACGGCTCGTGATCTGGGGAGTTGCGCGCAAACAGAAGCTGTTGGTGGTGCTCCACAACCACAGGTGAAGCGCCAGCCATCGTGCTAGTAGCGTCTACACCGTTGGGAAAGACCGAAGGACCCTGAGCTGCATCTGTAGGGTTGATTCCGGGGAGCTGAGACTGTAGACTTCCCGGAAGATCATCCGTGCCGCGAAGCTCGGGCAGTGAGAAAACACGTGGCGGCTGATCGTACGTAGCCACGGCAGAGCTTGTCCCTGTATTTTGGCTTGTCGATTCGTCACCAACAGTTCCTGGCTTCTTAAAGACAAGCGGAGGGCCAGCGGCAACGACAGGTAGTGGAGGACCGAGAGACGAGCCCGGCGGCATGGAGCCGCCAGGTGGAATTAGTTTCTCAGCCTCGACACCTGCTGCGGCGGAATAATTTCGTACGAGCGGGACACCCTCTTGCACCAGATGGGGCATTGATTTAGACTGCTCGAGAACTGCAGTAGCAATGCTGTTTGGAAGACCGACAGCTGCAAGATTCGTCACTGCGCCCTCAACTGGCGCGCACGCGCCGCCCTCGTTCTTTCCTTTACTCACAACGACCAGGGGATGAACGCGGTGCTGAGGTGTGGTCACGCCTTGTGAACCACCACGGAGTAGATGTGCGCTTGATGTGTTCGGGATGCTAGTGGACCCCAGTAACCCAGAACCTTGCTGAGATGCGGCTACCGCTACGCTGCCACCTACTATTTGCGATTGTAGTGCTGCACCAGCGGATCCTTCAGCAACTGCCGCCGTCTGCGCGCCCGAAGCAGTGTCTCTCTCTGGCACAGCAGGTGGCATTGCGAATTCCGGTGCTGCGTGAGAATTGTTATTTGCTACTTCTGTCCATGGCACTATCCTGAACACCTCACTTACAGACGCAGACGATGCGTTGAAGAGGTCTTGCACAGCCCGTCGGGCGGCAACAGGCTTGGAACTACAGTGAAGAAAGGAATCGTGAGGATCTTCTTCGAGGTGACCTTTGTCTGTGTGTGTGTCGTCAGCGTCCTCCTCTATTGTCTGCATCGACCAGGCAGGTAAGTGCTGCGCGTGGGTGTGGGAAAATCTTGCAGGCGGGAGTTGAAGAGCAGGTTGATGTGAGACCGACGACGCACCAGCACCTGAGATCGAAGCAACTGGAGATGTAGCGATGTGACTAACTGTTGAAGGCTCAACAAGCGGGAGCCGTCGCGTATCTTCATTTGTAGGTGTCGAACCTGTGGATGGCACAGCGTGTCTACTTAGCGTCAGTGTGTGTGCCTTGTCGACAGGTTTTGTTGTTTCCACCTGAAGATCGTTTTTGGTGCTTCCCATTGAGATAGTTTTTGCTGCAATACCTTTGTTACCAGCTTCGGGGCTGTCGACAGCGACTGCCGGTGACCCACCTTGCGTCTCCACTTCTCGTGGAGTTGGCATGAGCCGCTGGCCGTTCGGAAGTTCAAGCTGGAAGTGGAAATCCAAGTCGTCTTCTAGCAGTGTATTTTTCATAGTGCTGCCCGTTTGTTGACGGTTGAAGGCTTGGTCCGGTACCGATGGGTAGTCTTCCTCAAAATGTGACAACCTCGAGACACTTGTTCGCGCTCCGGAGGACCGAATCTGGGTAGGACCGCAAGATGAGGGCGAGGAAGAAGTCGGTAATCGCAAGTGGTCTACACTGTAATCAGCACTACTGTAGTGCTGTAGGACCACGTTGTCGCAGTCATGGTTTACACCCAACCACAAACCTCCTGCTCTCGCTTCCCCATCTCCAGCATGTTGACTTCTTCTATTCGTGTCGGCAGAAATTCGCGGCCACATGTCGTCATTGGGCAAGACCTCTCTAGCTGGCGCCGAGTGCTCTCGCTTGAGCAAGAAGTTTTGCTTTTCAGAAGAGCTTAGAAATTCGTCCTCCCCAATTCGTGGCGGTGGGCTGCGCGTCATGCCCACGCGCGCGCCACCGCTTGCAGTATCGCAGGTCATGGCACATGGCGAAGACCACGAATGAAGCGCCATTTCAGAGCACGTTCGAGCTGGAACGAGTGGGCTGCTCGACGCGCAGGACTCCGATTGTGACGAAAGAAAGTGGCTGTTTGCTGGACCTGATGGTGGTGATGCGGATACTGTGCTAGATGAAGAAGCAGAGAAGTGGTCAAGCGAATGGTGAATTCGACGTGGCCAATTGCAATGCGAACCTGGATTGGATCCATTACCCGAAGCTTCGGTTTCTGTTTGCTCTCTTGCACCATTACCTCCAACAGACGTACCTCCAGAAGACGAGCTGCTTCCGACAAGATTAGCATTTTGGTTGCTGCTGCTGACGTGATGCTGCTGAAGTTGCAGCGTACTAGTTCTGCTGGCACTATTGTTATTTCCCACTAGATTTTTGTGGCTGCACGCTGCGGATCGGCTTCCTCCGATCATCTTCGCTCGGCTGCGCGAGCGGCTGCCGCCGGAGGAACGGATGCTGTCGCGAGAAATGCTCGCGAGTGCTAGCCATTGAAAGCGAAGCTGGTCATCGTCCAATTCCTCAACCGTGTCTGTGCGCGAGATCGCGGACGCGGTGCTGCCACCAGTTAGTGCTAACCAGTTCCGGCGCCTTTCCTCGGTGTTCGCACCTACTTCTTCCAGTTCTCGTCGTACTGCGTCACACACCGTCACTGGACTCGGCACTACGTCGGGCAGAAGACTCTGGGGTCCACCCCCTTCGGCCCCCGTTTGAGATTGGCCTGCGTCTGAAGACGTGCCAGACGAATTCCCCGGAGGAAGAGCTGCGTCAGCGTCTTTTTGCTCATTTCCCGCCCTCGGAGTAGACACTATCTTGCCCGCAAGGTTGGGAGGAGTCTCCGCAAACGACACATGGCAGGCACTAAGGCGCTTTTTGGCACCACCTGCCGAGCGCGAAGCACTGGCTGAGGGCACGTCGCTGCCTGAAGGCGAAGTCGAAGCGCTAAAACCTGCGGTATCCAAGGACCTACTCTTGAAGATCTTCGCGTGGTCCCCGCGTGGTGCAGAACTGAAACCTGAAGCTGCGGACGCGTTCTCTAATAACGGAGGTGCTGCAGGTACGGACTCGACGATACGCGAGAGCGGCATCATCCTGTTGCGCGTTCGTAGTTGTGACTTCGAACCTGTAGTTGCAACGTGTGGCACACGATGCGGCACTCCATTTGAGGTCTCAATTTCAAAAGAATGTCGACGCAGCAAAGAAGCAGGTGCGGCGTCTCCTTTTGCAGCGACAGATGATCTACTAACCTTGTCCGTGCGCGATGAAGGCAGCATCACCTGGTGTGGCAAGGATGAGCGTGACCGCTTCCCTTCAGATGAAGTGGGAAACTCTGCAGGCCAGCCTAGATCCCCAGAAGATTGGGAGGACTCCTCCATGGCGCGACCTCTACTGGAAGTAGATGACCCTTGTTCAGCAGACATCTCCTGGATTCCTGGTTGTGGATATGAATGTAGTAGAGCTTTATGGCTATTTCGCATTGGAATTTTTATGCGTATCCGTATCTGTATCCGTCAGAATCCATAATTTATTATATCCCGCCTCGCAACAAAACGAAAACAAGCAAAATTCTAGAAGGTCCCCTCGACGGATCGAATCTTGTGGAACAGCTACAATATGTTTCGAAGCAGACGCAGACGGGTCGTCTTTAGGGTTGTCGTTTGCGTGTCACGAAGTTTATCTGGTCAACATACTTAGTTCTATCTGGTCACTGCGGCATGGCATCTGCCCGTCGCATACTCGCTCTGCGTCAGCTATGCGAGACGGACACGCGTAGTTGCAGCTGGTCCCTAAAGAAACGGGAACAAGGCACCACAATGCAGAGTCCGATGCGCTCCATTATTCTTTCCATTAAGGATTATCGTCAATCTAATTCATTACACGACCGGACCCCTTAAGAAAGTCGCATAAGATACTGGCGGAGCACGTCTAACTAGGAAACAAAAATACATAAAAAGGAAGAAGCCCAACTGTTTAAAAAGAACTCTAGTGGCCACGTTTATGTTAGGATCCGTTTGTTCTAGGCGCCTCGAGTTCGTCCAACTGCCCTGGAGGTCTTCTCATCAAAGGCGGCCGAAGCCTGTGCGTGCTTCAGAGAAGTGCTCGGCTCTCGCGCTATGTGCACCCACTACAGATCAAAGTGTCCTAATAATACGTTGTCCATAATGACGAACGGAGGTTGCTAACTAGTGGCACGTCTTCAGCAAAGGATCAAATGAAACAAGAAAAAAGGAATCTACCTTGGTTTTGGTATCACGCTACTTTTCCCTTTAAAGACTTTTCCCTATCCACACAAGATTGTGAGAATGTGAATGGCAAGGAGATGTGTCAAAGTGCTTCCATTCACACTATGCGGATAAATGGGAAAAAATGAATCGAGTTTGATGTCATAGCGTTATCCGTGACCCTGTTGCGGAGATCGTGAAGATGTAATACTAGAACGAGAATATTACAACAGGTTTAATAAAGAAGCAGGTGAATGATGAGTGTGCTGTTGAGTCATCACTGAATTGATGCGACGTTGTCATCAACTACATCGAAGCAGAAGTATTTAATTACTGTTTGTCTTTGTTCTGGGTCTAAACTTGGTGATCAAGACCAACTCACGACCACACCAGGCAGACACGCATCCGGATCTTGGTCTTGGTTTTGCCTGACATTCGATTTTCGGGACGCTGAAGTTGAATTGCAGTAGATCCTCGTGCCACACCATCTCCACTAGAATTTGTGACACTGCGAATGATTCGCAAGTCAATGACAGGTGTTGGATTTTTTCCTAGTCTGATGATCTCCTCTGAGTTTACATTTAGGATTGCTTTCAAGATGCAGGACTTTTGAATTGGGTCAAGACACACATTGATCAGAGACACCCGATTCGCGATAAAAATATACACCTATATTATAATGCTGTGCTGCTTGTTGCCACCACTTTCTTATGTGAGAATGTTCATGTTGATGTTGTTGCCTGAGCGTGGATATGAGGGAAGAAGTTTTCTAGCCTGTGAAAATATTTTGCTTGCGTCGCACGTGCATTTATTTTACCCTTCACCTGGAAAAAGAAGTCAAGAAGCTTGAGGTGAAGATTGAAAGTAAGACCCAGCAATGGCATGTACATGGGAGCGTCTAGTAAATCGAATTGAAAAAACAGTTATATATGTGAAGAACGATATCATGACTGTAAGCTGCTGCAAAATTTTGGATATATTCATATACTAGGTGATAAGCTTGACTATTAATATGCCTATGGCTATGACAATGTATAATTGTGAATTAGAAAATAATTTTCGACACCGACAACCTAATTATCAAATCATAAACTTCACGGCGCGTGGTTGTACACTCGATTGTGGAGTGTGAATTCGGCACCGGCGTTCCCTAGGCGCGTTGCGTTTCTGGCGACAGCTTGCGAGTGCGTGCACATATTCATTGACTGATTTGCGTCAGACCATGAAATATGATTTTGTATCAACGACAACGATCACATAATTCACAACCATGCAGGAAGCAGGTGTACGATAGAGATAGACTTAGACAAGAAAAGGTTAGTGTTTTTTCTTCTTGGAAACATCAAATGCAAAAGCGAAACAGACGAAGCCTTCGGATTGGGATCAAGATCCGCCTTATATGACAGGCGGAAGAACGGAGCCATTGATTTGGAGTAGCTGAAACGGAATTGAAGGCAACATCCCCTTCTTGTTCTTCATACCCGTATCCCCTAATCCACACCTAGGAGCGGAATAAACATCAACATCGATAATTGGTAGAAGATGATGCCGAAGTCTATTCTCAGAATCAAGGTTCAAGCTCATCGTAATCATTATAGAACTTCTGCCGCTGGGTGAAGTCCGCTTCTAACAAATCCATACATTAGTCAACACGCCATGGAGGAAAACCTAAAAAAACTCGATGATAATACTATTACCAGTAGATGCACATGCAACATGTCATTTATTTTATGGCATGCTGGGTGAGGAAAATGGCAAGAAATAAATCATCGAACAAAAAATTTACTGTGATTAAAAGTAACTTACTTTTGCGCAAATGAAATCCCAGACCGCACCAGAAAAAGCATTTAAAAAAGCCAGCTATCCCGCTTCTGCTTGAATCCCGAGACCAAATCGCTCCAGTTTACCCGACGAAGCTGTACATGTTGTAATATACACCGATCAGAGACTGAGTTTGAGTGTATTAATGTGTTGCTGCCCGACCACATTTTTCCAATCCAAGAAAAATAAGACAGACACAATTGACAGAAAACAAAAACATGATACTCAAGGCAAGAAGAAGATCAAGAAATCGTACTTACGAAGTACACGTTTCATTACCTACTACCACGACCATCATCAAAGAGAAATACAACGAACACGACCGAGAATAAAAAGCAAATCGATGCATGACTACAAAAAAAGGAAAGTAGATCTGCTGGTACCATATGGCATATGCCGAATGAAAGAAAAACAGATCATGTAGTCGCGTAATCGAGGAGACACTGACAAAAGAATCTAGAGCTACATTAGACGAATCAATGACTTTGTGTTTTTACATCCGATTTGTAGTACAAGTACATCAACATCAGATCACCGCATTACACTATGACTATCTTTGGGAGCCGTCGCTTCCATTGTATAAGCTCTGGCACACGCCGAACGGAGATTCATCGACTCAAGAAGCCGGAGCCTACAATGAAGAGAAGCTCCTGCGTGCAACCAAGAATGTAGATGTTCATTACGTGCAATAAGTATGGTTAGATAAGTTTCGATGACAAAATAGGATGTAAAAATACATAAGCCCAATCCTCACATTCGCAGTAGCAGACGCGAACCTTTCAAAGTGCTCGTGAATGTCGTGGTTGCAGCCTCTGCCTCAAGCCGAAAGCGAAACCGTGCGTGAAAATAAAACAAGAAATGCAATTGCAGAATCAGCTGCTCAATAGCATTAGCAAGGACCCAAATTGGCAAAAGTGCAACAATCAAACTTCGTTCCCCAACCTTCAAGTTAATGAGGAAATTACCACGGTCATTCAGGAAGATGCCTTCCGATGTGTCGTGTTTGGCGCGTAATTTGCAAGCACGTTGGTATCACGCACCAGATGGATTTTTCTAGATAGGAGAAAGAACTCAAGCTTGGGCTTTCACTTGTTCAGCAGCAGCACCTCAGCTATAATATGTACAATAAAAGTAAATTCAAAACGTCCATGATCTTCATTTCACATTGATTTAGAGATAGAGCGGTACTTTTAAATTTGCTGGATGACGCGCGTACTCACTAGCAATTTGAGAAATAACATCATCTCTTCCTCGCAAACTCGCATGAAGAAAGCAGACAAATAACATTTACTTAGGTACAGAGAGACTCATTATAATTCGAAGAAGCACGAAAACAAGTAAAAGCACGAAATTTAAGACTGGACCAATGTTGTGAGCATCATAATCATTCACGAGCATGAGCCAACAAGAAAATAGATGAGAGCCTAAATGGTAGAAGTAGCGCCAGACAGCATAGGGACTAGCCCGCTCCGCATGCATCTTGCAATTGCGTAACGCTCCGAATGATTCTAATTATATTTCTAGCCACGTGCACTTTAAATTTATATCTCCTTGTACGAAATGAAGCTAGTGGCTGTTGAGTCTATGAGACATTGATGCATGTTTTTTCCGGTTGTCTTTCATTAAAACTGAGCCCGTTGTGAAAGAGCACGATGTCATGGTTCGTTTTTTGAAACATGTATTTTTTCGGGCTCTCTAGTGTGTATTATCTCTTCTTCGTTCTACTCGTCTAGCAAAACTTGAAGGTCAAGAACTATCACGTTGTTCATTTTATTTGGCAAAATGGATACCAGTCAATGAATCTCACTTGAAACTAAGGATTCGAAATCTAGTGTAGAAGCTTATTCGGGTAGTTGGCACTCAAGGTAAACGACCCTACTGGAAGTTAATCTTAATTCTCGAGTATCTAATTCTAGTTGAGTTGCTTAACCTGGATCAAGTACTAGTGACTACAATAACATCGATCACTTCTCCCATTATTCATTTGCGTTTTTACTAATCGGCTGGCTCGTCATCCTGCGCCATCACCCCCTACTACATAATAGTGCAGCATTTTTTCCCCGAGCCGGTAGGATCGTCTCCCGTCCAACGAGCTGAATGGAACATACGCCGATTGATATCCTTCCATGTCTCCACTTCTAAAACACTGTCAACCTGGGTTGGTGCGATGATATAAGGCTGCAAGACGAAGACTACATAGAATATTATACCTTCTTGTTCTGAAACAAACCACGACTCGCTTCGAACAAACTAAATGGAGTTGAGTGTATGAGTACTGATCCTGTGTTCTTGGTTTAGATATTGAAGTACGTCATGAGCGCTTGTTAGGTCGTCGTCGTCCCGCCAAACGATACTATGTTCTTTACGAAAGTCGATGTTTCTCGATCTCCTGTCGTGTCTTCCTGGCGTGACTTCGTTCGAATTTCGCTTCAATATTCCTCTTTTCATGCTGCCTGTAGCCGGGCTATGCGTCATGTCCGTTGGGTACTGGGAGTCCCCGTAGTAACTGCTCTCACCACCGTAGCTTTGATGCCTGTCCACACCATCTTCCAGCAATGTCGATGGTCCTCGTCCACCGTTGGCAGGATTGTTTAGACTACGAGCTGTGCTATTTTTCAGTTCTTAGCATTGACCACTGTCGGTGATATGACGAATATTATATCTAATATAAATATTTATAAAAAATATCATAATCATTCTTAGTTAGAGACGAAGATCAACATGAAGATCGTCATTTTTGTGGCTACTGATGAACATTATTCACGGGTATCTGTTTAAGAAAGAAAGGTGAACTGATAATGATGTTTCTTATCGTTTATTCAGATAAGATTAAGATTAAGATGAAACACATTTTTCGTAAGCCCGCCCCAAGATGGTAATGGTTACCCAGGAGAGCCTCCTGCTCCTGAATATGCGAGCTAGACCCTACGGTCGCCATAGCATCACTGCTAGCAATACTCCGCGACAACAACTCGACAGCCTGACCGTCAGAGGTTAGAGGAGTCTGAAGAGTTGTACGTACGTCATCTTTGTCTCAATTCTTCGTGACTAACATCGGCGACGCCTTTGTCAAGTTGAAATATCTAAATATCATGAAGATGCTAGATGAGTAGTTGCTCCGAGTGACAACTAGAACGCGGATTACTATTCGTGTTGATTTCAAGTGAAAGGCAGCACTGGCACTGACAGTCGATGTCTCCTCATAAGTGTTGGACCGACCGCGGATCGGAGCTGTAATGAGGTGGCGTGGACGTTAAGCTTGTTCTAATATTTGGGCTTTGGGGTGCGGTCGTCGGTGACGAGACTACTCTCGGTAGTCCAGCATCTGTACCTGTCATGAACGCGTTGCCGATGGGTCGAGGCGGTGCCTGTGGAATGTCACCGGGAACTACTCCCGAACCAGGAAAATTGTGTAGGTGTGCTGTCGTGGACGAGCTGGATGAACTGCCGCCAAAAGCGTTTGATGGGTCACCTAAAGCTCCTCCTAGTCGTGAGATGTCGTGCTGTTGCTGCCCTGAGCTTTCTGCTGGTGCTGACGGAAACAAATTCGAGTTGTACTCCATTGCACTTGCATCTGCCACATCCCCTTGTGCAGATGACTCGACGAAGGACCCGGGTCCCCGGTGGACAATCATTTTCGTACCCTCAGATGCGGAGCTGCTGGAGGTGGTCGTTGTCGTGCATACAATACTTGATGCACCAGCCCCACTTCCTTGCAGAACAGTTTTCGAATGTCTACTTGATGAACTGCTTACTGTTGCTGCACTCCCAGTTGACGTTGAGCCAGATATGCTTGCTAGTTTGTTACCGCTGTCTTCCGCGCGATATTCAACGACCTGCAGATAATTCAGTTTTGACACAAATGTTCACGATTAAATGTTGTGAACAGCAAGTTCCTGCTGGACTTGGAAGAAGCAGAAGATGTATGAAACTAGAGATATCCAACTACAAAATGAACCAAACATGCGTAATTACATTTCTGATGAAGATACTTCTTCTCGTATAATCTACTTACTTTGATTACAAGTGCAAGTTCGAGCTCCTTTTCGTCTTCGTTGATAAAAAATACCTGGTTCGGCAGTACTGGATTGAAAAAGAGTTCTGCATCAGTGGCACCGGCATTCATCCTCGCTTCCCGAAACTAAGCGTGGATGGCCAGTGCCTCACTGTGACATTGTTCTCTGCGTCACCCGTAGCTCTACTTGTTCTCCCCTGATTTTGTTACTACATCTCACCAAGATAGAAGATCGATGACTCATCACTTACACATCAGAGGAGGAGTGCTACAATTAGTGCAGAATAAATGTTTTGGCGCAACCGTCGATCACGCTGAATCTTCATCGAGGCTTCCCAAGTGATCAGGTCAACTCATTCAATTTCGATGTTGGTACAAACCTGAGCCCACATGCATCTACATGCAATAATCTTAATTTTTTTAACTTGATGTGAGTCTCATTTTCTGCTTCGCCAACAACAATTACGGTAAAACACAGCAGTTTTGATTTTGCAATGGAATAAGATTATCTGGTTTGGTTCATTCTCAATCAGAAAAAAAAAGGTCGTTATCTTGCGCATGCACTCTGCATGATTGTGGGTCACAGACATAGGCCTTTTTTGCGAATCACCGAAATTTTTACGATGGATGTCACTCGAGCACAAGAAGGACCGAGACCATCGCAGTGCGTGTTTTTTTCTCGTGTTTCACAGATCATGAAGAAAAGAAGGACGCGCCACTTTCTCCTTTTCGTGTTTGAGTTTCTGCAGAGTTGAAAGAACAAGACCATTGAAGCTTTTCTAGAAGAGAGGCCTCGAAGCAACATATTTGGAGTCGCTGACCGCGACTGAAAAAGCTGCGCATTCAATGCAAGAGGTGAAATAATCGCTGTGAAGTCTACAGTCCTATAGATGTCCTCACGCCCACGTACTAGTAGAACTGGAAGTAGTAGTACCATGTTGTACGAAGTCATAGTCATGTTGATATTTGTGCTTGTGCTATGTATAAGTAGGTTGCGCCAGGAATGCATATCCGATAAACTGAAATAAGCAATTAACTGATCAGAATTACCGAGATACTGACGAGAAGGAAGAGTAGCCTTGATGTTAAGCTACCTACATTATTTCAGTCAGTAACTCGGTTATTTTGAGTTTTCGATTACTTGGGATTGGGAACACAGGGGGTCGCTAGCGCAATTACAGACGAGGCAAACTTTGTTGTAAAGCCTGTCCTGCAGCCGCCCGTAGATGCTTTGGCAAGCACGCGAGATACAAGCTAGCTCCGACCCCACTATTTCTATTTGATGACGAGCGGAAGTGTCTCAGGAGGTCAGCTTTGTCCGCGCATGAGCTTGCCTGCAACGCCGATACGAGATCAGCGACGGCGAGGCCGCATGTTGTTGGCAATTCCATCAGACGGGATGTCAGCAATCGCTCCGTTGGAAAACTATGAACACGCGCGACGCGCTTTACTTGTGGGAAGACGTCGCCGTCTAATAGCGCCTTCGCGAAGACGCGATATCGCAGTGTGGTGACCTCTGGAACCTGGAACTGCGGCAACAACGAAGCAAGTTCGCGCTGGTTTTTCGCATTGGAGGACTTGACAGAAGATGATAGAGCCCCAGAAGCTGCCTGCTGTGTTGTCGCCTCTTTTGCGGCGCTTCGCAATGCGTCCGCATATCCAGTTGCCGCCGCCGCAGCGTGAAGTCTTTCCACGTCGTTCAGGGCGACCTGCGGCAGTGTCGGAAGGCCCATTTGCAAGGGCACGTAGAGGGGCTTCACGTGCACTTCGATTCGAGACGACTGTACGGCGTTGCTAGAAGATGAGCCTGCTGATGTCGTAGTCGCTCCAGGAACAGGTCCAGAAACTGAAGACGTACTAGTTATCAACTTCGGCGGTGGAATCGCCAGAACTTCGTCGTACGACACTAGGGGCGTTGAAAAAACGTCAACGCCAGCTGTGCTGCTTGTCGATGTTGAGTCTGACTTGTTGGACTTGGATGTTGTTGAGATACCTATAGTACCAGTCGATATACTAGAAGGAGTTTCTATCGCAACAGATGGTGGCAAGTTTATTCTTGCAAGCTCTGTAGCGTCAATGGCGATACAACCCGATAAGAAGTGTTTCTGGACGCCCGTTTTTTGACAGACCAGAGAGGACAGGTCTACATAGGCAACCAGCGAGGGTCGTGACCGCAGCAGCCGAGAAGAGATGTGCAAAGCTCCCAATATTTTCTGGAATCCACCTGCAGCACCCTGCGGCAGTGCGGTTTCGTACAGTTTCGGCCTCTCTACGGATTGTCGGGCTACGTGGTCCACCAAGCCGCACAGGACGCAACGGCGAAGCGCAGTCAAACCACTCGTCGAAATGTGTTTTCGCAAGGGCTTCACATTTTGTTCCGCCGAAAATGCTGGAGTAGAGTTCTGTGGTCTGTTTCTTCGTGCTCCAGGCCGTTCACAATTGGCGCCAAAGCCAGCTTTGAGGAGCGCTTTCGGTAATGTCAGCTTCGTCGTGAGCATTTGCGTCAGCTGGTTGGTAAGGTTCCATGCCTCTTCAATTTGCTTAGGGTTGATCCAATTTTGAACACAGAAAGTTTCCCTATCCGCGGCTTCCCCATAGTTTAGCATCGCCCAGAGTAATGCTTCGACATCATCGTCTAGCTGCAGCCAATCAGGCTGTTTTTCATTTTTTCCACGCTCTTTTCCACCACGAAGTAGGTGTGCTGGCTGTTCTATATTCTCTTTGTCGTGTTTTCTTGCCTTCGTTGAGTCATTATTCGCAGCTTGCTCCTTAGACTCTGCGTCTGCATCTTCGCTACAACTAGCATCATCTTTTGACTTCTCGTCACCTGCCTCTGTCTTCTCCTTTCCCTCCTTGTCGTCGGTGGTACCTTGGGCTTGGTCTTGCTTCATTGCTTCTGCTGAGCCTGTGCTGCTCCACGCGAGGATATTTCCGCAGGCCAGGCCAGCAGCCACAGCGCATGCAGCTCTGAGCAGCTGCGCCGCATTTCTGAGTCGTTCTTCGCGCTGTGAAGACTTCTCTTCTCGCTTTTTGCACCACTCCATAGCTGTGTAGAGTGCCTGGTACAGCATAACGCTGTATCGCGGCGACATCGGGAGCATGACGAGACGCCGTCCCATTTTTGTGATGTCCATTTTCTGCTTCGTTCGGCACAGAGCAACCTGACCTGTAGAATTAGCGTCGCCTCCAGTAGACCTGATAGTAAATGCCCCCAAACTCAGGAGGCGCTCTTTGGCAGACTGCACGTTCCTCTCTGGTGGTGGCGTAGGCCATGGAAAGAATTCCAGATTTGGAATGCCATTCGCCGCCATCGATAACAACACCGAGTCCATAGGTTCGTTCAGGATATTGATTGGCGGAAACTGAGCAAAATGATCTGCGTACACTGCGGAACTGTAAAGGCGGTAACAGTGTCCAGGACCAACGCGTCCACTTCGGCCTGCGCGCTGATCCGCAGATGCTTTCGATACGAACTGCACAGAAAAAGAAGAAATGCCGGAGGGAGTGAAATTCTTCTTCTTTTCGTAACCGCAGTCCACAACATAGCGCACATTGGGAAGCGTAACAGAAGTTTCCGCTACATTTGTTGCGACAATAATGATCCGCTCGTCTTCTGCGGGCTTGCGGAAAACCTTCATTTGATCGCGCGCAGGCAGTTGCGCGTAGAGTGGAAGCACGGTGAGGCGACGGCAGTCTTTGTCAGAACCACAGAAGAGACCACGAGCAGTTCGGGATCGGTCCAATTTCGACATTTGAATCCTCTTCTCCTTCTTTTCCGCAGACTCGTTGGCTTTCTCTCCAGCTTTGGCGTCTCCTGTTGAAGCAGTCCCGCTTTTCACATCCGCTGGCTTCTCAGGTCCGTTTTCATCGTCGCTTTCACCATGCTCCAAGGCCACGCGGTCTTCATGCTCATCAAGTGTGAAAATGTCCTCTGGCAACAGTTCCTCCTCCTCATCCTTGTTTTGAACCGCATCAGGAGCTCTTGTTGGTTTTGTTGATGCAGTCGTGTCTTCTTTTCTTCGTTCGTCAAGTTTTGCCCCAGTTTTTCTAACCTCATTAATAGCGCTAGCCTTTCCCTCAGTGGCCTCCGTGAGTTGCTTGCGCAGGGCAGCCAAACGTCCTTTTTTCGATAAAGCCTTCTTTTTCATTGGAGCCGGCTTGTTTGATTTCATCGTCTCATCCACAAGCTCCGCTGAAGCAGCAGTTGTGGTCATGCTGGAGCCGGAACCGGTGTTTCCATTCGAGGAAGCGACGCCGTCAAAGAAGAGAGTTTCTTTCCCTGGCACGAAGATTTCGTTCTTTGCATCAGTAGCAGTGCCAAGATCGTCGTCAAATTCCTCTTCTGCTTCAGAGTTGTCGCAGTCTTCGGCCTTGTTCTCTTGGTCAGGAGCGTCGTTCTTCTGATCTTTTCCTTCCTCGCTTTTATTTTCCGTGGAGGAAGTTTTCGTGCTTTGATCATTGGTACAGGTGTGTTTCTTCTTCGCATTTTCTAGTGCCATTTTTTTCACATTATGCACGATGCGATGGACTTCTTGCCGACCGGTCGCGAAAACAAGGATGGTGCCTGGCGGAAGCTTCCCATGGATCTCTAGAGCGCGCTTGGCCGCATCCTCAACGTAGTCCTTTGATGTGTAGCGATCGAAATGTACGGACACCGGGAACGTTTTCGCGTCGATGCGCACGACAGGCGGTGGGGCCGCGAACAATCGCTCATTCTGCGTGAAGTCGCACACACGTAGAGTCGCGGACATGATCACCACTTTCAAAGGCACAGTTTGAAACTTTGAAAAGTCGAGTATGGTTGGATCAAAGTCACTAGCACCATTCATCTTGTTTCCGAATTGAAAATGCTTTCTTTTCGCGAGAGCAAGCTCTTCCTGGAACCGCCGTCGCCGCTCAGCGACAACGCGAGACAACATACCAATTAGAATATCGCAATTCACAGATCGTTCGTGTGCCTCATCGAGCAAGATACAGGAATACTGTGGTAACAGGAAGTTTTGCTGGACCTCCCGCAGTAGGATGCCGTCAGTGAGAAACTTTAGCTTCGTCTTCTCAGGGCAAAAGCGGCTCTTGTCATACCGAACTTGATAACCCACCAAGTCGGCATTTGCTGAAGCGTCACTGCATGTGACCACGTTCAATTCGTCAGCAACGCGCTGCGCCACGGAAATCGCGGCCACACGACGTGGCTGCGTGACTGCGATCACGCCGTGATGCGCAAAGCCGTTTTCGTAGAGAAACTGTGGCACCTGCGTCGATTTACCACAACCTGTGTCGCCTGCAACGAGGACCACGTCGTTTTCGATTACTGCCTCAACCGTTTCCTGTTCCATAGCGATGGCAGGAAGCTTGTTGCGCTGTTCCTCGATTTCAGGACGGCGAAGAACCCGGCAACCAAGGCCACGAGGGCTGACAAGCGGTTCTCCACCGTTCGCTTTGCTGCGTTTGATCGCGTCTTCGTCTTCTTCATCTTTGTCCTCGTCGCAGACGGGCTTGTGATTCAGCTTGAAAATTTCAGGGACGGAGCCGGCGACTGTCGTTGTCGTACTAGATTTTGTGGCCTCTGCCTTGTTACTGTCGGCAGCCTCTGCATGGGTTTCTCCTTCGTCAGTAGATTTTTCTTCAACTTTTTTTTCAGTCGCCGCCGACGCTTGAAAATCACCAAGAGACATGAAAAGCGTTTCGTCTTGCTTGAAAGCAGACGTCTTCTTAGCTTGTGTAGCATCTCCTTTTGCCTCAGAAAGTAACGCGAGCTCCTCATCGTCGGAACTTTCAGTGTCACTGAGGACTTCCGCATTGATTGGCTTCTTAGCGATAGCTAAGAAGCCTCGCTGGCCAGGTCTCGCACCAAAGGAAATTTCTTTTGCGCGCTCCGCCTGCAATTCAGCGTCATCCACGATGGCGTTTGCTTGTTTCCTTTTCACTTTGCGACCACGGCCTCCCGTTGTTGGAACGGGTCTCGAAGCACTGGTCGTATTGCCATCTGGAGCAGTAGCTGCACTTCTCGCGCGCTGCTTTTTAGCCTCCTGCTCTGCGGCTAACAAAGCTTTCTCTTGCTCTTCATCGTCCATTTTCTTGGCTCGCTTCGCCACGCGAATTTCTTCGTCCTTTTCCCGTTCACGCTCGCGCTTCTCTGCTAGTGCCTTCGCGCGGCGATGCCCGATGGCTTCCAAATTACGCGCTGTGGAGGTCATCTTTGCACTTTCAGCTTCTGATAAGCGGTAGTGCTGCAGCTCCGCTAAAACTGCTCCGCGTTGGTCCTCGCGCTCCTTCTTTGCTCGGAGCTGCTCCAGTTTTTTTCGTTTTCGCTTCGACATTTTCTCTGGCGCATCTTCTTGGTGTGATGCTCCTCCGCCTGAGGCCTGCTTAATGGAGGTGGAGGTGCTGTTATCTACATCCATTTTGGTCGCGTCTTTGTCGATTAAGTCGAGGTCGTCTTCGTCGGCAGCATCCCCAACCTCGGATCCCTCCCCGTTGTAAGCGAAGTCGTCGTCATCTGCCTCCTGGCGATCGTGGGATTCCACGACATCTTCAACATCAAGATGTGCGGTTTTAGTGCGAAATACCACCATTTTGTTATTTTTGATAAAATGGTCCTAAGCGCCTTACCTAAACCTCTGAGTTAAAATGATATTAGGTAGATTTTTTTGCATATTTGCTAATGAGTGCGAAGGAAAGTTTTCATCGGGCGCCTGTGTATGAGACAACTAGCACAACTCGCCGTCGTTCTACATCTAGAAATAGTTAACTTTCACGGGGAAGACTTCGTCGCTGTTGATTCAAAAACAATAACAATAAACGATTGAAATCGGCACGTAAATCAATAGCCCACTGAGCCAAAAGCAAGATCTTCATGTAGATCTAGGCAGATAAAGCCTGTCTGAGATAGACTTACAGGTTGCGAATATAATCCGCGAATGTATCCTTGATGTTGACCTCAATGATGATTGAGTGTGAGGATGAGAATTCATAATCTAGATCTTTTCTGTAAGCAATAGAAGGTGCTCCAATTTCCTGGGAACTTCTCCGAGATATTGAGGTGATGTTGATCATTTATCTTCCTCACTCAATAACTGGCTTGGAATTTTCTTGGTGCTTTAGCTTTGATCTACTTCTAGCTAAGATTGAGATCTTCCTGATCCGTCTCCGATCTTATTTTCAGAAATATAACAAGCCGTAACTGGTGGAGGTGCACCAACAAGAGCAAAACACAAAGTTCCTTATACCGAGTAGTGCTAGTGATTGTGATGCAGAGTCGATATTTTTTCATACCGCTGCTTTTCTTGGTATGACATCAACGCGACATAGTGGAAAATTGAAAAAATTCACATCCCAGAGTAGATCTTTAATATGCCTTCTTCGCGAGTGCCGCGGCAGTTCGGCGCGACACTCGACATTTCTCCCCGGTGCGCTTAACGCTTCGAATGCTGGCTCAGTAGTCAACTAGCGTGTTGAAAGCGTCGGCGACGGCCAACATTGCTGCGATTTATATGTTGCAAAAGCGATTGCGATTGGGTTTGACTTGCTTTTTCACTTTCATTTTCATCTGCCAAATTGGAATTTACACTTGGTACTCTTTTCTATCATTATCGGGCTGGTTTAGGATATCCATATGTGTTTGGAAAATCCATCGAAACCATGTTTGAGTTTGACAAACTGTGTTGATAACTTGCTTTCTTGAAAAGATTAATGGTACCAACGGCGTTAATGTAGAAGAGTCGATGATTGATCGAGGAAGTCGCCTGTTGTGTACTGCTGTAGTACATAATCGGCGTCTGGGTTGCTGTCGACTGCCCTCGGACCTCAACCTTCTCAGAAAAAAATCGCTTGCCTGCTGAGCGGGAGAAGTTATTATACCATGTTTGATTGAGATCGGGGTCCATGTCGAAATAGTGATAAAAGGAACAAGAATTTCTTTTGTAGGGACAATATGAATATCGAACTCGATAATCCATCGGAAGACATCAAAAATACCCGTTCGCTGCGTAGCAGGCTGGCGAGGCGCCTTGCAAATATTCCGGGAAAGTATGCGGGACAGCATCTTGACTTGTGGCCTTCTCTCTTTTCCTTTGGTGGATTATTTCGAGAATTTGCTAGATTTTTTAAGCACGGGAATGTTTGTGATTATGTTTTCTCTTGATCGTGTTCGTGGCTAACGAAAACTATGCTCATCAACTGGTTGGATTGGATTTCAACTCGGACGAGAACAAGACCAATTTGCATGACAGGACATATCTCGCAGAAAAATCTAATTACCAGTCATATGCACCTCCGCAAAATAGTGAAAATCCCGCAATAACTTCACAGTTTTGGTTTCCCTCGACGGCCTCTCATTCGGTCTTTTCGTTTTGCCTCTCTCACTTCGAAGAAATCTAAGTACACAAATACATCTTTCTCTGCCTGAAATCGAAATTCGCATCATGACGGGTGTGATGGCTGCTGTTGATGTTGATGCAGCTTCTCATATACATAGTCAGTTGTTCTTGTTCATGCTTGACGAAGAAGATGCGACAACGAAATGAAGAACAAAGAGACCTTTCTTTGCTCAGCTCATATAGAGCAATAATTGACTCTGACGGCTTACGTTGATTTAGTGTTCAAAATGTTCTGTCTTCCAGCTCCTACTATGCATTTCTCTGCGCATTTTTAGCTAATGCATTAACGTGACTTCCTGTCGATGTCGAACAAACAAGACAATTAAAATCACAAATGTAGGAGTAAATAATCATGACAAATGTTCTACTAATAAATATCTTCCTGATGAGTAGGTGCTCAAAAATGCACAAGATTTCGTAAACGGTATTAGATCATCACAGCGGCCTGTGGAGGACTGCATAGGAATAATGACTCGCGGTGCCGAAAACAAGTTCAAGTGGTGCGATTGTAAGAGCTCAACACTTTGAAGTTTTCCTTGTTGTAGTTTTAGGAGAACGACGCCGATTGGCTACGAAATAAATAACACTTGTCGGTGCAGCTCCAGCATGTGGATTTTTGACTTTGAGCAGGAAAATGAAAATGAATACTACTTGTGCGTCTAAGTACTTGCAGATAAAACTAAAAAAAGCTCTTTTAACGAAAGTTGTGTGCTGACATAGTACAGTTTGCTAGACATTTTGGTGTTTAGTGGTGCGCTTTCCCCGTAAAAAGAAGCACATCAAACTACTAGTTTGTTTGTTTGTGAAATGTCCTTGTCGAACGATACAAAAATAAAACATTTCCTTTCCCATGCGTACCTGCTGCCGACCATAACATTCATTTGAGGTTCTTCATCTATCTCTATGCACATTCATTTGAGGTTCTTCATCTATCTCCATATGCACATTTTTGAAGATGATGATCATAACTTTGTCGCCGGTCATTTGTAAAATAGTATCAGCTCATGTTGTGTACAGCCAAGTCTAAGACTAACTATGTACTCAAACTTTTTGCACACCTTTCGTTGGTGTCCCCTTGACTCCCCCATGTGGTGGCATCTTTGGTGGCATCGCCGACCCCTCACTGCCTTTCTGCGGAGGAAGTTTTTTACCGCCTCCTGGTCGCATTTTCCCCATTTTGGCATCCTGCTCGGCACCTTTCAACCACTTCAACTGCTGTGGCGAATGCGTTGGGTCTACGGGTCCACCTTTCTGGCCTTTTTTTTGCATCATTTGCTGTGGTGTTAGCACCTCGCTAGCCGGACCTTTGCCCTTATCAATCGCCACTGCCTGGCCCGCTGCAGGCATCTTGCTCTTGTCCGCACCAAGGGGCATCTTGCCCTTGTCCGCACCAAGCAGCATTCTACCCTTGTCCGCACCAGGCGGCATCTTCTGTTTCGCCATTGCAGGCATCTGGCCTGTTGTTCCAGCCTTACTCGGGTCTTTTCCGCCTGCGGGTGGAGATGATGCTTTTGTCTGTTTGCCACCTTTTGCAGTAGCCAGAGCACCGACATCAAAGAGCGGTCCTCCGCACTGCGGAGGCGCCTCGGGGACGAAGTTGCGTCTTTCGAGATCATGGAATCGAGGATCAGCAGGTGCGGTAGTTTTAGTCGTTGATGCTCCACCAGCCGTTGCGCCTGAGGCAGAAGCAGCCTTCCCGGCTGCTGCTTTTGGTGCTGCTTTCGATGTTGCGCCTGTACTGCTCTTAGAAGCTGCTGCCACCGGTGATGCACTCCTGTTACTCGCACGGTTTCCTGGCGCAGATCCAGTCATCGCTTCGCCGCTCTCCACCACAACATCCATCGCTTCTCCATCAGGTCTGGCTCTGGGATTCGGAGCTGCTTTTTTGTTTACTACACTTGTTGTCGCTGAAGTTCGCGCCGCTGCAGCGCTTGTTGAAGCTGAAGGTGGCTTTTTTGGAAGCTCCACATTTTTTATACCCCCGACTCGATTGCCTTCACCGCTTTGCTCACCTCCGAAGGAGCCCTGTTCGTCTGCTGGAAGCGCAGCCGTTGCACTATCTGTTGTCGACGAAGAAGCAGGAGTCGAGAAGCCCAAGCTGATGGCTACTGAGTCAAGGTATCCCAGCTGCCAGGCCACAGCTACACCACCAATGAGCATGAGAAGCAAAACAAAGATGACTAGAATCAGCGTAACCGAACACGACGAGCCCTTCTGTTCAGCTTCACCCTGTGACGTTCCATCTTTGGGCGGCAAGACGATTGGCACCGGGTCATCACTTGCCGATCCATCCGCATTTTTCCAAACAGTGACAGGCTCTGCACTCGGATCCGCTTCGAGTCCATTAGGTGGTGCTGCCGCCTGCACTCCTGGAGTGACGGAGACCTGGACAATCGCAGGAACCAGGTCTAGCAGCACTCTTGCGACCGACTTTCGCAGCTCAGTGGATCCCCAATTCACTGCATTCGTCGGCTGCATTCTAACGTCGTAGTGCAATTCGAGGTTCTCAGCGTTTTCCTCTTCGTCGCTCCCTTCCGCTAAGCTACTTCTCTTCAGATGTTTCCTTGCTTCGCCTAGCTTCATTTTCCCTTCTTTTGTAGTTGTTCTTCTCCGTTTTTTTTTATGCTTCGTTCTATGATGTTCATGATACTGCTCCCCTTGCTCAACGAGAGAAGAAGACCGAAGTGCCTGCACAGCTTCATTTCCTTCATCTCGATCTTCATTTTCAGAGAACTCCTGCAGAAACGAAACTGCGATTGGCGCCGACGCTCCATTTTCGGGAGTCGGTGGCTCGTCACGTGCGGAGCCAGCAGCTTCCGTTTTATCTTTTGCGGCGCTGGACGTTGATGCTGCTTCGCTTGCAGTGGGCGCTGACGCTCCTTCCGCAGTTCCGTCTTTTGACTTGTCATCTGCCTTGCTTCTGGCGGCCAGACCCTCAAGTGCCTGGTCAGCTCGCGCTTCCTCAAGCGCACGCTGTCCATCTGCCAAGTTACTGTCTGCCGCATTCCGCATGGCAAGCTCATATGTCGACAGTAGCTGCATGCGCTCCTCATCTAGCTTATCTCCGTGGTAGCTAGCGTGCGCGCCCTGAGAAAGAAAATGAGAGAGACCTTAGACGAACGTTCTGGCCGTGGTCTTGATAAGCCAGCCCTAGAAAACACTGGAAACCCGTGGAGTCCAGATCCAGACGTTACGTAGTTCTCAAGGATGTGCATTGAGCAGATGAGAGCAAACCGTACATCAGGACTTCGAAAAGCAGGACGAATTGAAATTGTACCTGTCCTTTTGGTGACTCTTGCGCAATCACTTCTTGCAACACGCCCCGCGCAGTTGAGTGCGTCAGTTTGGCAAATACCCGCACGCCTTTCTGTGTCGGGTCGAGGTTAGATATGTGTTGAGAAATCTGTTCGCGCAACTGAAACCGCAATCGCTGCAAGTCTGCCTCTGCTTCCGGTGCGTCATTGCGCTCTTTGAATCCAATGGAAATGAGCCACCCTGGATCGCCCGTCGTGAAGAGGTCACTCCCATCGTCGCGCCAGGGAATCAGAGGCGGTCCTTGACCTGCCGATTGGTCTCCGGGATCCAACCTGAAGATGTTCATTGATTAATGAAATGTTGAGCAGATGAATGATAATCACTCGTACTAGGACAGAGTGTTCAGCATATTACCGAGTGCATCTGCATACTTATTATAACGCACTGAAATGATAAGTAGCGTTGAAATCCAGAGGCAGAAGGAGTACCGCCTCTGCATGTGGGTGAACTTGACCGATTCCGCTGGATCAGCTGTGGACTGCTGCCCGTTGTTTGCGCTAGACGCGCTACCTTCTGGTCCTGACGTCGGAGACGACGTCGCCGCGTCGGCTTCAGTGCTCTTACCTGTTGACTCTGCAGACTTCTCTATGTCGACGGTACGGGAGGTGCCCTGCAATTGCGTTACCTCGCGGTCAGTGGTTGTGAAGATTGCGGCAATCTCTTCGAGGATCTCATTGGCTATATCCTTCGAGATAGCGACTGGGCGTGTGATATCCTTAGATGTTGATGTCGTCAGCGATACGCTCAGCTCTTTTCGCTTCTCGTCGTAGTGAAAGTGTGCGGTCACTGATAGAGGCACTCCATCTGGCGTTGAGCGATCTTGTGACACACGCCGCTCAACATTCTGTATCAACTCGTTTCGCAGACTCTCGATACGGGCTCCCCCCATCTTTGCGACATCGAAGGCGACAGACTGTTGACCGGCTGGCGGTTGCTCTGGTGACTCAGGTTCTTTTCGCCGATGTTCACCGTGGCCACCTTCCTGTGTGCCCGTGTAAGATTCTGAGTCCTCCGTCACAGTCTTCTCCTGCGTTTCTTGTTCTTGTTTTGACGATTCCTCTGGACTGCTTTCTCCTTTTTTGGTCGTCTCGGTCTCATCCTTTTTATTCTCCCCTGCCTGATCCTGTTGTGCACTACTTTGCGCTTGCTCAACGGGTCCTTTCGGGTGATCCTGTTCTTCATGGGTGTGCTCCTCCGCAAACGAACTCGAGAAAAAGCTAACCGCACTCTGAACGAACGACCCAATTGCGCTGCTACTGGAAAGATATCCAGCTACAGTGCCGTGTCGTTGTTCTTTTTTGTTGACGCTTCGTTCTTCACCTTGTTCACGCGTCCATTTACCGAGCATTTTGTTGGGCGTTCTTCGGCTCTTGCGAGTGCGCAATCTGCGATCTTCATAATGCTCCGGATTTCGTGGAGAGCCTCCTTTCTTCCGAAGTGTCTGCATGAAGGAGGAATCTTCTTCCTCATCTCCATCTTCATCGCTGCCTTCTTCATCGCTGCCTTCTTCAGCGCTGTCTTCTTCAGCGCTGTCTTCATCTTCTTCAGCGCTGTCTTCTTCTTCATCTTTTTCGTCTTCATTATCTTCCACTTCTCTTACGTTTCGCCCTGTCGTGTGCCCAAGTTTTGCAGTACCTGCTGGACTTGCAGTAATATCTGAACTTCGATTCCTCGGCCCTCCCTGCGCCGGGTGAAGTCGAGCTCGAGCTTGATGTTTCGCCTGGTCATCTTGCTCTTTTGGTGTGCTTGCTTCGTGCGGAGCCGGCGAGAAGTCTCTGGAAGTGGCACGAGATGCCGGCGCTCCCTGCACACTTCCTGTTGTACTAGGTGCATGACCACCTCTGCCTCCTCCTGCACGTGCACTATCACCATCTTCAGCTCGTTTAATACTTAGTTCTGCTCCAGCTTCTTCTGCACCTATGTCGCTGCTATCATCCCGCGTTCCTGATGAAGCAGTGTTGTCAAAGTCAAACGAAGGCGAAGAAGACGGACCGCCATGAGGATCTCGTCCGTTCGCATGATCTGCGTGTTGTTTTCGTGGATCTGGTCCATTTTCACCAAAGAGTCCATTGGCAATAGCGGCAGCTTCTGGAGGCGCAGGCGCTTGTGCCAATCTGAGCGTTAGCAGCTCATTCGTCTTCTGGTTGCTTCCGAATATCGGCTCTTCAGGAATGCGAGCTGCCTCCTTGACCGAATCGGTTCCCCGGAGTTGTCCCGCATTGAGACCCGGACTTCTCGGATCAAAAGAGCCAATGTGTTCCCCTTGAGCATTGAACTCACGTCCTGAGAGTGTGTCGCGAAACACTAGATTGTGGACACCTGCATTTTGAGCGCTGTCGGCGCTGGTATCGTAGATAGGGTGGCTTCCAGCTCCAAACGTTCCAGGCCTCCCTCCGTAACCGTAGGTAGGGTGGTAATCCGGCATCCGCGTATCAGATCCGTCCGTGTTCGAAACTTTCACTTCACCAACCACGCTTCCGGTCAGGCTCTCGTCCGCTCGCACAGGTGCGCCCGCCTTACTATCCCACAGTCGTGCCTGCCCTCCAAAGCCGACGCGCGTGTTCGCGGAGTCCACATTTACTGCGGGGTGAGCTTCGAATGCCGCGCCCCCGCGGCCTGGTGGCGAAAATGCAAACGCACGAGCGCCATGATCGGAGCCCCGAGCACGCTTCGCAGCCTCGGCTTCCTCCTCCAGCTTTCTTTCCGCTTTAGTTTTAGACTGGTCAAGACCTCTCTCCAATTCTTACTTCACGATAGATAGCTGCATGTATACGCATAGTTTGTACTTTTGTTATTTTGGTCAGGAAACTGGATTGCAGCGACAAAATGTCATCAAGACTCTATGATCTCTAAACCCAACTTCTAGATCTAGAGATCTAAACCTTCAAAACATCAGAAGTAAATTCGTAAATGGGAATGGGAATCCAGCATCAAAAAGGTTAATTATAGAAAGATGTTTGTCCTACAGATAAAATCAAAATCAAATCCAGAAGGAGCCTTAACCTTGTTCATTCGAAACTCGTCGGCTCGTAGTTGTAGCTGGAGCTTTATCGTCTCTCGCGTGCAGCCTGTGGCGCTGTTAGGGTCGATGTCGTCGCGAAAAGCCAACGGCAGACCTAACTTCTTGCACTGCTTGAGGTAGATCAGTTTGCGCTGATGATAGGCCGCCATGCGTTCCGGAGACGCATAGCTTGTCCAGAATTGTTGCGGCCATAAATCTGGCCTAGCCAGAAAGCGCGCGAAAAGCACGTCTAGATGTTCCTCACCCTGCAGCGCCGTTTGCTTCGCGCCTTCACGGTTCTTGTTGATAGTCTCGCGAAAATTGTTCAGCAATTCCGATGTCACCATCGTCGCCGTTAGAGGACGCTTCTGCAGCGCCTGGCGCGTAGGGCGGGAGATTCCGAGCATCTCGCTCACAGACGCGTCGTCCAGCTCGTTCAGAAGCACTTTTGCGATAAAGTTCTTGCTCAAGTAGTCCGGCAGCTTGTTGAACTGGCGAATCATGAAGTCCGTGCGCGCCTGTCGCGCTTGCACGCGGTGCAAGGAGCAGTGCACAGTGGGTCGGTCCACCTGCAGGTGCCAAATCTGTGGCTCGAACCATGGAGGCGAACGGCGCTGCACGCTCGCACATTCACGTTGGAGAAAAATGTGGTATGACTTCCTTTCCAAAATGCTGAACCGCGCATTTAACGCCATGAACTCATTGCTCTGGTCGGGAAAGAATCCAGCAGAGGAACTGGTAATTATTGGTGTGTTGACCACCGCGGAACTTGCCGACCCGGATGAACCGCCTGAGCCGCTCGTCGTAGAACCTCCAGCTTGCTGCTCTCCGGGTACCCCAGGACCTCCCATCGCATCGGCGCTCGCAACTGCAATACCCCCAAGCACGGCACCGTTGTCACAGATTTGCGCATGGATGCCCGCTACCGGGCCTACGCTGTAGCTCTCGCGGCCGAGCCAATCCTTGCAGTCGGCTTGCAACTTCATCGCCGTGTCTGCCTGGATCTCTTCGAGCTGCGTCTCGATAGCCTCCGGCGTCGGCAGCTGCAGCTGTCCCAACTTACGGCCCAGCAAGAGCATGCTGTGGAGGTACTCGAGGAAGCAGTCGGCGCCAACCGGTGCCAGCTCGTGGATTTCCCGATGAGACGCCTCTGCGGTGTCCAGCACACCCGTACTCTTGTCGATGGGTTTGTGCTTACATTGGTCGAACCGAAGCGCCGCTACGCACATCCAGATGCCGTCCGGAGTAATCTCATTCTTCGCCGCCTGCTGCACATCCAAAAGATTATTGTGGCGTTCATCCGGACACATCTGCTCGCACGCTTTCTCGTAGTCGGCAATCTTGTAGAAATCGTGCTGGTAATCGATGACCTTCTTCGAATTCCCTTCTGACGCTCCGATAAAGGATGATGACACTGCGGCATTGCCATGGTATGCAGATACTTTGGAAGTTGTCGTGGCAGTATTTTGCAAAAACGACGTAGGGGCGGCCGCTACGGGAGGGCTGCCATCTGCATCTTCGTTGTTCTCGTCTTCATCCTGTTCTTCTTCGGAATCGTTGTTGTCTTCTCCGTTATCACCTTCCTCCTCTTCCTCCACATCTTCCGCATCCCCATCCTGTTCATCTTCCTGACCGGCGTCGTCCTTCGGAATATATCCTACTTTACTTTCATGCAGAAGAGTGGTGCTCCCTATTTGTCTTCTTTGCAGTGCAGCAGACGCTGAACTTGAGGCAGCCGCACTAGCATCTGCCGTGATTGGATGTGGCAGTGTTTCGTGCTTCGTCGGCACTGTCTTTCGCATGTCTTCACTGTTGAATTTTTCAACCAGTTCGGTTCGGGACATCCCGCAATAGGAGCCGCCACCCGTCTCGCTTGGGGTCGTGTAAAAAATCTCCTCTGTGCTGCTGCCGAACATTGGCAGCAACGCGAGAGACTTCGGATTCGTAAGATCGCCGTCCGTCAAGTGCTGGCCAGCGTAACGGTGCTTCAGGTTTTGTGTGTGCTGCGAATTGGCCAACACGTACCGACCAAGATCCTCCCCGAAGACACATGAAAGAAAAAACATGAAGATCATCATTGTGTTCCTCGAGGGTTACTTACATTTTTCCATCACTTCTATTTCTCAAGGGTGGCGTGTAGCTAATTAAACTGAAGCTCTTGCTGCAATTAAATATCACCTGAGCATCCGCATGATCACAAACCTACTCAATAATCTTGTGAGGACGGACGACTCGGGACTGTTAACAAATGAGGTGGAAGGGCAAGAGGGCGATGAACTCGCTCAGTCTTGATCTTGTTCCTGATTTTACTGAATAACAATGTGACAATGGTGGAGTAGTCATAATGCGTTACGGCACACCATTTTTCGTTCTGCGCTCTGGATGCATGCGTTTTCTCGGAAACGAGGCTGGCGTGCTGCGTGCCTGTCAAATACCGTCGGATCGTTCCCGCCGGCGCCAGCGACACCATTCTGGCGAGAGCTATATTAGAAGATCAAAACCAGTTCATTACCCGGCTGTTGTCGAATTGAGCTAACCACGGAACAGCCACACTACGAGTACAAAAATGAATTTGAAGATGAGGAAACGATGGTGACGGAATGACATTTGCCAACAATTACTTGACCAAATAGACAGAGTAAGAGATGACGTTGTCCCTGTTCCTGTGCATAATTGTAGCTTGTGCTCTGGGATGCCGCAGCGGAAGCCGCAGACCCCTCGTTGACGTCGATGCCTGGAGAATGGAGAATTATCGACTCGCAGAATATGTCAGCCTGTTCGTGTAGAATACGCACAAATACGGTTCGCTTTGATCGTGTGCTCAGATCACGTGGAAGCTCCGCGTAGGCCACAGGAGAGGTGAACGCGTTACGCAAATCGCGGCCAACGAACGTCTGAAAGTGTTCCTGAATGAACTTGTCCTTGCCAGCCTCGTCTTTCAGCGTATCTGGAGCACTCCAGCCACATTTCTTGAAGAGCTGCTGAAGCTGAGTGGCACGCAGTGGCGTTAAAGGTTCGTCCGCACGCTCCTTGCCCTCTGCCGGGTTGAAGCGCTTATAATCATGGCCGTCGTAGATGACACCACCTTCGCTGGTGCCAGTGGTGGCCTGTCGTGTTTCCAAGTGAGACGAGGCCGGCTGAGTTGCGGAGTTGGTGTACGTCATCGAGGCCCCGTTTTTAGTGGCATCTTCCACTCTCTCAGGATGCTCTTGCTGCCCCGTCCGCACCTGTAGTTCATCACTGCTGGATAGCGGCTCTTGTTCTCCTCGAGCATGCCTTTCCTCTTCCAGATTCTTCCTCACTTCTTGTTCCTTCTCGTTCTTCTCCACAGAATCTGTCTGCTTTGATTTTGTTTTTGCCGACGTTTTCGTCTGTTGGAGTCCGTGCAGCTGCAATGTGGAGGAGGTTGGCCCGTCGTGGATAGAAAGCAGATGCTGAGTTACCATCGCGTTCGGAAACAACGGATACGCAAGATGTTTTTTCGCCGACAGCAAGACGCGAGTCATCAGGTCAGCAGCTTCGGTTCGCGCATCACCGCTGAGGCGTCCCTGACGCTCCTCTGCGTGTAACTGCGCCAGGTTGATGTCTGGAAGTGAATCCTCTTGTGCGTCGACGTGTTCCTTGTCGAGTGTTTTTCGCTTTATGTCAGCATTAAAACGGTGCAGGACCTCCTCCTTCGGGACTTCAATGGCGTTGACTCCTTTGTGCGCATCGTGTTGCGGAACCACACCCTTATGGATAGGGCTGTTAACTGCGTTCATGACCGCCTTCGATGACGAAGTCACCACAGCTTCTTCTGTTGCAGTCGAAACTGAACGACCTCCAGGCCTACCCGATGTATGCGCTTCAGGAAATCGCTGGCCTTCATCATCTGACTCGTGATCAACGGAAACTCTTCTTGTTTTCGGTGGAGTCGTCGGATGTTCTAGTACATCCGCTGGATGCACCTGGATGTCATCATGCAAAGTCCGAGTTCCTGCCACAGCGTTCTTCTCATCATGTCCCAGGACAGGTGATCTAGTTGAGGAAGGCTGGTGGACGGCAAGAACGATCGGCTGATAGCAGCTGCACGCGAAGACGAGAATCGCGGTAACCGTAACGAGACCTCCAGCGCCAAACCGAAGTACCGCTGCAGCCTTGCTCATGATACTAGCAGACCCGGAGGTGCTCACGTTTCAACTTCACAAGTCATATCGACAAGAAAGAAACAAAATGGTCAGTTGGAAGACAATAGTGCTGTCGTACAACCTGGAACAAGCTTCATTTTTCTCAGTCTCTTAGGGCAACAAAGAAAGTGTGGCTTTTTCGCGAATAGAAATAGCAGAGACATCATCAAAATTTTCTTTTTCATTGACGTGAAACCAGCGACCCTGCCCTCGAGGCACCGAAGTAAAAAGAAGTTATCATCAGCACCGATGCCCAGCAACAGCGACGTCTACGATCGACAACAACATCGACTTCTCTGACTCAAGACCGAACCGAAATTACTTACTTAGATACGACCCATCGACAGAAACGGCAAGGAGAGAAACCGAAATAGTATATCCTTCACCGAATACGTCAGTCGAGAAGAAGTCTGAGTCACCGATCCTGGAGGTGAATCCGACACACGCGAAGTCCAGCTTGGCGGAATCCCGAATAGATGCTCGACTAGCGTTTGGAAATGATAGCTCAAGAAGGACAGAATGTCAAGACCAGACCGGAAACTAGCTACCACAATGAGATCCTACTCTTCTTCTACTCTGTGGTCATGCTCATGCTCATTCACTGTACGTGTACTTACAGTGAATCACGTCGATGATCTTCATGGTCATGCTCATGGAATGGGAAGGTACAACTTTCGACATTGAACGAGCCATTTTCACTAATGGCATTAGACATTGGAATTCCTTGTCTTTCTTGTTTCAAACTTTGATATTAGCAACCGTGCTCGTGCAACTCGCATGCAAATGCATCATGATCATATCTATGTATGTTGAAGATATACTAGCTCTAGTAGCTCCTGCCCTGCAAACTAAAACTATGCGGTCGCAATTGAAAGCCCTGATCAAATAATCGGAAATGCAAGATATCAGTCTGAGCAAAAAAATGCATTTAGCAACTCTTCATTTAGCCATATGCGTATGCGTCATGAACTTCTAAAACTAAAAACTGAAAAACTTCTACAACAATATTAATTTCATCTCTTCCCCTGGCTTTGCTAGCTGCTTCTCGCGGCACCGCCTCCTCTGTCCATTATGATAATCATCGGCTCGTTGGTTTTTCCAGCTGAGCCGGGGTCGGGTCGAGGCGATTGCTGTTGCATTACGTACGGACCCTGCTGCAGTTGCTGCATAAACGCAGGGTTATACTGTGCAGGGCTTTGTTGGTGATACTGTATATCCGGGCTCTGATACTGTACGCCAGGGGTGCCATGTGTTAGAGAAAACCCTTTTCTCCGTCTCAGTCAAGATTGTAATCGTAGCTTATCTTCATAAGAATATCAATTATTTGATGTCAATAGAATGTGGGACCGACTTATGAATGAAAGTTCGCAAAATGAGTTTGCTCGCCATGCATAAGTATATAGGTGCGGCCGGCTGGGGGCTTTGTTGATGGTAAATCATTCCGCCAGCTGCAGGTGTTACGCTGGGCTGTTGCGACGTTCTTCCTGTTGGCATCGCGTGTGGACCTCCCGATGATGTGGTCGTTGTTGAAGCCCGTGGCTTCATAGCACTTCTTGCTATATAGAAAACCGTAGAAAGCGCAAGAAAGCCACCAATTCCCGCAAAAATCAATCCCATTGCACTGCCGTCACTACTTGGTTTTTCGTGTTGCGAGTCTGATGACGATCCCCCTCCGGAGCCTGAGCCACCACTTCCTCCGTTGTTAGAGACAGTAAGGTTCTTGGGGTGTTACCGAACAATCAAGCCTATGGTCGCATCGATCGTGGTTCTTTCGAGTTGAACTCAAGTATCTCTCATTGTTATTCATCGCACTATTTGCGTCATGGAAATTAAAGTTATGACAAAACCCCTTCAGCTTCACGAGATGAAGTTCGTAACACTTCCGCTGTTCCCGCCTGAGCCTGCGGTGGGCGTGGGGTAGACAGTGTTGAGGCAGTCAGACCCGGCACCACAGGTAGTTACCAGTTCCCACTTTTGCGCACACTGCATGGTGTTCATTTCTAGGTAGGGGTTCGTGCCTGAGGCGCACGTGCGTGACTGCTGCTCGTATTGGGCACGAAAAGTGTTGTAGCCGGTTAAGGTCGCAAGCTGAGCCAGAGACGTGATCATGTTGGCATCCATGCATGCCACCGCCAGCAGCGTTTTCGGCGAAGCGCCCATCCGCGTGTCGTCAATTGCAATGCAGCCTGCCAAAAGCTGTGTCCCGCTCACAGAATCCGCGTATTCCATCCAACGGACAGCATTCACATCCCGGTCCGACGCTAAATTGTTGAAGTAGTCTGCCATGATGTTGGGAAGATTTCCACCATCCGCGACAACGCATTAGAGGGAAGAGATATGTAGAAGTAAATGAAGATGCACAAGAAGTAATGATCTTCTATGTCTAGAACACTAAACGTCTACATAGGATAGGCCTTATGTTTGTAATGCTCCGTTGTGATCTGCCGCCAATTGGTTAGAGCTCAGAGCAATTCATCATTTGGGTTCATCTTCTCATACTCAGTTCCCAATCCGAAAGAAGAAAATACAGAGAGATGAACTGTGGAGCGAGATGAATTAATGTCATAAGCCTTAAATTGAGACAAAACAGTCGAGTCTGCGCCCGAGCCCAAAGCGTAGGTGAAGAGACGAATTCCGCCAGTGTTCACGGTCTTCAAACGGTTGTAGTCGATTTGCTGCCAAGTATCCGGTACCCCGTCAGAAAGAAAAAGAACCTGGGGTAGGCGATATGCTTTGGTAAGCGAAAGCGTGGATGAGGGTGCGTGAGTGCTAGCACTCTTATTGGAAGTACACGACCCCCCGTCCACGAAGTTTATTCCACCAGCACGAAAGAAATCTTCGCTTTCTAACCTGACTGCATTGGGTCTCTCAACTGGAATCATTCTGAGGGATTACTAAGTAAGAACAGAGAACAAAATATGTTGAATCATCCAAAATCATGTCAGCGTCAACGTGTAGAACAAGTGAATGAATCCACATTTTGTACTGCTTACCGCCGTCTTGCATTGCGCTGAGTAACACCGGTCTGGGTCTGATGCGCCGTCGAATGTTGTTCCTCTTTTCCCAAGGGCGAAAGCTGTGTCGAGCGCATCGCGGAAGTTGGTCGTTCCTCCCTGGCTTAGCGCGTTGATCCATGTTGTTGCAGCGTCTAGATTGGTTTTCGTCGCTGGAATCAGGTGAGGTGAATAGCCAATAACGCGGCTTGAGAATGCGATAACCGTGAAGTAGTCGAGCCAAGTCAGCGTTCCCAAGACCTTAACACCCGCGCTTTGAGCCAGGCTCAAGCGGTTCTGAATGCCCATGCTGCCAGAAATATCGATCACGATGATGATGTTCTTTGGCCCTGATGCGACCATGGCATACCACGGACGAAATCGCGGATCCCAGGTCCCCTTGTTCCATTCCATCGCCGGCCACTGGATATAGTTACCACGGTCCGCGAATCCCGCATACAGGTAAGCGACACGGCTTTTTCCGCTCATATCGTACTCAGAATTCGCGACCCGAAGAAATTGCACTTGAAACTGTAGCAAAAAAAAGAGAAAGCTGCAGGCGGGGGAATTGGAAGGATTATTGGAAGGATTACTCGGTGACAGTCACTAAACGTCAATTCAATTTCGCTTGCCACGGCAGCTGAAATTCAGCATTATTCTACGAGCGATTATTTCATCACAAGGGGTACATGGGCTGTATTCCTATATTTTAGTTACTTATATATACCGCTTGATTCAGATTCAATGGAAAAAATTATACTTTCACTACTAGTCCAGGCGACTTGAAGCAAGTTGATGTAACTGGTTTCAGCATCTGTAGTTGTTACCAAATGTTATTGAACCACCAACATCATGATCATGCTCTCGTGAAAAACCAAAATACTAAAAGGTAAAATAAACATACCGCTTCACCTAAGCACTTGTAAACAGCTTCGCTGCCGTCCGCCATGAAGGTTCCGGTCGAAGAGAAGTCCATTTTAGGCGCGACGCCATTCCATGGTATGCCACTTGTTGGCACCGTAGGGCAAGACGAACATAAGTTCATATCGAGGTGCGCAGCACAATCGGCACTCGAAATAGTCCCGGAAAATTAGAGCTGCTCCAAAGCAATTATGATATTGATGAATAAGTGTACAAGCGTCCAAATAAACCCGAAGCTCAACTTTCTCAACAACAACAAGTAAGATGTTAAAAATGGCGGATAGAGTTCGAACTATAAGTCTATGCCCGTCCTCCTCCTCGTCCTCGTTTTACGACTACAACGATGAGTATAATGTATTTGAAAAACGTGATTTGTTATTGATTACTTAAGCTGCAGGTGCAGCAATGAGAATGGCGATACGTCACGACTTGCAGACAGGGACAGCCTTCATCATCATGCCCAACATAATCATTCAGGCCGACGAAATGCGCTTCGACTTCGCGTTTGATGGTTTTTAGGGTGTTTTCGACCGAGCTAATAATGGCAGTGGCCGAGCTGCTTGACGCGGACCAGGTGGCGAAAGAATTGGACTCACCGCAAGTTCGATACGAATAGTAGAGGCTGGTGAGCGAGCTAAAGTATTGATTTCGCGCTGGAGCAAAGCTCGCCGCGCAGTTCGAAGAGTCCACATAGCACCACTGCTTTTGACACCTGTTTGGAGGTGTTATATAAAGAGCGGTGAAGAGGAACAGCGTCTTCGATAGAATCTGTAGAGGTTGAAAAAAGCTGGTGCTGGAAGAAGGAGGATAACAAGATTGTGAAGGTAGGGGATATCATCGCTTGTACCAGTCAGGTGCGTCTAGGAGGGGTGCCATCGTGCTATCGGCACAATAAGGCTGCTCGCCGACGTCCCACTTACTGCACTTCGCTTGCCCGTAGTCAGATGGGTAAAGGTACTGGTTCCCACCAGAAGTTGCTTTCAGTTTCGATGCAGCTTAGAATCACGAAGAAAAACAAGAATCATGTAGTTTGGCTTCTGTTTATGGCTCTTACTTACAAGAGGAAATGCTTGAATGAAATTCAAAAAATGTCATCAAGGCGAGGAGCCGAAGATAAGCTGGGGAATGACGAAACGGTTAGGGATGAGGATGTCCATTGACCTTATAATCTGATATCCAAGAAATTTGAAAGGCCAGGCACATCGTACACGCCTCTCCAAAATGGTTCATACAGAACGAAGGACAAGAAGTAGTTATAATACAAGTAGTTCGACCAGAAAACAACCGGATGACTTCATAAGTGCCTGGATCCACGAAAGAAGAGAGATTGGGCGTTATGCACGGACACAGAGCATCCCCAGTCGATACTGCGGTCGCGTGAACCAGTTGCTTCTCCCTCAAGAAGCTTAATAGGATCGTACAAGATGTTGACAGTACCAGCTGTTGACGAAAGAATGGCTGTGGGTGTACTATAATCCTTCGTCTCCTACCTGGCCTGGCGGTCAACATCATGCTTGCCGTGCGGGAGCTAGTCCTCGCGAGAACATGCAGACCAAGAACAAAACTGTGAGCCTCGGCGGTTATGGTTAACTTCTTACTGGATATGAACAATGTGCCGATTGGGTTGCGTTCGTTGTTGAATCGGCGACCTCATGGATCTTGTTTTCTGTCAGTCTGCAAGACCCAGTGGTCGTATCCGGTCGGTCCAATTTGGCTTGTCAGGAATCGATTTCTACCCTCAGAGATATGTGAAAAATTGCGTACATATACTTATCATCAATTGCTCGTTATTGTTGTTGTTCATCAAGACCAGGAACGCAAGATAGAAAAACCAAAAAAGGAATACGCATAGGAAGCGGGAAAAAGCTAATTTGTAGACGATGAAAGAAGATGTAGACGGCTGCTATTTTTGGCAATATTTGAAGTGGAATAAACGAAAAGCAAAAACATAACTAGCCCAAAGGAATGCGCTGGAGGTTGGCATGTAAGAAGGAGATGGATCACAGTTTTGCGATCGGTCTTCACGCTTTGACCAAAAAGTCAAGGGGCTCCCCTTTGCTGATCATTAACATTAAGTATGAACATTTATATTCTTATTCATAGATATTCTCCCTCGACAAAGGTCAATATTCAGAGCGTGAAGGAGACGGGGTCGGGTTCCGATTACGATTACCGATATCACTTTCTGACCGAGTCCGCAACGTAGAAGCGCTGCTAGTGACGTGAAATCTCTGGTATCTATGAATACCGAACCCTTCATCTTTTTTTTGATGATTTTCTGATTTATCATCTTGATTAAGCCTAACCTGGATAGGCGCACGGACTTGTTACTTATATATACTAGCCTCCACAAGCTTCGCCCGGCTTCAAGTTAGTCTAGCACTTTTCTGCGGCCTCCCACGGGCTACAGCCGCTAGAGTAGAGACAGCCGGCGGGTGAGCTGATGCACCTTACGAATTGACTACGACAAGAGCCGAGTGCCGGCGGTGGCCGACTCAGATGCGTCGACTCATGTGCAGGGCATTGCGCTGCCTTCGGTTTTTTTTTTGAGATTGCCGGGCGGGTCATGCAAATTCTTAAGAATTTGCAAGACCCCCACGGCAGTCCAACAAAAAAACCAGAAGAGAGCCACCAGACACGCACAAGAATCCGCAAGCCCCAACGCACGCAAGCGCCTCGCGGTGGCGCCAGGCAAGAACGAGGGGCGACCTTGATGGGCCAAACAAGACAAAGCAACGCAGGGCCGCGCTGCTTGGGTCTCTCTACGCGCTTACACCTGGCGGGGCTTCTTTGTTTCGTCAGATGTCTCTCGTCAGAAACAGGCGGGCGCACTTCGCGGGGTCGTGCGGCGTCGCGCTTCGGGCTGTGGCTGAAGCCTCTCGGCTGGCTGACGTCTTTCACCAAGCTGGAGACTAAGGCCCTCCATCAGGCTGATGCCGTTCGTCAGCCCAACGCTCTGCGCCAGGCTGGCGGCGTTCGTCGGGCAGGCCGGCGCCCCTCGGCAGGCGTCTTGGGTCAGGCTGAGGCTTTTCGTCAGGGTCGGGCGACGTCTCTCGTCAGGCTGAAGCGCTTCGCCTGGCTGACATTCCTCGCCGGGCCGAGACTCACGCCTTTGGTCAGGTTGATGGCTTGCTTCAGCTCGGCGCCGTTCGTCAGGCTGATGCACTCGCCAGCCAGGTGAGGCCTCTCGCCAGACCGGCGCAATGCTTCGCCAGGCGTCTGCCTTGCGTCGGAACAGGCTGAGCGGGGCCTCTCTTCGGGCTGTGGATGTCTCTCCTTCGTAAGGTTGATTCCGTTCTTTCGTCGGACTGACGTGCTTCGCCAGATTGACCGCGTTCGCCGGACTGACGTCCTTCGCGAAAGGTCTTCGCTATCTTCAAGGGCCTCGCGCCACAGGGAGGCCCCGCGTCAGTTTTTCTGGCGGAGGTCGTTCGTCAGATGTCTGCTGTCGTGGGTCTCACTCTTGTCTTGTCGGAGGTCTTGGGCCCAAAGGTCGTCTTTGGTCCACAGGTCGCCGGTGGTCCACAGGTCGCCTGTGGCCCAAGGGTCGTCTTCGGTCCAAAGGTCGGCTTTGGTCCAAAGGTCGTCTGTGGTCCAGAGGTCGTTTTTGGTCCAAAGGTCGCCTCCCCTACTTTGGTCCAAAGGTCGCCCTACTTTGGTCCAAAGGTCGCCCTACTTTGGTCCAGAGGCCGAAGGGTCGCCTTACTTTGGTCCAGAGGTCGTCCTACTTTGGTCCAGAGGTCGGCGCACTTTGGTCCAAAGGTCGCCTTACTTTGGTCCAAAGGTCGCCTTACTTTGGTCCAAAGGTCGCCTTACTCTGGTCCAAAGGTCGCCCTACTGTGGTCCAGAGGTCGTCGCACTTTGGTCCAGAGGTCGCCTGTGGTCCCGCGGTCGTCTTCGGTCCCAAGGTCGTCTTTGGTTTCAAGGTCGTCTTTGGTCCCAGTGTCGTCTTAAGTCCCAAGGTCTCCTGTGGTCCAGAGGTCGCCTGTGGTCCAAAGGTCGCCCCTGGGTCAAAGATCGCCTTTGGGCCAAAGATCGTCTTTGGGTCAAAGATCGCCTGTGCTCCAAAGGTCGTCTTTGGTCCAAAGGTCGCCTTTAGTCCGAAGATCGCCCTTGGTCCAACGGTCGCCCTTCGTCCAAAGCTCGTCTTTGGTCCAAAGATCGGCTTTGGTCCATGTGTCTTTGGTCCAAGGTCTTTGCCCTTTCGGTGGGCGGTCTTTCGTTGGCTGTCTCTCTTTGGACTTTTCTCCCCAGCTTGCGCCCCCACCCCCGTCGGCCATTTTTCTGCCTTCTTTTCTGGTGGTCTGCCACGGGGCCGCAACGTAAATCCCAACAAGGAAACGGCCGGAGGCTATCGGGCTTGAGACTGAGGGGAAAGGGCAGGAGACTATGGGCAATAGCTTCGCGAAAGAAGTTGACTAATCTCCGGTGGGTTAGGCGGGGACGGGGAGTTTTATGGCGGCGATCAATGGCGATTAATAATATAGATTAATAATATAGATTAATAATATAGATAATATAGATTAATAATATAGATTAATAATATAGATTAATAACATAGATTAATAATATAGATTAATAACGTAGATTAATAATATAGGTTAATAATATAGATTTTTTTTTTGTTATGTTTTTTATCTATCAACTTATAATAATTTATAGAAATAGAGGATACTCCAACATCACTACCATTTTGGGTATGACGAACAAGGAACAGAGACAAACGAGGCGTCTCCTCCTGATGTAAAGTCAGACACCTCATAATTCATTCGAGCTTCTTCATCGACGTTCACGCTAATATAGATTTTTTTTTGTTATGTTTTTTATCTATCAACTTATAATAATTTATAGAAATATATCGCGAGAAAAAACGTTATCATTATCGTTTTTTTGAATTTTTCAGAAAAGCACGACATGGAGCACTGCAGCCCTGGGGCTTTCCACCTTGCGATGGCCAAGCCGGCCCTCCCTCCACGAGGTGCCGCAGCAGACGCTGCGCTCCTTCTCCCATTGGCGCGGCCCTTCAGTCATGGCTGGGCATCATGGTACCGCTAAGCTCAGAGGCCGCGGCCTCCGCTTACGCCCGCCCATGGGGCAGTAGCGTGGCCTGGCCCTGCAAACTTATCCACAAAAGTAGCCCACCCTGGGAACCAAGCGCGGCGCACTCGGAAAGCAGCCCCGCTGGCAATCGTTGGGGCGATTCCTGGGGGCCAGCAATATGAAACGCCAAGCCGGTCGAGGGGAAGCCGCGGCGCCACTTCGCTCAAGATCCAAGGAGGCGAGGAGCCGACCGAGAGCCGCAGACGCGCGAGCGGCTGAAGGGGTCAGTTGGAGGGGGTGTTTGAGGGGGGTCCTTGTTTTCAAGGACCCCATTTGATAAGACTTCTGGCGCCCGACAGATAGGTGATAACGCTTCTGGCGCCCGACACTCTTCGCCGAGGCCCAAAAAAAAACTCTAAATTTTCAGAACCTCGAGGGGCAAGCGGGTGACAGGTGGGCGCCTTTTCTGCTTGCTCGTTATCGTCTTTTTGGCGAGTGTTTGGAGGAGCCGGCGGAGGGGGGCGGCGGACCACCTCCGGCCCGGCTAGAGGACCAGAGCGGCCACAGCAAGAAGGGGGCGCCGAGTCGCTAGAGGTCGGAGAAGGTGGGGCGCCAGAGGTGGCGGAGCGGCCGCAAGCAGCAGGGCTGCGGGCCATCCCCTGACACTCGGGCCTCAGATTCGCGAGGGGACAGGGAAACAAGCTACACGCTTGCGCGTCTGCCATTGCCGGAAGCGCCTCCCGGAGAGCGCAGCACCACCCAGCAGCCAGAGCAGAACAGCAGCCCGTGCGGCGCCGCTGTTTTGTTGTCTGAGTCATGGGAAGCGCAGCCCACCCACAGACGCGCCAAGAGGAAGCGGCGAATGCTGGCGCCCCTCCATTCTTATGCCCACGCGCACAGCGTCCCACAAATGCCTGGAATTTGTTATCCCAATCTGAAAAAATCAAAAAAACGATAATGATAACACTTTTTCCTGCGATAAAATAGAGGATACTCCAACATCACTACCATTTTGGGTATGACGAACAAGGAACAGAGACAAACGAGGCGTCTCCTCCTGATGTAAAGTCAGACACCTCATAATTCATTCGAGCTTCTTCATCGACGTTCACGCGAAAACTTTTTAGTCCCAAAAGAATTTGTTATATATATAATATAGTGCCGTCAGCGAGCATAGGAAACCATACTGAGCAAGAAATATCCAGTGCAGGAAAAGCACGGAGAATGTCGGATGCACGTGCGTAGAATGAATGCATCGAAAGAAAATGGATACAATGCAACTCCACCATATTTGCAATAAGTAGCGCAAACATGCGCCAGTAGCGGAAAAAAAACAATAGAGAGCAACCGTTGGTAGCACGAGTTTGAGGTACAGGCTCGAGCTCGGGGCTCCACTTGGTGAAAATAAGAAAATCAGCGCCCTCTCGATTACAGCCTACTTTGTTTGTTCACCTCCGCGCTTCTTCTAGCAATTGGGCTACGGTGCTCAGCAATTCCAGGATCTTCGAGGCCGGCGTCAAGACGTTCAAGGCGCACTGCTCTTGATGTACTTATTGTTTTCTGCTCCTGTCCTTCCAATAATGAACAACTGGAAGCTTGTCGCACACCTTCACCTCGATTTAGTCCTGCAGCGGATGAGCTCCATGGCAAAGGAGCTGTCTTCAAGGAGGAAGCGGCTATTTTGGAAGCCGCCGAATTTGTTGTTTTAGTTCCGGATGCGTCTGCAGGTGGTGAACTCTGTTGACTTTGTCTATCCTTGTTCGGCATCTTCCGTAGAACTCCTTTGATGTGCTCGCACGTACAGCAGACCTCCTCATTCACAACAGCGCGAGCCTTGGAAAAAAAGACATTCCCATGCGCTTTTTCAGTCCAGGCTTCCATGACCGCCGGAAGGCCTAAGAGGAGTCCGCGGGGATAACTGCAACGTCTTAGAGGTCAAGGAAGTTGCTGACACAGCTTCTACTCCTGTCGTCACTCGACAATCATCCTTTCATCTTGTTGTGCTTTTTCATTTTCCATTTTCAGATTGCAGATCCTATAGACCCTGAATTTATGTCATCCTAGTAGACTTAGCTCCCGGTCAAGATGAACAAACAACATATGTATCACAGCGTCAGATTATTTTAAATTCTTGCCTCAAGTTCAACGCAACAGAGACGGACATGACCGGGTTGTTCATCATGGCTGTGTAGATAGCAAAACTGGTCAGTACATCGAAAATGGTCGCAACGCAACCTCCGTGGACTACGCCGAGGCCGTTGTCACAGGCAGAGGGAAAGCCGTTTGGCAGCTCCATTCGCAAATACCCTTGTCGGACCTCTGTCATGTGCGATCGCTGGAAGATCTCGCTCAGTTAGAGCTTAGAGGCAGAAGTCTTGTAATGTTCCTGGTACCTGAACCTCGTACTACATCCAACGGACACTATACCAAGATATAGTTACAAAAGTACTGGTCGTAACTCATTATATCGTGCGCGAATAGGCCACCACTCGACGGCTTTGGAGGGACGCCGCTCTTCGACAAGTATCGCTCTATGCCAACGTGAAGCGCTTCGACCTCAGAGGTGCTCAATACAGCGAATCCCTGGCCGAGCTTCTGAACGGACGGCTTCATATCGTCAGTTATTCATGCGAACAGGTATGTGAGAAGTACTTGTTTCAGGAGGATTATATTTTTGTTTCTCTTTCTTCAGATCTCGCCTGAGGTCAAACGAATATAGAAAACAAGGACAACGTGCATCCAGCTAGTTTTTCCTTCTTCACATGCTCGTCCTCTAGGTTACTCTGCAACGCTTTCATCTCGCAGCCTCGACCTCTCAATCTCCCAGAGTCAAGCGATAATTGATGCTGGATCGAACAACGGCATTTGTCGGCAATTAAAGAGGGGTAGCAAGCCAAGCATCATCGCATTACATGCTAATTCGTCTTACTTTCGAATTTGAAATGCCGAAGGAAAAGCCGCGTCCTATTACAGGCGGGAGCACCCGGACCCACACACCCACGGCTTCGAAAAAATCAAAGAAGTTGCCACCTCAATGAAAATGAATTTCAGGAAGATACTAGAAGTAGAAGACCGAGAATCGAAGAAAAAACGGACTGATACTGCTACTAGGGATGTCGATGTGGCTCGACTCTGAAATATTCGTTGATTTAGGTAAACTACGGCTCGCCCGGCCAGTCCCAATGTACGCGTGGAATAACGCAGGTGCGAATGCTTGTAGCCACAAGTTTTACTTTTAGGTAGGACTACGGGCAAACAATAATAATATATAGTAAATGACTGAGTGGCTGACGCTTGCACATCTGGGATCTGCATCAGAAAAAATTGAAATAGTAATTCTTCAAGATCGAAGTTGAACTAGCCTGATACACTCAAGATGTGGTTTTCTACTCGATTCAAATCAAATACGAAAGCAAACAACCACGATAACATAATTGTAAGTATGAAGAGTATCACCCCAATTGAATCACCTTCCCATTCTTTGCGCCGATTAGAGGCGGATATTCGAAATGACATTGATTTACATGTTCATCTCATGTGTAATGAGCAGAATCTTGGAGCGTCCTGGCTTTTCGAATCGTCGTGATTAGTTGCCGATGCCATCTGCACACTTCACAACCTTCAAGAATATGATTTTGCTGTTTGACCGAGCCTCATACACAAAAGAGTACACAATTCAATACGGTTTTGTGTATTGGTGGGTCACTTCGTGAAAAAGTTAGGAAGATAATGAAGTAGACACTACAGGCCGAGCCCAACTGGCTAGATATTCATAAGAAGAACAAGAACGTTGTGACGACAGTAATTTTCGCCTACTTTATGTATCGCGTTCGATGTCGCGGCCTTGTTTTCAATGGGTCTCCGTCTCGGAAGGTATAAAATATCAATGAATGAAGATGCGGCTGACAAAGGAGTTAACCTTAATGGCGCGTACCAGACATTTTTTTTATGGAGAGAAAAATTATGTCACTATCTGAAATCAGAAAGTATTTCAAGTCGATGACGTCTACTTTGTTGACTTCTGATCATCGACATGAACTTGACATGTAGGCACAAGAAGAAGTTGTCTACTCCATGGATTCATCGTCTTCGCTATCTTCTTCTAGTTTCATCACTTCTGGCACCTCTTCTCGTGCTAAAAGGCGATTTGCGGCGACCAGAGCATCCATGCTTTTTTCGGAGAGTTCTGCTACTCGCTTCATCCGATCCTCTGGCGTCAACGCGTCTAGCTCCTCTTCAGTCGAAGCCTTTTTTGCCATCTGCGAGGATGAATTTCCGGCAGACGCTCCGAATGTTCCGTTCGGGAAGAAGTTTTCTTTATCGATGTCTTCGTAGATAGACACCTCTTCTGGTGTGCGGGAAAGCATTTGGTTCAATTCGGGGACTGTCGTAGGCGGAAACTTGGAGACGTGACCGCCGTCGTCATACTTGGACGCAACAGCACCCTTCGCAGCAGCTTCCTTCGCATCTTGAATCATTTTGATAACTGCTGCGTGGTTAGTCATCTGCGTTGAGAAGTTGGAGAATTGGTATTATTTTCGGGTTCGTTATGGAGCTGATATATTATTTGAATAGATTTTACAAAGGGCGCAGCATATTCTATTCGAAAAACTGAAATAAGCAAGTAACTACTGAAAATAAGGGAGATACTGATGAGAAGGAAGATGAGTAGCCTTGATGTTAAGCTACCCCCCTTATTTCAGTCAGTAACTCGCTTATTTTGAGTTTTCGAGTAATCCATTCTTGCGCTTGCGGTGAGTTCGCATACCATGCGACATACGACAAGGACAACATTGAATATTTCGTCCAAATTTTAAATACAAGAATGAGAATCAGATTTGTAGCGGTGTTGCTTGTACTAGGTAGTAGTATAAAGCTGGTGTAGACGAGGTGCAGGAGAAGTTGATTAAACAAGGAAAGAATACCGGATGGTCTTTCGGCGCCTCCTTGTTTAACCCCGTGTTGAATCCGCCTGCCCCGATAATTTTTTGCTCCATGTCTAATTTTTCTCTACATCTTTGTTCCATGATTTCCTCTACTGCGCAAGTAGTGATGAAACGGAGCACCCGAACTTCTCGCGTTTGGCCTACGCGATGGGCTCGCCCAATTGCCTGGCGGTCGTTCTGCGGGTTCCAATCCTGATCGAAGATGATCACCGTATCGGCACATTGCAGATTGATGCCGACCGAAGCAGCTTTGGCACTGAGCAGCATGATTTTCAAGTTTTTAGTCTTCGTGAACTCGTCGATAAGCTTCTGGCGCTCTTTTGCAGATACTTGCCCGTCTATGCGCAGATAGCCGAGGTGCGGGAAGTGCGACCGCTCGTCTTTACTCAGCTTCGCGTGTTTTGGACCGGCTAATGCATTTTTCTTAGCCGTGATTTTCTCGTGCCAGGCTTCGAGAAAATCCTCGATAATATCGAGGCAGCTCGTGAACTGCGAAAAAAGCAAGACTTTGTGGTCGACTCTAGGTGAGCACAATTTTGCTAGGACGCGCTCCAAGACTTCGAATTTGCCGGCTGTGCGCGTGAGGTTGAGGGTAGCGGACTGGTTTGCATTTGAGAATAAGAAAGGATGTATCGCGCATTTCCGCATCTGCATCATGATATTGCTCATTTCGTGCTGCGCTTGCCGTTTTTCGTCTCGCAACTCTGCCAAGCTGTTCGCCGCCTGCGATTCGGTCGCGTCATCGTCGCCACCAAGCTCCGCGCGAAGTTCGAGCTGCTGCTTCGTCTCCTCGATCGCCAACGATTTCTCTTGCAATTCGTGGTACAACTTTCGCTGCCAGTGCGACAGTGAGATCCGAATGGTTTTCTGCGTGCAAGGTGGCATCTTCTCGCCGAAGACTTCGCTCTTCATGCGTTTCAGCATGAACGGTGCGAGCATCGCGTGCAGGTTTTTTGTGAGCATAGCCTCTTCGTCTTCGGTAAAAGCGACGATTTGGTGCAAAGCGTCCATCTCCTCACGGAACGGGGCAGAAAACCACTCTTCGAACTCCTGCGACGACTCGAACAGGTCTGGCAGGATGTAGTTCAACAGACACCAAAGTTCCGACAGCCGGTTGCTCAACGGCGTGCCAGTCATCAGCAATTTCTTTTTCGCCGACACCTTCTGGGCCATCACCTGTGAAAATTGCGTTTTTGCACTTTTCATGCGCTGTGCTTCGTCCACGATGACTACTTCGTACTCGGGCTCCAGAAGCATGAAGTTCTTATCCGGTTTTACCATCTCGTAATTGGTTAGAATCAAAAGCGACTTCGTTTTGTCGCCAGCTTTAATCTGCTCGAGCCTCTCCAGAATCTGGTCATCGAGCTCATCGCGCTCGTCTACGTTGCCCTGGTACACGACGAAGCCGTCGTCGGCGAGCGCGGGATAAAAGCGACGAATCTCGTTCTGCCAGTTTTGTAACACCGTTTTGGGCACGACGATAAGGTGCGGGCCAAAATTCTTCTTGTGCTCCCGTAAATACGCAAGAAACGAGATGATGGAAGCGGTCTTCCCGAGTCCCATTTCATCGGCAAGGAGCCCTCCTGTAGTGTTGTTGTAGATGGACAGAAGCCACTGCAGCGCCTCAACTTGGTGTTCCATCAACGGCACTTTCAAACGAGGCATGTTCTGACCAGTGACCTCCTCCTCTATGCGGTGCACGAGCTTCATGTAGTATTTCCGCCGCTCTTCTGGGTCTATTGCGGTGCTGTCATTCTTCTTCTTCTCGCTATCTTCTTCACTTGCCATTTCAGCATCTTCTTTGCTATCATCCGGTTTCTTCTCATCTTCTGCTTCCTGACTATCATCTGGCGTACTCGCGGGGCTAATCTCGATCGCGCCTCGACGCGGACTACCGGAAGTCCGCCTGCTAGTATCCGCGTGATCGTTTGTTGCTTTTCCATTTGCCTCATTTTCCACGCCTTCAGTGCGTGGTTTATTCAACAGTTGCTCCATTTGCTCGTCCATTTCGCGGCAAATCGACTTGATCCGCTCAGCCTTGATGTTATTGAAATATTCCTCTTTTTCTTCCTCCGTCTTGGATTCGAATTTCTTTCTTGCAGCCTCGAGTCGCGCCTCCTCCTCACGGCCAATGCGCTCGTTTTCTTCCTCCTGCAGCCTGAGGTTGTCATGAACGATGGTAGTGCCAGTGGTAGATGCAGCCAGAGAATGAAAAGAAATATTCTCAAGAAACATGACGTTGATGCTAACTACTTGCGGACTATCATTATGCTCGTTTCATATTGCAGCACTCAAATCAGACTATCAATTAGCTGTTACAGTGTGAGTAGTCCATCCAGAAAGTAGATGTGCGAAAGAAAAGTAGAACGAACAACTCAGTCACCTTCAGCTTTGTTTACCATTGATCGTATCTGAAGTCTAATTCTATTTCTAATTCATTTGATCACAAGTAAGAGCAAGAACAACAACAAACAGAGATTCCTTCTCTCAGGTATTACCTTTTCGCCTCTGCTTTTTCTTCTTTTGTCATTTTTTTCTTCTTCCCTGGCGGTCCGCCCTCAGCATCTTCATCGTGTTTTGCCTCAATTTCTGCTTTTTTCTGCTGCAGTTTCTTCTTACGTTCTTTCTCGGCTTTTTCCGCCGCAATCTCCTCCTTTGTCTTTTTCCTTGGGCGCTGTGAGTCGTCGTCTTGTGTCGCCTGACTGCTAGCCATACCCCCTGCTTGCCTCTTGCGCGATTTCTGAGATGCGGAAGGCTGGAGTTTTTTCTTCCTTTCAGCCTCTTCTTTTTGCTCCTTTTGCCGTCGTGCAGCGTACTGGGAAAATACTCTGAATGCCAGCCGTACTGAAATCGGTGTCTGTCCCCATTTCTCCAGAACCGGGATATCGTCTTTTCGCGCGTCCAGCATTTTGACGATATTGTTCGCCGCGTCGAGACCTGCACTTTCGAATCTGGCAGAAAGCTTGTTCATTAATATCTGACATTTCTTCTCGTCGAGTGGCGTGACTACGGATTGTGGTGGCGCAACCTGTTGTACTGCTCTGGTAGATGAAGAAGTCGCGCCTGAATTTCCGACAACGAGCGGCCTGTTTACTGTCGACGACGCTTGGTCGTTCGTTGCTGGAGCACAGGAAGAAGCGCCGTTCGCCACCGCGGGAGCTCCTAGCCCAGGAAGGGGAGGAGCAACGACAAGCTTTCCTGATTGAATGCCACCTATCATGACACTCACTGCCTGTTCGGCAATTTCCGGCGTCACTATTCCCACGTCTGGAATTCGTTGCCTGACTGCTCCTAAGTGTCTCAGACGTTGTTTCGCCGCTTCAACGGTGAACTTCCCTTCCCGCAAATGTTTCGCAAGTAGTCGTACAAGATGACCACGGACCTTTACAGCTTCGACGCCCGTTGCTACCACGGGTGCCGACGCCTTAGGCGGCGCACTGGCTGCCGCTGGAGCTTTCTGCGCGGGTGCTGGAGCACCCGAGGAAGGGGACGCTTGTAGCATTGCAGCAGAAGAAGCCTGAGATTCCATTCGCATCTCCTGCGTAGTTTCTAGTGGAGCTGGCGCACTGCCATGATGAGCAGTTGTTCCGTTGCCCGCACTGCTTTCTACAGCATTGCCCCCATTTGCAGGTAGAGGAGGAGCTACTGTCCCAACTCCAGGTGTTAATGGTTGCGGTATCCCCTTTGCCGGTGATGATGTCGAAGAGGGTCCGCCCGCTGGAGCAGCGGGTGAGGTGCCTGCGGATCCGTCGTTACTGGTCGTCATGATTATCAAACTGTGCTTGAGGTCCTCACGAAAAACCGCGTTCGCGTTTGATACCTTTTCCTATTCTCAATCTCAAAAGCTATATGGTGACGCATACCTACCAGATTGCCCCCCCAATCAATGATCGCACTGGGGAAAATGCCATTTGAATGAATCTCGACTAGGTCTACAGCATTTCTCTCGTGTTGTGGTCTCTCAGGATTCTATTTTCAGTATTGAAGAATAGGCGGAGAGGTAATATGCAATGATCTTGATCTTGCAGTCTCCAGTTTCAAACATAAATTGTATGGCTGAGCTCCAGACGAAAAGAGATGGCGTAAACTAGGACAGTCATCCTCAAGACCTTCAGCTCTGAAGATGTTTTCTGGATGGATCAGAAAATTCTACCTTCGCACAGAGATCTTTCTGAGTTTGCTCTTGGTTGTTTATACTAAAAAGAAACCTAAAAAAAGTTTGAAATGAACAGGAAGAGGAAAAATATTACTCAGAACGAAAAGGTTTAGTAAAGGAAACATTATGTTCAAGAAGGAACAATACAAATTCTACTCGGATTTACGTGAACCAGATAAACATAATTTTCGACTGAGTCAGCCAAAAGGCATCAGATCGTGATTCAGATTCATCGTCCTTGGGAAATCGATTTTTTTCTGTGTCATAATACAAACACACCTAGGTGATACAGAGTCACCAACAGCTATGTATCCGTCCTTGTTCACACGGGAGAACAACGGTTTTCATGTCCTACAACATTCTTGGAGGGGGGTCGTCGGGCAGAAATGGCAAGCGTGATCGTCTGTCCAGGGGCAAGAATTGATCCGCTGGAATCGGAAACTCTTTCTGCAGCGCCTGAAGAACATCGTTTTGATTGTCCTTCAAGCTCTCTTTAGCTTGATCTTTCCTCTCCCGAGAGCAGGGTGATTATCATCTGTGTTGTAAACAAACTCCATATCTTATCAAACTGCTTGTTAATAGATACTGTTCCTTTTGCATGGTTTTGCTGTCGTTGTGTCATTAATTTCTCCAACCCTTAGTATTCTTGGTCTATTTCGTTCGTTTGTGTTTTGAACCTATTTCATACACCAAATCGTTGATCCGACGGCGTGTGGTTTACCTTGGGACCACACGACCAGAGGATTCTCGGATTCCACCCAGGTCAAGGATTCATGATCGCAGGATTTTTAGGATAGAATACATCAATCACAACGAACCAGCTTTGAGTGTCAATTTCAGCTAGACAGAGTACTAGATCGCCAATAGGCTACAAAATCTATTGAAGAAGTAATCAGTAATCGCCAACTTCTACGAAAGAAGATGTGCTAAATCCACCTTGCACTGTGCAAGAACATCTGTAGCAACGAGTTTCATCTCAAACTCAATCCAGAAATCAGAAATAGATATATTATAAGGGGAAGGATATGGTGAAGGACTCAGAAATAAACGGAAGCTTAGAATCTTGTTTATCTTAACACTCAGAAACGTTTTTCTGTCTGTTCAAGTTCAGCTAGTACGGTAGGGATGATAATAATCTGTGCGGCCCCCAGTCTGGAATGATCAGTACAAATATACACATTTCATGAAAATAAGCGATCAATAGTGGAGAGTCAATTCGTAGAAAGCATGTTCGGGTACGGGTTCCGCATCCACCTCTGCGTCTGCCTAGTTAGCAGCTGTAAGAAAATAATGAAGGGTTTCCATTTTTTCTTGTGATACGCGAGTGGCTTCGTGTATACGTATAGGAAGTTGAAATATTCTTCTTGCGCAATCCAGGTAATAGACTACTTCTTTCTCGTTTTTGATAGGATCTTAACGTTGAGCACCTTTAGCTTCAAAGAGAGTGATAATAACGAAACAACAATAACATAACAAGACCTTGTAGATGTAGTTCTTAGTTACTTAATATTTCTATTGGTCTCCAAGCATGAGCCTTTGTCTCTTGCGTTCTTTCATGTTTTGCTTGGCCAGACGGCTCCAGAGCAGCATCATTTCTCTGGTCTTGCCGGATATGTGGACCTCGACCCATTCGGGGAATATTTCTAGTTGCTCGTCCACACCGCTGTCATCCGACGAGAAGTCGCCCTTGCCTTCATCCTCGTCGCTCGCACTCGCGTCGCTGCCAGTCGGCGTTCGCACTAGGCCTAATACGTGTCCGCAGCGCCAGCACAACGTGGCAAAGAGGTGCTGTCTCGTCAGATACTGCTTCCACAACAACGGGTTAAACGTCGCGCCTTTGTACATTGCGCCGTCCACCGTGTTTCCGTGTTCTGAAGGAGTCGGAGATTGCACGTAGAACTAAAACGTGATCTAATTAGGATTAAGAAGCATCAACATCCAAATTCTATTTCCTAAAAAGAATTTGTTTTCACTATCATCCATTCGGTGTGATAAATACAAATTTCTACAACCCGGACGACCATCTTGTCAAAAAAATTGTTACCCATTTTCTTCGCCAGCGCCTCCGCAGCGTGTCTCTGCATTTCCTCCATGTACCTTCGTTGGGCTTCCTTCGTTTCCTCATCCATGTCGTCTTTTGCTTTGAAAATATCTTGCAATTTACCTGATCAATAAGGCGATGGGATGGAAGTAGAAGATTCTTGAAGTATGATTGTAGGAAAAGGAACGTGCGATGTGATCGTGAAGTCGTTCTGAGATAAATATGCACCTCACCACCTACAAGATCATGATGAATAGACGGTCTACAGGGACACGCGTTGTAAAACAAGATACTAGATGAAGATAGAGAGTACCCTCCACGCCTTTTTCGGATTCTAGTCTTGCCGCTTCTGGATTGAGACTTGCCGCGAACGGATCTATCAAAGGTTGAGACTCGAGTGTCATATTGATAATCTCCGCCGGCAGGTCGCCGCCTGGCAATCCTAGCGCTTGGATATCTGCTTGATCGATCATATCTTCCGTGTCGTGACCACAGTACCTTTCCTCGAAACGCGTTACCAAAGACGGCAGATCGTGGAAATCGTACATGCGGAGCTTTGGGCCCAAAGGCGCCCACGGAGATTCTGCGCTTTTGTTCGCTTTGTCATCGTCAGACCGCACACCGCACGTTTCGCAGTACGTTAACAGATCGGTTTCTGAACGCCATTTTTCGGCTAACCTCAACATCTCGACGTGCCGCCTGGCTGTTCTCAGCCACGAAACGAGCGTGAGACCCGCTAGTGGGTTGATTTTCTCTTGCTCCATGCGTTCCTCCTTGAAACCGGCAATGGGGTACAAAGCCCAGTGGTCTTTCCTCTCCTGCGCAGCCGCTTCCTCCGCGATTTGTCTATCGATGTCGATGACCGGCAGATTCTTCTGGCTCATCTTGATCAGCATGGTCAGGTCTTCGTCCCTGATATCGCGTTCCTGGGTTTGGGACTCTGCAACGTCTATCCTCTCCTCCTTCTGCCGGATGACGCTGTACTGCTTCTCGTCGCTCAGATTCAGGATGTTCTGGTAAGCGTCAGCCAGCACCGACTCGTACCGACGCATGGAGCGGGGGGTGAAGACCAGATCCAGATTCTGGAGAATCCAGTGTTTGTGGTCGTTGTAAAAGAGCGAGCGCCATCTGTGACTGTGGTACTCTTGCTGTTTCACCTTCAGGTTGCGCGTCACTTCTCGGTAGAACTTCTTCGCCTGTACGCTGGCCTTTGGTGGCTGCCAAATGATGAAGGAGATAAAGCGGACTAGCTTGTCAAGCATGCGATTCGCGATGAACTGCTGCAGCACGAAATAGCCAAAGGCTGGATCCTCTAGCGGGTTGAACTCGGCGCGACACATGATGGTAATCGCCAGAATCTTCAGCACGATACCCCACGTGAAGTAGCACTGGATGAAGTAGTACTGCGGTGAGAAGCACAAGTGGTTCACTGACTGGACCGTCTCGTTCACGGTTCTGTCGAACCGAGGATCGTCGAACATCCACCGCACTAACCTGTTGCGCCACCTGTACTTCGCGTACATCATGTAGTCGAAGATCTTCACGCCTTGCGAAATCTCCACGGCGTTGTTCAAAATGATGTCCATCATGACCTGGAAGGGCGCCATCAAAATACCGAACAACATATAGAAAATCAAGTCGCCAATTCGGATGCCATACTGGGACGGGATCTCCGTGGTGAGCGGGAAGAGGAAAATCGCGACCAGCACAATCGGTGAAAGAATCAAAGCCATGGCGGCACCACCGCCACCGATATGTTCCTCCATCGCCTCCTCGACAAGCGCCTCTGCCTCTTCTTCATCCTCTTCCTCCTCCTCTTCTTCCTCCTCCTCCTCCTCGTCGGCCTCACTTTCATCGTCAGGATCTTGCTCGTTGTAGATAATACCGCCGCTCCTGATATCGTGAAGAAGACGGGGTGAAAACGTTGCTCAAGCTATCTTGTCATGCGATCAGACACGAAAAACGTACGCAACACGATCTCATTGTCATGTTTTAATTGAAGTATCTCTTCATAAATTCATGAGAATGAGCATTGAAAAAATCGGTACCCTTTCCCGCCGACGCGCTCTAGGCGGAAGAGGCCTCGGACCATCCAGTACCAACTTCTAGACCTGACCCATTGTGCGAAGGACATCGCCGCTTCGTCTATGAGCGCAATAATTGAGCCAAGCAGCAGCCGTTCCGCAATTGCTAGAACCAACTCCGTGAAGTAACCGTCAATGAAATCCATGAAATCATCGGCACCCATGGTTGCCACGAAAAGCACGACTTCAAAAGCGGCGGAGAGCGGTCCCACCAGCAAGGCTTCCCGAACTGCCTTGGACAGAACGCCTTCGACAAACATCATCAGCACACGGAAACCCACGATGAACTCGACAGCGTTCTCTCCGAAAAAGCCTGCATACGAGAACTCCAACATCACCATCAAGGGCAGCATATGAAAGTAGGAAAAGGAGGATGAGAACGAAAAAAGGATGATTCTCTTTTGTAAAAAGAGGTCTAACAGGAAGATGTTAAACGATCTCCTGAGTTAGAGTTGAACTTGAGAATTATAAGTACTCAAAGAAGTGATCTTCTCCATACAAAATGAAAATTTAAGGTAATAAAAAAAAGTGGATTAGCTGTACGTACTATGGAGAATCACACAGAAGTTATGACTTCAGCAATCTTCATGTTCTTCACAACACAAGAACTATCACTATGGCCTTGCTTGTATCGCCATAAAAGACAATGAGGATGCTGCACCAGATGAGATGACATCGCTTCCATCGCACGGGCAGGGCTTCTACGAGCGTTTTCTGTTGAGGCGGTACCGGAATCAGCTCTGTAGTCTGGAGGCGCACCGTATTTTGCTGCAACAAGTATTGCGATTCCTCTACCCGCAGCTTCGGCACAATCAGCTTCGATCCAGACCACAGCATGAAGAAACCGGCAAGAAAGAAGGAGACACCACTGCGACCTTGGAGGCACTTTTTGTCGACCACGGTTCCGATCTCATCCAGTCGCGTGAATTCACAAGGAAGCGTTCGAGTGGGATCTACCTCTGTGATCATGATGATGATCCCGAAGAGCACCATCACTGGCACACTGGCGATGAGGACACCCTGGATCGGCCAGAAGAGCATGAATTCGTACGTCTCGTACAGCTCGATGGGCGGCTGCTTCATATTCTTGGAACCCAGACGCACCATGCACCAGGCCACCACGCACATGAAAACAGAGGCCAAGCCGACCACTGCGTAAAGCACCATGTAGACGGGCGTTCCAAGTTGGAAATTATTCATCAAATCGGGCCAGTCCATTGCCGCAAACGTAATCAAGAGCCAATAGCCAGTCGTTTATTAGAACAGGAACATTACCTTATTTTCCTAGGAGCGCCGAGTTGTACTATTGCTACTCCTAGTCTACCACCTCCTAGCTCTAGGATTTAGTAGTACGAGGTGGTGCGTCGTGGTCTATCTCATATTGGATCAAAAAATAAGGAACACGACAATACGTAGCTCTTCTTCTTCTCGAAGTACGTCGAAAATATTTGATACAAGGAAGAATTACTAGAAGTAGAGAGAGTAAGAAAAGCGTCATTTCATAATCTTCGTCTTCATCGTCGAACTCACCGAGCGACATTGCAGCGCCAATAAGCCTCTTTTTGCCTGGCTCCATCTGGTAGAAGTCCATATTAAAGGTAACATGCCGCGGATATGTCCCGTCGCGCTCCTCAGCAACGAAGCCGACAGGAACGAGATCATCCGTACCTGTGTTTGTTTAAGGTCGTAAGAAGCTAGTTGATGGTGTACTTACTTGTAGATATGGACTTGTTCGGGTTTTTGCAGCTTCGACGGACTAGATTGCTTTAGTTTTTCTATTTCAACAAACAATTTATTACGATAAAAAAAAGTTGAAATAGAAGTTGAAGTCAAGAAGCGCAAACCTTCGCCTTCCGTTATCTATGGTTATAAAGCAAAAAGCTCTAATATTTATATTTTTAGCTTATCGTATAAATAGAAGTATATATGTTGGCCAAGGTCATAACCCTCGAAATGTCACAAAGATCAACAAAATGACCAAGATCGCCAGGCGAACAAGGTACCCACCGGCACCACTTTCAACGCGTTGGCCTTAGTTGGCGCGGGTGCCAGCGGTTTCTCCTCTCTCTCTCGTATGTGGCTCAAGCCTCCCAATACAGTCAAGGACAAAACAACACCGGAAAGGTCTCAAGATAACCTACAGACCTAAACGCATATGGTTCCAAAGTCAATGATCACCAGGCAAAGGACCCTCAACGTATTCAGATAGCAGAAATGATGAATGTTCATAGCTGTAATCAGGTCCATAACGTCTTGTCAGTTATGATCAACGATGAATGCCAGTGCATGATGATCGTATGAATCAATGATGACGGCATCCATAGGCGTTCCCATATGAAGCATATGAAAGCTTTCCCCCATGCAACATGATATCCCAATGATGAAGCTGGGGCTTCCTCCTTGCAACCCCAACGAATATCCACAGGGATCACATCAAAGCAGCCAGAGATCATGAGCCTCAGGCTGTGAGTGCAATTGTGCAAACTGTATCACTCTCAAGCGTTTCTCACCGAGAAACTAGACGCGATTTAACAGTCTGTGTTCGAATGGTCCAACAATATATGTACCAGGGAGGGAGGCCCCCCCCTGTGGATGGATCTGTGGCGCAGCACAGTGGTGGAAGGAAGAGCGACGAGAGCAGAACGAGCGACGAGAGCAGAACGAGGAACGAGAGAAGAACGAGGGACGAGAGGAGAAGGCACGAGCGACGAGATGCGCCCAGCATGTCGAAAGAGACAGCAGCACGACAAGGGGGCGGGTCCCGCCTTGCCTCCTCTGCCAGCCCTGTCGGGTACCTGCAACACGACAAGAGGGCGCAGCCTTTGCCACCTTTGCCAGGTCTGTAGGGTGCGGCACATGCAACAAGCCAGCGGGGTCCTGCCTTGCCTCCTTTGCCAGCTTCAACGTCCTCCGGTTTGGTGGCGCTCTAGGGTACAGGCAAGAAGTGGGAAGGGGTCCGAGGTGGGCGCTTTGAGGCCTTTCCGCACGGCAGCCCCTCGCAAAGAGGGTCCGGGGCTGGGAGGCCCCCCCTCAAAAAGTTAGATCGGGGGAGGCCTCCAGCCCTGAGCCCTGGAACGTATGTAACAATAATGTTTTCGTTTTGTACCTAAGAAGTTTTCCTGCCAGAAGTTGCTGTCTTCGATATAGGTAGCATAGTCAATCGGGTCGCGGGTCATGTAGTAGATTTGTGTATCCTCCTCTTCGATCTCTCGCCAAATCACGTTCATGTTATCGGCCGACTTCTCTTCCTCGTAGTTGCATTTGAGCACGAACTCACAATTATCCGCCGTCGGCTCAATCACTATCTCGAGCGTATTGAAGTCTAAGAACAACTCCGCAACGGGCTTCACTTCGTTTTTCTCGTATATCTCACAATCATCGTCCCCGTCAGGATCACCCTCACACGCCTTCTCATCCGGTTCCTCAACGTCGCATCGACCACGCTTCTTGTTTAGGCGGCTGTAAAATGGAGCAGATCATACAAATCAGTTGTGATGAAGATGATTGATTTAAAAAATATGCAGATTCTTATCGTGCTTTTCGATTCATCTACTTGTAGACCGAGTATGGCGTTGTACTAATACGAAATTTTAGTTACTACCATTAGAAATTGAAACCATAACCATGAGCACATTATTTTAACAACGACTTCTTGAGGAAGTCTCGATCCCAAGAAATAGTACCCTTGTGGCTGTTCCAGTAGGTCCCAGAATACGATGTGTGAGTCGTAGTCTTCGCAGTTGGAGAAGAAGGGAATCCAGGACATGACGACAGTCTGAATACGTTCGACGTTCCAGAAAATGTTGGACTGGGTCTGGAGCGAGAACAACGCTTTTGCCGGTCCATCCACTGGTACATTCTGTGGCTCGTTGTTGAAGTCTTCTGCGTCGTAGCGCGTCAAATCGATGAGAATCTGATCCTCACCTGTCTTCGAAACTTTCGCGCTGTCCGGCGGCATATTGTAGGGCAGCTCGTACTCACCGTTGTTCAGAAGATCCTTGTCTAGCAGAGCAACAAAGAACTTACGCGACCCATCCCAAGTACGGTACGGCGAGTAGATCTTCAAGTCGATGGTCTCATTCATGCTGCTCAGTCGCTCCAAGTGAATTCCGTGCAGCAAGTGGATTTCAACGCGGATGTCCAAAGCCACCAAGGCAAACACCTTAATTTCGAAGTAGTGGTGCAAGTTGCTGTTTTTCTCGCGCGTGAAGTAGGGCGGCAGCGTGTGGCCCTCCAAGAGGCGTTGCCTGCTCGTCGCACCCTCTCCCAGCAGAATGTCCTCGTACGCGCTGGTCATGATGTACAACAGGTAGTGGCCTCCGCCAGCGGCGTTGTAACGGATGTCGCGGTGCACTTTAGTGAAGTTGAATTGCAACACCATCATGTCCATTGGTTTCATGGAAACCTTCTGCACGGGCCAGGTGCAGTCCTGTGGGAACGACACGCACTCAATGTCCGGATCGTAACCTAGGAAGGACACCACGCGGTTGGAATTTGGAATCGGGCTGCCCCACAGGAAACTCTTCTTGATAAGCGCATTTGCCTTGTTGGGCTCCAATGGCTGGCCGGTCTGCGGATAGTTCATACCACACAAAGCGTGCACCGGAAGAAGCGGGCCGCAAAATTCGCCAGAGCATGAAAGGGGAAGATTTTCGTCTGCTCTTGATATAGTTCTTGCCTTATCAATCTACTATCTGTGTATCATGAAGAAACTCAACGGTGAATAAATCTAAATATGATGACGAGCAGAATTGGGATTTTGGCTGCGTCCAGGTTCATGCCTCGAAAAAGACAAAAAATTGAAGTTCCAACTTATTAATATCAAATATGTATACCTGAACCTGTCCGCTCTAATAAATTCTCCAAGCAAATAAAGATTTGATAATGCCAGAGATCGAGGCCGTCCATCATCATCATCATCATCATCATCAAAGAAACTTATCATAAAGTCGAAGGAATGTAGAGCTCCGCCTGCTCTTTCGGCAACGGAATATCCTTGCGCTCGAATCGATAGCGCGTCTCCCAGCACTCTCGTGGCGGGTAGCACACATACGCGTTAATCGCCACAATCACTTGGCCAGTCTGCTTACAGTCATCTGGGCGCTCACTATTGAACAGGGACTCTGTACCCCTTGGACACTTGAGAGATCGATATTCGTAATGGTAGTCGCAAACCGGACAATTGAGATTGTCGTAGACAAAAGCACCGGGAAGCAGGGATTCCTTGGCTGGGTCGCAAAATCGGCAGAGAGCTTTGGTATAAGGGTCCACGATAGGGATCGCGTACCACTTTTCCTCAGAAATCTCGTACTCGGTCACTGTTAGCATTTGCTGCGTGTCGAGCATAATCTCTTTGCCCTTATGCTTCACTGTGCTGTTGGCACCGACCTGGCCACCCATCTGCATGCCTGAAATTATTTTGTGTGGAGGAGAGAATCACTCTCATTTACTTCGGGGAGGATGTTGAGAACAAGGAGACAGAAGGATGACCTTCCTATTAGAATAATAAGCACCAACTAAAAGAAGATGAAGAAGAACAAGCGTGATGAAGTAAGTACTTTGTCCAATATAATGAAAGCACTGCAGCTCAACAACTCATTGACTTAACGTCAGACTTGTATAATCTCAGAAAACGGAGTAGAATCCAGCATAAACATGATCAAAATTCAAATTTGTTGCAGTTTTTACGTCGTCTGGCTTCTTCTTGACGCAGGAGCTGTCTGTTTCGGCGCCTTTCGCTTTCCATGTGGTCTGCTTTTCTGCGCATTGCGTTGAACTGCAACGCCTGCATTTGCTTCGAGATGTCGTAGGACGTTGCACCCCTTCCGACGATGTCCCTGGCTCTCCGCTCTAGCTCGTCCAAGCTGACGTCTCGCTCGTAATCGAGCATGTTCTGTGCATCTTTGTCCCTCTGCTTTTCCATGCGCAAGTCGTAGTAGAGATCGATGCCGGTTGCCTCAAACCACGCTTCGGGTGCGACAACACGAAAGAGTGCCGTGGGTGCCGCTGCGTGGTGCTCGAGTGACATCTCCCTGCGAACTAATATCTCCTCAGCGATCGCAAGAGCATTCGCGGCTGCACCATACGAGCGAGGCACTGCCGTTGGCCCTTCTCCTTCCTCGTTTGAGTCGGTCGCAGCACCGCTTCGCTTGGTCTGCAACAGGCCCAATTGGGAGTGCGTTCCGTCCTCACCCGTGCTCCCTCGAGTAGCGGAGCCCATTGTGCGCCGCTTGGCAGAAGCCAGGGTAGTCGGTCCTCGTTGTTCATCTGCAGCAGCCTCATCATCTTCGTCTATGACTGGAAGTCCACGGCCTGCGACTCCTGCAGGAGTCGCTCCTCGTCCTTTCAGTTTTTGAACCTCCGCTCTCTTTTGAGCAGCCGTGAGGTCCTTTTCGTCGCGCACTTTCCCGATGCGCTGCCGCAGCTCGCGCAGATAGGGGAAGAGCCTCGAACGACTCTCCTCGACGATGTCCGCCATCCCATTCTTCCGTTTCCTCGCCATCAACTGCATCATGCGATTCTTAAATGTTCGCACAAGCGTGCGCGTGGCGCAGCTCGCGCCACGAAGCATTTCCGGCAAGTTGTCCACGTCCTCCACGTCGTGCCAGTCGATCTGATAGTACTCGGGGCCGAGCTCCTTCAACGTGGCGTCTGCCATCTTAAAGGCGACGGACTCCACATGCTTCAGCATGAAGTTGTAGAACATGGTGCGGCAAGTTGCGTTCATCACGAGTTCCTTCGTCACAGCATACAGAGCCTCTTCCACGCCACCCGTCTTGTACATGCCCTCAAAAGTCGTTTCCTGGTCGTATCGCACCTCATCCAGCCCGTAGATGTCATGTAAATAGACCGGTTCTGTGCGTGGCTCCACGTTGCCGCGGAACCACCGCGAGCGGTCGCTCAGGTCGTCCAGCATGAAGAGAGGCTCCAATTCCAGATCCGGGTCGTACTCGTCCTCAGGCGCGTTCGCCGTCTCAAACTCGGCGTTCAAGACGATGTCCATGAAGTGGTAGGCACTGGCCGGATAGAGCGTCGGGTCATCGATGTTGCCAGCCATCTCGTAGATAACCGGCCGCGGTGTATAAGGGTCTGGCGCATGGTGCATCTCTTGCAGCTGCCTCGCGTGCTCGTACGACAACGAAGGCACGTCCATATCGGGTGCGAACTTCAGCAAAACGTGAGCCGCTTCTTTCGTGACTTTCGTGCGAGTGTGCAACAGCGACTGCTCCTCCGATGTTAGCTCTTCTGTTGTCGCACCAGCGCGTTGTCTTGCCTCACGGTCTCTGTCAGTCTCGACGTCCAGGATGTACTCCGCAAGAATACTCCTGGCCGTTGTGTCGTCCATTTCCTGAGTGGGTCGCGAATCCAGTCCGAGGACCTTTAGAATGCGGCGCGCCTTCTCAATCGCGCGCGGGAAGATGGCTGGTGCTTCTGTTGCCGGACCGTTAAAAGTGTAGAACTGACAAGCGTAGGTTTCGACATTGATCGTCATATCCGCGTCGCACGCGCGTACGTTGTAGTACTTGGTTTCCAGCCTGTTCGATCCCGCGGGACGGATCGACTCAGCAGCCGTACCTGCCGGACAGAAGAAGTTCGCTGGGCACGGAAACTGGTTCTTGGCTGAGGATCGCGTTGCTTCTTTACAGAAGTATTTGGCCGGACAGAGCAAGTTACGCATTTCGCGCGGCACTGTTCGCGGTGCACAGTAGTAACCTGGCTCGCAGGGAAAGTCGCCAGCTGTATACTGCGTTGTGGCTTGCGCGCAGGCAAAACCAGGCGGGCAGTCCGTACCCAACGAGTTCTGGTAACAAATTTCCGTCGGTGCTGCACCCTGTGGACACGGCTGTTCGATAGTCGCAAAACGAACCATACCCTCAATGGAACAGACATATCGTTCGTCGCAATCCAAGCAATCCTCCTCGCGCTTGACCTGCGTCGCCGGCGACCATGTTCCCTGGGGACACGGCCTACAGAAGACGTTCTCCAAGGGATCGCCCAAAGCGTCACGGTAAGTTCCCTCGGGACACGGCACGGGAATCTCGGTTCCATCGCTTCCGCACTCGAATCCGGCCGGACAAGGCTTACACTGTACACTGGCCCACACGTCGGCGTACAGACCTGGAGGACACTTCGCTGGGTACTGCTGACCCGGATCGAAGACGTAATGACCAGGCGGACTGGGTTTCGGAATGGCCACACCACGCTCGCAGTACCAACCGAGTGGACAGTTGTCGGTACCACCAGGGTCAGTCACGTTCATGCCACAGAACGTACCCTCGACACAGTTCTTCGGCGCCATCGGGTCCAAATCGTCAACTTCAATCTTACCCGTACCAGGCGAGCAGTATGTTCCAACGGTACAGTGGGTTGGCGAACTGAGCGGCGGCAGAGGTTTCGGCTCCAAGTCGCTGTTCATCGTGAACGTACCCGGCAGACAGTAGCTACCTGCGGGACAGTCGAATGTCGAACCCGAACGACCCGGGAAGACGCAGACTTTACCAGCGGGACACGGATCCGGCAACGGCGCACCGTAGCCTGCGCAAACCGTACCTGCGGTACAAGTGAGACACTGAGTTCCGGACTCGCCGTCAAGGTACTGACCCGGAGGACAAGCTTGTGGCGTGCCCGTAGTACCAAAGCCACCAGGACACGCGTAACCTTCGGCACAAGCCTGCAGCAAGCCAGTTGCCGTGTCGACGAAAAAGCCTGGCGGGACACCCTGATCCACGGCAACCGGTATGGACGAACCAGCGGCACATACAATTCCGGGAATGTTGCACTGTGAGGCGGCCACGACGGTGAAAGTACCATCCTCGTTCTGTTGTCCGAGACTTCCTGGTGGACAATACACACCAGCCGGGCAATCAACGGTGACGACTGGAATCGAGGTGTAGGTTGGCGCTGTGCGCAGTTCGCGGCGCTTCTGTGCCAACAAGCGCTTAATGTTGTCCAAGCCATCTTGCCGAATGTCGCTATCGCCGCGGCCCATCGGCCCGTAGTGATGGGGAGTAGGCAGAAACCCTGTCGACTCCACAGCACTGCCATCTTTCTTGCTGCCGAGCAATTCCTCGGGTTTCGCACCCAAAACGTTGCCTAGAAGCACGCGACGTCTGTCTGCGGACGAGAAAGTATCCCAGATTTCACGATTCGCATCGAACAGATATTGTAGCTCCTCTGGATCGTAGTAGTAGTGGTTCATGAACTCGTAAAAATGCAAAGTGTTGACGTCCGTTTCCTCCTCCTCGTCCAGAGGATCGCTGCCTACCTTGCTGTCGTCAAAGATCGACCGCTGCGATGGCGCGTAGTCACGGAGCATGGTGCGCGTGCCGGCACGCCGCCCTCGAACCTGGAAACGCTCGTGGGCCTGAGGCATCGTATATTCTGTACCGTCTGCACGAACAAAGCGGCGAAGCATGCGCTTGGCTTGTTGCTTCTTTTCCATGAACTGGCGCTCTGTGTCTTCGGGATCATCGACGCCAGGCACTCCGAAGATGCTCGGCTTTGGTACCCTTGCTCCAAACCCTTGTTGTGAATCCAACTTGTAGAAGAGCTCAGGCGATCTGTGCCAACCCCTGGAGTCGAGTCCCAACGCTCTTCGCTCCTCCTGAAGAGTTTCGTTATAGCGACGAATTTTCTGAAGCAGGCGAGGCTTCACGAGGTTGTTGCGCAGAATTTTGCGCTCCTCTTGCGTGATTTGCGTCGAAGAAAGAAAATCAGTCATATCGTCGTCCTGCACGAGATCTAGCAGCTTCTCGAGATATCGCGGATCGCCTGTCTCACTGGCAATCAATAAGCGACGAATGCGACTCGTGACCTCAACAGCATGTCGTACCTTGCCGTAGGGCGGTCGTAGACAAAGTTTACCAGCCGGACAGAGAGGCATGTTGGCGTCCCACCCGTTCTTGGTCCAACAGATGTAGCCCAAAGCGCACTCCACGGGCTCTCCCATTCCGGTTTCCGGACACGTCGTGCCCTCTTCGCAGACGCGGCAGTCTCCGCGCCCTGTGAAGTTCTGGAACGTGCCAGTCTTACAGGGAACCGGTTCGGTTGGCGGAACCAGCCACTCTGAGAAGTTGGTCTGCAGCGCGCCCTCGCAAAAGTGACCACGGGGACACTTGATCGCTGTACCATTCTGCAGCTCGGGTCGGTAGTACCTACCTGCGTCAAGTTTGACGTAAGTGACGCGATAGTCAAAGCGACGCGTCGACAGGTCTTGCAAGTTGCGGGTGACAAACACCTCTGAATTCTTCACCAGCGGCGCCGCGTGTGGTACCGGAGGCACCTTGAACGTACCGTATTTTCGCCGGGAACCATAGGGATAAGCGAACCAGTGTCGAGCTTCGACGATCGAATCTCCGACAATCACATACAGTCGGTTCAGATGGTTCAACGCTGGGTTCCACAAGTTGTGGCCGCGCAAACCCAAAGTGCAACCACCTAAGTGCACGCAGCGCGGTGCCCCTCCCAAATTCAAGTCGTCGTAGTCGAAATCGAGTGCCGGAAACACCACGTCAATCAGTGGATTGACCGGGCTTCGCTCAATATGGTGCACCAAATCCACGTACGGCTCTGCGATCACTGTATGCTGGGACACACTGTAGGTTAGTTGCGACATGCCGACTTCCAGCCGAATGTTCACGTTCGTCTCCGGGTCTGTGACGAGCGCCGGCCGCGTGGGCTGGCACTTGATTTCTGTGGGGCTCAGATAGTGAGCCTGGACTAACTCGTAGTTCTCTGGATTGGTCGAGTCTGCAAACCACTGGCACTGCAGCTCGCGTGCGGCGTCGAGGCGGCGGAAATGGCGCCCTGTAACCACGAAGTAACCCTGAACAGGATGGCCATGGTAAACCGTTTCCGGCATGACCTTCTTCACCATGGCTGGCCTGTACCAAGTCCAGGGAAGGCGGTCCCGTGTGTAGTCCTGGTCGTTCGGCGAAATTTCGAGATATCCCAGGACGGTATCGCGGATTTCCGGCGGATTAAAACTATAGTCAAGCTGATACGCTGGCGGTAGACCCGGCACGCGGCAGCGCATCGATTCTAGCTCTACATCAACGGCTTTCACACTCGGCAAGTGGCTTCCGTCGGGGGTGCTCCACCGACAGTACATGCCGTAGACACTGAAGTGTGTGCCGTTGATGAGGACGTCCAGATCGATAGGCTCGAAGCTTGTGGACCACGGATAGACCTTGAGAATGCGTTGCCGGTTCGTGTACTCAAACGCCAAATTTCCGTAGAATTCTTCTTGGTTCATGGTCACGCGCACAGCAACGGTGCCGAAGCAGGCTTGCCACACACCGTTATCTGTCATCGACACGCTCGTACCAAATGCGTCCTTGCATGGTGGCGCCACGCAGCCCACCGCCGTCGCGTTGATGTAGCGCGCAGGCGTGATGAAGACGCCGAAAGAGCAAGAAAGGTAAGAAACGTCTTGGAAGAACTTGCCTGTAATTGTGACGTTGATGTCGCCGGTGTACGGGCCAACATCGGGTTCGATCTTGTTCAACTGCGGCTCCTCCATCGCGTACCAGTAGAGCTGGTTGCCATCCTGATCGAGGGCAGGCATGTAGCGCTGCTCGTCCACAGAGTAGGAAAACGGATACGCGGTGATGCCGTCTGCGGTAGCGGGTCTCGGCAGCGGCGGTGCCACGCAGGTAAGCAATAGTTTCGAAACAAAGGTTGCTCTAACCTCTTTATCGCCGAACTTGCAGAACAACTGGGGGGACTTGATGAAGAAGTCTCCCACAACTTCAACTGGAGTTCCGCCAGACCAGATACCGCGGTTCGGCGACAGCGTATGTGTCTGGAAGTGCGCAATGAACTGGTAAATGACAGAGAAGTAGCTGCGTGTCTCCCCGCCGTCCAACGTGATGTCCACGTTGATGTCGTGCGGTAGCTGAATGGCCGCAAACTCCTCAGGACTGACAATCTCCTGCAAAGTGGGCACCTGACATTCCAGATATGTGCTGCTGTACACCGTGGCCAGCGTCATGAAGCTACCGTAGTTCCACACACAGTTTGGCAGTTCCGGCAATTCTGCGCGGAAGTTCGTTCCCTGGACGTACAGTGTGACCTGCCCAAATCCGTAGAGCGGGTCGATCACCAACTGGTACTCCTGCTGGTAAGAAATGAGGTCGTGTTGGATGAACTCCAGGTTTTTCACTGGCATGAAGTTCGGCGGGTTTCCCGCGAAGGAAATCTCCAGACTGAACAAGGTGCCGTTGTAGCACGGATCTGGTGGGATTGCGCTTGCTGGGTCCGCTAATATTTTGGTAATATTTTCGGTCGGTAGCTGGTTCTGGCAGAACATAAAGCGCGATGGCACGTTGCACGTCAATTTCGTGCTGGAGAGGAGATCCGCAATGACGATGTAGTCGTTGTTCCACCGGCAATACGTAACTGGGGTCGGGAAATTCGACTCCGGCTGCGTCTCGTAGATCGCAAATGGGTCGAAGTTGGCCAAACGGTAGGGTTCCAGCACGTTCTTGTAGAAGTCGTTGAACAGAATTGGATAGTTCCCTGTCGCATAGATGTCAGCAGTGTTGTTTCCCTGTAAACTTCCGAGTGGCGGGTAGATGTTCACAAATTGCAGCTCTTCTTCGTTGTAGAACTCGAAGTATGGATACGGCTCAACGCTCCACTGATGGTAACCGTAAAGCTGGCCCGCAAGCGCGACTTGCACCTTTAGCAGAGTGGGCGCAGGCACTTCCGGTGTCGTGCAGTTGATGATTCGGAGCGCGAAGTCGCACGTTGCCGGCCGCTCGTAGTCGTGGGTCAGAGGTTGACCAGGTGGCGAGGAGAAGCGGCAGAAGCAGTCGGCGCGTCGAGGGAATCCGGACAGCCAAACGGCGGTTGTTTCGAGCTCGACACGTACTCCGCCACGCTTGGTTCCACGCTGCGGTGTGATCCGCGTGATCTGGTAGTCCGGCTCGTAATAGAATTTTAAGCGTGAGTCGTACATGACGTCCTTTGTGTAACCCAAGAAGATCGGGAAGGCGGCATCGATCTGCGGCACGCGTCCCTGAAGTTTGGATCGCAACGGCATCTGTGGTACCACGCACTCGATGGCCTTCGGGCCAAGCGCTTTCGCGGTCACTGTCAACCGCTCCCCGAGCGCAAGCTCGCTGCAGCAGTACGGGACGGTTGTCGCAGCGTCGTTTACGCACCATTCGAGACACGGTGGCGAGCTACCTGGCGTCGTAGCCACCAGATCGATAGAACCGAATCGACAGAATCGCACATATTGCGACTCCACACCGTAGATCTCTAAGGGCGTTCCTGCTTGGCCAAACTTGGGATACAACATGCGTTCGAGCATTTGCGCCACGCCACCCGAGTAAGTGAGCATCGGTGCGCCGCCAGTGGCGGCAATCGCGAAAATATCGTGTTCTTCGTCCTGTAATCGCGTCACGTTCGTTCGCTGTTCTGTTATTGCGTTCCTGAAGCTGTCAAAGTACGCACTCCGGTCAAAGACGTTCTCGTAGTTGCGCGAAAGCAGTGCGACCTTAACGTAGTAGCGACGATTCGGCGGCAGCGGCTGTGTCACGCAGTTTGACAACACCAGATTGTCGGTCATATTCGTTGTCACGCGCGCGTCGACGCCGAACGTTGTGTCGCCGCCAGCCCGGCGCGGAACGATAACAACGCGGTCCGTATCGAGATCCACGATCAAGCACACCAGATTGCGTGAGTTCTGCGAGAGCACGTCAGGACACATGCCGCATGTCTTCTGGCAGCAGCCGTCAAACACCAGAGAGAAGCATCCGCCTTGAGCTGCATACTCTTGGCAATTTCTCGGGGCAAAGAGGCCGCCTGGCGGTGGCCGCAGGCACTCTCCACTCTCGTTGTCCTCGCACTTTTCCAAGTTCAGGGCCACTGCAATGGTCTGCACAGCTTGATGGTAGACCAATGTGGCCAGCGTCTCGTTGGTCTCGTTGCTAATGGGAGCAAATGGGTCGGGCGTGGTCGTCGTGGTCGTGGTCAAGTTGAATGCAATGCCCGCAGCTTGGTTAGCCTCGAGGAGTGCCTGGGCCGCCGCTTCTTTGCGCACTGTCGCCATTGCCAAATCCAGCGTCTGGAACGCACTGGGTGCCTCGTACACTTTGATCTCGAGATCATTGGACCATTCAAGCAGTGGGTTTTCCTGAATGGAAATCGTCACGTCTACCGTCACGTTGCCTACCAGCACCGTTTTACACCGCATCAAGTCGTGGTTGACGATCGTGGCTAGAACCTTAGTCTCTGAAATATCGTTGTTCATGCGCAAGACTTGTGCCTGTTCCGCCGTGGTATTCAAATTATCGAGATTCAGCCTGTACCGGCAGCGCATGTGCGTTTTGACACCGGCACGCAGGAAGTTGCGCCCGCTGACCAAGATGTAGTCGTGCTGTGCCACTACAGTTGGTTGAATCTGCGTGACCACTGGCGGCGGTTCGAAGTTGAAGACCAGGCCAGTCGAGAGCTGCATCGGTTCCTCAAGCCCCTCGGTGAAGGTTGAGACATTGTATGGACGTGGATCCAGTTGTGCCTCTGAGGCATAGACGCGCAGAAATTTGTTGAGGTACTGGACATAGACTTCCTGGTTCCAGACCTGCGATGGCGCAAGAGCGGCGTTGGTCGTGCACACAATAGCCGTGTCATTGACAAAGCTAGCAACGACAGGCCGTCCGAACCAGAAGAAGCATTGCACTTCTGCACCCTGCTCTGCGTCGGGCTGCAGATTCTTGCCTTTGATTGTGACCTCAGTCCCGCCGTAAGTGCTTCCAAAGAAGGGCGTCAACGAATAGAACATCGGCCGTTCGCGTACCTTGACCGACAACACGTGTTCGGCCACATGGAAAAACGCGAATCGAAGGGGATCTGAAGGCAAAATCAGCTGCAACTGCACCAAGCCAGTGCCACCCGCTTGATTCAGTGCGTATTCGGTGGTCTCATCGGTCAGCGTGCAGTCTGCGTTGTTCTGGTCGATAATCGTGGCGGGAGCCATGATGCTACCTCCAAAGAAGCAATACATGCCAGGCATCAAGTTCTTACCCCGCACTTTGAGCGTGGTCGTGTCCGCGCGTGTGATGATGCGTGGCATAACTGAGAGAACGCGAATACGCGCGGTCAGCGGCACCATCGCGGATTTTTGAGGTTGTGAGGGATCCATCAAGCTTGCAAAGACTACGCCGTCAATGCTTACTTGCACCGTGACCATTGTGTCTGCTGGCACGAACTCAGGTGTTCGACACTTGATCGAACTGGGACTCAGGTATGCCACATTGTCTGTGCCAGAAACAGCGTGTGAACCGAAGATGCACGTCAGATACTGTGTGTCTGAGAAGTGTGCGCCGTGCAGAGTCACCCACTCGTAGCCTTCAACATTGAACTTCGTGGGATAGATGGCGTGCAACTCTGGCATATCCGTGAAGTAGAAGTTCTGGGGCATACCCACCTGCGCGGCCCCACAACGCAGAGTCAGCGTCACCTTCATGGCGGCGCTGAAGCGCGGAATTGTCACTGTGATCAACTCAGACGTCTGCACCAGCGCTGGCGTCGGCAGTGAGTCGAAGTACAGCTCACATTCGTCGCTGCCGATCGGAAACAGAGCGCCCCAAACCGTCAGACCCTCGTATGGTGTCAGCTTGTATGGCAGGTTGTCGAGGCCGAAAAAGAGCTTCTGCGGTGTTGCCATATATTGGAAGGGCAGAATCGGCGTCGAGATGCCTTCTTTGATGTTGATCACTTGGATCGCGGTCTGTTGAGAGAACGATGCCGGTACGCGGCATTGTACTAAAGTGTCGTTGCGCACCATTGCATCTGTAACCATATCGCCGATGCGGCACCAGATGTACGGATACGGAACCATACTGATCGCCAACTGCCGCTCCAGGTCAGTGTAGTGAAAGTTGTGACCGCGAACAGTCAAACTGTACTCGCGCGTACCTTCAGGCGCGATCTGCAGTGGCGCAGCGGAGACGAAAATAGCACTACTTGGTCTTCGGATGTCCAACTCGACATAGTTGGTTTCTTGGTTGACATCGGAGAGAAACAGCGTCACGCGAACGCGGAAATTGTAATCGCGACGCGTGAAGCCGGGTTTGACGTACCTCGGCGGAGGATCAAACCTGAAAAATAGGTTGGCCCGCAACACAGTGTCAGACACAATCTCCACCGGAAAGTCGTTGTCGGCTCTGCCAATTGGATAACCAGAGAACCGCACGCGCAGTGGTGAATTCATGGCATTGAAGTCCTCTCGTGTCGGATCCTCGTCAAAGCGGTTCTTCATATGCTCCTTGATGCGACCGATGTAGCTGTGGAAGTTGTAGCCGTAAATTGTGACTGTCTGGTTGATGTAGGCGCCCATCGATTCCGGATAGATCTGCCTGATCTTCGGCAGTCTGTTTGGCGGAATGAACCACAACGAGTTCTGCGCGATCGTTGTCGGCGGGCATGCTACTGAGACCAAATACCTGGCGAAAAAAAGCTTCGGAGGGAAAGCGCACATAATCTCCGTGTCCGATGTCACACTGGAGTGCTCTGAGACCGTGTACTTTTTGCGGTCCATCAGATCTACAATCTGGTTGCTGGTATCGTCAACGTAGTCCGCAGAGAACAAGCACTGACAGCCGGGAATAAAGTTTTCTCCGATGACTGTGCCAATTTCCATGTAGCCCTTCTCGAAGATGTCGCCGTAGGAAAGTTCGTCCTTGCGGTACAAGCCGCCTTCTGTTAAGCCCGGTGGTGCCCGCAACTCTCTAAGGTACGGCGCTTTTTGTACGGTGACCTTATTCACGAAGAACCACATGACGCCGTCAAAACTGGCGAACATTTCTGCTGACGGCAACGTTTCGTTACGCAGCACGAATTGTGGCAGATGGCAATAGTGTCTGGCGGCGCTGCTCCCGAACAATGACTGCGGTGAGAATTCGCCAGCTTGTGACGCAAAACGAGCGTCAACAGCTAAGACGCGCCCAGCAACGTTTGCTACCTGACAGAAGAGCGTCTTTTCGCCGCCCTGGTTCAGGTACGTGCCTGACGGCGCCGAGTACGCCGAGCTCGGTGACACGAAGAGCGGCAGCAGAGCACCGGACGATACGCCGTACTGAAGCAGTTGCGGCGGAGACTGTTCAGCTGTCGGCATATCCATGTCGACGAACTGCGGCAACTTCAGGAAGCTCGGCGCAGGCTCGACCGCTAAAGTCTGTGGCTCCGTCACAAACTGGACACCATTCGCCATCAACTGGAAGACTAGTTGTTGGGAAGTTCCGAGGAGGTCGCGACTCGGGCAAGCGCACCTTGCGTACGACTCTTGACGGGAGAACATATTCGTGAAATCACTGGCCAGCACAGATTCGACCACCAATCCGGTTGACATCTTGGAGTGCGTCTGCCGCAAATACGCGTCTGAGCGCGGGCTACCGATGTCAGTGAACGTGCATTCGATGCTGCTTTTGTCGGGCACACGATCAAAGTACAAACCAGTCATTTGCAGCTCCTTGCCTAAGCCACAAGAACTTGGATACATCGACGTGATTACGGGCGCGCTGTAGAAGGAGACCGCGCCGGAACCGATAGCAAGACCACCTAAGTCCTCATAGATGTCTTCCACACTGGTTTGCAGCACGTTGGCCACCGGATCCGCCGCGACATCTGCGCCAGGCGTGGCCGGCGGGAAGTTAAGCAGCTTGAAGGATGGGAACACGAAAACTGTCGTTTCCATGTCATTCGGGATCTTGCTATTGGGAGTCTTACACAACAGCCGGTCAGTGGCAGAGTACACAACCTCTGTAACTGCAAGGGCCTCGCCCAACGGTCTGAACCAGACGCAGACGTATGGGAGAAACGGGTTGAACGGTCCGCCGAAGAGCGTGAGATCAGTGCTCCGGGCAATGCCGTTTGAAACATCAGCAGCCTTGTACTCCGATTGCCAAGCAATGTCTGAGTCGCGCACCAGCGGGACATATTTCGGGAAGACGTGCGTTACCAAATTGACGTCCTGAAAGCTGACCGAAAACGGCAGCGCGAAAACGTAGTCGGCCGAGTCGAGCACTGCCCGAACAGATAGCGGAATAACAGTTGTGGGCAGAAGAGCTTCGTCGTACATAAAAGGGCGATTGCATGCCGCGTCCAAACGTGAAACGTAGAAGCAAGGATGCTCCTCGTTGGTGAGGTCGTTGCTCACAGTGCTGAACTCGTAAATCAAGAAGAGTTTGAAAATGTTTTGCCGCGCAAGTTCCACCAAGTCATCGTTCCAGTCTAGCCCTGAGACTGTGATCCGTCCACCGTCTTGAGAAAGTGACAACGGGAAGCCTGAGAAGGGAACCGAGAACTTGATCACCGGGATCTGCAGGACCTTCGTTGGGTTCGGGATCTTCTCTTCAGCCAGGGAATTGTAAGGTAACCCAGTACCAGTTTCCGGGTACAATCGCAGCACGTTTGCTTCATCCGCGCGCGCGGCTTGCTCTTCGGCTTTGGCTCGTTTTCGGTAACTTCCTGCCTCCGGAAAGACGAAGTCTCCGTCCGGTCCGTTGAGGGAGAAGCCCACGTAGTATTCGTGGTTCGCGCGCTCCGTGGTGTGCACGTAGAAGTCATCCCAGTAGTCTCTGGCGGGGCCGACCTCTCCAGGCTGCAGCACGTACAAATTTTCTGGGCGCGGAACCGAAGGCCCGCGGAGCAACTCCAACACAGTGTAGTTGGCCGGATGGTCCGGATCCTGCATGTAGGTCTTCACCAGCGGAGTGGGATTACTTTCCCCCGATTCCGGGAAGAAGCGCGCGCGGCCGAGCAAAGGCAGCGTGCGGATGATCGGGCACTGCAACTTGTCACGAGCAATCCAGCGACCACGTACGATTTGCGTGTTCACGTTGCACCAAGGCTCGTACCTTGTCCAGGAATTCGCTAAGTTGCGCTCCCCAGGACGATTCAGGTCACCAACCGTAAACGTGACGTAGCGAATTGGCATCAGCTTGTAATCCACGTGGACCACGTCAAATAGCTGCTTTGGCGAGTAGTCCTCGATGTAGAAGTTTGGAATGTACTCAAACGCGGCTTTACCCATATTCACGATGCCACCAACAGAACCGGTCGTCTGCTCTGTCAGATTCCTGACGAAGGCGTTGTCGCGATTCTCGCCAGCGCCCGTTGAGATAATCACAGGCAGGACTTCCTGCGCATTGTGTGGCGGGGATTTGCAACGAAGCGCGCTCCACCAAGGATACTGCGTCTCTCGGATGGTCATGCCGAATCGCAGTTCGCTTACGAATTGAAAGCGGTCTTGAATTCCGTACATGTGGGTGATCAAGCGTCGCGGCTTCACGCGGACTGGCGGGGCGACGTCGAAGGTCACATTCTCGGTGTGTGGTGGTAGCGAGTAAAGCGAGTTGTCGTAGTCAGAATCTGTGTAGGCCGAAACGTTGAATTTTTGCACCGCTTCAGCATAGGTGTTGCTCTTCACGTGCCAGAGTCCGAATTCGGCGCCACCACCTAACAATTTGGAGGCTTGGCCCACGCGGAACTCGAACAAAGCATCTGTCTGCTTGAATCCTGGCTCCGGTGTGTGTTCAGTGTTTACGCGGAAGTTGTTGTCGAGATCAATCATCGCGAATTCGTAATCCACGATGGTCATGGTGCTGTTTTCGCGATAGTAGGTAGTGCAGTTCTTGACTGTGCTGGGCTCAGTGTTGACACCGAAAGTCGCGGTTCCGTTGTGCATGGACATGCGTCGGCGATATGCAGCTGCAGCGGATTCCTCTTTTCTCGGATGCCCAAACGGCGTGCCGTCTGCCAAAGAGATCTCCTCGGTACAGTACTCGTACTGTGGTTTTACATGCAAGAACAACTTCGTGCCGGGGTGGAACAGGTAGTAGTAATGTGGAATCGGCGAGTCACGGATCACGATCTCCCACTCTTGCTCTGAATCTGAGAGAGCAACTGTGTAGTAGCTCTGGCCTAGTCGCGGATACTCGTTGATTGGCGCCATTGGGTTAAATGTTCCCTTGTTGTGTGGATTCGTGTGGACCGACAGATACGTTGTCTTACCCTTTGCACTGTTGCTCAGAGTGATTCGAGTTGCATTCGGCAGCGTCGGCGCAATCACGTCTACGGGTGTTGTGTACAGGTTGCCGAAATTGCACGTCAACGAAGCCAGTGGCGAAATGCGCTCATCAAGAAGCGGTATCTTCGCAAGAATGGTCAAGGGTGTGCCACCCTCCATTCGGCCATACTTCGGCTCGATTTCGGCAATGGTAATACTTCCCCATGAGTCTGATGGAATGTTGATGGTGTAGAAGTCAGAATCTTTCTCTGCTTTATCAATCGTTGTAGCTGTCGCATTGGAGGCAGGAGTTGCAACATCTCCCGAGTCCGACGCTGGTGTTGCGCCAGCAGTGTAGGAAGACGAGCTGTCCCCAATCACTGACGTCGCGTCTGGGGCTGAGACTGAACCAACTTTGTCCTCGTCGTCGTCTATGAACTCACCTGGCTTCGTGAATCTGGTGTCAAAGCTTGACATCAGGTCGAAATCCAGGAGGTTGCCATCTGCTGTGGCGTTGATGCCGCTCTGGACCACTGCGAATGGCAACTCTGTGTCTGTGCCACCATAAAACCCTGCTGCGCGACTCGCATAGAAAGCAGATCGCGAGACACTGGCCTTATCCAGGGGGTTTGGCGAGGTTCCAGCCGTGAGAATGCCGGACACTACACCAGTCACCATGTCACATTTTCGGTACGAGATTTCTCTTCTTCCTTCCGCGGTGTAATCGTCTGCCTCTTCCACAGGAAAGGGTCCGTAGTTGCCTAAGCGACAGGCCGCCGAGTCCACTACGTTTGGACTAGAGTAACCCAAAGTGCTCTTACTAGCTTTGTTTCCGGCTATGGCACCATAAGCGTTGGGCGAAAAGTACAACTTGCCACCATCCATGGAAAATTTTGCTTCTCGCACGAAGGGGTACTTCGAGAAGTGGGCCAACGGGAACGCCGTGCCGTCGAAGTTGCGCGGATTGTAAGATGGCTGTAGCTGCAACGCGTTGTAGCCGCCAGGCGGTCCGGATAGGTCTGTAGCATTGGACCCTGGAGGCACGGAGCCCTCCACGCGGTCGCCATCTGTATACAGGAAGTTGACCGCGTGCGGCGCCGCCCGTGGACCGTGCGCACGCAGATACTCCAAGTACCGGCTCGTGTACGCTATGCTCTTCGCTGTGTGGTCGAAGAAATCCAGCCGCCAGCGACATCGCGCCTCGAAATTCTCTAGATGCACCACGCGTCCTGTCATTTCGTCGACGCAGATCGCACTTTCTGTGGCTGGATGACGCAGAGACACCTCAATCACATCTACCGGCTCTTTCGCCATCTCGCTAGCCGCGTAGACAACCTGGAACATTTTACTGCCGTGCAGGCTTATCTTCTGTCTCTTGCGCTCAAGATGGACGTACGTCAAGTCATGCTTGCCAAGATCCCGAAAGTTTTCAGCCTCCATGTCCGTTGGCTTGACTCTTCGTACGTAGAGTGGGTCGACTTGCTCAACAGCACCTTTCACCAACTCAAACCCTGAGCCAGCTGAAGACGCCGTCGCGCCACTGCCAGCAGTTGCCGAAGCCGAGTCATCTTCGTCGAACCTCAAGAAGTAGCGCGCGTTTTCGACGTTGTCTACTGGAACATAGAAAATTTTCAGACCGACGTTCAGGAGCATACCGTGAAAGAGGACATCGTCGGAATCCAGCGTCAGGTCGTATTTGCGCATGACATTTCCATCCATTTTTAGTGTGCCATTGCTCAGAACCGAAGACTTGACCATTTGATTCTGTCTTGTGAACGCAAACGTGTGGCCAGACTCCACTGGCAACTTCCAAGAGAAGTTGCCATTGTTGTCGGCGTATCTCGACGCCATCGGGGGCACCGAGACTTCAAATGTCGCATTGTCGAGGTAGCGAACGGAGGTGCCATGCCAGTCGCCGAAGCGAACTGACAAGTCGTCGGACTGCAGAAACGGATTGGGCTGCATTGAAAGGACCACCTTGTTGTTGGTCGCCAGGTACACTTCGTTAACCGTCTCCGGCTCGTAGAAGATGAAGGCAAGCGCATAGCTGCCCTTGACGATTTGGCTGCGTTTTGGAAGTTTGCTGCGCCGCAGAAACTCAGCGCGTGTCAAAACCGGACTGTCTGCGCTGCTCTGGTGATAGGCGTCTGTCGCTGCGGACATCTGGAGGGCCCGATCCTCTCGCAAGTACTCCACGAAGCGGATGTAGCGATCGCGGTCTTCGTTCTCCAAGTACTCGTACTCATACGCCGCAAACAAATCCGCTTGGTGCGCGTCTTGCACTGTCGGAGCAAGGCAGCTGACGTAGTCGCGGTCGTACTTCGTCGCAGGCGCGAAGAAGTCGTCGAAGAAGCAACCCGCAATGCGGCGCCTTCGAACGCCATCACGCAGAAGGCAGTCGCTTGGATCCTTTCGCCAGTCCGCGACAGACTCGAAGAAGAGAGTGACTTGTTGCAGACCGGAGAGCATGCGACCTTTGGTTGGATCTGACGCAAGGAGCAGTAATTCGCTGTCGCAGAAGTTGTGGTGATCGATCGGGCGCGGAGCTGGCGAGGCGGCATCCAACACCGGCCGACTCGTGGGATCCATCGAAAGAGGAGCGACTTTGGGTGCCGGATGGCCACTGAGATCTTTCTTGTCCAACTCTGGTCCGAAGAGTCTTGTTTTCTCTGTCTCAGGGTCAACTGGGATATCGATAAACTGTTCGGATTCGTACACGCCGTCGTAGAGCAGGCGCAAGCGACGCGAGTAGACTTTTGTTTTGTTCAAGAGGAAGTTTGGCGTCTTGAGGTCCTCGAAAGGGTTGCCGTCGTCGTCCGTGTACATGTAACGCGCAGCGAGGTCGACGCCGTATCGATCCCAATCACAAGTGATGCTGTCGGACTCGATCCGTGCAGGCCAAACCGCATGACGAAAATCGAACATGCACTGCATGTTCAACGATCTGTAGGTCACAGTCGGCGTTTCTGTTCGGAAGCCGATGAACATTGCGCTCTTGTAGCTGCGCGGAGGCAATGGATTCCTCTCAGTCCTGGACGTCTTCTCGACCGCGATTCCTGCCGCGTTGGTCGTAATACCGAAGTCCTTACCATTGAGCACAAACTCACCACCAACAAGAGGCTCATAGTAGCGAAAGTTGTCGACTAGATGCACCGTCTTTCCCAGCGGCGACATAATTCTGACGGAGACTGACTTTGCCTCAGACATTGATGGAATGAGACAGAAGAACGTCGAATCGTCGACGGCAACGCCAACCGAGACAACAGCACGGAACACGTCTGCCTCCTGATAGTCGCGTCCCTGAGCGTCCGTCAGAATGCGTCTTGTGTTGTAGCCATAGTTCTTGTCCTCGAAATTGCAGGTGTACGGCGCATAGCCCAAAAATTCCACAATCGGCGCGGACACACGCACAAAGAGCCGCTGCCTCGGCTGATCTAAAGGCGCGCTCGCAGGATAGCTCGCGAACATGCTGTCGTGCGAGGGCCTGAAGTGCTCTGCTGGAAGAGACGCAGCAAAGGTGACCAGCTTGTTCTTGCGGTAGTTTCGGTACGTTGTCTTCCGACTCGCAGTCTTTGGCGCAGCAGCTCCAGACTGCCAGACCTCGACTGGCACCGTGAATTCTGCAGTATCATGGTAGTTCGACACTTCGTAGTAGTTGAAGAGGAAGCGCATTGAAACGTGCAGCGTTAAGTTCGTGGTGGAAGCGATGACGACCTCAGGCACCTTTGGTGTCAAGCAGTAGCAAACCTTGGCGTCGTAGCAAACCGCAGTTGTTTTGTGCAGTCTCTGCGCGTGAGGGACATACTCCCCAGCAGTGGTTAGGCGGAAGACGCACATGGCTGTAGATGCGTCCGCAGTAGGAAATTTTCGTCCGTAAATGACAAATGTGTAGCCTTGCGCGAGTGGATTCGTCGTCAAGAATTGCTCCCGACCCACGTACGAGTTCGCGTAGAGCGGTGAAACACTCGGGAAAACTTCGCGTCCCCTCGACGTTGTGTTGTATACGATGAACCGATTGGTCGCTACGATGGCGGGTGACTGCAAAACCTCAAGCGTGAAAGCCTCTTTGTTGACCGGCAAAAAGCTGTCGCCGTCTATCAGCAGACCCAAATCCACCTTCACCTTTCCTTTACCGCGCCACACGTCTATTTTTGGCATCTCGCACGCTGCCTGTGACACAGACAGAGCGGATGCGTTCGTCAGATACCGGTGGTCGTAGTCGAAGCGGCACGCAAAGACTCCGGACGGGATCAATGTTGCCACATCTGTGAAATTCGAACCATTGAAAACTAGTTTGGCTTGCGCGGTGTCGTACCAGACTTCGTCTTCCGTGTGACTGAGGCCCATCTGCCCCAGCGGCGGACGGAAATTGGCGGCTAGGTACCGTTGCGAGTCGGCGGGGTCCGCGTGGCCAAGTATCTTGCTCGGCGTCATCGTTTCGACAGAGAAAATGCGAACAGTGACTAGTCGCAAGTTACAGGCGGACCAGTCCAAATAAGGTTCGTGACTTGGCGAATAGCGGAACACATTTCGTGTTAAGTCAATTGGCGCTGGGCCAACGCACATGCCATTGTCGAAAACGTTGCCCCACTGGATGGAGCTCGTGCTTTCCGCCACAGGGAACAGCGAACACAGTCCACTCGCGATCTGTGCTGCGCGCGCACTCAAACCGTCGCTGAGCTCCGAAATGCTACGCGCGTTGTTCACGTCCACTTCCGTTTCCAGCTCTGACAATCCATAGTCCTCCTCTTCGATGCGGTACTGGTTCTCCTTTCCGATCAGCGCATAAGCGGGAACCACTGCGCGAATATCCGCTGGCTGTTTCAGCATAAACCGCTCTTCGTAGAATTCTTCGGGTGCGATGGTCGGAATGATCTGCTTCGAAACCGCGAACCGTGGCAGGTAGATTCCCGGTGTGAGAGGACTTTGAGGCAGAAGGCACGTCAGTCGCTTTGGTAAAGTGCCGTCGAAGGGCGTGCGGGGCGTGGTGACGTCGTGCGGGACCACAATCACTATTTTTGTGAGCGCATTTACCAAAGTGCACGGGGCCATCACAATGTCAGTTACGTCGCGTTCCAAGTTCGGGTTTGTGGCTAGTGTGCTGTTCCAGTAACGCTCTGGCAACAGGACCAGATCAATCACGTTGCTGTCAAATGCTCCCGAAACCTCGAAGATAAGGCTGCTTCCCGGCCACGCTGTGCGGTAGTCAGGCGTGCGGGTGACACGTAGAGGCGGGACGACTGTCAAGGTGTCCAAGTACTGCGTAAAACCACTGAACTCGTTCATGTGCAACAGGCGGATGTTGGCATGAACGCCGTTCGCATACAGAGTCACCTCCATTGGACCGAGTTCAAAGAGCAAGTCTAAGGGGACGTAGCACAGGGCCTTCGTACGGCTCACGATGAGTCCGCGCACGTAATGCCGACCGACGCCGCAGCGCGTTAGGTCGAAAAAGTTGTACTGATACGGGAACTCACCGTAAAGTTGCACGACGTAGGTGTCGACCTGAATGTCATCGCGGCCCGCCAGATTCGACGCACGGATTGCTTCGGTTGCTTCCGCGGCAATCGTCGGTCTGAGCAGTCCAGTCTGGTTCAGAGACTGGTAGGCGAAGTTCGGAATCACCTCTGCCACACTCGCGCGATTGTAGACTTCGATATGAATGCCCGTAGAGATGTATTGCTCAGTTCCTTCCCACTCAATTTCGAGCATGAAAGTTCCTTCGTTCATGGTCTCAATCTGGCACACCAGCTGATCCGTCAAGTCGTCTGGGTTGAAGGTGTCCTTGCGCACGTAGATGTCGCCAGTTTGCGTGGTGGGATTGCCGGACCGCAGCAACGCAGTAAAGCCGCCAAGTTTGCACTTGGTCGCAGAACGCGCGCCCTGGCGGAAGCCGATCGTAAAGCTGGTGTTGAAGGTTGGAATGGTAAGGGGAAAGACCTCGATCACATCGAACCCGGGTGACGTCTGCAGTCGGTAGGTCGGCGTGAGCTGGAAGCCCTCATGTTGGAGGTCCAACACGCGAAAGTAGCGACTTGCGGCAGCCGCGTAGTAGCGCGTCGGACAAATTGTGTAGCTCCCGTTCACGAATACTGGAAAAGCGCGGTCGCGGCCAAAGTCGCAAATGATCTCCTCGTTGATCAAAGCTGCGTTTTCATACAAATTGGCTACATTCGGACCCCGCCTTCCGACCAGCGGCAAGCCGACGAAAGTCTCTCCGATGTCTGGCACCGAAATGTCTAGGACCGTGGCGCCATCCTGCTCGATCACACGGTCAAAGTACTCCAAAGTCTGGCTCATGCTGTAATACCCAAGCCCACCGTTGAAGGAGAGACCGAGTGGCGCCTTGTTTCCGATCCGATCCAAGTTGTACGGAGTGTACTGAATCGTGTAGTTGTTAGCCTCATACGCGGTGTCGTTCCCGTCTTTGATCTGGACAGAAATGGTGCGCTCGTTACTCATCTTGAACTCCGTGTTTCGCGGCGTCACGCAAGTTATCATGGTGTCACTGCGATACGCACACGGCACGTCGGAGGGTCCAACCTGCAACTTGTACACTTCTTCTGGCAAGAAGTCACGCCCGACCAGCGCGATGGGCTCGCTGCCTCCTGTGTGGCCCAAGTACGGGAACGTGTAATTGACCAACGGGTCTGGCACGTATGTAATTTTCAAGGAGAACATCGGAATTGGGGTGTAACTTGCAGCGATGTAGAAGTCCACCGTGTTCGCCAAAGAGCCCGTTTCTGTGCTCAGCCGCACGCGCATCGACGGCCCTGGCGGAGCTTCGCAAATCGCAATGGTGTCGTTCTGGAAGTGCACACCAGAGAAGAACGGATCGCCGTTGAGTTCCGGGGAATGCGAAAACCAGCAGTAGTAACTTACATCCGTTCGAATCTTGTCTGCAGAGAAGTCCCCAGATATGAACAAGGTCGCACCACCACGTTCCGACACTGTCGCTGGTGTCACAAACACGATTTTCGGCACTAGTGTTGTCAGAAACGAAAACTTCTCTGTCAAGGGACCCACCGTCGCAAGGTGCAACTGCACTGCCGTGACGTTTTCGCGATCCAATTGGCACGAAGCTCTCGTATAATCTTCCGCACCCTCGAGTATTTTGTCTGCCGCAGGTCGGCCAAATTCAGCCGGCGTTGAGTAGGTATACAAGCCCAAGCTGTCGTACACGTCGCAAAAGGGTGTCGGATCTCCGCCATCATACAGACCCTTAAACGGAATCTGAAGTCCGGCGAAGAGCACTTTGGCAGCGATACCGGCACCGGGGGAGATTGTGTGGTCATGTTGAACAAAGTGGAATTCTTCGTCCAACTGGATGAAGTTCATGCCATCGAACGATACCCCGAAGCTGTGCGGACCGGTATAGGTTCCTGTAATATTGCACTGCAGAATTCCAGGGCTAAGAATTCGAGCTGTGAAGAGGCCCGGCGTCGCTTCTGTCAGCTGGCTGCCGGTTGGATGGTCACCAACTTTACACAAGGCGCCACGACTCGCGACTGTGAACATCTGATCGAGGGCGATATCGCCAAAAGGAAAGTTTTGGCCGAACACGGTGACCAGGATCGCTGGATCTAGCACCGCGCCACTTTTGGGATACATGCTCACAACTTGAGGCTGCTCCTGAAGACTCATCATGAAGGTCTGTCGGTCGTAAATTGTGAGACCGTTGGCGCCCTCCTCGCTGACCAAGCGCACTGCGTACAACTTTGAGAACATGGTCTCTCGATTCGACACTCCCGCCACTTGGCTGCCTCCTCCGCCATCACCGGAGTTCAAGGATGCGCTCGCCGCGTCACTGGTCTGTGCAGCGTCGACGACGATTTGCGGCACCTCGCAGTATAATGCATGCGGAACTTCTTTCGCGATGACGGAGCTGGCGATCACACGTCGGCCCGTGTCACGATCCTGAAATTCACATCGCATCCGCGCAGTGAGCCCACTACCAACGACTTTCACGTAAGACGGCTTCGAAATACCCTGCAACAGCAACGTTTTCTGCGAGTCCACACTCCACAGCGTCGTCACGGTGCCATCAGCACTAGCAAAAGGTGTCTGCGTGTATCCACTGGATACCCGAATGTTGTAGAACGCGGCTGGGATTAACGAGTGCACGCGGGGTTCCGAAACCTGCGGAATGATAAGCCCAGAGCGCAGATCTGGCATCCGAAGTTGAAAACTGTCAGCCAGTTTGGAAGTCGGGTCATAGCTGGGGTCTGCCGCAATCAGTGGCACCTTGCTGTTCCACGACTGGAAAAAGTCAACGAATGTCTGGAAGTTGCGGACGTTGTCGTAGCTGTCAGTAGGATAGTCCATCAGGTCCGCTTTTCCTGTACTTCTAATGCCAGGTGAGATGCGGAGAGACAGCAAAAAAGGTTTCTGGATGTCGTAAGCCTGCTGGTCAAAGGCGGCAATGTTTAGTTTGCGCAACGCGTCTGCCGCACGAAGGCGTTGTACGGAAGCCGCCTGGACGTCGGGCATACCCGGTAGAAGACATTGCACGCCAGGCGGATTGTTGACGACCTTCGTGAGCAGTTTCTCACTCCCGAGGTAGCAGCTCATGCCATGAGGCGTGCGGTAGAAAAAGCGGTTGCTGTTCATGAAGTCCTCTCCGCTGTTCAGTTTGATCGAGATAAAGTTGTTGCCTGCGTAGAAAATAGAACGAATCAGCGGCTCTGGTACTAAGTCCAGTGTCAATCCCGTGAACTTCAAACCGTTTCCTTCAGCCTTTTCGCGGCCGCCACCGGAGAAGCTGATATAAACTGGATACTGCCCAGCGTTCCGGTCTTTGATCGCTGGCAGGTTGCACGCTAAAACCATACCCGAGCGCCATTCGCAGGCTGCTGTGTTGTTGCGCCAGTTCGCATTGTGGGCTGCGACATCGTCGTCTGGTGGCAAGAACTGTGTCGAACTCGGCAATCGATGCGTAACGTTTGTGGCCTTCTGACCCAAGGCGATGAAAACTCGACCGCCTGGCACGTCGGGAAAGTTCTCGCCGATCAAGTTCACCTTCTGATGCAAAACATTGGCGAAGGCTTGTACCGGAGACAGCGAGAAAAACCGAGGTGCGCGATAAGCTCGCAGAAGCAACGGAGCAGATTCTGGAAAGCGCACGTAGCCTGAATACTGAAGGTCCATACTGCAGTAAACGCCAGAGCTTTGCCACGTTGTGAAGCCCATCGTGGAGATCGCTGGGACGGGGCACTTCACGAGCATGATCTGCCTGTTGTCGGAAGTTCGAAAGTTCTCTGCGATATAGCCTTTACTGCGCATTGGGAACGTGCCCGGCACCATCTTCTCGCGCGCATCCTGTGGATTCACTTCTGCAGGCCGAAAAGTACACGAGACTTCCGTGTTAGTCTCATTGATCATGTTAACGCCGTCTCGGGCGGTTGTGCGCCCGATAACCCAGGTATTGTACGCGGGAAACTCCATGCGCCAAGAAAGCTCGTCTGAATCGGAGGCCATGTCGAAGAAGGCCTCTGTTGATTTGGCAGCCCTCAGCCGCGCAGCTTGTGGTCGCGACTCAAACAGAATGTTCACGCCGTCTACTGACACCTTTACTGGACAGTGCACCCAGCTCTCCAGATTCAAACTTGGAGTCGGACACACAATCACCGGCTTGTCGCTATCCAGGTAGTCCACGCGTGCTTGCGTGCGTTCCCCATTGCAAAAGAGGCACGCGGACGCCGCCACGGCAGGCAAGAGGGCACTCAGATCGAAGTGGCGCGGCAGCTCTAGGTTGGTGAACTCAAAGAACAATTCACTGCGAGCATGCTCCGGAAAGACCAGGCCACGAGCTTCCTGAGAGATCGGGCTCAGAGTGAATCTCATCTCTCGTGTGTTGAAATCTGTGATCCGTTGACCGCCCTCATCACTGAAAATGCGGTTGTTGCGCCCGTCAAAGACATTAGCGTAGAACACGGTTCTGGAGTTCCGGTCGAATTCGTACTTTTCCGGTATTCGACAACGGACACCATGCGCGCTTCCAGCGGGATACGTTGCCAGCGTGTCTCCCTCTACCACGGTGAAACGATTCTCCGCTTCGTAGTAGACAGACTGCCCGTAGGCCGCTTGCTCGCGGACCGTCCTGGGGATCGTGAATTTGCAAAAGGGGTCACGAATCTCGCCGATTTCTCGACCGTGCAGCTGTACCTGAGGCACGCGGCCAAAGCGGTACTGTGTCTGCTTCCCGAAGAAGTTCCGCGTTGGGTACGAGAAAAAACTCGACAAAGGTGAGACGCGGACTGCCACCGCACCGACTGAAGCTGATGAGCTGTCGGCCATCACGCTGAGTACCTGCACACCCGGAAACTTTCGCGTGGATAACAACGAGCAGTCAAGATCGTGCGACCCGCGAATCTTGGCCTCGCGATGCAACCAGCTTTCGGGCATCGAGTTCAAGTCTGAGCGACAATAAAGACTACCTGCTAGATAGGGCTGCGCACCTTCTGCACGGAGCTTGACGAAAGAGGCGGCACGATGCTCGGGCAGAGAACAAGACTGCAGCTCGCCGAGTAAGTTAGTGAAATTGTGCAAGTCTCCATCTTCCCGCAGGGCATCTCGCGTGGGATCTCCCTCCTCAACGCACTGCGAAATGAATCGCGCGGTATTGCCAATCTCACCACCTGAGCGTTCGGTGAGACCGAGAGGCGCGACTGCTCGACTCAATCGGACCACTGCATCCACGTTTCGTGCATTCACCTCTGCATGCGGCGACAGAGAGAGATGCGAGTACTCAATGTCGTCTGTGTACGTTTTGCCGTCAAGTTCTCTGGCTTCCCGAGCAGCCGTTTGCTTGGGAATTGGCGTGCTACCCCATAAATCTCCGAAGATCGGCGTCTTGCACGTCGCGACGCCGTCCTCAGTCATTGGGACCTCGATTCCGTCCAAAAAGCACCGTCTGGGATAACGTTCTTTCTCCATCACAGCAGGCACTTGTTTGAAAACTGCTTCGTTCAGGTTGTAGTCTGAGTGGTCCGGTGTCACCAAAGTCAATGTTGGCACATCCGCTTTTGCGTAGCTCTTCTCGCCTTTGGCACCAGGCTCGCGGATGATCGGCTGAAAGTGCCGGTCAGCAAGCGTAGTCACCCGACGGTCAATCGCCCTGCCCCCGCGGCGATCCGAAGACGCGTATGACGTGGCGGTAACGAGAGGTGCCTGGACCGGCAAGGTGACGGAGCCAGACCGCAGTCCGTTTACCGACTCAATACTGATTTCCAAATCGCCGACCTTAAACGCTTCGAGACCAATGCAGTAGAATTCGTCATGTCGCACTTCCTTTACCGGGTACGTCTTCGAAAAACCGGAAATCGGATCGCGTGCTCGGCAGTAAGTGGTCATGCGTGCTACATCCGCGTCCACCCAGTTGATACTGTCCTTCGTGAAAAACACACGCAGACCATGAAGCTGATTCAAGTGCGTCTGCGGAGGATATACGTGCGTTGGCTGTGGCGGTCGAAAGAGTGTCAGCGACGCTTCGAGCAAGGGGCTCTTTGCCATCTCGGCGACTTCAAGCTGCCAGCCCATCTTGTCCGACAGTCCATTGTGTTGGGCGCTGCCGGGAACGGGAGCATCCTCGCCGTAGTATCCGATCCTGGGCAAAGGGCAGGTCAATTCGGTGTCGGAGATGATGCGGACTGGCGTTCGCCCGAGTAATCGACCATAATAGCCGGTAGAGCCAGCAGAATCTCTGGGAAAGTCACGAAAGGCGCATGACAGGGAGCTTGCGAGTGTTGGCAGGTCCGAAATCATTTGCAGTGTCTGGCGCAGTGAGGATGTCGTGACGCGCACCTCTGGATATACGCGCGCCCCGCCGCGAGTTGGAAAGGGAGGCTGTAGGACGTTGATAACATTGGGGTAGATGGAATCCAGTTGCCACTTCTTGGTCACGAAAACCTTTTGCTTGGACTCAAAAACCGGAGAATTCGTCGCGTGTTGGTCGATCAGATCCGCTTGATACAAGCCATAGTGCGGTAGTGTGAGAGTCAAGTTGCCGGATGTTGTCCAGGCATCGTCAGCGCACGCATAGACTTCCTCGCCAGCCAATGCGATAGCGGGAAATTCAAAAATAGCGTCCGCTGGCGCGCGATCGTTGAGCTTAAACACGCACTTTCGCACAGGCCGCTTTGCATCAATGTCGCCCGCAGGATACTCGTAGTCAAGAGCCCAACGTCGTGTGAGATACTCATTAGAGGCGATTTTGTCCGGTAGCGCCAGGGAATTGTTAGCGGCAGCAACGGGATCGAAGCGACCATTGCCGTCCAACAGCGGACGATCGTACTTCAAGTGCCGATGATGCCCAAAGTCTCCACGATCATCACGCCAGCGAAACGGCGCTGGACCGTCGCCTCCCACAACAACCAAGTTCAGATGCTTCGTCACACTGTTCGTGATTCCTTTGGGCTCCAGAAGCATATCCGTGGGCGGAATCAGGTCTACTTCGCCGGCACGGATGAAAAACTTTCCGCGCATGGCCTTCGTTGCGCCGAAGAGCCGACAACGCACCTCCTTGCTACCTACAAAGGTCACGCGCCCATCCCGATAGGTCTCGCTGGCAGTTTCTATGCCGCAATGCGTCAGAAAGATGGGATCGTCAAAGAGCCCGCCACCCTGCGAAAAGTACTGCATCGCGTCAGTAGTGTAGTCCCCCACGCGCTCTACGCGGATATCTGCCCCCTTGTCAAAGTCGAATATCACTTTCTTTGGGACGTGAATCGTTTCTGCTGCTGTGTTTACATATGTGAGATCGCTGCTGCCGATGTGCGTTTCGCCATGATAAATTGACAGTTTCACTACGAAGTCCTCGTAGATCCGCTTCCCGCTTCGCACGTCTCGCACTTTTACCGGCGCACCGAAAAAAGCACCCAACTCGTATCCTGTGGGCGCGGGACCGCAGCTGAGCAGTCCACTGTTGATCCAGTACGCTGGCGCAGTCCTGCGCTTCTGCGAGAAAGGGCCTAAATTTGCGTATGCGTCGCCCAGCGAAATGTTGAGGATTTCCGCTGGCATTGTCCCGATGCCGCCACCTTCGCGGTTGCCGTTCGCGTCGGCGATGTAGTACTCGTTTTTCTCGATATTTAGTCGCAAAGTGCTGTTTGCGGCCGTCGTGATAAACGGAGAATGCCAGACGCACTGGTAGACGTGCAAATACTCCACCTCATCAATGCCCCCAGCGTCCCGTCGCAAAAGTGAGTAGCGGCTGCGCACACGGAAATCCTCCTGAGGAAAGTTCATGCCAAACGCGAAGACTTCGACCTTCTTCGTCACACCGGTGAATATCGCTGGAGGATGCACAAAAGTCAGCTGGGGCGGAAAATAGATAGGATCCTCGTGGTAACGACCCTGCATCAGGTCTACGAAGCTGGTGTCCGTGGATTCTGGCGAAAACAAAATTTTTGTGATGCGCTTGTCATCATGCGGCCGCACCGTGACCGTGCTTGTCGCGAATCCTGGGACCACACGCACGTAAATCTGCTGCGCCACCGGCCAGCTCACAGCGTCACATAAGACTGTAGTTGCGGAGGCGACTAGCGCGTCTTTTCTCTCGAACCAGAAGGTCGTGTTGTACTCTTTCGTTCCGTTCAACGGCTGAATGCGCATCGTCCAGAACTCACAGTACACGCCATGGGCAGACCCCATCAAATAGTTCAAATCCTGCACGTTTCTAACCTCCGAAACCGTACCGTTACCAGGATCGAGTCTGTGGTAGTCGGCCAGCACATTGTCTTCACCTACAAACAGCCGCGACACAGCGACAAAAGTCTTTCGGTCCACCTCCATATAGCGTGGATAGGCAATCGCCGGCCCCAACTCGCCATCACGCAGAGGTATGATCTCGTTCGTCTCCTTGGCATTTTGCACACGGAGCTCGAAGCCGGGACTTGGATCTCCATCATGCAGAGCTCTCGACCGCAAAACCGACACAATCGCGCCTCCAATAATGTCCGTGCCACTCCCTTCCAAATATTCTAAGGGGTTCTTGCGGCGCTCACTCGGCTCGAAGGCGCGCGTCGTCTCGTGTGACATCACGAAGTAGCCGTAGTCGTGCCATGGCACGAGAGAAAGACGGAAGTAGACCTGTCTTCGAAATTTGCCGGGAAATCGGCGGATGCTTTCCGGTACACTGCACGTATACGACCTTCCGCTTGAGTCCGCGGGCGGTGCGGCAACTATTTCAATGTGGTGTTGTCGGTCCTCCTCGAATACTGCGCAAAAAACGTCTGTATCGTGAGGAAGTGCGTCAGTCAGCTCAAAAATGACGTTAGGTCCGGTTACCATACTCCACGAGGGATCGCTGCTTTCCTGGCCCTCGTGACTGCCGACCACTGTCGACGGCCCGACTTTGATCACGGCTGGCACTGGCACAAGCGAAAACTTCCGTGTCAGTGCGTTCACGAGGCCCTCGTCTAGTCGTCTGTACCGATGATCCTGCGCGTCATCGCACGGCACCGGCAAAAAGCTGTCGGCTATGTTCGCTCGGCTTTCGTCAATGTCAACCACCAGATTCCGAAACCGAGCGTTGGGCGAATCTACAGTGCAGTGGTCCCTCGAGCGGCCGAATGTCAAGTGCACCTGTTCAAATTGCACAGGGAAACTTGGAACTCGACACTTTACGGCATTGGACTCATGTAGGATCTCTAAAGGCTCGTCTTCCAGGAAAATCGAGTCGTAGTTGGATTCCCACCACACGCACTTGTTGTTCAGTAAGCGACTGAACCCTGTCGCCGTAGTGCCGTTCATAGTGGTATAGTTGTAGGTCGGAGGGACCGTGTCGACTTGCACCTTTACGTACCCACCAGCTGCGCCACGAAAGAGGACGTGCTCAGGATAAGTGCTCATCTTGGCCTCGTACGTCACTTGAATGTGCAACGGCTGAAGCTGAGGCAGTTCGACGCGCTCCTGGAAGCTAGCCGGTTTGAACGGATCCTGCGTTGTGCACACAACTAGGGAATTTGGCCTGTGCTTTTCTGCGAGCTGTAGCAAAACCTCACCTTGCACGGCCCGGTCCTCGGGTAGCGGGCAGTGAATCACGCCACGATTCTGCACAACCGCCCGAGTGCGAGCGGTCCGACGCTTGTGGTAGTACTCACGACAAGTTGCGTCCGCTTGAAGCGCCTCGTGGATTTCGGGCAGTTTGCCATCGCAAAAGTCGAGAATGCGCGACTCTGTGTAGAGACACTCAACCTCGGGCACGTAGGATTGCTGGTGCAGCGGCTGGAAACCGGCGCCACGAATCCGTATGTAGCCTTTTCGCAAATGGTCATCGTAATGTTCCTGGTCCACGACACAAAACATGGGTTCGCTCACCTCAAACGCGCGTCGTGCCACTCGGAAGAACTCTCGAGAGTCCCTCTCTATCCTGTACGTGGTCAATGCGAAGGCTCCTCGCGTGTCTTTCACGTAGTTCTCGCGCGTTTGCTCGTCACCCAAAGGCAGCTTCGCCTGCAATTCGACGTCCACGTCTGAAAATTGCAACGACAGGAAAACATCAAGCTGTTCACCAATTGGCAGTCCTTCCGGAACCGTGCAGCGAAAGCCATCGTCAAACAGCTTTGCAGAAGAAAGCAAACGACCTCCGAAGCGACAAAAGCCCAACAACCCGCCGCCCTGCGCTCCGAGACCCCGCTGCTGCTCGAACAGCAGCGAGACCACGGTGCCCGAGCGACCGTACGGTGGATCGATGCTGGTTATCCGGGGAAGTGGCAACGTGAAGCGAAACGGAAAGGAATCCGTCACAAAGATGTCATCGTTGAAGCCAACATCTACGCGCACGTCCATCTCGACTGCCGGTGCCATAGGCGCGTGACACCAACACAAGGGTGGCTTGGTCAGTGGGTCCACACTTCCGTCTGCCAATTCCGGCAAGTCGACACGGGTGACCACGTCCTTCGGACTAGAACGTATTGCATCGGGAAACAGCAAATTGTCAGTTTCAGCTTCGAGGGCATCGAAAGTCGTTGAGTCGTCCTCGCCGAAGGTTGAAGAAGACGAACTAGAAGATGTTCCTGTGCTAGTAGAACTACTGTCAAGCACCGAACGCTGCACATCAAGATTAAACGGGTTCCCAGAGACCATAGCGTTGCGGTCCAAGCACACAACCGGCGAGGCCCCAGCTAGACCGAAACGACACAAGAGACGACCGCTGTTTGCATGCAGCATCTCACCGAAGAGGTAGACTCGCGTGCCACCCAAGCTTGGGCCTTGCGATGGCGAGATTCCTAGGAGCTTTGGCGGACTATTTGCGCTGAAGCGAAAATTTGCGATCGGCGTCAAATATGGAGGCGCCTGGTTCCGCACGTGCACAACCATCGCGTCGAAACTTCCTAAAGGCACCTCGCAAGCCACCGCCCAGTAGCCGTGGTTCTGGGCCCAAGTATTGGCCGTCCAGAGAGCGTCGCGAGTGATCTCGCCGAATCGGCACACGACGTCGAAACCTGGGTGTCCTCCGCTCTTTTCGCCGTCCAACAGTACAACTACAGTGCGCGAATGCCGGAGCTTGTGCAAGCGTTGGTGCTGGCTGCTCTCCACGTCCAGCGACTTTAGGAAATACTGTAGCCTCCGAACACGCAGTTCTGGGACGTAGGTAAACTTGTGCTCCGGAAAGACGCGCAATGGCTCCTGCTCGGGATCAGCTAGTGGCGTCAAGGATAAGGAAAAGAGAACCGATTGCGAGAGGCCTTGAGAATTTGTCGTGTCACCAAACACCGGCGTGGGGACGCGGCACGTAGCTCGAGCACCGTATACCTCGGCTTCCGTTATCATGAACACGTCAGATCCGAAGTGGCAACGCACGTTGTAAGCGTCCCGCGCGAAACGGTTGCTCAGCGTGACAGTGACGTTACCCCCGCCTCGCGTGGCAAACATCGGCGATACCCCTAATGTTGTGACTCTCGGAAAGTAGGCAAAGGTAACGGTGTTGTCGCGCCCATAAAAGACATTCGTGTCCGACTGCGAGAGGACGACACCGACCAGAACCTTCAGATAGGCGTTGGTCCGCACGGGGGGCACGCGGCATATGACCGCCGTGCTGTTCATCACGCGTGCAGGGACAATCTGATCTCCGAAAGCGCAACCAGCAATGGTCGGGAAATCTTTCAGCGTGTTGAAAATGCTTGCATCACTAACCAACTGGAGTGCTGCCGCGGTCCCGTCGCCCATGCTGTGGTCCGGCCAACGACCGCGCAGGATCACCTCCATACCTGCAACACCCGAGCGTGGTGTGACCTCCTCGAGCTCAAGCGTTTTTGCGTTACTCTCTTGGGTCAGGTACGTGCTTACTAGCGAGTCGACCGTATCAGAAGGCGTCCACATACGACGGTCCAAGGACACTTGCACCTTCATATTTGCCTCCGAGACAGTGTAGAAGTGCGGAACTGCGCAATACATTTTTCCGCCGACAAAATGGACGCGCTCCGCTGGATGGTCCCCAATGCGGCAGTACGCGTTTTCACCTCCGAAGTTGCGCCAAATGCCCTCCGCAGAGCCGTCGCCCCTTACCTCGGTCCCGCGTAGTACAGGCAAGAGACTCGTCACCCAAGCGCCGCCTCGAATACCTGCCACGGAGCCGGCATGCTGCAGATCGAGACTCTGCCGCATCAAGCGGAGTTTCAAGGGATTGCTGGTCCACGTCGCGTTGGGAGATTGCAGCGAAATCATAATGAAGGGCACTTCGATCTGCATCACTAGCGTACCTGGGAGCAAACACTCTACACGCCGCGAGCGCAAGTGATTTCCTGCAGCTGGAAGATATGTCTCTCCGTCTGCTGACGTTGTCCAGCCCGTTTCCGACACGTAGTCGGTCACGACCGCAGCAAGGTGACCCGACCGAACACCATTGTAAACGCACTCCACCGGTGTGGCACCCATGCCATCCAAGGTGAGAACAATGGACCTATCGGCGTTGGCTTGCAGAATGTGAGTTGGATCCAAGTCTATGATAGCGCCTGCCTGTCCGTAGCTTATTTGCTGGTAGTCGTAGTTGCGCGCGAAGTATGCAAGCGGCGAAAACTCCTCCGCCACTGGGTCGCAGGTTCCAATGCCGTCGGGGCAGTAGATCATTTCGGCAGCAGTGACATTATCCCACATCATCGGCACTTTCCGGATTACGTAGTCAAACCGACGGTAGTCTTTGGTCCAGTCCAAGCGAATCCCATCTTGGACAATCTGCTTCTCGAACACTTGCCCGCCTTCCGGAGACCAGGAGTAGGATGTGCACGGCTCTGTATGCAGAAAGCAGCGAACACTGCGCAAAACGTCGGTCTGTTTTTGCGCAAAACTGGTATTGTAGTCAAACAACGGCGTCCGCTCATACGTGAGCAGTTGGCCAAGCGGTTCTGGGAACCACGCAATCGAGCGTGATGTGGTTAATCTGACACTGTCGATCCGCAGGGCAGTCACTGCAACGCCACTGGTGGTGCTGTTCGACTTCGCGAACGTGATGTTGTGGCGTCCAGGGCTCAGCGCGAAGGGAGTCGAGAACGATACGCTAGCCAACGTCGCTGATGACAGCGTGGCGCCGGCACTCGTGTTCTCGTCGAAAACTACGTCGACGTCGCCAAGCAAGTCGATCTCGAAAGAGACCGCTTGCGGAACTGGTGTTGTTAGAAGCTCGCCATCGATGTAAAACTGAACTGTCACGCTCCCAGGCCCAGTTGCATTGCTCGCTGCAGCACTGTAGCCGATCTGGGTGGTGTTCTCTACTATGACAAAAGGCGGCTGGAGATCAAAACCTGCCTCGCTGACAACGACACTGCCATTCCGAAAGGCTGTGAGATCCAACGGTTGCTCTGCCTCTTTGAACGGATTCTGCGCTGCGTAGTATGTTATTGCAACGCAGGCTGGTGTCGAAAGTGCAAGATTCGCGCTGGCGTCTCCCGCCGGATTGTAGTCGTACTTGGTTCGTGGATTCTGCAACGAGTAGTTGTCACACTCAGCTTTACAGCGCTCCACCGAATCAAAGCCCACGGCAGCTGCAAACGTCGTTTTCCCAATGTCCCAAGGCTCGCAGCGTTTGAAGCCCTCAACTCCAGGACCCCAGTCGTAGCGCGGGGACGTGAAGGCGAGCTCGCGTGGCGGAATCGAGAAACGAATTGTGGCCGGAGGCGAATGTTCCTGCAACGTGCTGTCCAGTACCGAGTACCGTAAAACGAGGCCCTGGATGCCCTGGTTGGCGTCGTCAAGTCCTCCTTCGTGCGAGTGCTTTTCCAGCTTGACTGACGGCGCCAGAAGTTTTTGAGCGGCGGGCTCGATGTCGCGGTAAGTGGTTGTGCCGTTTGCGTTGCTGATAAGCTCAGCTGTGGGTGCCACAAAAGTCTCGTTGTCAGTTTTCACGCCGAGCCCAACTGTTCTGTGCACGTTGCCGTCCAGAAAGCCGTAAGTAACGCGTGGATCCGGTGTAGTCGTTGTCGTAACGCCTAAGCCCGCTATTTCGTCTTCGTCCACCAGCACAAGCAGGCACCGCACTCCTGGGGACAACAGCGTGCGGTGATACACGAGTTTGAGGCCGGTAATAGCAGCCGATCCGACCGTGTTGCAGCCAGGAAGCTCGTACATGCGCGTGAAGCGCGGGAGTTCGTTGATGTAAAGACGCGTCTCGGTGTAGGTCGCAGGCACGGCGGTAACAGTCGAGTTCAAACGCACGATGTTCCGAAAGCCATCACGCCGCAAAACAACACCGATCTCATCCTTGATATCCAAAAGCCGCCACGTCGGCCCACGCGCACTTCCACGCCAAAACATGCGTCGAAGGCCAAGCCGATCATGCGCGACGTTGCCACTACCTTCGTCAAACCGGAAGTGGAGAAGGCTATTCGTATCTGTGAGCAAGCTTGCAGTGGATACTGCGGCAAGGCCCATGCGAAACTCGTCGAGAACAAGGCCAGCGGCGCTCGCCGAACCCACTAAAAGTGCGGCGCTTTCCGAAAAGGGTGTAGTTCCTATCGATTTAAGCACGAATTTGCGGTCGTCAACGAAATTCCGTATGCTCTCGGTCTTCTCAGTACCGTTAACCGCAAAAACGATTTCGCGCTCCGAAAAACTGAAAAAAAAGTCGTGATACTGGAATGCGGTGAGGACGCATTGCCGTGATTCGAATTCACCTTCCCACTGACGCTGTGCCGGGTCCCAGTTGAGCTTCAGGACCGGATATGCCAGGTCTGTTCGCGTTTCATCCTTGCGGAGGACAAACTGAAAAACGCCGCCTTTCGCGAGCAGAACTTGCTCACGTACTCGCGGCGATGTCAGCGTTTTGCTTGTATCCACTATCAGCTCGTTCCCGCCAAAAGCAGCAGAGATGCTACTTCTACTCCCAGACGAGACCCCAGCACTCGAAACCTCACTCGCAGGTGCGAGCCACGAAGGCGAGTAGCGCAGCCGAATGAGCGCGCTAAACTCATTCAAAAGCCGCGGTGGGAAGTTGTCCAACTCAAATCTTCCCTTTCCGTCAAATTGCAAGCCGAATCCGCGATTTCCCGCCTGTACCTGCAATTGCCTATTCGTGGTCTCTGTATCGTAGAGCGTCTCATATTCATTCTTTCTATCGTCCTCCCCATGTACGTGCGGCCTACTTTCATGAACAGCGAAGACTACCGCAGTGAGCCACGAAAAAAGCAGACCAAAGGCCACACCAAGCCTCGACCAAGACATGCTGGGTTTCTTTGTTCCAGCCGCTATTTTTGGTGCCTTCACCTGGTGCCAAGTTTCGTAGCAAGTATGGCCCACCTCTGCCACGAAAGTTCTTGTTCGCCATTCCTGTCTCGGAATTGCTGATTGGTATCTCGAGCTACCCTTTTCTCCCAATGTACGACACTCGCTAGCTTTTAAAACACACCCCTGCCCTTCCGAGAGCCGTAGCCGAGGCCGGCTACCCCGGGCAGCGACTTCACGACGAGGACACATCGTACGACATGGACGTGCCCGGAAATGCCTGCCGTCAGAACAAACGAGAGGCATGCCCCGATATCGAAGCACATTGCTCACGTGCTTTGCTGTTTCATTGATATCGAGCGTGCGTTTTTCCTGTTTTTCGTCGAAGCCTGTTGCTTCCGCGAAACATATACCGGAACTACCACCTCTCTTCTGCCGTCTCCACGAGGAAGAGGATGACCCTCCAGCCTGCTCTAGACAGGAAATCAAGCCGTCACTCATCTTCCTTATGCCAGGAGGATTGGCTAGCACCTTGTCAAGCATTGAAGGATCAAGTGCGGCCGTCCCATCAGCAGTGCGATGTCCTACAATATGGTCACCCGCATTTCGCAATTTCCTTCTGCGGAATCTCCAGGTCTGTATTTCCGTTAGTGTATCGTAGTGCGATTGTATCGTAGGAAAGTTCCACCTTATTCGGCCACGATTCCTGGACCTTCTATAGTAGATACCAGTGCTGCAGCTGCTTTGGCCGCTACCATCGTCACCTCTCCACTGCTCCTGCTCTCTAACTCTAGATTTGCTATCCCTTGCAAGTTGAGGCTGTTCTCGTCTTGGTATTCTTTTTTCTGCTCCTGCTTTGTTTCCTTGCCGACGATCACTGCCAAGGAATGAAACGCCTGGAGTCCGCCGCGCCCTCCATACTGGTGTCCCAGAGCCGCATTTTCTGCTCGACGATGTATCACTTTTTTTCTCGTCAGTCGTCCCCGCATAATCGCAAGATCGTGATTTCTTTTGTCGCTTTATCCGGCCATCTGCATCTGTGGGTTCGACTTCTTCTCCAGAACCACAACCAGATTCTTGCGCGCCCCTCCTTGATCGTATTTCTTCTGTTTTCGCATCACCATGTCCCAAAAGATGGTCTGTTGAAAAAGTAGAAACCCCTCCGCTCGAGGGCCCACTCCAGAAAGTAGTCAACTCATTTTGAACGTCTCCCGGCGGCCTCCGTTTCCAGTTCCTCCACGCGCTCCGCTCCATTCAACCAGCGCATTGGAGGCGGTTGCCCACCTCGAACTCTACAACGGGAGTAGGTTTGCTCGCCAAGCAAGCGCTGACGTTGTTCTGGTTTTACTTGGACGCATCTAGTATCGCCAAACCATGCTCTTTATCGAAGTGTTGGGATCTTGAAACAGCTTTTTTTAGCCGACGTGGCCACCAACAACTCGCAACATGCACTACTCGGTGTGTTTTCTCTTCTGCTTGAAAACGGGGTAAGAGCAACCATGCATTTATTTTCGATTTGTATACAATCACATTCACATGAACATATGAAGATAGTTAATTGTGATGCCAAATCATTTCGGATACAATTATTATGGACAACTGCATGACAAAGACAATGACATAGACAATATGCATCATAACAACTAATGCTAACTACTACTTGACCAAATTAGTATACAGACTATGGTTTCGCCTTTCCAACCTCACCGGCCAAATGGCCACCTAACTACCGGATATCCCTATGACGTTCTGTTGTTTTTCGGATGCGAGAGGAATGAGTTTGCTTGAAAGTGGATGCATGTGAATCGAGGAGTGTCCGAGATAACCGCGTCTGAAACATCAATAAGCTTAGATTTTGCAGCAACTTTTTACTCATACAAATTTTCCGTACATTAATTTTTGCAGAAAAAACTACTGCACGCTAGGTCATGATTTCTCCTTCATCATGCTGACGTACCTTGTCCCAGTTGGGATATCTTCAGCCTTCTCTTTCATTTCGCTCCTCTCGCAATCCTCTTGTTCTCTCACAGTGGTCCTGGTCACGCGACCTCATCACCTCATAAAAAAAATCTCTCAAGATCGTTTCGTCACACATTGATGACCGCTCATCTCATCAGACGCAAATCTCTTCATGACCATCTACATACCTTTATTTCATACTACAAAGTAAAATGCTCACATCTCATGCTCTCGTCTTCTCTCGGCCAATTTATCATCTAATCGTTGTTATAGGCGTTTTTTCGTTTTTTTGGTACCACCACAACCAAATTCAAAGCTGTAGTCCAACAACTACAACTATGTCTGTTCTCCACACAAGCAATCTATCATGAACGGATGCGGGTTTGAACTTGAGAAAAAAGCTTGCAAATTCGACTACTTACAGGAATGGTTTTTCCATCGATCTGGACCAGTGAATGTGACTTACCTGGACGAGGGCGATGATCACCAGTCACCCAAAAACAAATGTAAATGAGTACAACTACTACACATGCGTATGCGATGATTGTCAACTTCAAGATGCGCTCAATCAGTACAAGATCAAGAAGTCAAGCCGACGCAGCGATGGTCAGCATTATACACTAACTTTCCTGCATCGCTAATATCACAAGTAATGTACAACAAATTGAAAATACTTCGCGGTATTGGCAGAGTAGGAATTTGGAACACCTTCCCATGCGTACGAAATGGTACCGAAGAACCAAGCACAACAAGCAGTCCGTTATAGAGGAACTCTCGAGCTATTTCCATACTCCTGGTGGCGAGGCTGCGGGGGTGCAACGACCACGCGTACCACCGATGCCGGTTGTCAAGGATGGCTTCACCGTCGCCGCTCCGAGAGGCTTCTTCTTCAGCATGCGTTGCATCTCTGATCGGAGAGCTCCGTTCTCGGATTTCAGATCGGAGATGGCTCCCCATAAACTGCCGATTTCGTTCTGCAGGAAAGCGCTAGGGTTCAGCATCTGTGCGGCCATCAGACTACCATCGTCAGTAGGAGGAGTTATTTCGGACGACTGAAAAGCCTGTGCCGGGAATTGGTATGTTGCGTGCTGGGGGATTGATAGGCGCTGTTGTGCACTAGAGGCACATTCTGCCCTATTCCTAGCCGTATTTCTCCTACCGACTGCCCGTGCTGCACTAGTTGCAGTAAAAGAAAAGGAGCGTTTCCGTTGACCTTCTGCAGCTGGCTTATTTTCCAGACCACGTGACTGACCTCTACGGGTTTTGCTTTTCGGTGATCCGACCACTTTTTGGGTACTTTTGTTAATTGTAGTTGGTGTAGTTCCGGCTCCCCGGCTAGTTGTAATAACCCCTGCCGCTCTCTGGTGAAACTTGTTCTGCGTCCTCACTCCAATCGGTGCGCAAGACGACCGAGAGGACCGCGGTCTACCTTGATACACCTCCATTTGTACATGTGGTCTACTTTTGTTGTGGTTATTCTCAGTCTCACCTGCCGCTTCATCTCCAGGTGAAAATCTCGTTGTTGTGGAGGCGGAGGGTTTGCGACTAACTCTGACGCCCTCGCGTTCGTCTAAGTGACATGTGGAAGTAATGGGGAGTATTTGATCTAGATCTAAATCGTCGATTTCCCCTTTACCGAGTCCGTCATCAAGATGTGAGGGTCTGGGAATCCACGAAGATGCCTGAGAGTAATTCTGGTAACTCGATGAGGGCTTAATGCCACCTCCTCTACTTCTTGAAGTGGGAATGATCCCGGCAGCGAGTGTAAGCCGCTCATAATTTGAAGCTGCCTCATTGCTCTTAGCATATGAGAGTTGTGCCCCAGGCGGTTCAACGTCCTTACTTGACAGCCTCGCATCTGCATTTGCGAGAGCAGCCTCGCGTGCCAACTGATCATAGTGAGTTCCCTGCGTGCCTCGAGCACTGTACGATGATCCCAGAAAATCTAACTCGAATGTTCTTCTATATGTTGTTTCATCAGCAAGATGATTACGAGGCGATTGGGGTTGCACAGGTGACCACTTCGACGACTTGTTCGCAAATGCTGAATCTGACGATTTCGATTGACTTCTTCCAACGCCTGATGAAGTAGGTCCACCCTTCTTTATCATCGTAGATGCCGCATAATTACGAGGACCTGCTTGATTAGTGCTATGGCTGCGCCTATTTGGTATCGCCTTTCCCGCAACTCCACCAGCACCCGCCCGTTGGGTGCCAGGATTTGTAGAGGGCCCTTGTTGTTGATGAGTGCGAGACAGCGGCCGAAAGCTGTGGAGCTGCTTTGTCTCCGATGCAGAAGGAGTTCGCGCTGTACTACCCGGCCTTTTCATGGAAGAATCCCATGGCCTTCGAGAAGCGGACGATCTGGCGTTCTGCTGCAGGAAAGAGTCTGCTGGAGATAAGAAGGTATTAATGTCCTCGCGCTTGCCCTCGCGAAGTGTAATGTGTGTTCTGTAGACCGAGACCATCAAGTAGTCCCAGATATGATTTGTTGCGCTACTGCTGAAGCTAGGACGCAAATGCAAGAACAAGCATTTGAAGTAAAACGATAGGTCCAAGTCCTGTCGAGTGTTAGTCTATTCGTGGTCCAAGCAAAGAAATGTGAAGAGTACCTCCAATCTGTGTTCCGGAACTCTTTTGGTGCCTCTGCGCGGCAGTGGAGAACGCACTAGTGTCTGTCAATGGCGGCATCTCGAAATCAACACTGCGGAAGCACGTGCCGTTTTCCCTATCTTCATATCCACGACCTGAGCGTGCAGATCGTACCAAATATTGATCTGTGGTGGAGGGCTGTTGGTTCCACATTTGCAAACTTTTTCTTTCAAGAAACATGCTTGCAGTCACAGCCAAAGCAAAATAATGAAAAAATCTGGGTGAACGTACCAGAAGCCCCCGCTGCGTGATTAACGTAGTTACTGAAGGGTTTCGCACGAATCGACGTCGTCCTGTCGTAGTTCGGAGGATGCCAGGGTCTAGGTATGTCCGAGGCTTGGTCGTCGACGGCATCGATATCAGCGTCTATGAGTGCGGACAGTGGCACAGGAAAAGGCGATCGCGCATCCAACAACGGACCCTCTCGAGCGGCCAGATCATGATCCGGAAAAATTCAATATGAAGACGGGTAAAAAAACTGAAAGAACACGTAAGTAGTATTTTGTTTTGTTTGCTACACGTAAGTATAATCTGCTTTCTTAGCCTGGATTATAGTTCGTGCAAGCTATCCTTATCCATGGGGATCTCCTACCATATTATTGGCCTAGCGCTAGTGAGCAGGACGGCGCAGGAAGTGTATTCTTATTCAGATTTTTTTTACATCATACTCATACGTACGAGCAAGCTGGACTAAGCGGTGCTGCTAAAGTGCCTCGCGCGTCGTGTTTTTGTAGCTCAAGCTGGCGCTGCTGCAGTGCTTTGTTGACAGCGGCGTCGGAACGGTCATAATTGTGCGGCATCGTTATGCCATGCTTCAGAAAACTCGCGGCACGCGAAGGTGCCTCGTCCAGTCTGCTACGCATTCCTTCGCCTGAAATTCTAGTAGAGCCAGCTACCGAGGCCCTCGATGCCGAAGAAGCAAAATGGTCGCCGGACGCATTTTGGTTTTTCATTTCTTCCTCACCTTCACCTTCTGCGTTCTCGTCATTGGCTATTTTCAGATAATGCGACGTGCCCGCTGCAAGATTATGTTGCGTAGCACGTGACGAAATACCCGATATCTCGTCTCGTGGTGTGAGGAGTGACGTAGATGCATTGGCGTTGCTAGCAGTCGTGCTCTTAATCCGGTCTTTCTCGGTTCGACATCGCTCCTTCAACTTGTCGAGCTCGCTGCGCAAGCTCCCCAGCACCTCAGACAAGCTCTCGGTGGAAACGCCGTCGAGCTTCATGATTATTCTCAACAATTCCTATGGACAAAAAAGCACTGAATGATTAACTTTTCATGGCGCTTGGAAGTATGACTCTTTTGATATACTTATATATAGTATACATAGTAGTTAGAATTTGAAATAGTGTGCGCGATAGCGATACTCATACTCTCTAATATTTTTTTTTTGTCGTTGGAGAAGAGTGGTGACCTCTGTCAGAATTCGATTGCGTCGTGCTTTTTTCAGTTATCAGTTCTCTTCACTCGACAACATATCACAGCTTCACCTTTTTTCTTGCCGTTGTTTGCGCTAGGAGGCACTTGCGCTGCGTGCGTGTTTTGTGCCGCCCTGTGATGGTAAAGCAATGCGGCACCGGGAGACCACCACGCTACAGAATAGATCGCGAACACCTATACCAAGTAACGTGTTCATACCATTTGGTAACTTGCTTTATCTTCTTGCTCTAATACAGCGAGGCGCTATTTAAGTGATTAACAACATTCAACATGATGTTTGATTTATCTGTACATCGTTTTTTCTAGTTCAATACGGCATGAACGATTGAAATAAAAACGATTTGTTTTGAACGAGTAAATACGACTACATTTTTCAGACTCCTCATCTTGCTGCTGCATGCTCTAATAGTACAATCCTTACATGATTTCGAGTTTCTTGATAGGTGTGTTCATTCGAGCGTTACCACGGAAGGGAAGCTGTGCATTCATCTATAGACTGTAAAACACTAAACGAAGTACTCTTACACATCCATACCAGTACTACGGTTAGAAAAACTAAACCTATTATTTCAACAACTCAGTGTGGCGACAAGTCCGAAAAAATTGGTAGACTTCTCTAATTTGATGCAACCATCCACAAGAACGAAAAGGACAAAGAACTTCTAGACTAGCGGTTTGAATTTGATGATAATCGAAGAACTACTAAGAACTCGTTGGTATCACAACTTCATCTCCAAAAGCAAGATAAATCTCCAAAAACAAATTTTCTGTAGCTTGTCGAAGCCTGCTGTCGAATTGATTGTGCGTAGAACTTTCCTCCTACACATCGAAGGAGAATTAGCATTGTAATTCATGATGATAATCCTATTAACCTCATGTCTTTTCGTCTGTATTTCTAAGTAAGGCCTGGTAACCTAGCTACGGGTACTCACTCAGCACCATGAACTACATCCGGAGATAATCATACTTAATATTCGATTCCATCACAACGCAAAACGTCTCGATAGCAAATTCAGTTCGTCTTCAGCGAAGGAATTGATGACGCAGTTCTGTTTTTGCACGTCAGTGTTCTCCCTACCACGCAGGTACCCGACGGTCGACACCCACGCGAGCTTGCGCAGAAGATTTCGATTGATAAGTATCAGTTAATAAGTAAACGCAAGGATTTAGAAACCATTTTGCCCAAAAAAGAACTTTAATGATGACGCTAGTCGGCTCGGATTGGGCCTACGACTTCCCAGAATCTCTTTTGAGTTCTACGAATTTCTCTGATGTGAGAACTGAGAAAAGAACTTTAATTTTAATATACTTAAGAACTATAGCTAGTCTTGCTTCGACGAAATCAGAGTGGTAGATAAAAGCCAACACCGTGAAAACAGCAACATGTCTGCATGGCTTTCGTTTGAAAAGGAGTCCTCACGGGGACGATACAAAATTCAGCAGCTACAACAACTATTCGTATTCATGTTTCTTCATGCAGTAACGTAGGAGCAGCGAAACATCGGTAAAGGTCTGTACAAGGTGAAAGAAATCATGCGGAAAATGTGGTTTCCTTTGGAAACAATGTACTTTCTCAATTGATGAAGTTAAGTAGTTTGTTTGCATCGCAGTCCTTTCTCAGGTTGGGGTCCAGATGCAGAACATGGAAGTACTCTAAAAATGTTGAACAAACTCACTCTTTCTAATATGGAAGAATGTAGAGGACCTCCAACACTACTGCGATACACTGCACCTACTTCCAACTTCTCCTCTACAACAAGTTCATCTTCATATTATCATGTTGATTAGCTACAAAATAATATTATGCGTTAGCACTGCAGCAATTACCAATTCATAGAGAAACGAAAAATTGATCGAAACTGATGATGAACAACGCTTCTATTCTGTACACGTCGTAGCGTCTGGTGACTGGTGTGGTTCATCTTAGTTCCAAAGTTGTTCGAGAAAGAAATTAGTATTCAAAAAAAAACTTAGACGACCCCCACTCGGCCTTTACCCTCACCACAACTTCTTAATCTAAGTCAGCGACAGGCGCCAAAAACATCAAGAACATTGATACTGAATATATAAATCGAAATCATGATCATTATTTTGTATCGAAGTGAGCCTCCCATCAATGTAACCTTTGCAGGGCTGCGGGTGCTTGATGCTAGGTCGTTATGTGTCGATAGAACAACTACAGAGGGGGTCGAAGTCCAAGTCTGTGCAACTGCAAAAAGCTATAATAACTAGTGACAGCGAGTGGTTTTGGCTTACTGTGAAGTGCTCGACATATGTGGGTCGTTACGGACAAGGATCATGTCGAGAGCCTTGTCGTGTCTGAATCGATAATTGCCTACAACATCAAAACTGGTGTGGTGAAGAAGTCGCGTTAGTAATGGTATAAAGGTGCAGAAATGACTTTACGTATTCTGAATTTTTTGTCTTGAACAAGCTCTATTTGAGGAACTAGACCCGCATGGTGGTCTTCGAGTATTATTTAATTGGCGGCAAGCGATGTTACGAGGTGACGCTCCTGAAGCAGTCACGAGCGAGCACATACAAAAACTCCTACCTACACCGCGTGGGCGTGATTGATCTCTGCGTAGCGATAAGATTGAAATGGCCAGGAAAATTCTTCGTATGCATCAGCCACCTTCTGATGTACAGGTCGGCTTCGTTTGTTGTCGCTCCCTGGCAGCGGCGTTGTAGTTGTGAGCCTGACTTAGAGTGAAACGCATCATTTTTTGTTGCGATAGTTCCGCATTACCTCCTTGAGCTTCTACTTGATCATTTCATACTCTCCCGGCACTTCTAGAGCTAAAAGTACATTTAATCCGCGTAAAAAATATATTGAAGATGATAGTACAGGTACACCTCTTCACCTGGAAAAACATTCGAGGACTACAACATCACTTCATCGCATCGTTTTGTACATCATCTAGTGAGAGCAGGCCTTAACAATCGTAGGAGTTACATGGTGCGGCCGCAGGTAAGAAAAACTGATGCTGAGGCTGCGCCCCGGAAATACACGTCGGTGGTATTTCATAATTTCGCGGGTAAACTTCCTCTCGCATCAGATAATGATGTTGCACATGAAGTGATGTGACTGGGGCCGGCGGCAATGTACAGAGCTGCTGTGTAGGCGGCTGGGATACCACTCTCGACGTTGCACTGGATAGCGGCGGATCAAGGTACATTCCTTCTGTCTCCTCGCAAAATTCGCTGTCTTCTCCGAGGATGAAAACCTTTAGTTTCAGAATTGGGTCTAAAGATTTCAATGAAAAGATACGGCCTCGGATACGGATTCGGATGCTCACTTACCATCTTTTTGGACGCAAGTTTCATATCATTGAGACTTCCAGGAAAGGCCATCATGGCACTTTGACTCTAAACTTTCTTCTTCATCGTAGTAGATGGGTCATCAGTGTTGAAGATAGCATCTTCAATAGCAATCCTGGTAGATAACCTGAATATGGTAGCCGTTGAGGAATTGGTGATGTAGGGCGGCCTTGACAGCTGCAGCGCATTGCGGGCGCTTCAATGCGAGCAAGATAGAGCCATTAAGTGTATTATCTGCCGTGCGCCGCATCCAGAAAACCCCACTGCGGCCTAGTGTCCGCTCCACAAAAGGCATGGCGCCATACTTCACGAAGAATGCATAGACTTCGGCAGCGAGCGTCGCAGGGGACATACCAGAAATGCGCACGAATTGTGAGGGTCCTTTCGATGACACGAGCATGTTAACAACCGCCGAAACCGAAGAGGTGCCGGCACTAGCTGTAAGTCTTGTTTCTTTGGTGCTTCAACTTAGAACATGATTGTCGTGAGGTTTTTCATGTAAAACCGACGACAACTGTGTATAATGATCAAATCCGAGGATCTATTCATTGACGCGAAAGCCTGTGGACGAAGCAAGTATGATCATCAAGGAATGATGTGACCATCGACGACAAATACAATTCGTAACTGCGATGGTATACTCGGAAATGGAACGCGGTCAGGACGCTCTGCGACTGGTCGCGTCGCGGTGTGGTTCGCCAAGCGATCGATATTCTTAGAACTATGGTCATCATCATGTCCATGACTATGAAACAAAGCTGCAAGACCGTAACGCATATCAAGATGAAATGCTAAAAAGTGTAAGTAAGTGATGAAGTCGGTACTTACTAGCCTTAATCTTAGGTCCAAAGGCAAAGGCGCATTGTTGATTGTAATCCGGCAGAACATCTTCCAGCTCCGGCGTACCCCAGTCACTGCTCTTCTCGCTGTGGGTGCATTCCTTAAAGTTGATATTTCGGAAAAACGAGACTCCGTGAGGAGATGATGCTTTTCGTGATTGTTCCACTTCTAGTACATATAAATCGGATCAAAAGCCTTGAGCATGAAATCCAAAGCTAGACCAAAAGAACCTTAATTTTCGTCACCAGATCACTGTTCGATTCCGACTCATCGCGACCGATACTACTATTTGACGCTAGCCTTGAGCTTCCGTGACATCGCGTAGACGACGAGAAGGAACTTGACGTGCAAGAACTGGTCATTTGTTTATGTGAAAACCTCAGTCCCAAATGCTATTGCAATCAACGAAAGAAACATCAAAATACGAGTAAGTATCATGCATGACCGCTACAGAATGATGAAGATACCTTTGCGGTGGAGGATTTTGAGTGCTGCTCTGGTTGTCAGCTGTTCCTTTCGTTGCATTCTCCGAATTTGGTGAAGCTATCATTGCGTTTCTCTTTCCTTCACGTTCCTGATGATTGTACTTCTGTTGCTCGACGCGCGACGTCACACTCACAGCAGGCAAGTTAGAAAGGACATCCCTCGAGGGATGTTGTTCTTGTTGGTACACAGGATTCATTGCTGCGTGGTTGATGAACATAGGTCGCAGATGTCCATGCTTTTGGTTCACTACGAGATGTCCAGAATCGTGATACTGGTGCAACGCAGCAGCGGGTATTTGCGGGAGTGCGTTCATTGCTTGCGCAGCATGTTGAGGAGTCGTTGACACCGGTGGGGGCACAGGTGCTTCTCTTCGTTTTAGAAATTGATGATGCAATGGATGAGGTGATGGAAGCGGTCCGTGTAGTCTCGTCCTTGTACTAGGTGCAGCGCGCCCAGTCGAATGCTGCTGCACTGAAACGATGCGTTCCTGCTCGGACATTAAAAACTGTAGTGCATCACTGTGCTGCGTCGTGACAGGCTGAGAATGGAGGTCGCAAAACTTTCTCCTTATGTGTGGCATCTGATGTTCTAGTTGCTGCTGTTGGGCTTGGGCATGCTCGTCGACGCCCATGAAAGTTGTATGCCCAGTGTTGTAAAAATTATCAATATAATGACGATGTTGATCATGATGTAATTCGTGTTTCGAGAATAACATGCGATCCATCACTCGTCGCTCGTACATTTCACGGTGCGCCAAAAGCGCGTTTTGGCTGCAGTGGTTGAAACGCTTGTCGTATAGCATGTGACTATAGCCAAGGCGGTGCCGCGCCTGGCATTGTTGTCCACCTGGGGCAGCATTATATCCACGATGAATTTCCGATGTTGTTGGCGGCATCAACAGAGCTCCAGAAATCTCCATTAGAATTACTCTACTTTTTACACGTGCTGTTTCTGATTCTGGTGGTGCATGGTTCGTGTACCAATTTATTTCGATTTTCAGTAGTAGAACAAGTAGTTATAATAGAGACCTGTTCTTGTACGAAACTAAGCTACAACAGATTCTTGTACTAATATCAGTGATGTCCAACGTTGATGGCATGAGGATTATACCACTTGGTATGAGTTAGTATCTTAATCTATTTCTATACTGATCTCAATAAAATATAATCTTCATCCCTCAACATCTAAATCTACCTCAGGCATAAATATTGTGGCGTGGGTGGAATGCAGAATTGCTGATGGTCACGGCTGTGCTGCCTTCTGTAGAAGTTGGTTTCTTCTTGGCCACCTGTTGTTCCATTTGCTGGCTCCAGATCGCGAAAGAAGAAAGCCTCAACGTACCTGTCCTGCATCAGCTTCATGTGAAGGGACCGGCGACACCTCGCAGCATCCGCATGGCTCTTCAAAAGAAGACGAGCAAAGCCGGACGGCCGCCCTTCGCGGTTCAAAATCACCTGCACTGCGTCACGATTTGGATCACTGCAGTCCAGAGAGTGGGCATGCTTGCCTGTTGTAGTTGTCGTCGTATGCACTAGAAATTTGTTTCACGACCAAATATGAACCATAAGCACCAGAATTGTTTCTTTTTGTTACCGTTGATTATATGATCAGCGAGGACGAGAAAAAAGTTCACAACGAAGCGAATAGATACCCATCCATTCGAGTATATCGTCGACAGTCGCGCTGTAGGGCAACCCGCGTAGCTGCAGCATTGGTTTGTCATGCTGTGTGATCAGAAGCCCGTCTTAGAACTTCTAACCTAGCCGTCTAGTACATGCAGAAGATGTTTTTAGTTTTACAGCCAGGAGGGGAAAAAAAACTAGATTTACAGATCCCTATACATAGTATACATGGCTGTCTGTACTACACTTGACCCAATGAGTTTGCTGGTTCTCCTCATTCATTCTCATTGTAGTGACCTTTCCAAATTACAAGCACGCCGTAACTGCTATTTGTCACGAAGAGCACCTTCTCCCCTCGTTCGTTGTACACGGTGTCATCAATCAGATCATCGTGACAAATACGTGGGTCTTGTGGTTGCTCTTGGTAGAACCCACAATGGCCTCCTGCCCTGCTGCCTCCTTTTGTGCGCATCTCCACCCCAGCATCATAGCCTGACGATAACACTAACATCATCGTAATGACATGGTCATGAGGCTATTCATCTTCATGTTGACCTTTCCGAAAAAGGTATGTGTATGTGATTTTTCTGAGAAAATAACTTGTCAAAAGTCCGGCCTTACCACCGTCGATGAAGAGGATACAACAGGTTAGCCGTGCCTACCAGTGGGCAACATGCATAGGCGTATCCAATTGCTATTGCAAGAAATATCATGATAATAAATTGGCAATTTGTTTTGTCTTTGAAAAACAACTTTACCTGTTCTGTTTTGGCTATACAGCGTTCGAGCTGGTGTCACGTAGCTCATTATTCTGCAGCGAATTAGAATACGAGACCACCTCGCCTTGTCTTGAGCCGTGTCAGTCGCCCTGTATTCAGGGTTCTCGTCCCTTCTCGTCGTGTGTACGAATCCGGACGTCGAAGTCGATTCTTTGTGTTTGTTGGTAAAATTTTTCGTCTCCAGAAATAGATCTACAAGAAGTCTGAAGTGTGACGCCTCACTTTCCTTTTCCTTTTCCTATTTTCACCTAATTAGACCACGTGGAATAGAATGTTTATGTCTCTTCATACGTTTCACCAACCAAAGAACTAGAAAAAGATGACAACTGGGCCTGGCGATTGTAATTGTCTTTGTCATTCAAAACCCGACACTAGTCTTAGCGAACCCCATGAAGGTTAGAGACAACAGCTGGCTTTTTCAGTGTTATTTTGTTTCCTCGTTGCGGTTGCTACTTTTTCCCATGACACGACTTTTGGAGCTGTTTCTCTCAGAGTTCGTACACAGAAACTCTAGCCGTGACGAGTAAAAGTCGTGTCCCATATTTTGTTGAGGTGACTTTGCGGGCTTTCACTTTGGTTGTCTTTGTTTTGGTTATGAAAACAGTCTCGCGTTCGTCTGTCACCCTTTGTCCTTGATCTTGGGCAATTCCAGTTGCCAATACTGCACGATCCTTGACCTTCTGCAGTAACGTGGCCTAAGTTAGTGGTATATGTATATCAAAGCTTGTTGAATCACAGGAGCAGAACAGGATTCAGTCATAATGCTGACATTTGCCATCTTTCTGCATGACCATCGCAAATCAACACTTGTTGGCCATTCTCACGGTGATCATCAATGAAGTAGACCACAAGTGGAATAACGATCGATCTTCCACTATCTACTAGTTGTAAGTGAAGAGGAATATGCACAAATTCATAAAATCTTCACCTCCAACAAAAGGACCGTAAAGAAAACTCCGAGGGAGCAAGGACCTTCTCTGCGTGGTACGACAGGCTAAGGACATAAAAAATTCTAGTGATGATTGCCGGTCTTGTACTACGAGCTGTATTGTAAATATTCATCGTCTAATGTCCTTGTCCTGAGCCCGACGTTGGTTTTACTACACCTAGATACATAACGATAACAGGATACCGACAAGTACACTCAACGTTGGTCGGAGAAAAAAAGAAACCATCGACAATGCCTATTATGTCAGATATATTCTGGCTATGGCTTTTGATAAAGCGGACTGCGGACGAGCCCTGTAAAATTATTAAGGGTTATTCTTTCAGTTCCGGAAGATGAAGATAGATAAGTACGCGACGCGCCCAACATTCCCACTCTCTGCGGAAGTACGCTGCCAAATAAGAAGCCACGCATATGTTGGCTCCAACAAACTGGGGCAGAAGAGCAAGAATCTTCGTTCTCTATGCACTTCGCATTGAGGTCAAGACGACCGAGGATGATTTTCAGGAAAAGGTGGGCAAAAAAGGATGAAAAATTCGTGGTCATCTTGTTTGTTAGTTTGTATTGATGCGCTCCGGGCAACGCGTGCGATCTCGCCGGATTTCTTGTTCTTTTTGGATTCGTGTGTTTTGTGCTATGGTCGCCGTTGCGACTATGTTACGGTAAGCCATGTTGGTCACGCGTAGCCTTCACGTCGCCGCCGGCTCTGGTGTGTCTGGCTAGGCAGCAGGCGGCGTATGTGGGTAGCGGCGTATGTGGGTAGCGGTGTCGCGCGGTCGGGCTGCCTGGTGGCTGCTTTCTTGGTCGCTTCCTTTCGGCCCGAGCTTTCCGGGGAGGGTCTGCTTGAGGTTCGTACTTTCGCGCTTCGTTCGTCGTGCTTTCTGCTTTCGTCCTGTCTTCGTTCTCTTTGTCGTCACGTGCTTACTTGTTCTCTTCGTGGTCATCTTCAAACATCTTTGAAAAATTGAACGAAAATTCGCGTGTTGATCTGGAAAATTGTAACTGCTTAAATGTTGCAATGCTACTTGGTGACATTATCGTGAAAAATCATAACGACAAGGATAAGCAGGCATTCACTATTATAATTGCTAAGTAGAAAAAGATTAGTGTATACCTAAAAGGCGTGCGTCATAAACATACATATGTTGTACTACTAACTAATCGTATCAATAAAATTTTCAGCACAAAACCACGTTTATGAAAAAACCCAATATCTGACAGGGGCCTACCTTTTGAATCACCACTGAATGACAGGATCGATCTGACCACGAGGTCAAAGACGAGTTTCTCGCCCTACTTCTACTCTTTGCTTGTTTCTACATGTACTACTTCCTATCTACTGTTGTTTTGTTGCGTCACCTCCTGTCGTCTTGTGTTGATCATTTTCAGCTTGGGCAGATGTTCTATCATGATTAAATCTACATGGTCATCATGGCTGCGGGAAAGGGAATGCTGTTGCTGCGAAGATGTCAGAAAATCAGCTGGAGGAAGCATGCTGGGGTACAGCACCCAAGGAGGCGGTGGGGGAAAAGGCGGATAGACGAAAGGTGGTGGAGAAGCGATGGCCGGGTCGTGATGGTGATGATGGTGGTGGTGTTGATGATTTGAGGTTGCGGATATGAGGTCCACATCACTCGCTACATCCTCCACGGACCCTTCTATATCAACAAATTGATGACCGCCTGGCCCGGGGGGGCTCAGCATCGATGCAACCCATTGCGCATGATAACGCTCCATCATTTTCTCGTGCTGGTGCAACCGCTGCATGCAGTTGTCGTGAAGAGCTTTCATCTCCGCTCTACGTCTTTCGTCTTGTTCCTCTGATGTGCTTGACGCATTTTGCTCCAGGTTCGAGGCTCCTCCTGGTCCACTGACATGATCATCAACGGAGGAATAGCTTTTATCTTCTGTACCTCCCTCCTGTGGCCGGCCACCTATTGCGAGGTGGGCCTAGGAATACCAAAGAACTTGACATCTTTTCAAACAAACAGAATCTTTTCGACCACCTATTGTCTTTCTTAAGGTGTTGTTTGCCAGAGTTGTATCCGCGATATCTGCTGTGCCTGTGAAAACAGATGGTCCGCGGGGTGTCATGCTTCTATCCTTCTGACGGTGGTCGTCATGTAGGTCTAGCTGCTGTGCAGCTGCAATCGGAGGTGGCAATGAGAGTGCAGTCGGAGGAGGGAGAGGGTACGCTGGTGCAGCACAGTAAGGAAAAGCATAGGGATTCACTACAAATGGAGATCCTCCAGTACTAGGGTTGCACATATTCGCGCTAGGTCCCACCTGCTGCGTCCTCTTTTCCGATGCAGCCGACGCAGCCACTTCAAGACGAAGACTCGAATCCATTTTGTAAGGCACCTGGTTACTAGTGGTGGAAGGAGTTGTCCGCGTCGGCTTTGGCATTGACTTTGGCGTGTTTAGCAACATATTTATAGTGAAGTCTGGTCAAGTTCTTGACGAGGTCTTGTTGTATCTGTTCTCGATCAGCTTTGTTCTTGTTGCAGCGCTCGGACTTCATCTCTCGTAATAACATGTTCTGCATTTGGAACAGCAGGCAGCTTCTTTGGCTTTCCCTAGTTTTCATGACCTCCGCCACAAATTCGTTGATGCTCAGGCTTCCGTTTTCGTCGCGGCCTAATAGTTAGCGTCTCGAATAACCACACGAGGTCGTTGTCCGATCGGATATCCAAATTTTGGAACCCCTTTTCCCGCAAGGTCGTGCTCTTAAGCATCGCATTCCTAAACTCGCCCATGGTGACAATCGCCATTTTTTCCGTCCACGTCGACTGCCTCAAAAACGTTTGTTAGTTCCTCGATCAGCCCTTCCTGCTGGTCGCGAATCTGTTGCACCAGGCGCAAGTCCGCAGTTTCCGTGGCACTCGTCAGATTGTCAACCAGAATACCGATGAAAAGTGACATCATCATGAAGTTCGTGATCACAATGCAGACCGCGAAAAAAAGACCGTAAATTTCGTTGTCGCCCACGAAAAGACGCACTGTCGTGGGCCACTCCTCTAAGGTCACGACCGGAAACAGGCTGAGCATAGATCGAAGGACCGTGGAGACTTGGTGCACTAGCTGCTGGTACTCGCTGTCGCCGCTGTCCGCCTGTCTTTGAAAATAGGAAGTGTTCGCGACTTGCTCGGTAAGGAACAACGCGCACACGTAGATCACCAGTGTGAGGAGCATCCTCACCCAAAAAATGGAGCGCAGCGCGCGGCCCATGCCGTAGACGAGTAACCAGAGGTCGCGAAAGTAGCGGATCAGCTTGATGGACCGCAGCACACGCAGCAGTCACAAAATTCGCAGCGAGCTGATATTCTCGATGTTCCAGTCGTCGTCCTTGGACGAGAAGATCTGCAACGCCCAGACGTCGATGGCGCTTGCGAGAATCACAATGAAATCGGGGATGAGCCACATAAACTGCGAAAGCTGGGCGGTGTGTCTTTGAGTATTTCAGAAGCCATTCGCATGTACTACCGCACCAGAACCGTGGACGCGCTTCCAGAACGATCTCGTCCCCAACGTAGACCTGCTGGAGCTGCGCAAGATTCAGCGTGCTTCCCCTCGTCAAAGTCGCGAAATTCTTGCGCCGGTCTGCTGTGCGTATCTTCTCCGTCTCTTTTTCACGTTCTTCAACCAAAGCAGCAAGGATGTCACGGCTTTGCTCCGCACCTGCTTCCGTCGAAGCCAAGTCAGCATCTTCTGAGGACATGAGTTTTTTTTCCCCTTGGCGACGCAGGGCTCAAGTAGCGGGCACCTGGTCGTTGCTGTCCTCGAGATGATGGTCTGCCGTAAGAAAAACTACCCTTCGGAGTAGTATTGCCCCTGGCGGGATTGGTCACGCGTACTTTGGACTTGTTCGAGCTGAGACTGGGGTCCAGTGAACCTACCTGGGTGCTGTCTGGTGCTGGTGGATCATTCGTTTCCTCGCCTTTTCTTCTCTGGTACCGCGAAGACTCGCTGTCTTGAAAATTGACGTCGTCCAGTGATCGTGAAGATGCTACAACGTCAACGCCTCCAGGTCTAACATCTTTTTGATTGCGCTCCTCCAGTACTTGCTAGGGTTTGGAGTCATCGACGACATTAGCTGAAACGAGATATTCCTTTTGTATTGGCTTATTTCCACCAGCTCTATTTGCACGTTAACGTCTACACTTTGTTCTCCCTGGGTATCGATAAGTGGCGGTGGCCGTCCTCGTTACTTCGGTGAGTCTTGTTTTGAGACACCCTCAGGCTCAGCACCGTTTGTGTTCAAGTTCATCTCAGTGTGTTTTTGTGGTTCTTGTGCAGCCGCCTTATCAATATTACCATCTGCAGCTTCATCACTGGTGCCAGCTGAGTGACCAACAACACCCGGGCGCACAACTGCCTTTTCATATTTTGGCTTTGCATCCGTGAACATTTGTGGTTCGGGTTCCATCATTTTCGCTATCTCGACTTCTCCTAGACGTGTACTAAGAGGTTGGACCGCAGACGGTGGTCCACTATCCGAGCGATCCTCTTGTAGCAGTTCCTCGCGGAACCCTCCTGCAGCTAGGCTACGATCCTCTACGGCGGAAATTCGGGTGGAAGTAACGACGATCGGGACAGGCTCGTATTTCATCCGGAGATAAAACTCCAAGATAAAGAAGTAAAGTATGAAGGTTTCGATCCACCAGAAAAGCGATCGCGGACCGCGTGGAAAGGCGTCCCCGTGGTCCGTCTCCACTCCGAGGATGATCATGTTTATGCAAATCAGGATCCCGAAATAGAAATTCAGCTTTTGCAAAATCTCGTTTCCATTCCGCAGTCGCTGATCCGCTAATAGTTCCGTCTTTTCCGCCTGCACGAAGCGGAATTTGCGTCGTCGAGGACAAGCCGGCCCCACATGCTGCACCACGGGCGCAGAAAAGCTATCGCTCTTAGACACGTACGGTTCCCGCGCGGGACCTCACCGGAAAGCGAGAAGGTTTTATCGACCTGTCGAAGGATGAACGACGATGTCATCGGTACGTCAAAGGGATTATGTTGTCCTCGACCACCGCTCCCAGCGAGGTTCAGGCTGCCCCTACCTCCCGATTGCATTTCACCCCTCACTGTTGCTATGTATTCCCTCGTTTGAGAGGAAGGACTGCCGCGAAAAACTTCTCGTACCACTAATGCCATTGGGCCTGAATATATCCTCGTTGTTCCCAGCCATTGCCGACAGCACCGACACCGTCGGCTTTGATCCGCCTAACCCCTGTCCTCGCCGCAACATGGTGCAGTATTCAATCTTCTAATGATGTCTAGGTCCAACGCAGCCGCTTGACAAATAGTGCTTAAGGAAATAGACGGCGCGTAGTTAAAAACTAGAGCTACCCCTACAATGGTTCATTTAATCAAAACGCACACACTATATGACGGGTTAGAACGAGGTGAAGGGAGTGTAAGTATTTGGTAGCAGATAATTCCGATAGTAGAGGGGTGTGGTCAGGGACTAGGGCACTTGCGCCCTAGTCACCCAGCACAGATGATCCGGGAGGCCACCGCTTGACAAATAAGAACTGAAGACACAGCACTAACGCGTAGCAGTGATTTTGAATCTTCCTTATCTTCAACATGTAGTACTAGTAAGTAGCGGTAACTAACCCATTAACATCATTTTCACCTTGCTCTATATGAGCAACTGCAACAGAATGAAGAAATGGCAACAACGCATTGGCTGCACCCACTAATTTAGCAATCTTTCATGTGTGGTACCTGCTACCGTTACCTAGGAAATAGTAATTTTCACAATTTTTTGATCGCATCTATTCAGTCGTGTCTGTGACTTCTATAGACTTAGCCAATGTCAGCATACTTTTTATCAACTCAGTTACCTACATGATCAATCGATTTTTGAGGACGATTGGCAGGCGTGCATACTACTTGCTATGGAAAAGCAAGAATGGAAAAATATTTGAGGTGGATATGGAGTTGAAGACGAGCTAGGAAGGGATAGGGTTAGGGAGCGGGACATGAAATAGAAATACCTCATTTGAGCATTGGATATTTGTCTTTGTTTTGCTTTGGAGACTTGGAGCAGGAAACTATTGTACTTACATCTGCATCATCAATCGCTTTCACATGATCCCCATTCGCCATTGAATGACTCAGAGAGAAGATGAAGTAGCTTCATTTCATGATTGCATCTATCAAGAATGGCAATCCTGATGCAAAACCAGTGGTGACCATTGGACCACACTCACAGATTCAGAAACAAAACCAAGGAAAAGCGCTTTTCTGAAACACCGAATACAAAGTCGCTCTTGAACTAGACAACTTCGCTCTCGCTGTACCAATGATACAAGCAGACACTTAGGGTTGGTTCCTCTGCCAACGTTCTAGCTCGAGATTGAGACTTGTTCTGTGTTCGCGAGAAGCGCCTCGGACAAGCCCAACACTCGCTGCATGCACCCGGTTCTTTTTGCGTGGAGATGCAGTCTCAATCTCCGATTACCACCCGTTGCATCTCTACTAGCAAGGCCGCTTGCTTTCATGATTTTCGTTTCTTTTGCAACACCTGTATCTTGTTTGTTGATGTAAAAAGTTCGTGGAGTACCTAAGGCTAAGACGAGAGTTCCTCATCACGCAGGAATGTTCTGTAGATTCGAAACTCTTCGCTATCCTGTGCTTTGTTTACGATTAGAGAGTTGTGCGATGCATATCGTTGCACTAGGAGCGCAGGAGGAAAAGAGCATGAAAGCGGTGCAGCATTTCCTGCGCTATCGCTCTCCTCTGTTTCGAGAATTGTGCCTCGCTGATCCGAGCGTGGATTCATGCGTTCCACTAAAATTCTTGTTGCTGCTGAAGGTGAAGCTGAGTCGACCTGATAATGATTTTCAACTTCATGTTGAAGTTGATCATCTGCAAGCTGCAAGAGCTTCCGACGATGTTGGTTTCCAGCATCGTGCATCGCTTCTCGATCTAGAGTTTTTCCTCGCCCATGCAGATCCGGACAGTGGTACTTTTTGCGGAGCGGGTCCCCCATCGTCGCCAAACGTTCTGTCCGGATGGCATCCACTCGAGAAGCGATATGCGCTGACATATCTGCATACACAATTTCGTCGTATTCTTTTTCAATCACGATGACCTTTGCTTGAAAAGCTCGCCTGCTCACTGCGGCTGCCAAGTTGTCTACAGTGCTCTCTTCCTGGCCAGGAAAGAACCACAACCAAGGCGACAACAAAAAGAACGTCTTTCGCAAAAAAATGGTTCGAGCAGAATCGAACGGCGCTTCGAAAACCACATGCGTGATGCGCTTTAGAAGAGTATCTGCGTGAAATAGACAAGTAGAAGCAGCATGAACATGTATTAGTTCCACATTACCTTTACTTCTAGTATCAATAGAATATGAATGTAGTAGTTCCACATCAGTACAAGCAAGCTGCGGCATGCAGTGGTAGGTACCATCCAGCAGATTGAGTGCTCCCGCCAGGACACAGCAGCCCACCGAAATCCCATGGACCACGATCCGCGCGTTCGCGTCGTGCTTTAAAATGCCCTCACGAAGGAGGATTGCTGCACGAAGTTGAAGGCGCGTTGCGTCAGTGACATGTTCCGTGTCGCGTACATTACTTCGGTACCCAGAGTAGGTGTGAAGGTAGGCATCCACTTGCTCGTCTGGGAAGAACCGTGCGGACACTTGGGACGCTTCATTGAAGCTCATCTCTATTCCCGCTGCATTTCCATGGAACAAGAAGTACGCTGTTTTTCGCGTGTTTGCAGGTGTAGGCCCTTCCTGCTGCTGTCGTGCCGTAGTCGCGTCAGGACTCGTCTGAACATGAAGAGAAGCATCCTGCTTCTTGTAGAATTCGCACAGAATCGATGCTCCCGGTGACAGCGCGTCCCGCTCATCCTGGTTCCTTTGTAATCGAGACGCAGCTGAAACTACATGGCTACAACCGAAGGGAAACGATTTTCTGGCAAGCTCGAAATCAGTTACATCATTCTGTCCATTCGGAACTAAATCCAGATACCGACGAGCGGCTGCGCCTAGCGGGGTTGGGTCTCGTACGAGAAGCATTGCGATATGGGACGGGACGAAGTAAAATCGGTCGAATGCCAGCGGGTACACCGCAGCGCGACCGATAAGGGTAAGCAAAACTGCGATTGAAAAATAGCCAAGAAGAGTGAACCGGAGGACTCGCCTGGATCGACAAACGCTCTTGCGAGCAAGGAACGCGAAGAGGCACAAAGGCCGGCAGACGAGTGATTTAACGGCAGCGACGATGAATGAGGCGGCTGCCTTTCTCCTGGGACCGCCGCCACAAAAGGTCTCCAAGCGTTGGCGACAAGCTGCCTCAGTGCTAGACTCTCCGCCACAATCGTAGGGAGCCGAACGCACAGTGGCAGAGGATTCCCGACCTAAAAGCGCGGAGGAACAAGTAAGGACTTGCAGAACGTGCGCATTATAGTTCTTGTTATGGGACACTGTATCGGACTCGCCTCGCGCTTGATCGTGTCGTGTTTCAGGTCCATCTGGAAGATACTCACCTCCTCCACGTGATAAGCGTATTCTGGTAGAACTAGAACTCGCGTCACCTTTGCTGCTAGAGGCCACGAGACCTTTTGTAGTGAGATAGTCGTCGTCGTCTCCAAAGCTATCAGGCGTGCCAGGCGTCCTGTGCTTCTGCGCATCACCGCGACCAGCTCCACCCGCGGGCGTTTGTCGTGACAATTCGTCGTCGTCCTCGTCGCGATGATAGGACGGGGTAGGAGAATGGAAGCCTGAGCGCATCGAGTTATCATGGCTATTCTCTTCAGCTCCCTGGAGGGAAACAGCAACGACACTCTGCAACTCTCTAGTCGACGTCTGCGACAATGCCTGATCTTCTCCTGCTCTGAGATTTCCTGGTCTGCTGCTCCACGCCTGTTGAAGAAACCTTACTGCGCGCATCACCACCTCGCTGATCCAAGCCAAAAAGAGGGACGGAAAGGGTAGGTGTGGCAAAAGAAGTTCTCTCTGCACTGTCTCGAAGCGATCATGGTCATTCCACATGGACGAGACATGCACAACCAATCGGCACATCATCCCCGCACAAAAGTCTACGAACTCTAGCGGTGCCGGGCGAGATGAGGATGTGGATAACCCGTTGTAATTTGAATTACTAGAGTTAAGTGTTCCTTGCAGGCCTTCGACGCCTGCAAACCTCCTCGTGTCTTTATCGTTCTTCATCGTTTTTTCATTCGTTCGACGATTGTGATCAACATGACCAAAATGATTTTCCTCAGGATCATAATTTTTCTCGCGCGGTGCCGGTCGTTCCGCGTATCCTAGCGCGTTGATGTTATCGTTGAAATTGATCACGTCGCTTACATCAACCAGATGGTCCAGGATTACGTCGCCGATTTTTTCACACTCTTGTTCATGTTCACCCGCGAACTTGTCGGCATCTTTTATGATGCCAGCGCGTTGACCACCTTGACCCTCTTGTACGACTAGCGGACACGCATCAACAACATCGGCGACTCGGTCATCAACTTCTCGCAGGCGGCGCCACAGTAGTCGCGCACGTGCGAACAAGGACAGCGGGAGGATAGCATGAAATAGAGTCAGCACGGCACAGCGGGACAAAGGTACTAGCGCACTATGAAAACCGGAAAGCGTTCCGAAGGGCACGAAGAGAGCAGCGGGCATCTCCTCAACGCCGTACGCCGCTGACACACCGGAATAGGACAATAAGGTCGCCATATCACTGCTTGCTGTATCAGCCGTCGCCGTGTCGCCAGCCAAAAGCCAACGTGACCAGAACCCGTACGCGGATCGAACTGCAGTAAAAGTACCCAGAACGAGCAGAAGCAGGTAAAGAGGGCACAGAACGAAGAGCAAGGTTTGGACAAACGCTCGGCACACCAAGAAAGTGGCAATAAATAGCCACTTCCTGACAGGTACTGGAATCAGCTCGATGTTCAACGCCGTAGTAGAATCTTCTTGCCTGCGAGTCGTCGGACTTTTACCATGATCACGCGTGGTCAGCTGTTGCTCCTCCTGTTGTTCACCGCTGCACTCGGCCCAAGCACCGGCAGGCGTCAAAAAGCGAAGACACAGGGAATGCTTCAGGCACGCAATTGCAAGGCTGCCGGTTCGATGGAGCTTCTGGGATATCGATAAAGAGCGGGGCGGGAAAAGCGACGAGGAGGCGCTCGACCTCAAAGATGTTGATAGAGCCAAATCGGGTTGCTCATCGACGCGGCGATTGCGACTCACAGTAGCTCCTCTAGTCGAACTAGTTGTTGACTCCAGGAAAAACACGAGGCGAAACGCTAGCAGGATTATCACCTTCGTGAGTATGGCAAGCATGACAAGGATCGTGGCAGCCAGGGTCGCGCCAAAGGTCGCGTACCAATACAACAGAAAGTACGCAGCAGCGGTTACAGCAATGTAGTGCGGCTGCATCGACTGCGTCCATTGCCGAGTCTCGAAATACCACACAAAATCCTGGGGCCCCTTAGCTACTGCGCCAGCTGTTAGAAGAGCAGCTCCACAGCCACAGCATCATACATACCTGAAACAACGATCTAAAAAGATTTCTAAATTTCCGTGTTCTCGAGGTCGAGCCTAACCTCAAATGAAAAGTTGACGCATCATTTAAGCCGGGTTGTCTCCGCATTGGATGAAGCATAATTATCAATGCATCAACAAGAAGATCTACTCCTTGTTGGTTCATGTTCTCTGTGTGAATTATGAAAGCAAGAAGATTTCGAGAAATAATGAGCAGCTTTCGAGCCATAAGACGAATGTCTCACTTACAAAAAAGGTGAGCGAAGCCCACCAGCTCTGTTCTGCTTGATGTTCATCGGTTGTCCCTGCATTCTGGATTAGTTCGTTCCTCGCCGTTTCGACTGAAGTCGAACGCAACAACAAATTTGCCAGAATCCCGAAATAAAACACGATGCCAATCGCGATTAGAGGAAGCAGCGATCCTGTACTCTTCGTCCTTGATTAATTATCCTTCAGGCAGAGAAAGAGACACTAACTTGATGAACAACATGAAAGAATTGGAATGGTGAGCATCATTTTCATCACCACGGACGATGATGTTCACATATATTCATAAAGCTAGAATCGGGGGTGAAATCTGTTGTGGCCAAAGCACGAGGCTGACTATCCGTTTGATTTTCCTCGGTCCCGACCTCATTTTGTGCGAGATGAAATATTCTTTTGCCTTGGTGTCGATCTTAGACTTATTGCTGGGAAGACAGCAACTTTTTGCGCAGCAAGGTACGAATGAGAGTCATTGAGATTGAGATTTTCCTCATCAATCCACTGCTGGAAACTATGCTAGTAGCACTTTAGCTGCTAATATTCGTCGTCGTTATTTCATTCAAAAACTTCTCTTCATCAAAAATTTGAATATTTAATTGAAGATTCCGTCCGATGTGATGTCAATCTGTCACGCCTAAAAATAGTGCAAAATCAATAGCAGCGAGCATGATTATACTAGATGACTGAAGCAGACTACATCATCTTCTAACTCTCCTCTCACTTGACCCAAAATCTTGATCTTCCAAGACTTCCTACAGTTTTGACGGAGGGGGGTCTTCGGCGAAGGGGAGACGAGGATAAAGAGGGCACGGAAACTAATCAGAGGCAATCAAATAAGTGAGATGAAACCGATGACGATGGATTTTCACCGTCCAACGACAGCACTCACAGACACGATAATGCACAATCAATAATGCGTGGATGAGCAATCGTGGGGTACTGTGAACGTTAAGATCCGACATCAAGACGGAGCCGAGGCCGAGGACTTTGACATTGCCCTGCAATAACGATGAGCAGTTTATTGTTGTTTTGAACATTGTACATAAACTACGTCTACGGCACCAAACCCCATTAAATGCCTTTGTCAGAAGAATCTAGTCCCACTCACATCTTATGGTAAAAAACAATGAGCAGTGTCCTCCCTACTTTACGACCTGCTTTGCCTCTTGTTCTGGCTCTTTATCATAAATTTAAAACTGAATCTTCTATTGATTCCAAAAGGTCTTGCATTCACGACATTTATATAGGACGATAGACAGTTGTGTGAGTAACAGCTCGTACTCGTCATATCGCGAACAATCAATCTCATTCATCTGTGTGGTCACAAATGGCGCATTTTGCGACTGCTTGCATTGAAACAAAGTGACCTTCACTTTGTTTTCGTCAAGCAAAAAACATTTTCTTCATGAGATTTTCTCGTAGATATTCGCGTCTGCGGACGCCTTCATGCGCTTCACCCACACTGCGTTTTGAACTCTGCGAACAGGGTCCTCTTGTTGTTGTTGCTCCTCGTTCAGTGAACTCATAAATTGCTCCTCGTCACTCCATTCACCTGCGAGTTCATAAACCAGAGTGGCACCCTTTGGATTCCATTCTTCAGCGTCGTCCTCCGTGTCATACGTCGTCCACTCGGACTGCACTTCCTTAGAAAACTCGCCAAAGGTTTTCTTTCCCGTTCTCGATCTGTTTTTTTTACCTTCCCCAGCAATGGTTTTCTTCCAGTACAAGCGAGCATCGTACTCATGGAACCATGCGTCCGGATCCGCGAAGGCCTTCTTGACGTCCTGCCATTTCGTATAACATTCGTCGATTTTGGTCCAAAACGCCAGAGTAACGCAGTCGGCGGAGGTGAATTCCACATAAATATCATTATCGGGAACTTTCTCGTCGCTCATAATCGGACGCTTCAACGAATTTTCGTCCTCGCCAGTATTCTATCCTTTTTCTTCGCTATCACAACAAGATGATTCAGCAAACTCCTGAAAAATTCCCGCTACGTACACGACATATTTGTACTCTTCAGCTTCTTCTTTTTCGGGTATTTCATTCAGCGCAGCACGCTTAGCCTTTGCTTTGGGCGCTGAAGGATTTTTCTTCATCGCGGCAGAAGGTTTGCTCGATTTCTTCGATTCTTTGCTGCTCCCAGCATTTTTTTGAATACTCCGCCCGGCATTTTCTGTTCTTTCTGATACAAAGCAGCGAAAACGTAAACGGAACTTGAATTATAATACAAGAGTGTTTATTCCTTCCAATCTCTTAGTGGGCGTTTGGCATAGAGAAAGATGTTCTAAGCCTTGTGCTTGTGGAGAGCTCAACTTTCCTCAGCACTGAATTAGACTGAATTTAGCTTGAAATTTGGCATTTCTAGCACAAGCTTTCACTTCAAGCTTGGCATATTTCGCACAAGAATTGTCAGGATTGTGAACTATGTTGATCTTGATTCCCATCCGCACGTTGCAGAGATATGCAATGAGGGTTAGGGTTTACTCTAACTTTAGCAGTGGAAAAAATAAGATGTTGATATTCTGTATATTTATAGTGTGCGATTTAATATCATGTATTCATCTATGGAGTCCATATTATATCTTGCACGAGGCCCGATCGCGATCTTCTTGGAAACATCATGGAATCCCATGCGACGATTGTTGATGTCTTTGCTCTTTTCCGCGCGAATAGGATCTTCTTCAGTCTCTAAGAAAAAGAATGACATGTGCGGTCCTCGTCCCCCACGTCCGTTGCAGCAAGGTGACTTCTATGCAGTAGCTGGCGCAAATCAGGCGAAGACGAAGAACACGACAAACATTTCATTCTCAGCGCACACGCTTGGCGACTTCTGATATTCCTAAATTTACCCAGGTCATGTTCTTGCGCAATACTTTGTCTAATCAACGAAAAACCAAAAAGTTCGGAATGGGGACAATATCGTTAGAGATAGAAGTTGTCCGTGTCTAGTAGTACGAGGACCCTCTTGTCGTCTATTCTTGTGCTATATTCCTAATGATCCTATCATTTACAAAATATGAAATAAATGATCCACGTTGCACCATGAAATAGTTCATTTTCTCAGGGTTATTCATTTTGGACGGACATTTAGTACGCGAAATTTAGTACACGAGCCGCCCTTCAAGATTATTCGAGTATCCACCTAGTTTGCTCGAAGTAGCTCATCCCAATCCCATTCATGTTCATTACAACTTTTCGGCTGTATGCGGATATCTCCATCGGGCATGCGCGCTTGCCCGCAAAATTATTCCGTAAATAATATCAAGATCAACTTCGACACAACGAAGACAACGAAAGGGCAAGGCAAACATAAGTTTGATGTGATGTCGTAGATAGTAGTAATTTCACCTTCTTATCATTGGGCCGCAGTTCCGCTCCACGTGAAAAATCTGCAACAAAGCATCAAGGCCAGCTTGCACTTCGTCAAAGTAGACGCTCAACGCCACAAAACCGAGTCTCGGGCCTGCATACGTAGGGTCACGGCGTTGGGATCGCCGATGGCAGCTTCGAGTGTAAAGCCCAAGCTTTCGAGAGTCACATTCTCCTTTTCAAGTTCTAAGCCGGTCATCGTGCGCAAGCGAATCATGTGCAAAGGAATTCCTTCCTGCTCTTTGATCTGCTGCTCGATTAGAACAAAAGCCCATCTCTATTTTTTCATCTTTTGGTTGCAAAGCTACATCTACATCATGAACATATGATGATATACCATGATAATGTATGCTGTTATTCCAATTATAGGCTGATAAAATGGAAACTAGTAAAAATTGATGATAGATAATGATCTTCGTACTTATTCTACTTTTAAAAAAACGGATACGGAAACAGATTACTTACAACTCAACATTAGTTTCATCTTCATAACTTGAGCGCTAGCACCGTGTTGGTTGGTCGCATCTCTACTGGCACACAGCGTCCGTTTACTGTTTTGATGTAGAAACGAATTTTTTCGGAGTCATGATGTGCAGCTGTCCACTGCTGCCAATTGGTCAGAGGAACGCGCCCTACGTGCGCGACTGCCGGGTTCGGCGGTCTTTTGCCTGGTGCTGGCCATTGGCTCACATGTTCAGTCACGGTCGTTGGACATGTGTTCACGGGGATCGGCTTTCGCATGCTCTCGTTGAAGATGCCGATAGCTTTGTCCAAGTTGATCGCCATCTTGTCTAGTAGTTCTTATCTTAGCAGTAAGACTGGTGAAAAAGAAGAACTGTAGAAGAATATTCTTCAAATATTGAAATTGATGGATTGACGTCGATATTGGAAATGGAATAATTATCCGCAATTCTGAGCAGAAAGAGAGATGAGACACAATCACAGAATGAAACGCGATACTAGTAGTTGTATGCAGTCATATCAAGCCCCCACCTATGCCCCCGCTCAACCCGATACGCCCTATAAAAATTAGAAGTTTATGAAAGAACGAGGAGAATTGATGAAGTCACGTGTATGTCCCTGTTATGACCGTTCTTGATCGAAGACTATCTATTTTTTTTTTGCGTTAGGACTATATGCCACCGCCCTTTCAATCAGTTAATTAACATGTTCAACTATGACTATGTGACGCCAGAATTGATGAAGACGATGACTATATTCAGCACCAACAATAAAGGCGAAAATCTCAAATACCAAAGCAGGAGGTACTATATCAACTAACTTGTATGTTATGGAGGCGGACGCAGAATGTTGAATGAGGTCAGGAAATGTCTTCGAGCCTGTTAGTGACGTTGGAAGCAGGTTCATTAAAGAAGAACTACACGATTATCACAAGCAGAAACTCAGTAGAGACAACGAACCGCAGCCGAAGAGCGCTTCTCTCAACAAGTACGAGAAATTTACACAGAAACTTGCTCTACACAGCATTGTTAACCAGCATGTACAACTCGAGTTCCAGAAATAACATTTCAACAGATATAAATTCCTTGACACTTGGAGATATCTGACACGAGTAAGCGTACTTTCTCGTCCTTGGCTAACAGCTAAGATGCCGAAATTACACGTTTAGGAATCACCTGAAAAAACAATCTTTCTCATTGTCACTCGACAAAAAAAGCAGATGAGTGCTCTTTACTGAGAAAAAATATTGCGTTAGTCTCGTAGTTCGCTCCTCATCTTTAAGAACACCGCGCGCCTTCATGTCTCTCAACTTTTTGTTTGGCTTCATATGCGCGACAAACTTTGTCTATCCGCAGCTGTGTCACCATCGCTAAAACAAATTTCAACATCAAAGATCAGTCGTTTCTAGATCTAGATGAGTAAGTGAATCGATAGTACTACACCACTGTTCATCAAAAGGACAAGAAGAATAGCATGCGGTGGTGTTTACTGACGATGAGCGTTAAGCAAAAGAGTCCGAGAATCGCTGAGATCCACATGACAAACAGGTAGTGGAATAGAAGCAAGATTGCTCGATATCGTTCCCTCCTCCTTCGATTTCGGCGATGATGATCATACTCAGAAGCATCGAAACGGCGAGCCTCTTCCAAGACTGATGGTTGTCGTGTATGCCCAGCCCCGCCTCCGTCGAGTATGCTCAACAATGAATCTTCTGCAAGTTTTCCTGTTTCATCCACCTCAACGTCAACCTCTTGGTGCCTAGCAGAAGTAGCCTGATTGACGCTGTTATCCATTCCGGCGTGCTGTTGTGCTTCGCTTTTTTTCATCTTCATTTCACGTTCACCTGGTAGAAAAAAAAGATATTCAATCCCGTCGTAAAGCAGCTGATTGATCTCAAAGGGGCCCCATTTTTCCCGATCAGGATCGATGATTTCGAGCAACCATGCTGCCAGGTTTAGAGCTCGCATTTGCGATAATTCATTTTCTAAATTCCTCAATATCTACTTTTCAGAACCCGCCATGCGAAAAATGGTTTGGCATGATAAGGGATGAGTTCTCTTTCTCAGGCTACGGCAGTTGTCAAGTTTTTTAACAAATGTGTGAAAAAGCAAGTATGTAGGAGATAGTTGTACCAGAAGATAAGGGACTGGGACACTGACTTCTCCCCTCCTCCTGCTAAAATAATGAACTAACGCTTGAGACGTAACATGTGGTACGCACCAAGCCTACCCCCGAAAAGATGTTCTGCCACTCGGATGAGCATGCCAAAAAGCGAAGATGCACCACCATTGACATCGACGTCGCCAGTCACAATAAACAAGCTCGTATAGTTCCACATATCTTTGCTTTTGGAGCAGCCTTCTCCTAAGCCTCCACCAGCGTCAAAACGCTTCTCGAAGGTTGCCGCAGTATCGCTGTCGTTCGTCGTGCGTTTCTCTGTCCTCTGAGAGACTGATGTGATATTCTGAATAATATTAGAGTGGACTCCATCAGGATCAGGTCCGGGCTGCTTTTCATCGGCCGCGTCTTTTACATTATTGATGCGCAACGGCGTGCTGCTATTGTATATGAAATTCGACGCGACTTTGGCTCGTTCCCGGCTGCTTCGTAGCCAGCGATCAATGACCGCGCGCACCTTGCTGCGTTCGAGCGGTCTCGAGGGACCGCGTATTTCCGCAGCGTCCCACCAGCCCATGTAATCGCCAAATTCAAACACTGCATCGATGTAGATCAAAGTTCCTCCGCTGAAGAGATAAGCAGCAATATCAAATAGCGGAAAGTCGTCTCTTTTGGACGATGAAGTAGTGGCATTCGTACATATAATGGATCTAAGTAGCTTTTTCCCTCAGCCGACGAGAGACACGACATCCGACTGGGACCCCGTTCTTACTGAGCTTATCATCATTTCCTAGATTATTCTGAAGCTGAACACGTTAACAAGCATGCAAATGCAAGGCGTCACGAAACAACAGGAGGTTGGGGACGAGGCTACGCCGAAACAAAGCCAGAGGTCGTCGTCTACTCTACAGCTCTTGAGAGGGAAAAAAGCTACAATATGCATACTATTGGAGGGCTTCGTGTTTGCCTTTTCACTGGCTGTTGTAACTGACGGAGATTGCGGCCTCCCGACGCTGCTAGTAGTCGCATAGAACAGCCTTGTCTTCACTTGCTGCTCTTTTTCAGGCTCATGCGCGTCTTCTTGTCTAGTTTTCTCATAGGTTATCGATGATGCTTCCACATGATGCGCTTGTTGGTGATTTTGTGTTGGGTCGGCAGGAGGTAGCACATCTGCCTGTGTCACAAGACCATTATCGTCTTCCCGGTTGTTCTTCGGACTACTGTAGTTGTGCCTATGTTGCGCATCTACATCAACTCCGTCGCCGTCATGATCGTCCCCATCCTCTTCAGCAATCCAGTAAATAAGGGAACGCAGTGTCAATAAGACGAGCCCGAGGCTGGGAAGGGGTACGAAGGGCATTTGGATATCTGATTGGAGATCTAGCCATAACTTGTTGACGGCTCAGCTGTAAGTCTTCTAAATTTCCCAGAAAACTATTCGGCTAGCGTTACCGCCGCTCCTCCAGGTGCAGAAACGTGCTTCTAGGGACATTCATCTGGACTTGTTGACGATCCGAGGGCATCTTCTTGTTCGTTGTGATCGTAGTACAGGGCTCATTTTATGTTTACTCGCTTGTGGGAGTTGTTCTTTTGCCGAAGTGCGTGACAAGCGGTATAGAAGGAGTAGGAGTCTTTCCTCTCTCCTCCTCCTGTGCTTTTGTCTATTACTTAGGAGATCTATTTTTTCTGGTGAGATCAAGACCTGACTTGCAAAGCTAAACATTAACATGGAGCATTGCAGGACTCCAATAGCAGAAGCAGAATTGGCATCGGACAGGAGCGTGAGGGTGAGTGTGCGCTTCAGCAATACTAGCTCGGGGAGCGCGCTGCGCGCACCAGGTGAGCGTGAGGAACAAATAGATACCCAAGAGCGATCAACAAAAACAAAACCGAAAGGTCTAGATCATACTTACTTTTTTGATCTACTTCTACACTGACTTTCGCACTACTTATGTTCTAGAAGTTCTCTTTTCATCAGAAGACGAAAAGAGAACTTCAGTTCATATTTAATACTCGGAATGCCTGACAAGCGGGTCCTCGATGCCTTTGCCTCGAAGTCCAAAATATAGAGGTATTACCAACAAGATCTTCCAATGCTAGAATATCATTTCAAATAGAAATACAGCGAAGAAATTATGAAAGGTGTTGATATGATTGGCGTAGACCCGCTCTCCCCAGTTGGACGTGAAGAAATAAAAAATTACGCATCTACACAACTACTTGAGACTGTTTATAGAAACTGAACATGTAGTTCCCCCCCGTGATGAAGATATCATTACATAAAGTCAAAGACAAGACATTGACATCAGTTCATGATAATTCAACTGCTCCTCCTGTAAATACAACAACTTATCTATTTTTTTCTTATTAGTTGTACCAATGCACATGATGCAGGTAACGAACAGGAGGACCAACAAATGATTTTCTAGGATACAACAGCCGATGAGAATGATGACAATCGAAAGAGAATCCTAATGTTGCTGGGAATCTTTTTAACAAAGAACGGGGGCTAGGAGGTCGTGAACTCCAATCATGCAGGGATCCAACATTGCAACAGGGGAAGTACTTGTAGTATTTCAATCTGAGTGGCTGAGGCTGGACATGAGCCCATCTGGGATGTAATGAGTTTGAATATTTTTGGATATTTATAATAGAGCAGTTTATAAGGCTTCACAGCTCGCATGGCATGGAGTGCATGGATCACATGGAGTAGCATGGAGCTAAAGGGGGAGCTTCTTGCGCCCCTTAAAGCTCTGCGCTCCATGCACTCCATGCTACTCCATGCACCATGCGTGCTATAAACTACTCTGTTATAAATATTTATAAGTAGAAGTTCTTTCTCTTTCATCTGTAGTAAATCGACAACAAGCTGCAGCTGGCTCCGGTGATGACTCAACATTCCCATCTCCTGATTCTTCATTTTTTACACATCTCGGCTGCATAACGGGAATCACAGGAGAGACCTCCAGGACCAGTGAAGGCATCCAACTACTACACATCAGTGAGGAACATGGCAGTCGAGTTGAAGACTCTCTGACGGCTGTTATCTGTGGGCACTTTCACGGAGCAGAGGAAGTTTTCTCGCGCTATACCAGTATAAATCGGAATCTCGACATCGGACACAGCGGAACGTCCTCCCGGAAAGCCTGTGGAGGCACGATCGGCGTCTGGATTGGCTGTCCACGAAACAGTGAGATCGGGCAAAGCCGAAACAAGATTACTTTGACGAGCTGTCTCGAGAAGCATTCCTGCGGTGCGATCGAATGAAGCCCCTTCGAGGAGAAGTCCAGGAGTTAGAGGTGGTGGAGTAAGAGTCATCACTGAGTAGACTATGCTGGCGCAGCGGGAAAATGGTTTGCACAGTAACTATGCCAATCTTTGAAATCTAGCTGTCGTGCTTCAAGACTCACGATGTGCAACACTCCCTAGTAGTTCGTACTACTCGTCCTCATTGTTGTAGTCAGTTATTGTCCAAAATGATCATGATTGAAGCGTAACTCTAGCGAGACGGGGAAGACTTCCGACGGGGGAAGGCTCAGGCCTTGGACCCCCTGGAAAGATGAAATGAGACGGAGCGAATCCATTGGAACTTGGAGCTTTCGTGCGGTCTGTTGACGCAACGCATTCAAAAAAACGCCAGGCCGCAAGAAGTCAGCAAGTCGAACAGGCTTTTCCCGCAGGTACTGATCGCCGCCACCGGAAATGCGCGCAACCCAGTCGTTCTTCAAAGCCAGTGCCCGCTTTGCCAGTTGCTGCAAGTGAATGATAGGATCGGAGGGTGCGGATGGCCACGACCAGGAGTCCGGGACGTCGCCCAGAATCAGTCGTGTGGCAACCGCCTGGATGTCGGGCGTGGACAAGCCAGTGCCCGCGACCACCTTGCGCATGCAATTCAGGTCGGCACTCACCGTGGTCACAAGCCTTTGCGCCTCTTGCGCGTCGAGGAGCACGAAAGTCGTCACTGGAGAGTCTTGGCTTCGCTCGCTGCTCCGGATGCGCAAGGAGGTACCAGCAAGCCTCGTCGTCTCCCAAAACTTCCACAGCGGACCAATATGCTCTTCCCACAGCTTGAGATTCGTGATGTGCGCTGACCCGCCTCCTGAGGTTGATGTACCGCCTGCTAGAGCTAATGATCCACTGCTGAGGCTGACGCTCTTCAGTTGCCGCAGATTCGAGATCACCTGAGCACTGTTGAGACGCTGCAAACTGCGGTCCACGTTCGCTGGCATGCCGAAGCTCGCGGGATTGTCGATGTCGCTCATCTTTTCAATGCACAGCTTGTAGTCCGCCAGATTCGTGGAGCGCGGTACGGGAAATGGCGGAATCTCGAGCGCCGCGCCTCCCGCGGTCATGCCCATGCCTCCTAGTCCCCCCGCGGAATTCAAAGAATCGTTCCGAAAAACTACTGCGAGGTACTCACGAACCAAGCGCAAGTCGAATTCGTTGTCGACGCGAGAACCATAGACGGCCTTTTCCAGCACTCCATGCAGAGTCTGCCAATCCACGTCAGCGCGCTTCTTCAGCAGCAACGAGACGGTCTCGCACGCGGAGGCAAGGTCATTGCTTGCGAACTCGTAGAATTTGGTCCACCCTTGTGGAATATACGTTCGTCGCTCCTGGACAACCGCATGAAAGTGCGCACACAGAAAGAGGATCTGCGACCGCAGCGTTGCCACCTCCATGTTAGCTGCCGCTCCGAACCAATCCTGCGTCCAGCTCTCGAAGGTACGCTGCAAGTTCTTCTTGAGACCTGGTGGGGCCTCGTAGGTGATCTTCAGCGAACTCTCCAGCAAAATTGGGGGAAATTTTAAATGCGGCTCAGTGGTAAGCCAGCAGCGAAAATTGTGGTGGCAGTCTGTTACATTTTTTAGTTGCTTCTCGAGCGCAGGTAACCAAGAGATGACCAAATGCAAGTTTTTCAGCAGCAACCAGTCTCCGTGCTGCGTCGCGTTCTGCAACATCTCCAGCGCCTCCTCGTTCTGGCCTCCGCCCATCGCCAGCTGGCGAAAGAGAAAGTTCTCGCGTTCCCGCTGGTTCACCTGGGCCAAATAGGTCTTAGCAAATTCTTCAATCTCAACGCTGGGGTCCGCGCCGGGCGTGGTCATGAACAGAACTGGTCGCAGCCGCGCGTCGTCTCCGCTGTCCTCTTCGAGCAGTTTGGGCAAGGACAACGGCGGCGGGGACAGCGACGTGACGCCGAGGATGTCGCAGGCGAACCTCTGTAGGCCTGTTTCGAGGCGGTCGGGCCGCACAGCTTGCAGCAAGAGAATGCGTTGGAACGCAGTCATGCGCGGAAAGCTGTCAGCCGGAAAGCTTTCTTCGCTTTTGTCTGCGGCTGCCCAGCCTTGCCAGCCTTGACTAGTCTGCAGTTGCCAGCTGTCGTCGGCGCGAGGGAAGGCAGACCGCAGCTTGTTGAGCGCCTCTGCACGCTCCGGCGGACACCAGGAGCATGGGGGCAGGGTGCTTTTGGGAGGCGGCAGATAGCTGCCAAGAAAAAATTCCCATTCATGCTCTTGAAAGAGCGCCCCAGAGCCTTGCTGTGCTTGTTGTCCACCTCCTATCAGCTGAGCGATGCCGTGGACAAGATGCATGCCAAAGGTAAGACGGTCTGCCTTGAAGATGCTGCGGCTACAGAGCTGTAACACCTCTACACGAAGCGCGCGCTCGAGTTCGCGAATCTTGGACTCTATGTTGTGCGCCCTCACATCTAGCGCAAGCACCTTGTGGAAAATCTGCGTGAAGAACTCAAGGGAGAATCGGTACATATGATCAATGCTATGAAATTCGCGCAACAGAATGTAGAGTCGCGAGCCTAGTGTCGCCAGCGGCCTGTAGGCTTCACGCTGTTCGTCCAGGTCCTTCTGCAATACGGTGCTTTCCTCCAAAGCTTCCGAAATGGTGTTTGCTGACTTTTTCAATTCTTCGAGACTACGAATCAGGCCTTCGTTTTCCAGCAGGTTGCCACTGCTATCAGCCAACTGTTCTAGCAGCTGCGTTTCCAGATCAGAAAGCTGGACTTTGAGGCCTTCTTCCTTTTGCAGGAGCTCGCTTTTTCGCGACTCGAGTTCCGGTTTCTCGTGAGCCAGCGTCACGGTGAGCAACTGTCCCTCCAGGCCTGCTCGTGTCACCGTGAAATTCACGCGCGTGACTAAGCAAGAAGCGTTCGGCGGCAGCACATCCAGTGCGTTGGAGTTTCGGGTGCAGAGGTAGAGTTTGAAAGTCGGATTGTAGTCACAGGCACGCTCGCCAACCTGTACCACCAATCGGGGGCCCTGCCTCGAGAACTCCTGACGCAGTACTGGAAACAGTACCGCTGGAATGCCCTCGACCTCTTTCAAAATCAATGTCTTGCCGAAGCGAACGGCCAGCTCCAATTTTGTGAGGATCTTGGGATCCTGCTGTAGTGCGATCTCTGCGGTGAGCTGGCTCTCGAGCCAGGAGATGGCTTGCGAGTTCGGATCCACGATAAAGGGTTCCTGCACTGAGTGTTTGATTACGACCGCGTTTTCCTGCGACAGCTGGTCACCCGGAAGGCCCTCTTGTTTCCACGTGAGCAGTTCGCTTTCTGTCGCCATGAAACGCAGGAAGCTGAACTCCTGTGCGTTGTCCGCGAGCCAAGTGCGCTGGCACTGCTCTCTCACGTCCTCGGAAAAGTGCGCCAAGTACGTACAAGCGGCTGCTGCAAGCACAGAGTGGACTGGTAGCTGTCTGGCATTCTTCTTGATTTCTGCGACTTGTGTGCTCCACCGATCCTTCTCCCCACTCAATTTTCCGATAAGCGACTTCGCCTTTGACAAAGTCTGCTGTGCATTATCTAGGCCCATCTGGAGCACGGTCGCTTCTTGCGTTCGCTGTTCGAACTCGTTCTGCAAATCCGCTACTTCCTCATCAATGGCTGCTAATTGCTGACGGCATTCGAACAAGCGCCCTTGGACGCCAGCCAAGTTCTCGGTGGCCTGCGCAAGCTTGTTCTCCATGGGAGAGATCCGCTCCAGCACAGCAGAGTACTTTAAAGAGGCGACTACCCATTTCGCCAGCGGCGCCGCGGCAACGGAGACGCGGTAGATGACTTGGGGATCGTAGCTGTTCGCTTTTTCGTTTACCAGCTTCTCCACGTCGCGCCGGATTTCGGGCGTTATGTTGCGCACGTTAAAATTCAGAATCTTCTGGATCATGCCAGCTCCTGTCAAAAACTTCTTCATGCTGCCCCAACTAGCGTCGTAGTTACCCATGATGCGCAGCACGCCTTGCAATACGTCATGGATTGGCTCTGGTGGCATCTTCAGACTACGAATCTCCGCCAAGTGATCCTGCTTGATGCTGCCAACCGCCTTTTTCGCTGCATCGAGGATCGGCTTGATTTGCGACAATTCTTCCTCAATCTTTACCTTCTCGTCTTTGTTCACTAGTTCGTCCTGCTGAGTCATCTGTTCGAGTTGCTCGACCTCTTGCTTCCTCTCAGCGGCGCGCGCCATGGCTCGGCGAATCTTCTCCAGAGCCTGTTGGGCCTGAAGTTGCTTCTCTTGCAGTGTTATTTGCTTCTGCACTGCGTCCTCCTGTAGCGTTTCCACCGTTTGGTACACTTCCTGCAGTTTCAATAGACCCTTCTCCAAGTGGTCTCGCTTGCCACTGCTGCTCGCGATCTTACTCTCGTAGACGGCCTTGCAACACTGCAGCAGCGTGACCAGGTGCCGTGGGGTCGCGCCGTAGGTGATCTGGGAGTTGTGCACCTTTCGCGCGAATTGCGCTAGGGCCGGCACGATGGATTGTTCTGCCCCACCACCGGGAGAGCCACCCTGCTTCGCAGCCTTGGATTTCTTGCCAGAGACCGTGATGTCGCTGAGAAATTCTGCCATGCGCGCGTTGCACACAATCTCCTTGCTCTCCTCGGTCCACTCATCCATCCAGACGACGGCACAGTCCTTGAACAATGCAGGATTAGAGGCGCAACAACTTCGAAAATGCGGATGCGTCGGGTCCATCGACAGGACAATTCGCAAGTGGGCACGGACTTCGGTCACAAAGTACTCGAACAGGGTTCGCGGCGCGTTCGGCGACTCGTCTTGTTTGTCTGCGAACTCCTGTTTCAGGGGGTTGAGCACTGGCTCCAGTTCTTCGGCAGTGTACAGGCCGGGAACTTCACCTGCGGAGAGCAAACTGTTGAGAGTTTCGCACATGTGGTCGTCCACTAAATGGTGATCCTCTACAAAGAAAACTGTGTCCTGTTTTTCTATCCCGGTTTGCTGCATCACGGTTTTCAAGTCGCGGGACCACTCTTTTCGGCCGTAGCGCGTCGACAGGCTTGGACTGAAGACTGTCATGGCCTGCAAGTTGCTCATGAGGTGCACGAGCGATCGTCGACCGACACCCGCTTTGCCGATCAAGAACAAATCGTTCATCTGTTTGCTCGCCAGCACGCGGTCAATTTTGGCCAAGTTTTCCAGCACTTCGTCGAAGAGTTCGATTCCCAGTGTTCGCGCCTCACGCTCGTACGTCTTCAGCCCTTCGACGATCAGTGTTCGGTAGTCCTCTTTGCGAGCGATGCGCGTGAGCTCCGACGACGGCGCCGCGAAGTGGGATCCGCCGACTCGCGTAAGCAAAGCTGTGTAGCGAAAGTAGGCGCCTTGGTTATTGACATCACAGTTGAAAGCCTGAAAGGCGACGGAAGCCAAGAGGTCGTCGAAGGCCAGCTGGTCGTCTCGCACGAGGCGGTCGCGAAAAATGTGCCGCGCTTCGTTGCCAAAGGCGTCTAACAGTTGCTTCTTTTCGGTTGCCGGATCCGCTTCGTGGACGTAGCGGATGAGCTGGTTCACCCACAAGGTGAGGTCGCGCGGAGAAATCACGTAGTGCTCGTGGCTGTCTACAGTGAACTTTTCGCGTACACTGCTGTACAAGTCAACCATCGCGCCAGCAATAGTTCCAGCCAGCGCTTTGGCCGACATTTCGTCCACTTCGCCACTTGCGGACAGCAAGAAGGGCGGCGCCGCGTGTTGCAAGACGAGGAGTAACGTCATTTCCGCGATCTCGCGCAACTCGTCCACAGTGGGGTAAAACACGCTCGCGATGCGAACGTTGGCGGTGAACCGCGTCGACACGTGGTGCCGACCGAGCGTGGATGAGGGCGCCATGCTGCACACGATTTGAATGGACTCTAACGTGACGAACTCCAGATCTTCGTCGTAGAACCCGTTGTGCATGCAAACTTGTTGCAAGAAAGCGATAATTTGGCTTGTGTCATACTTGTCGGGTTTCGGCAGGTTGATGTCTTTCAAGTAGACAATGAGCCGTCGTCCAGATCGCGGACGATACACTTTTCCGTGGACTCCGTTGACAATCGCGCAGAACTGCCTCAGCTTCTGCAAAACGTGAACAGACGACGTCTGACCGTTGCAGTGAACGACGGCGATGTTGAGCACTTGCTGCTTGCACTCCGCCACCTTCTTCACCGCGGCTCGCAAGAGCATGTTCTTGCCGCATCCCTCCGGACCTTGCAGAATGATCGGCTGCTCGTCCTCGAGCCAGGTATAGAAGAGGCCAATGTCGCGAGCAACCGTGGTGGTCGGCACCAGGCACGTGGCACTGTGCACGGCTTCGTAGGTTAAGGAGGAAAGCGCGCTGTCGTGCTCTCCCAGAGTCACTGTGCCGATCTTGGAACAGTCCACCGGGTCCACTGCGATGTTCAGGGGGTCGCTAGGATCCGGCAGCCGCATTCCCATCCACTCGAAGACATTGCGTACGAGTTGACACCGATCTGCGTGACTGAGGTTGCAGCCGAAGCCGTTGCAGACAGCCATGACAAATTGTGCCTCTGTGATGTCCGGAAATTCGTTGCGCACAGGATCGAGTTTGCAAGGCAAATTTCCGAGAACGTTACGAACCATACCAAACATGGTCGTCTCAATCTCCAACTTCTTGGGACCTGCAGCTCCAGACTTACCACCCTTCGGAGCAGCTGCGCCTGTCTCTCCGGCTGCTCCTGCGGTATCAGAGGAAGACCCGGCATAGACAAAGTCCAATGCGCGAAAAAATACCTTCTCGAACCATGCGTCGAGCTTGCTGTGCATGGCCTCTGGTCGCGCTAGCACCCACGACTTTATCAATCTCTTCACGTCGACGTCTTCCTCCGACAAGAAAATCATGCCCATTCGCGTGACCGTAGCCGGAGAAGCAAAAAGCAGCGAATGCGTTTCGAAAATGAAGTTGACATTGGATCCAAACTGAATACGCTCACCGCTTGGCAGCGTCAGTAGTCGATTATCGTCCAGAACACTGTTCAAACTTTCCACCCATTCTGGATCAATGTCGCCGTCGCAGATGATCCACGAGTGCGCCGCTTCGTCTTTGACCACATTCCTAGCGGACACGGTGAGTACGCCGTCAAACCACTCCCGTGTATCGAGGTTCATGTGACCCAACAACTGCTTTCGCGGCATGCTCTTGGGGTTCATCACGTGTACGGAGATCTCCTTCATGTTCGCCGTGTTGCCTTTGCGATATGCGTGTGCGAGGACCTGCCAAATCGTGCTTTTCCCACAGCCCGAAGGTCCGACAATGCCAACACCCATGCGCTGCTGGCAGGCCTCGTGAAATTGCAGCATTTTCGTGATCTGCGACTCAATGGCATTCAGTTTCAATTCCGTTAACGACTCTCGGATATCCTTTTCAAGTTGTGCGTATTCGATGTCCTTCACCGAGATGCCAGGGAAGACGTCGCGGCATAGATCCTCGAAGCGCCGTGCGTCCGCGTATGTGAGTTTCGACAACGTGTTCATGCGAGTGCTCTTCAGGAGTACAAGAGCTTCAAACGCTTCGTCCTGCACTTGGTCACGATTGGCCTGTTTTGCGTCGAACAAAGAACGTCCCGCAAGTGTCAGAACTGTCTTGAGCGCACGGAGTCCCCAATCATAGTGCTGCTGCGGCGAGAGCAGCTGCGCAGACAGCAGAAACAGCGACACAATTTTTTTGGCCAGGCTATCCGCCGAACGATAACCTTCGGAAAAGAGGAGCACTTCCGCGATAATTTCATTATCGGGCGCGCTCATCGCAACTGGACGGAACAGCTGTTTCAGGTTGTCGGGCAGCTTCTGCCTGCCTCCGTACCCTTTCACCGCGGGATTCAAAGTGATAAAGATGCCCGCATTGTGGTTCACCTCCACGTCACGGCCCAAGAGTTTGATCTGACTTTCGCGGTTCTTGATTCCCGCTTGAATCACTTGGATCAGCTGTGAAATGGCACTCATCTGCTCTTCGAGTAGACGGTTGAACTCATCAAAGCAGCCCCACGCACCACAACGGACGAGCCCGATGAAGATGCGAGCCATCGCCTGGTAGTCGATGCCCTCGTCGCAGTTGAACACCAATACTTGTCGACCCAGTTGCGTGCCTAGAGCCTTGACGGATTCCGTTTTTCCGGTGCCTGCTGGTCCATACGGGTTTCCACCGTAGCCGAGTTTCATACCGTGCATCATGGTGAGGTAGCACTTGTCGGTGAGCGGCGTGTGCACAAGTTTCGGCGCATTGCCCTGGTACTCGAACGAGTACAGCTGTCGCGCCTCAAGCATGCGCGCTTCTGCCTTGCCCTGTGCGCCTATCGCGTAATAACGCAGCTGTCGATACCACTGCCAATCCGTCAAGGTGTGACAATTGGCGACGTCATCGACAACGGACCGTTGATGAATCAAGTCCAGGATGAGCGCCTTCAGCTTTGCTTGCTCCAGGGCCTGCGCCTTGCCCGCTTTCAGCTCCGTAAGGCTCTGAAGGTCCATCACTAGCTTCTGTTTCAGTTGCGGCACCTGCCTTGCGTCGATCGCGCTCTCGCACATGCCTGTGAACCGAATTTCGCCGCTCAAGTTCAAAACCTGAGAAGGAAAACGGCCGAGGTCCATGCTCTCGCCTGAAGCAAGACATTTCTCAAGCAGCAAAGCCAGCGTTTTAACCATCTCTGCAGCGAGCTCTGACAGCCACTGCTCCACTGGCCTGGGTTCGCCGTCACCCTCTAAGACTCTGATCGGTGTGTTCAACTGCACCACCTCTCCCAGAGAGCTGCGCATGCAGAGAATTCGCTGCGTGTCTTTCTCGAACTCAACAGTATGAATTCCTGCAAATAGCTTCTTTAGGTGAGTTTGTATGACTGCCGGGTTGCTGCTTTGTCCCAAAATCTCCAACAAATCCTCGTCCCCGATGAAGTACAGGCGTGGAAAGCTCGTTCGCTTTTCCTCCAGGTAGGTGTTCAGGGCCTTCTGACACCGGTCCAACTGGTCCTGCAACGAAGTGAACTGCTCCGTGATCCCTCGCACGGTGCAAACATAATGCACTTTTTTGGCTTGGTGGAAATTCCGCATCATGCCACGGTAATCGCGGTTGACGCGTTCAAAGCGCTCACGTTCTTTCGGCAGCGCTCCGCGTGCGAAAATTGGTTCCAGATACACGTACTTTCGCTGTACCTTGTTCATAATGAGCAACACCGTATCCAAGAGCCCAAGTTTTTCGCTGTAGCTGCTTGCCTGGTCCTTGAAGGCAGCAAAATATCTGCTGTCTTTCAAACTATTGCACAATGCTTGCTTGTCGCTCACTGCAGACAGCAGATCCTTCCACTCCTTGACCAAAGGCACCTGCGCGTTGCTACCGTCGTTCACGGTGTGAAAAGTGAAATCGAACTGCGTTAACTCAAACCAGGCCGTGATTTCCATCACAGCTTCGCGTATCGTCACTTCTCCAAGTGCGCGTGCCGCAAGCTCCTTGATTTGCGCCTCGTTCTGTAACATCAATTCGAGACGGCTAACAAAGTGCGTCACAGTGACGTTGTTCACGGACACGGTGGATTCCAGTTCGAGCATGGCGAACAGTGCCCTCCAGTGCTCCTTCTCGAACGCCTCGCCGGTCATACTCTTCAATATCGGATGGGCCTGTCGCAACTTCCCAATTTGCTCTGCTAAGATCGATATTACAGCGGGATCGATCTCCACTCTCTCCCACTTTGTGCCAGGTTGATCCTTCTTGTCTGCTCCAGGGAGTGCGACTAGATTTGACGACTTGGCGGCAGCTGTAGTACCTGAAGCTTCATCCGGAGTACCTTGGTCACCACCTCCTCCAGCCGCTGTCTTCTTAGCCGTAGTACCGTCTTCAACCTTGACCTTAAGGCCGCCCTCGGACATGGCTTCGCGCAGCTTGCCTTCCCAGGCGATGCAGAGGTCGGGGAATTTGAAGAGTCTCGGTCGGAACTCGATCCACAGTTGTTTCGACATCTCGTCCACCTCCTCAACAAATTCTTGAAACAAAGCCCAGGAAGCCTGCTGCCGCTGCAGGTCATTCTCCAGGGATTCAAAATTGACCAAACCAGGATCCGGCAGACCGAAGTCCCTGCAATCTGCGAGCAATTGGTCGATTGACTCTTTCAGCAGGGACCACTCTTCCTGCCAAGTAACCATCTCAGCGGCATTCGCACGCGCCTCCGCCAGCGTCAACTGCTTACTGGCCTTTGGTTTGAGCGCCTGCCACTTACTCGCGAACTTCTCGATCTCGATGTTCATGTTGTTCACGCGGTCGCCCATCTTGCTAAGCAACTCTGCACGGAGTTCCGCGGCCAGCGTCTCAAAGGTCTGCAGTCGCAACTGAAATTCGTCGTATTTTTCCTGCAGCAAGTGCATTTCCTCGGTACTCGCGAATGTGTAGACGGATTTTAGCAATCGGGATTTTTCTTCCACGTCCTGGGTCTCGGTCTGCAGTTGCGGCTGTCTCTCGATCAATCGCGCCGCCTCTGCCTGCGCCTGCCCGAGTTCGGAGACCGAGTCGGGACGCACGTTCAGTCGCTCCAGCGCTTTCTCAAAGAATTCCAGCTTCGATTTAACCTCAACCGAAACCACTTTCTTCAGTCGTATGATCATTTGGTCCATGAACCGGTCTAAATGATCTTCAATCGTCGATTTTATGAGCACCGTGGACAAAGTAACGCAGTTTACTCGAATCACATCCGGAATTTTTTCCATCTCTTTTTTCTTCGCCTTCACAAGCTTAAAATTCGCTTCCCATTCTTTGGTGTCCGCGAACGCTTCCACCAGTTCTTGAACGCGTTCAGGGTTTTGTCCAAGGATCAAAAACTCACCCATTTGGGTGTCCGCTACGGTCTGAATTTTCTGAAAGAGCTCTTCAGCTTTCGCGAAAACGGTCATCACACTTTCTGGATTGCGTTCCGGCATGGCTTTGTAAATGTTCGCCGCACCCTCGAGCCCCTTAAAAGCAATTGGAAGCTGAATGAAATTCTTGATCTCTTTGAAATAAGACGATCGTAGCTCCTCGACTGGCGGCTTTAGGCGACATTGACGATTTACGAAAACCTGATTGTAGGCGTGGATGAATTCCGGCACTCGACGAAGGATAAGTAGACCACGTCAATCCGTGCACAGGAACGAGAAAAACAGGCGATAATCATTATGTATCTTCATGCAAAAAGAGAGAACTCTTAATGTACTATATCCGCTTTCATTTCCGGCAGCGATTCGTTCAGTGACTCCAGGCCGAGTCTGTATTGGCATTCCATGATTTTGTAGATTTGGTAATCCCAATGTGATCGCCAAGGCTTTGTGGCAAGTTCTAGTTCACCTGCGTCAGAAATATCACAAATTGCGGTTGTAGCAGTAATGATTTTGCTGATCTCTTGGAGTTTTTGTTTCCACACGTCACGCTGTCGCAAGAGCGAGACTGAGGCCATGGACAACACAAGGTCGCAGACTTGCTGATGCGCGATCCGTAGCTTGCGGTTCAAAGTTCGGAGCAGAAAATGAAGGGAGAGTAGGCGGGGCTGGAAACGGTGAAAGAATTCTGTAAGTAATTACTGCAAAGACAAAGAAGTAAACGAAGATGAAGATGGATCATTCAAGCAGACCAACAGTGTGGGTCCATACTTGCTAGCCCCGTCCTTTACGCGCGCTGTGAAGTCTTCGAGTTTATCGACCGAGTCCCACTGCATCGTCCGAATCCCTCCACTAGTAGATTTCGCATCCCCGAAGAGCTTCTCGAACCTCACTGCTGCATTAAGAACCATGAGCTTCTGACAAGGTAGAATTTCGCTTGCCAAATGGTTGTGAAAGTTACAGATTTGCTTTAGCTGCACTGCAAACCGGTAGAATTTGAGGCCCAGCTCGACTTGCTTCTTGATGCCCTTCGGAATGCCAAATTGCATCTGCTCAAACCTGGATAAAATCCAAAAAAAATGAAACCACAAAAATGCAACCCAAATCAATCAGAAGCCGCAGCATCATCTGGATGCTTCCGGTATTTGGTAACCTGAATTTGATCATAAGGGAAAACAAGAAGAGAACCCTTGTGATCAAATTCAGGTTACCAATTACCGGAACCATTCATCATCTTCTTCCTCAGTATATCTATATGTAAAAATTGTGAATAAACTACTAGAAGTACATTCTCACTTCCTTGATCAGATGCACGAGCTTTTCCGGATAGGTGATCCGCAACGCGCCTTCTTTCCTCGTATCGAACTCCATCACCTTGCCCTGTAGCTCTAGACTCATTCCTCCTGACGCGTGCGACAACGCCGCTTCGATATCCTCCTCCCAATCCTTGAAGCAGCGCTGCTTCGCGTCCCGCAGTTCCTGGCGAAGCTTTTTGCAACTATTTGCGACGCGTGTCGTGCTCGGCAAATCTTTCAAAAATCCACTGAGCATGGGCCGCAGCATGGCTTCGGTTTTCGTACGGAGTTGCTCGAGCCAAATAACTCGTCTGGCTGCTTCAGAGAAGCCTCGACCTATTGGCAAATTTTCGGAATCGTAGTCCGCACTCTCAAAGTCACTGCGCATACGCTCAAGATAGTCCGCGATCTCCGCTAGCAGTCGTTCCCTTTCGTTAGTCAGAGCATTGCGCACGTTTGTCCTTTCCAGAATTGAAGAATAGCGTTGAAACACTCGCACCGATTGCGTCGGGTTCCCAGTGCCCTCACTTCCTGCAAAGAGTTCTTTTCGGAGCCTCTCTGCCACTGTCGTTTCTAACGGCTGCATCTTCTTTTCGTACTCCTCAACGGCAGCTATCCACATTGGCGCAGTGTACTCATTGTAGGTGAACGTCGAGATCTTCGCGAAGGACTCGAACACGTTTTGGTTGGCTAGCATGCTAGCTCCGCCTGAGGAGCTTCCATTTGCTGCCGCGCCGCCTCCTCCTTCACCACCGGCATTCGCCGCGCCACCAGGAATCAACTTCAAAATCTGGTCGTGCTGTGTTCGGATGTCGGCGACGTGCAATACCCGCGCAGCAAGATTCTGCATGAAATCATCCCGCAAAGGCTCTCCCTGCCAAATGTGGACTCGTTCCGGTGACTTCCAATCTACTGCTGTCCAGTCATGCAGGCTTTCGTTCCAGCGTTCGCAGACTTTGTGCCCTTCCCGAATGTATTTGGAGATCAAGTTGAACTGCTGCGTTGAGTGCCAGACATTCAACGAGTTCAGTTTTGCCTGCACGGCCCGTCCAATGGCAGAGCCCACGGTGCGGAAAATTAGACGCAGCAGCCTCAACAAAGACCTATGTTTGTCTTTGTTCGTCGTGTTATTTGTCTTTGTCTTCTGATAATTCCATAATCATGAACCTCAGGTACAGGTTCAAAATCAGTCAAGAAAGGCATAACAAAAAGTGCGTCATCCTTGCCTGGGAGTAGACGCTCTCACGGTCGTCGCCCTCCCGCCACAGCTCATCGGCTACGCTCATCGTGCTGTCAGCCAGGTCTAGCAGCTGTGCAAAAGTCTTCTTCGCAATCTCTTCGAAGTCCGCGGCCATCGGTGCGAGAATTTCGGAGAAGCGCTTGGCCACACGCCGCTTCTTGTCAGGCAGGTCTGGCGCGGACTGAAAATCTTGCCAATACCGGATTTCATCGATTGGCGCTAAGATTCCCGAAAAATCCGTATCCGAGAAGTCGGTGCGTTTCGTGAGTCCGCGCCGAAGTTGCGTCTTCAGGCCCGCATCTAACTCGAGCAAAAAGTCCCCCAGCTTGCCTTCCAACAGAAAACCGGCTTCCTGCGTCTTCTGGTCGTTGAAAAAAGGTACATAAACCTCTTTCAGCAGTCCAGACAGAGACTTGACGATGCCATTTCGCAAGGAGGAAATGAGAAGGACAGTCTGAATATTCGCTGGCGTCAGTTCCTGCGCGCTCGTTTTCACAAAATGCATTTCATTCTGCGTCGGGTCCGCCAAATACTGCGGATCTGAGGGAGCACGTAGAGATGAAAGGACAACACGATCTAAGGATGATCCTGCGACGAAGGCAAATAAGAGTCTTGACCCACCCCTGCCTCTATTATTCTCTATCTGGAGAACAAGCAGAGATTAATATTTTCCAGGTCATGAAAAACAATGTCTATATTCCATTGATTCAAGCTTTAAGAAGTGTTTCCTTGCACCTCATTCTCATCTCCCATCAACAGCAGTACTGAATCCCAAGCAGAGCGTGACTGTGCGCTTTTCCTTGGCTGTATCTTTGATTTCGAGAGCCTGAAGGACCCGATGCGACGGGTCATCCAGGAAGGCCTCCAACGCAGTGTTGGACGCTGAATTCGAGCGGAATTCATTTCGCGGAATATTCAGTACTGATATCACGCACTGGATCACGTACTCCTTGCGTGAATCGTTCATCTTGCTCATAATTTTAATAAATAATAATGAGCAGTTGCGGTTTTTAGAGGTCGAATGGTCGTTGCTGGCGGGCTGGAGGCTCTCCTCTCGACGCTGTCGCTGACACAGTGGAGCGAAATCGTACCACAAGAATCGTTCTGGCGTCGATATTTCTTTTTCTACCGAAAATTCACAAAACTTCTTTTCGATCTGTTGTACTTCTGGCAATGTCACTTCCAGTATCAACTCCCGCATCAACTCGCGCAATGCCCCTGTTCGTCACTATCTCTTGCTCTATACACGCAATACATAGGCGGCGCATGCAGAAGCAAGCGCTTGCCTGGTGCAGTCATATTTGTAAATGTGCACACTTTTCCAGCTCTTTCATTGATTATTTTCATGTTCATCATCTATTCGAGATCAAGATCATCTAATTCTAACGCAACATCAAATAAGATGGTCTCTTTTTCCTCAGAGAGAGGTATACTAGATTGAGTCAAGTTCTAGATTAAGTTCTCCAGCTCTTTTCTCTTTCTCTCGAAGAGTTTCTACTGCTCAGGCTTTTTCCAAGAATATGCGGCTTCGATGAAACCACACAGACACTTGTTCACCTCAGAAGCGTTCTCGCATGACATGATCTTCAACACTTTTGGTTTTGGGGTGGTCTCCGCTCCAGATAAAGTTGAAGAACCGAGGAGCATTCACCAATCTTCGCGTCTTTATCTTACTCAATATTAGCACGCTCTACTTGAGGTAATGAGCTCTGCTCTAGACTGACAGCCAACCACTACAACGTCACAAGAAAGACTCATCATGAAGATTTAAGAAAGAGAAACGTTCACAAGGTGGAGAAAAATGGGACATCTTATAATTCAATATTTACAGATACAGATATTATCTATGTATAATATATATATATATATATATATGATTGATTCCTGAGTCACACCTCGCTCTCACTCTTTTCGCTCCACTCCTCGCTTAATCACTCAAGGTCCAGATCGTGTCTGCAGTGCAGAGGGGACGATGCTATTGATGGAGTTGATCAAGGAGCCTCTACTGATCCACACCAAATCCGAACAGAATAAACTAGTCGGACTTTTGTTGACCCGTTGCGGAAGAAGAATCTGCCACGCTAACACCGCGGGAACTTTTGCTTAAGCAATGCGAAAATGCTCCACCACGTTTTTTCATTTTCATCATGTATGTTTGCACACCGTTCATGCCTAAAATATTTTGCAGGTGGAGGCCGAGAGGTTCCAACCCAACCTCAAAGGCCGAAGAGACCTTGACGCAAGATAAGAGTGAGGTCCTCTCCGTGAGGGTTCTCTCCAGGCGCATATCTGTGATGCCGATAGTTTCCTCCTGCGCTCCAGCCGTCCTGGTCTAATCGGTACCGATTTCGCAAGCGCTCGCGACCATCACTAGCCTGCTCTGTTTCGGGGGCTAAGGTGGGATTAGCTCGAAACGTGGGTCTGGTAGAACATACGAAAGCCATTAGAAGCCATACGACACGCAGGATGCAGTAACAAAGGCGCCAAAGCCACTGGAAGCGGGGCACAATGACTAACGTATCGTTGTGGACCGGCACGTACAAATCGCGAATCGCGATTCGGCGCACAGTAGAGTTTGATGGTGGCGAAGCTGCATCACCAGCATCAGACAAAGGAATCTTGCGCGAAAGGTGAGTCTGTAGCGTATTTTTCCTCCGCTTTTCGTGACTTTGACGACTACAACTTCGACTCCCTTTTATTCGTCGACGCTTACGAACCATTGTGTCTCTAAGATAATCACTGGAAATATTCATGCGTCGCTGTTTCAGGTGTTGATCCGTCCCGTCCTCTGTCTGATCCTCTTCTTGCTCTTCATCCTCATCCTCCTCCTTGTATTCATCACAATCTGTATCATCTTCACCCTCTTCAGCTTCATCTTTATCTGGTTCGGCAAACGCTGATCCGACAATGACTCCAGGAGAGGTTATCCAAAACAGGCTTCGGGAAAGTCTTTGGAGCAGACCGAAAAACTTCGAACATAGAGCATCGCGCATAATTTCTTCGCCTGTTGGAAGCCAGATCTGGAAACGGGTCTTCGGATGCGCCAAAACCTGGATCCATATTCGAAACCGGATTAAGACCACAACAAACACTTCAGGCCGTTTCAAATCTTCACCAATGGTCGCAAATGTATGGTCAGCATCGTTTTCGTAGAGGGTGCCTTTGATACAAAAGGCAAAACGATCTCTCGTGACAGAGAACTTGTCGGCAAGGATGCTTGACAAGGCGTCGACATTTCGCACGTCATGCAGTGTGAACTCCTTCTCCTGCTCGTCTGGCTCGTTGTCGCCGATTTCTGCGTTTAGCCGTGATTTAGATTTTCTAGAATCCCGCGCACCCTTAACGCTGAAAATGCGGAGGGTAAGGTGATTACTCACGTCCCCACGCGAAGACGAGCCAAACATCGGTTTTGTTTGTATGACGCATTCAACTTTTTGTAAGTGCACAGGGACGACGTCGCGTGCAAGCATAAAAAGGTCTCATGTTCGTCTTACTTGACATATCATGATCATCATGATGGGCAGCCATAAGCAACATCTTCAGGAGACATGACATAAATTTCGCATAACTACGAAGCAGAAGTGATTAAGTAAAAAGTACTTCATATGCGTAATTTTTTTCCTAAAAAGCACATAAGTTCTACGTTATCTACTCCCTCCACACCTGAGTGAGTTTGCGGAGATGATTGGAAACATTTTCATTTGCAGCCCAGTGCAAGAACGATTTTTTCGGAGATGCTACCAGCAAGATCAGGGGCCGTGGCGCGGGTTGAAATGATACTGTTAGGGGTAGCGGTCGCGGGCGAAAACAGCATAAGCATCGAACCTGCGACAGATGGAGCATCGAAGCTCGGGAGTCGCCTCCACAGTCCACAACTAGCCAGGAGTGTCTCGTCAATAATCAACCGGTTTGGCTCTCGTGCTTAGATCTCTTCAACTCATGTCCACTTGTTGGGTGTTGATGAGGACGAACACATTATGCGAAGACTGCCAAAATTTGATAGGTTTATCATGCAGACCACCGATCATTATGGATCTCCTGTAAAGAATGAGTATCCCTTCATCAGAAGAACCATCTGACTTCCTCTTGGAAGTACTCTACTTCTTACGTTTCGTCACCAGTAACGGTATGCGCGTAACCGTAAAATGATAGAAAATCATCACGTATAGGAAAGGCGTCTTCACAGCGAGTGATGGCGCGTCATCAGCACATGAACATGAAATCTCCTGGAACTAGTACTTAATAGAGATAATACTACATTTGGCTATACACTTCATCTGCTGACACCTGACTCTGCAGCCTTCGCTCCTGCATCGCAAGTATCGCGCACATTATTCCTGTGCATACAAGGTAGAAGCCCGTCATATAGTTTGCGAACCAGTTGTCGAGAGCGACAAGAAGACAACCTGGAACGGAAAGTAGTCGTGGTAGACTCAACATAGATAAAGGTGCTTAGGCGAGGACCCTTATGTGCCATAACACCAATATTTGCCGTGGAGCAACTGCTGCAAGTAAAATTTCTAGTCTAGGTCTAGAATTTTCAAATGGAAGATGTTGACAAAGTAGATAGTACCGAGAAAGCAGAAGGTGAATGCGCGGCCGTCTTTCACGTGGAGGAAGTAGCAGTATTTGAGTAGCAGTTCTTGCGTTGGTAGTGCCCACATGCCATTTAGAGTCGCTATTGCTGCTCCGAATGTGAATAAAAACCAATAGACGATGTATTTCGGTAGCGCTTGCCATATCATTGGTATATCGATTATGTAGAGCGCTGCAGTGAATATGAGCGCTGCGCCGCCTACGAGGCATATTGCGCGTTCTGAGGAAGGGTTTGCCGTGATCAAAAGTTTGATCTCTCTTGCTTGTGTTCTGGCTGTCTCCACGCCCTCCTGTATCCCGGAGGAGGCCATGCTCCCGCCGCTGCCCAACATTTTCCTTCAAGACTATTTCTTCCTTCAAATGTCACTTAGTGCTTCTCACTTCTGTTGATGCACTACGACGATGTACTTGTTCATGTACATCATGTACGTCTTTGTGTTTGTCTACATCTACCACGATTAAACAAGAACAGAATCTCCCGGACATTATATCTCGTACTTCTAGCGGCCCGACTTCACTCATTAGATTTCATCTTCTAGGAGTCGTTGAGATGTGGAGGAAACAACTTGTGGTAAAAATCTTCAACCATGCATAGAAACGCTGAACCGTTCATGATTTGACTTCAATTTTTTTGGTGTTCCGTCGCCAAAACAAGTAGTGTCGATTGCCAAGAATTCTCCCCTCCTCGCAGCTGCCCCGTTTACTCGCTCTGTATTTTCATCTCTTTTATCTCGATTGCCACGACTGCCTCTGCTTAATAGAGATCACAACTGAAACTTTTTGTTCGAGGAAGAACTTTCGCGGCCACGCCGTGGTCGGTCGCTGTCGTCTGACACTGGCCGCTGTTGTTTTTACTCGACTGTCATTTGCACAAAGCATAAGATGACAATGTCGAAATGAAGTATCTCAATACTTTTATCTCCAAGACTAGATCTAGAAGCACGTCACAGAATAGGATAGTTTAATTTAGTATAGGGGCAGAACTCTTCTCAGGGATGTTGCTGCCGCCGAGGATCAGCAACATGAAAAGACGTATTACCGAAAAAGGTGTAGGTCGAACATGAGGATCAGGAAAATCAAAATACTTTCTTAAGCTCGATGCTAGCAAAAACTGGAAGAACAGCAAAGGACGAAAACCATAAGTGTAATCCTCCTTGCTATACTGATGTCATTGTCGATGTGTCTGTGTGAGTGTCAATATATGTTACAAATTAAGTACTCATGTTGATGATGAAAAAGCAAATAATACCGGAAGAAGAAAGAGGGTGAATATTATGAACGACTAAGAGGTGGGATTGGTATGGACCATAGGGTACTAGCTCTCCCTCACTTATAGTTCATAGAAGATATATTTGAAAGATGCTAGTACTACAAAACACATAAGTAAAGGTTAAGGTTTGCATGGCATGGAGTGCATGGATCGCATGGAGTTGCATGGAGCTAAAGGGGGCGCTTTTTCCTTCTTGCGTCCCCTATGGATCTGCACTCCATGCACTCCATGCTACTCCATGCGTGCTATAAACAGCTCTGACATAAGATCACTCATGAAAGAAGCTGTAAGATCCTCATACGACCTGATGAAGAAAAAGAGACGCAATTGAAGAAAAGAACATACACACGACAAGTACCACAGCATCTTGATGTTGACGGTACCGGTTTCAACATTGTCCCTAAATTTTACCGAACCTCTCACTACTTCTATGCTTAGTGTTAAAAAGCAAGAACATGACAGCGCAGGGCTCGCTGGTCATTCACTATCTATATAGCCGTTACAATAGAGGAGTAGGGCGGGCGCAATCAAGGTTAGTTCAGTCGCGGTCCTCGTCGTGTTGCTTTCGTTATCTCATGCATCCTGGGTTTTTGCAGACTCCGTGTTCGGCATCAAGGAGGACCACGACCACTAGGATCGAGTAGCACTAGCACAACTACTGTCAATGACTTCTTAATTACTGGAACGAGGATGATGTTGTTGGTGCCACAAACTCAACCGCTGGGGGCTACAACAATATGAATACGGGCACTAGAAGCAGGAACTACTTGTTGTGGGTGTGCAACTACAACTGCAGCGTCGCTATGTATATGTAGCCAAGTAGAGAGCAGGTACTTGTTTACCACTGCCTCTGCCACGTGTACTTACTAACGCAGAATCCACCGATTATGTTTAGTAGTTGACATTCTTGTGCCTCTCGTGAGCGAGCTCAACGTGTAAAGCTCAACATGTATTCAACGTGTGTAAATTCTAACTATGTTGAATGTCTCTGACTCTCTGAAAAGATATCTTCGTGACCACGCATGAGTGAGTCTTCTTGAAAAAATCGAATGCAATTTTTCCGACTATTACGATCTGCAGCATGATCGGTTGTCTCTGTGTGTCGTGGAGTCACAACTTGTGTGTCCTGAACTTCAACGCGTAGCTATGAGCTCACGTTCAGCTCCACTGTCGCCAAATATCACTCAGCAAGACGTCCTTGAAGTGGTGGGCAGAAGAACAAATATTCATTACAGTGGACTTCGAGCGTTTTACCAATCGTCCTCTTCGATTTTCAAAAACACCGGCTCACTTCCCTTAGCGTATTCGCGACAGAGGTCGCGGACAGTGTAGACGGGACCGATTTCGCGTCCCTGCGCACTCTTGGCCACGCAGTTACTGCCAATCATGTTGCAAATAGCTTGCACCGTTGTTGTTGGCGCGAAGATCTTTTCCGTTCGTTTTCCATCATGCTCGATGACCACCACGATGCCGATTTCCTTTACAACTAAAGTGATTTGCTCAGACTCCTGCTCGTCGAACCCAGCTGTTCCGGAGCCCTGCTTGTTTGCCGCAGCTGCCTGTAGTGCTAGACAAGAGACCGGGCGCCGATCGTTACGAGGAATCACGCCAAGTGGTGCACCGGAGACATTCACCAGCTGAAAACAGAGATCATGGTTGGGCAAGTACGCCAAGTACAGATCCGCAATCGCATTCCCGCGCGGCCAACTTACCGCCTTCTGTTTGCCGTTCTTCAGCAAGTTCACCAGCATCGAACCCTCGCCACCAGCGGAAGAGCCTCCGGGAGACGAGCCAGTGGTTCCTCCACTTACTGACGCCGTCGTCGTGACGCTACCTTGGGGGCCCACAGACGAAGTTGAGCTGCATGGTGACGAAGTAGCGATATTGGAGGATAAGGATGCTCCTCCTCCTCCTCCAGCTCCACATGCCGCTGTTGTTGACATGATTCCGCCTGTTGCTACGGCACTTATCCCAACAACTCCACCAGCCGAAGGATTGCAGGCAAGCATCATGGCAGGTGATGTTGAGGTAATACCACCTCCGCAACTTGTTGCGCCTTCAACGGTTGTTGCAGTGCCTCCACTTGCAGTGCTTGCCGAACAACTCACAGTGTGTTTGTTTTTCCTGGCTTTCACGCACGACCTCGAACTTAAGCTTACGCTGGCCGTACTTCTTGCAGGCGAAGATGACGCGCCAGTTCTGACCCCAGTCAACAACATGTCCTCTGATGTGAATGGATTTCTGCTATCGTTTCGTAGTGCTCTCTTACTTCCAGCACCTGCGGCTGAAATTTTGTCCAAGATGCCCACGCCGTTGCCGTCGACTAGCGATGGGGACTCCAAGACCCTTCCATGATGATCCCCCTCGGCATCTTGCTCGACCCCTGGTTTGATTCAAAAAATGACGTAGGAAAGAGATGCTTCTTCTTTGTTCTAGTTGTACTTGTACCGACAACAACAAACTCCTGTCTATTTTATTAGATTTAGAAATGATCTATTTTATTAGAAACTCCTGTCTATAATTTGCAAAAGAGAAGAATAAATCGTACTAGCGTGTTGAACTTGCGTTCCCGTGAAAGGACAGCCTAGTGCAATCAAAAGAAGTATAACTACGATTGTGCAGAACTATGATGTATACGTATGACCGATTTCTTGTTCTTCAGACGAGTTCCACAAAACAAATCTAAAATTTGTGCCATCCTCTAGGCTGCCCCCCTTTCTTGCTGCAAGTAGCTCCTCTTCCGAGCCTTCCCAAGAATCCTCCTCCTCTGTCTGTGCTCTGATATTTGTTTTCGTGCTCCCGCTTTGTAGTAGTCGGGGACCCGCCTTTGCGCCAATTCTTGAAGTTGTTCCATGCTTTTGTCCGCTGCGTGGGTAGAAAACGAGGGTCGTGAATAAAAAACCAAAATACATCTCGAACTACTTGGACTGGCTAAAGTCAAGACAACTTCACCTACAAGAAACTACACAAGGTTGAAGATGATAAAATCGAAGAAAGTGAAGACTGCACATCGCAGAAGCGAGTAAGTACTTTCTCGAGAAAACATCTGCTGAACTCTCCTGCCGCAATTTTTCTCGAGCAGGACTCGCGCTCTCGTCATCCTCATCCTCGTTAGTTTCGCCATCTTCACAACTCTCCGTGTCCTCTGGTTGTTCTAAACCGCGCTCACTTGACGACACCGATTCCACTTCTATTCGCGGAAAATTCTTCATCCCTGCTCTAAGACTTTTATCGTGCGGCGGCACGTTCAACACGTTGCAGCCAGTATTACTTGCTCCACTAGCTGCCATGATGACCTCCTCGTCCTGGTCTGCGGCAGCCACAACTTGAAGACTATTGTCGTTTCCCCCGTCGCTAGTTGTGCCACCCCGCATGCGCTCCGCCTTGAGCAACTTTCTACTTCTTGACCCGTTTTTAAGTTTTGCAGCCTTCTCGCGCTTCTTGGCTGCTTTTCTAATGCTTTTACTTTTCTGCTTTTTCATATTGCTGCCACAGGCATCGGGGAAGGTGCTCATGCCATCGACTACATCGCCGAGGACACTGTCAGGATGCTGGTCTTGCATTAGACGTCGCTCTCGCTTGTTTCGCATCATCAAAACGTCAGACTTTGAGAGAGAACAACGTGCTGATGGAACACTATCGTCCTCGTCTTCTTCAGCAGAGCTAGAGTCTTCTTGTTCACGCCTCTCCCTCTGCCGTCGTCCTTCTGGAGGTCCTACTTGAACTCGTCCAGCGCCACGTTTGTTTTTCGCCTTTTGCGGTCTCTTCACAGCGTTTCTGGGTGCTTTGCCTTTCCTCTTTTTCGAGCCTTGTAGTTCAGGTCCTCCAAGCTTCGTTCGACTTCCCTTTTTTTCAGGGTTGCATGCCGTCCCTTGTTCGTCCGCTACCATTCGAGGCGGCTTATTGTCCCCCCCGCGGCTTCGCAACCGGTCGGAAGAACAGCGGCTGTCCGCGCGCCCTCTGCTCCTCGAAGCGCTCCGTATCTTCGATTCGCACACTTTACTCCCGGGTGATAGCGAGGCTGGCCGAGACCTGGAGGATGTGGAGCGACGGGGACGTCCTCGCGGACCGCCCGCCGCTGGAGATCCTGCTATATCTTTGTTGTTGTTGAGACTGGTATTTCGGCATCCATCACCTCTAGCAGCAGGATCGGCCGTTCCCTCCTTGTTTTGGTTTACTGCCCGTGCACCCGACCCCGACGGATTATCCCGCGACGGGGAAACGCTACGACTCCTTGCTTTGTTTCGCACTCGCCGTGTCGGACCCGGACTATTTTTACTTCTATTCTTCCGCGGAGGACTAGTATTCTTGCTACGGTTGCGTCGAGGACTACTCCTTCCGCGCTTACGGCTTCGGCTTCGCGGACCACCTCCTGCCCGACGAAGCGGACTTCTCGTGCCGCCCCGTCTGTTTCCCCCGACCATCCGCCCAACACGACTGTCCGCCCGTTTTCGGCTGACATTGGTGGGCGGACTGCGCGACACTCTGCGCAGAACGGGTCCGCGCCCAGCACTACCACGCCGGCTGCCATTGGACCGTGATCGTGACCGAGACGATCGATTGTTCTTGTTCCTACCCAGTGGATTGACACCTCCACCTGCAGCTCCCGCATTGCTCCTCCCCTTGTTCGTAATCAAAAGACCACCCCTAGGCGACCTGCGACCTCTGCGAGGACGATCCCGAGGACCGTCTTCAGGGCGTCCTTCGGAGCCGCGAGCAGGACGACGACGCGAGCAGGACCGCCTCCTCGATCTAGACGCCGACGAGTTTGATCGATCCCTGGAACGAGACCGAGAGGGACTTCCGCTTTGCTTTCGTGCCCGATCATTCGCCTTCAGGGTGATCGTCCCCCCCCCGCTCACGGCGGGAATTACTTGGTTATTCGCCTTGCTCACAAAGTCCAGTCTCCTGCTACTGAACCCACCAGCCCCACGTCGGGGACCGTTTCCAGAACAAGGACTCAAAAGATTTCCTTCGCGACCCAAATTTGTAACAGGGTCAGGACTTTTACTTCCAACACCAACTGCACGGCTTTTACTACCTCCACATCCGGCAGCCGATTTCGACTTGCTTCCAGCAGACTGCGCACTTCCGCATCTTCCTCTGTTGTTCGCCGTGCTGCCGTCCGGGCCCGGACGTGTTCTAAAAACGGTATTCACAATAATGATAAGATTACAGTTAAGAAGCAGAAAAGGAATTGATTTTTCTCTACCAACTTTAACGATCTAATGGACAGAATTACAAATACATGGTCCCGCCTGCCTCGTCTTCTATTAGTTTCTAGCGCAACTGCGAGATCAAGGGAAATGGAAATACTTAAGTAGTAATTATACATCAGAGGAGCCGGCGCTTGGGGTCTCGATGTCACAGGGAAGAATTTATCGTCAGAAGCGGTCCAAATGCATGGAACATCTGGATTGTAAGCTGCGACCTTGAAGCGTGCATAAGACCCTAACTTGAGTGTCCCACGACCAAGGGAATAATCCTCGAGCTGTAGTGAAAACAAGAAAGTTCGTGTTCGAAAGCTCATACTATTATCATCTTTTGAAAGTGAAGATACTTACTGGATGGATGCACTGAAATTTTGTCTGCTTGTACTTACTGCTCGCTCAACGAAGCCGCGCGACATTAGTAAGTCTAAATGCGGCCACATCAAACAATCCAATTTGCAATCTACTTCATGTTGACGACGACGACCACAAGAACGATATACTAGAGTTACACACTGAGTTCTTGAATACGAGTTTAGCTCCCGTGGCCTTCGTCGGAAAAGTAACGACGAGTCTTCGGTCAACCTGAGACCATTGGGATATTCGGCAAGGCGTGTAGCCTGCTTCTGCTAGTATGTCGATCATTTCTGCCCGGTCGGGCAGCTTGCTCGGAAAAGCAAAACATACTCGGAGAGCCATTGAGTTCCTTCGCTCTTGTAACAATGCGCTCCTTGGTGTTGAGCGTGGCGGAGTAATTTTGTGCTTGTGGAGCCTCCAGTTAGTTATTCGCGTTGGTCGACGTGTCACAGACGCAAGCAAGATCAGCAGTTCGCAGAGAAAGATCTTCTGTCAGGAACGAAAAAGCAACCATCTGTTTGAAGGAAACAAGAACTACATCGCCATCTTCTACATCCTGTTGATCTTCAGATTCAATCTACTTTAAGTTGAAATCGTGAAAATGATACAACTACACGTGCACAGACAACAACAACAACAACAACAAGCAGAGTAAACTATAAGAGTTTAGTAGTACTGGTACTGCTTAGAAACTACCCTTGAACACGATCATGAACATGATCGTCTCCTACTTTTCAAACGAAGGTTTCATTCGTATTTTACGCATGTGAGGACGCTGGATCGTTAAATCAATGTTCCAAATACTGACAAATTTCTAACGATGAGCATTCAAATTCATTATTATATATAGTGATGCTGAGTGATGGTTAGTAGTTACAACATGAAGTTCTTCAAATGAAGTCCCAAGGCAGCGCACCATCCGTATCGCGTCTTCTAGTCTGGTTCCTCTAGGCGCTGATGTAACAAATATTGATCCAACTCCGGTACTACTCAATAGAAGTTCCTATTCTTGTGTTATTCCAAGAACGATGCAGACAGCACACGCACAGCTTTGGAATGACATTGTTGAGACGACGGCATCGCTAGAAGGCATCGATCGGGTCAAGAAAAACTGGTGTCGCTTAAGAACAGCTAATGTCAGAAAAGCTGACATCAGTCGCCTTTCGAAGGACATCAGCCGACAAATTGAGAGATACGGACATCAATCGCGGCCTTCGACGACAAAGACAATGATTAAGGGAAGTGTTATTACAATGAATGTACCTCTTTCTACATGATCGCATGTTTTTATCGACACACATCAATGATTGCGCGGGTGGGCCACATGAGAAGACAGTCTCTTGATGTTCGAGGTGAAGAAAACAACCAGGTAGTACATCAGCATGTTGAGATGAAGTGGGTTCGTTTCTATAGATGACCATGCTTTCTTGTCACACTAAATTTCGCTTCATCATTGTCCACGTACTGGTGAGGTCCGACCGAGTTCTTGGGAAAAGCGACCTCGTCACAACTCGTCGAGGAAGTAACGAGTATGTTGAACGCTTGTAACATTTGATGTCATGATGATTCTTTCACTACAGTGATAGATAATATTTTTAATAGATTGACAAACTAACAACCAGGCACCTTGGCCGAAAAACGAAGAAATCATCATGTCTCTAGTCAACAATCCTGGACTAAACACTTTTAGCACATTTAAGTATTCTTTCATTTTTTCTTGAAGATGACTGATAGATCAAAACAAAAAGTACGATTAACATCGAAAAGCTGCCAATGCCAGCCTCAAATACATAGCACCCGTGCTCGTTCTTTCAGGTCATTCCATTTCGATAGGAGTTTTCTATGATGACATGTAATTGCTCACCCTTTTACCAAAACATGATTTTTTAGGCCCAGCACAAAGAAGCATAATGATAATATCAATGAATTAGAATTTTATCAATGTTTTCGGATGAATAAAATCTACATCAGCTTCATTGGCGGCACATGACTGTTTTGTTGGAGTAGAAAGCCTTCTGAGGCAGTGTGGTATTGGATAAAATAGGTTGTATTTTATTTTCGGTCATCAACAACAATTTAATATACTAGTATGGACGATCCAATTCGATGAAGGTACAAATGGAGACAAAAATCTGAATCAAATTCACATGTATCGATACTGTCAGTGTCAATCTGCGCAGATCTAAAACAATACGAAAGTTTCACAGGAGGATGAAGTAAAAATAGATGTCTATGAATCATAACAAGGTCAAACAACATGCCAATGTAAAAGTGAGGTATTGGATAGTACCTGCAAGCGGTGGCAGGAGGGATGCACCTCCCAGGGTCTTTATTCATAAGGACGGATCAACATACAAGATCAATATCCAAAATTTCGTAGTACGGATTGAATTGAAAAAGTGGTAAGAATATGTCGTCATTAGTGTAACATCCTTACATCAAATGATGGATTCTTGTGATCATTAGTTTTTGAAAATAGCTTTTGGCTCTCCAAGCCAAAATCAGACGCCTCATCCCCAACAGTACTATTCGACATCATGAAAAAATCCTCCTTCTGTCACGTTCTTGCCGATGCTCGGGGTCGGGCGTTTCGTCTTCGTGTTTACTGTTAATTGTACGTAATTACAAGATGACATAAAAATATTCAGAGCCATACGGAAAGAAAGACGGAGTTCTTGAGATTATAAATTATTCTGTACTGTAGACGACCATTCTTTGTTCCCGTTTTCATAAGCATGCTCCGCAGAGCATGGGTATGCTGAATATTCCTGTGTTCTCAGCCACGACAGGCACAGCACCAAGCTACTCGCTAGACGCACTAAAATCAAATGACACACAACCAAGAGAGTGTCGGATGCCACTACCAGTGTCAAGAACGGAAAATGGTATCAGGTGAAATTGATTGCGGTATAGTCGTAATCAAATACGTGTCCTAGTCCTTGCCAAGTCATTATAAGAAAGAATAGCTTGACATGCCCCTCGTTAGCGAAAGTGGAGGTGTCATACATCTTAATGTATCTTCATCGCTATGACCAAAAAATTCCAGCCGCCCTAGCTATTTTTCCAGCCCAGCATCTGCAACTGGAAGAGTGTTTTTCGACGTCTGCTCAGCACTTGCGCCGCCTCCTCCTCCTGCAGACGATGCCCGAGGCATGCTCGCGGTCGGCATCGTATTGTCCGCACCGAGGCACGTCGTTCCAACGCTCCGAAACAAGCCCTCAATTTCGGGCGCGCAGTGCACAAAAGGTCGATCCCAAAAATTGTAAGCGGGGTTCGCAAGTTAGAGCCGGCATTTTACGACGAACAATGAATCCTCTAGTTTTTAATCATGGTGACAGAAAATGTTAGCTCGAAGTGGAAGTGGTCTACTTGTAGGTATATTTCAGTGTGCAAACAAAAGAGTTGAGCTTGTTCGATTCTAGTCGTATTGGAGCTTGTTGTGGCCATATTTGATCAACTCGATGAACGTGATAAGAAGCCCCCAAGGATGCGGTCGATGTACGATGAGTCGCTCGATCAGCACTCTAGTAATGATCTCTTGAATCCCTTCACCAGCGACAATAAACAGGTAGAGTAACGTGCGTGAGAAATAATGCGTGTGCTTGTTCGGGAACCGCAGGTGGTTGGCTACCATGGATAGAATCAGATACCTGGTGCGGAGATGAGAGGGATGGGCATCCATATCATCAACAACCTACTTAAGTACTTAACCGCAAGAACTTTGCTGCTTCTAGTAGTAGTGCTTCTTGTTCAATCAAAAAACTTCGCAAGATTTTTTATCATTTGGTCTGTGCTGATTTTTACCTTCCCTCATCGTCAGCCTGGTGGACCAAGTAGAGGAAGATCTCGAGACTAGGATGACTCGTTCCACTTGGATCGACGACGACGAGATTCTGTAAACCAACGTAGAGCACCAAGACGTTTATCAGAGCAGTGTCGTACTTGGTGCCTCGACGCAGCATATCTTTCATAGGGAGCAAAAGGCATCGCCGTATGTCTTCCAAAATTTTCGCTGCTGTTGGACCCGGACGCGATACGTTTTGTTCGCGAAAACTTGACGCCTTACTACCGCGACGAAGATCTCCGTGTCCTCCCTCGCCTGCGAGGTTTGTCACGGGACAAGCCGGGCCAGTTCCCGTCGTTCGCACCTCTCCATTGTTTTGTCTCGTCTCGGCTTTTCGATCGCCGCTAGATGAGAGACTTGGGATACTGTTTGTTATGCCGTCGGATGTTGCGGTTGTGGTTCTTTTGCTCGTTGAAGCGGTTCTACTAGCACGGCCTTGTTGGCTTCCCATAGTTGTTGTCGCTGTAGGGGTTCTTTCAGTGCTAGTAGTATTGTTCTGCGCGTGGACGCAAGCACTCCTAGTAGCTCCTTGGTGCTCTGCGACGTCAGACACGTTGTTTTTGTTGTACTGAATCCAAGGTGGTAGCCGATTTGCAGAGCGTTCCTGGATGTAGTGGTCAATGGTCAGACGCACTGGGCCTAGTAAGATAGCGAAGTGGCACAATATGCGTGGCGATTTGCGAATTTCGGGTAGCGAGTCTACCTTCAAACCCGCGAAAGGGTCCGGCAATCGCAAACGCCGGGGAAACGCAGATAACAACAGGTTTCGCACTTGAATACAGCGCACTGGCACGACTTCCAAAAAGGAGAAATGATAATCCGATAAAAACTCTGGATAATCATGCAGCAAAACCTGTTGAGTTCGAGATTGTTCGTGACAAAGGAGCGTAACTGAGAATTTGGAGGACATGTTGCTTCGGCTTCCTTCGCCTTGACCGTCGTTTTTAATGATCAGCTTTAATGATCATGTTGATGTTGATCTTCATGTTGATATAAATTGGTTTTGATTTTTGTTGATTAACAAGTAGTAGAAAAAAATTGTAGAGATGTAAACTTACCAGCAACACCCTGAGCGTGCCTTTGTAGAGGAGGCGCATTGTGTCAGATAGAGGGGTATTCTTGAGCAAGTGTGGCTCCAGGAAGGTAAGTAGCAACAGCATGAGTCGGTGGAAACCCAGCCAACCGCGTTGCTGCTTGTAATTCAACAGTGCTGGCAAAAACCAACGATGCGAAAACAAGGAGAGCCACGCGAAACTGAAGCCCGGTAGGCGCGTGGGGCATGTGTGAAACAGAAAGCTTTGGAAAGCGCATAAAACTGGCCAGCGAATGTTACCGAAGTCGGAGTCAGGTGAATGAAGCATGTCACCCAACAAATTGACGACAATACGGAAATACGGACGTTGATTGAAGTGTTGACACCCAGCGTCGTCCTCCTGCTCCTGATGGCTTAGTTGTTCTTGATGGTCTTCTTGATCTTTATGACTAACATTGTGCGAGTTGGGGTCTTGATTTTCTACACAATCACTTCCTCGAAGGGGAGCGTTGATGTGCAATTGTTGGGGCTGTTTCTGACAGGAGCGAGCAGTCTTCGTCGAACAAGATGAAGCAGAGACTTGGTTTGCTGGAGCGCCTTTCTTACATGCGGACGAGCGCCGAGAAGGACTAGAAGCGTGATGATCATGTTGAAGCTGTCGGGCGACCATAGAAAGTGACCTCGTGAAAATATCCACAGACTGAAATCTGTGGGCCTCTACTTTCACCAATGATGAAATCAATCGTGTCAAAGCGTCAACTGCGAAATAGTCCATATCGTGCTGCTTCTCCGCCGAAACTGCATCATATTCGTAGCAGCTTGATTTCCCCTCGGGTTCATCACAACTAGATTTTGCACGAATGGTGTCGGTCTGGCCTACAACTTCGTCGACGTTATTTGGTGCTCCACGCTCACCAGCTGATGAAGGTATGTCGAAGCCTGATTGGACTACTCCACCCAAAGGTCCATGCGCTGGTGGCGTTTTCTCTCCAGTTACTGTGCCGGAAGACTGATCTTTCCTTGTCGCGTCTGCGGTTCTATCCGGCAACGGGCCTGCTGAGTTCATAGCACGCCGCACGGCAACTTTGCACGCAACAGCCATATATCGCTCACAAAAGGCAGGCGAAGAGCCCATACCTAGATCCTGCAACTTCCGCACGTAGCCCAAGTAACTCTCGTGGCGATGAGCGCCGACTATACGAACGTCCGTATCTGCTTTCTCAAAGAAAATCTGAACCCACTCTTCGAACAGTTCGGCCAACTGCTCGTCCGACAACTGCTCACCTGGAACATTTGTCCCACTAGGAGTAGCTATGGGAATACTCGACGTGGATGATGGTGCTGTACTGCCAGCGGCTTGTTTCGCCATTATCTCCAGCACAGGGCGGCACCATTGATAAACCTACAGAAAAGAGTTTAAGGATTCAAAAGTTTCACACGAAGTTTTTCAGTCGGCAAATCGAAGGCTTCGCTGACAATCAAGAGCACGATCAACATCGAATTGTGGACAAAGAAAGCGAAACACGTGAAGAGTACTTCTAAGAGTAAGGAGTCACGTGTACTTCAAGAATCCGTTTATTCATTACTGGCTGAACGCTTTCCAGAAGCGCCGGGCTGTAGGTGGGTCCCGAAGTTATCAGCAATTGGGGTCGCGCTGTCCTCGCGTTTTCGGGTATCCAAGAGCGGAATAAATGAGTCGAGCCCATGCGGATGGCGTGCATCTGCGGATTGTCAAGCTCGGATTCCTCAGCTAGAAGTTTCGCCATAAAGCTAAAAGTACGCCCTAAAGGAATCATTCCCGAAAGGTCTCGGAAATAGCTGAAGATTGATAGAAACATCCACATCGTCTGAATCGGAAATTTTGATTTTTGTAAAATCAATGTGTCGAAAGAAGTAGTAAAAGTTATGATGTGGCTCTTCGTCTTCCTCAAGTAGAAAACCATGAAGTACTTACACATTGATTCACCAGGAACTAGGAGCAAAGTAGAGTGTTTACTTCGACATTTGCCCGCACATGACTCCGCAGCGAGCCAGAACCTCCGAGGATTGCGCAATATCGTCCATTGTTTTTGCAGTTGAAACTCCTGGACACGCAGGAAACCACTTGCGGAAGAAGGTAACGCCAGCAGACGCGTCGTGTTCCTGTTCCAGGTGGTTATCCAGTCCTGGGGTCGACGTGTTTTTGCATTTAGTTTGACCGGGAACTACATCGTCTTGTGAAGAGGGGGGACTACAAAGGTCCTCTCCATTGGAAGATGCCGCCGTGCTAGTACTTTGCAGATGCTCCTTGTTATTGTCTTGTTGAACTGCGGTCTGCGGATGAGAGTTCTTGCTTCTATAGGAAGAGGAAGACGACTTGTAGAAAATCGCCAACGCTTGCGTGACCGTACAGTAGCACGCCTGCAAATCACCTTGCAATGCCGAGTCAATTCTGTGCGGATCGACAAGTCCGTATCTGAAAAGACCGTGCACCGCACGAGGCAGATATAGACCGCTGGTAACACGCAGCGGAGAAGGCGTTTGCTCCTTTAGCATTTGTAACTTCGGAGACGCGCTTTTGTCCAGCCAGGCGACGAGGGTACTCGGCAGCTGGTCCAAGTTCAGATGCTGATGTAAGACGCCAAGAATAGCTAAGCAAAGCTCCATTTGAAAGCGCAGAACCTCCGTCTCCGGTGAAGGAATCGGAGCCGTGGTCCGGCTCGTCGTGCAGGAAGACGCCTAGATTTATTTTGTTGTTGTTTTTTTACTCAAGTGTCACTCCTACTACAACTTGGGTGGTGAGTTATAAATATGTGTTCTCAATCAAAGCCGCGCTAGAAGTACAGGTCCACATCTTGCATTGGACGTACTTAGATTGTGATTGAAATGCTGTAACACAATTTTTGACTTTCAACAATCGCCCTGAAAGTCCTATTTCTATTAAGCACGAGCACGACAGGAACAGAATAAACGATGTAGTTACAACAATGGTGAGCGTGGTACCTCATCCCTGTGCAGTTTCACCACAATGTCCGTGTATCTACGGAATATCCGGTTCGCGACGTAGAGACCAATCAATTGCTCATTGGGATAAGACTTCATATTAGGGATTGGTAAAACCGACGGATGAAGAGTTGCTCCCATTTGGTCAAAAAATGCGAACTGATTGCTCGCCAGCATCTTCGGTAACTCTCGCAAACGAATCGCTAAATTATGCGACGCTGGAAGGCACATCAGTGCGACGTAGGCACTCTGGTGAGTATCAAAATTGATTTGAGAAGTATGTAAATCAAGAAGATACAACTAGACGACGAAAGTGAAGTCGTACAGTCACCTTGATGGTGCACACGTCGTGCTGGAAAGAACGGGAAAAAGCGAAAACAATTCCAGGTACTGGTACGCGAATTCAATTTATTCAAGCCTCAGGCTCAGCCTGTCCCTGATGATGTGCATTACAAGATATAGATACCCAGGTTTCCCACTTGAGAAAGGAAAGACAGCTATCATCTGGCGATTGCTGGTGCATCTCCGACTGCAATCGCGTCAAGTCCCGGGCCCAAGGTTCCGCAACCTGTAACTCAAACAACCGCGGCGTTTCCGCAAGAATAGCTGCTGGTTGCTTGTCAAAGAAGCGACACTCAAAAGCCGACAGCCACTGCGCCATCTCCGGCAACGGCGGGGGCCTCGGGTTGACATCGTCGGAAAGGCCGTCTAGACCAGATTCGCGACTGCCACCAATTGACCCACCGCCACCCGGTGGCACAATTCTGTAAGTAATTGTAGGACATGGAAAATGATACGGAGCTTAGCTCCTCTTCCTCCACTAAATCAACAGATGAACATGGAATCCATAACTTGCATCCATAGAATGAAAATCAATACCCGCTCCCAATGACTCCGATTCTTGTGCCACTTTCGCTTACCCCAACGTCATGAGCTGAAGATCCGGAGACTCCTCCAGATTTCTTCGCTGGAGAAGGCTGAATTCCTATCGACTGGAAGTCCTTGTAGACCTTCAAGTGGGACGCGGAGAGCGGCCCTGGCTTCGGCCGCAGGATGTCCGGAAGCTGCTCGGGCCAACGACCCCCGCCCTGGCCCTCGCCCGCGTAATAGGGATCTGCGTAGCTCTTACCAGGAAAGTTCTGTCGATGCTCCTTGCGACTCTGGACAGCAGGAGCCAGATCTTAGATGAGATTCTTTTTCTTATCCTCGTAGAAAATGAAAGGACACCGCTCAAATGATTTCATATATTCGACGAAAGCGAATTCAACCCTCTCTACGTGTAGTTTTCTTGAAGAAAAGTCACGTCGACGAGTGCAACAGTAGAAACAACACATATATTTTTGATGTTGATCTTGAATTCAAATTCAAGCGTGCGCCTCTTAAATGTGATGCTCAATGTGTGCCAATGCTTTGTCCACAGCAGCCTTCTCAATCAGCTGGCAACCAATGTTCAGGTTACTCCGCGCCAAAGCGTGCATCAAGTTGTCAAAATTATTTGCCGGTGAATGACCAAGAAAATTCGCATGAGGTCCGCCACGAGCTTGATCGGCCTCGTGCGTTTGATTAGAGGAGAATTATAGAGAAACGTTGTGTTGATGGAATAATTGTATAACCCATGTTGCTCTTGGTATGATCTTAACTACCCTTTCTAGTCATTCTAGACGTCGGTCGAGTAAAGTTGAAAGGATCAAACCTAAGCAAACACTGACAAAGCACAAAGAAAGTTTATGTATAACGGCTCGATAACTTTGGCCCACACGGATGACAGCTTTTGCAGTTCTGCTACCGTATCGGCTGACAGCGGCGTTGCTCCAGTGTTCTGCAATGCCTGATCGAACAGTCGCGGGACATTCTCTTCTCGCAGCAGCGCCGAAAATTGCGCCAACATGGCCACTCGCAGGGGTTCTCGAGCGGTGACAACAGCAATGTGTCCAGCCAGACTCGAAACCTGCAGCTGTGCTGCCTTTCTAACCATATTTTCATCCCCCTCCATCGCAAAGTCCTTGGAGACAACTTCTTTAGTACACAAACAGCTGATTCCGATGCTCCGCTCAACCGTGGGACCTATGATCTCACGAATTGCATTGTCTACTGCGTGGGGAACCACGCGGTGCAGCATAGGCAACACGCTCAGAAGCTTGTCCGACAGGTAGTGCACCAACTTTGGCAAAACACCAATCACAAAAGTGCTAGGTTGTTCCGGATGATGCTGCTGCTGCTGCCCTCCAGACGAGCTGGCACTGGTGCTATGGTGCGTCTGTGGCTGTGCGACAGGTGCAGTAGAGTAGTTATTCGGATTATAATCCGCTTGTCCGTAGACGGAAACCTCACCTGCACCTGAAGTAGACAGTTTGCTATTATTGGCACTGTGATAGGTTGAAGTTGATGTTGACATCATATTCCCAGAGGACATTTTCTGACTCGGATGAAGGTGATGCTGGTGCCCCGCTCGTTGCTGATGGTGATGATCTTGATCTGTCGCACCTGAAATATCATAGATATTTCCACTTGCTCCACCCGTCGAAGCAGTTCGTCCTAGCCGGTCGCCGCTCGTCTGCCTCTGACCTCCTCTCGCACTAGGGCTGAAGACATACGGATTTGTACCAGTTCCGTTCGCGAGGTTCCCTGCAGCGCCACTGAGTCCGTTGTGCCCGGAGTGGCGAGCCCCTGGCATCGCAGCAGTGTTTACACACAACCCCGGTAGCACGGGAATATCTCGGTTACTGGCCGCAGTAGAAGCACGGTGTGAGCGGGTCATTATACCCGACACTCGGCCTGCTACACCTCCAGAACCACTCATAAACAAGTGTTGTGTTTGACTGCTCTGACTTCCGAGGGGAGAAACGCTGCTCGCCGCATTACCAGGCATACCAAATCTAGCATCACCGCGCGCAGTGTTGGAAGAAAAAATGAAGCCATGTACATTCGTGCCGCTTTTTCCACCTCCAGTCGTGTTTTGTTGGTTGTACTGAGCATTCACCTGCTGATTACTAGACATGCTATTTTTGTGCTGACCTGTCGAAGAGCAGGGTCCGGAGTCCGTCGAGTGTAGGTGTGCACCTCCAGAAGATAAGCTACCGCACAATGTGGTTCCAGGCGTCTTCCCCCCCTTGCTAGCAGCTGCTTTTTCTGCTGACTCTCGTCGGGCAGCTTGTTTCTGGCGTGCCGCATTGTTGAAATCTGAGTACACCTTTGGAGTTTTGCCGACGAGGCTCTCGCTACGCTTCAAGTCCTTGATTTGGATATCCAGTGTCTTACAGAGAACTTCGACCTCAAACACGAGGTTTGTGCGCAGATTTTCTATGTCGTGGATCTCCGCCAACAACGATAGCACAGCCTGCGTCCAGGGATTCGGAAGCCGGAACACCTTCGACTTAGCAACGCCCTCGAGAATCTTACACACCAAAGGCAAAACAGCAGTAAGGCTGCCGCTGTCGAACGCATCAAACAGCAAAGCCTTGAGATCAAGCTGCCGTGATAGCAGCGGTTTATTCCGCGCAATCGTGAGCTGACCGAGCCAGAAACCCAAGTTCTTCAAAATCATGCGATGCGTTGTAAACTGCACTGCGTGAGCCACGTTGGCCATGAGCAACTTGAGACAGTCATCCGTGGCGGTCACGATGGCCTCGACCAGTTTAGGTTCGTCCAGTTTCTCGAGGAACTCGAGAAAAACGCCGTTTTTCGCAGTCGTCGCAGCGTGCTGCTTCACGATGTAGAGCGCCAACCAGCTGTAGTGGGTGTGCAATGCGTCGTCGGGTACGAGACTGCAATGGCTTCGCATCTCGCGCGCATGTTCAGCCACGGCGGTTGCTCGCTTCGTACCAGTCACGGTGTCGTCCACCTGTGCCAGGCTGGTCACGCTTGCGACCACCTTCTGCTGGAACCATTCCGCAGCGTTGTGCTCCGGTCTATTTAGATGACGGAGAATTTGCTCTACCGAGGCCCGTTCCCCCTGACCGCCGAAGGCAAAGGAATCTTTCAGTCCTAACGGAGAACTCCAGGATTGCGGTTGGTGGCTACCTCCTCCTGACGTATTTGTAGGTGGCTGCGAGGTATGATCACCTGCAGAGGACGCTCCGCTAGCCGAAGTCGTACCCGTCGAGGTATTACTGCTTTTGTTATTCAGGCTTGTGACGCTATTCTTGGACAAATTGGACCCCGTCGAGCCCGTCGTGGCATCCGGTCCCATCGGTGACGTAGCTGGAGCAGCTCCTCCTACAGAAAAAGTTGTACCGAGACCACCTGTCGATGAAGTTCCGCCGCTTTGAGGCAGGTGAAGATTTGCCCTCCCTGTTGCCTGGGCGCCTGGTGATGACGTTGTTCCTCCGATCGCTCCCGGCACGCCAGATGCGCCAAGTGCTAAATTAAGATTGTCTCGTCCTGCTCCTGTTGCAGGGTTGTAGGTAATAGACTCTCCTCCTCCGCCGGCTATTGCTTCGTGGTGATCTGTTGCATGTTGAAGCATCCTTGGGTCTTGGTGACTAGTTGATGATGATGCGCTGTAGCTGTTGTAATTATTGTGGAGATGCTTGGATCCGGGCACTGCCCCTGTACCGCTAGACGAAGACGTTGCGCCCCCCACTGTTATCATACCAGTGCCAGCGAGAGCATTCTCTCTCGCATTGGCAAGCCCTGGAGCGCCACCGTTTACAAGCAAATGGCCTCCGGCCCCAGCACCCGTTGCACTTGCTGCATTGTTGATGTTGTAGTGCTCCATACTCGCAGCGGCCATCTCGCTTATACTCTGTGCGCTCGTCATGTAGTGCAAAGACGAAGATGCATAGGCCCCAGCCATCCGTGGATGTGGAGCATAGGCCGCAGCAAGCATGTTCATGCCTGTCGTTGGAGAGGGATTCCCGCTACCCGATCCTCCAGCCGCTATCAGCCTAGAAAAGTGCTGCTGGTACTGTTGCTCATGGTCACCAGCGCCAGCGGCTGTACTTTCGTCCTGCTGCGCCGCACCTAGTTGCTTTGTCGAGGAAGTGCAGGCGATCGTTCCCGGTGCTTTTCCTGAAGAGGTTGCCTGATGTCCTGAACGAACAGGCTGTTCTGCTAGGTCCTCTGCGATAAAGGGGAGCGGAATGTCTTGCACGGCCTGCGGAATCTGGTCAATTTGGTTCATTCTCCGCATGGCTGGCGTCAGATTCTCGAGAACGGAAGCCAGGTAGCTCACATACGCAGGATAGGCCTGCTTCAGACCCTCCATCTGCGAAAGGGTCTCGCAGAGTTTCGGCCATGTCGCAATCTTCCCCAACATTTGTTCCAAAGCAACGATCCCAAATTTCCACATGCGGGCCTCCGGCTTCTTCAAGCTGTCTGTCACCGAAGCGAGCGCCGTCTTCGTCTTGATGGGCGTAACCAGGTCGTTGTAAAGCAGCAGCCCAATGACCCGACCTGCGAGCTTCAGATCCGTGTCAGAGTATCGCGGGTAGTAACGAATGTCCTGAAAAAAGGCGCCTAGCATGAACTCGAACACCTGAGAACGCTTTGCGATGTTCCGCTTCGCAAAGTTGTGCTGCTCGCCGCCCGTGATCTCGGGTGGTGGCTGCGATCCTGGTCGGTTTGCGCCAGATCCGCTGCGCGACGGTGGCGCGAAGCTTTTCACCACAGCGACGAAGGTCTCAGCCGTAATCTGCCGTTCCTGGTAGAGCTTGGTGAAGTACATTTTTGAGATTTTTTGCGCTGGAATATCCGTGTCCAGGATGTTTTCGGCTTCAGCGAGCTCTGCTGCTAGACTAGTGGGAGCATTGTGCGCGGTCGAATCCGCTCCTAATCCCGCGCCCGTGCCATTGACAGCCAGCTGCTGGCTTGGATCTCCCACGCCACCTACAGCGCTGACGAAAGCATGATTAGCTGCGTCTACCCCGTTCGCTGCCCCCGCTAGGTGATGCTGCAGGTGTCCGTGATAGCCACTTTGAAGATCGACGGTACCGTCGACGCGTGCGCCGTGGTGCAGACCGCTCCAACCCCATCCGGCAGCTCCGGTGCTGGCCCAACAAGACGCATCAACCGCGGATCCTGCGGCGGGCATGTTAAAAAGACCCATCGCTGCAATGCTCTGTTGAAATGCGGCTGCAGCGCCAGCGTCATAGCCCTCGAAGGCGCCATGATGCATGTGCATGTCATGCTGACCATGCTGATTTAAGCCGCTGCCATCGTGGGGAAGCTGATGCGGCGACGACGTCTGTTGCGCCCCTCCAGTATGGTGGTGCGCATGGGCTCCAAGAAGATGCGCCGTTGCTGCAGCTGCGTGTCCACTTGGATCCATACCCAAATGCATTTGCTTCGCCGCTTCCGTGGATCCGTAGGGCACTGACGCACCAGCGCCGGTCCCGGTGTTGTATGCAGAGGAGGCAGTGTGAGGCATCAAGGAGTTGCTTGCGCTGATGCTGGCAGCCGCAGTTGCGGGGAGCTGCAGACCGTGCGGCAGCAGCGACGAGGAATTGAGCACGTTTGTCGCACCGCTGCCAAGACAGACCCCTGAGGTTTCCGTCGTGCCGCCGGCTGCTCCCAGACCGCTTTCTTTACCAGGTGACGACGCGAATAAGTGGTCCAATGCGGAGTTACCAGTCCCGAGACTCATCATCATGTTGAACGCGTTGGTTGTGCTACTTCCGTCGTGGTCTCCCCCGGTGGAGGTGCTCGCCGACGGCGTGCCCCTGCCGCTCTTATAGTACGTACCCAGCGCCTCGAGACTTTGCTGTCCACCTGGGGACAACGCAGCTTGATTTTCGACGAGACAAGGCAGCAAAAGCGGCGCGATCTCCGGTCCGCGACCGGCTATACGCCTGGCATCCAACAAACGAATGCATTCTTTTGTAAACGATGCCGAAGATACCGCAACGCAAGCAGCTCGAACGGATCGTAAAACTTCGGCCATCTGAAGGTTCATTCCGAGGCATTCAAAACATATTTGAATCAGGACTGAAGTCACTGCCCCACGCATCCACGTCGTCGCAGATCCTTCGAGGGTGTGACGCGGAGAAGTTGCATCCTCATGAAGCAGGCTCTGCTGTTGTCGGCCCTCTGCTCGAAGAACCCTAATATTTTTGTCTTCACGCGGCTGTTGCACAGCGATTGCAGTGGCGCCAGTACCAACATTGGAAAAGACAGACACTCTATCACTCGTAGATGACAACGAGTCAACGTGCTTGTGGGGCGACCCTGGCTCAGCCGCAATAAGAAGATCCGGTGCGCGCTTCAGCAACCGCACCAAATGTCCTTTTTTCTGTAGATCCTGCACGATCGGCACCAAAAAAGAGATGTCTTGGGTAGATGTCGATGACTTCACCCCAGGTTCTATTTGCTTATATTTTTCTTCTGCCTCCTTGTGTGCACTAAGAACCGCCATGACCTTCAGGAAAGTGCCAGGGATACGATCACACATCTTACCGAGGCTCTCAACCTTACCCACGCAGAAAGCAAAAACTTTTTGAAAAGTTTCTCTTGCGAGGAGCTCATTCGGAGGCGCATTCACTCTGTCATTCCTTGTCTGCTTTCTTTCAGTTTTTTCGTCACCGTCTTGATGAAAAGTCTTAGCCTCCTGTGCTGATCCGGCAGTGCCAGAAGGTGTATTGCTACTACTTGTTCCTGCCGAACAGTGCTGCTCTGCGTGCGCGCAGGAGTCCTTTGTGATGTTGTGATGCTCGTGCTCGTCCGTTGAAGACGAAGAGCTATTACAACTACGACAAGAAATAAATGAGGGCGAAGGCAAACGAATGTGATACTTGTCCCAGAAAATTTGTTCAGCTGAGAGACTTTCCGCGTCGAAGCCAATCTCTAAGACGCCGATTTCATGCAAGCGCTGCACCCGGCCGGGATCCACTTCTTTCACCGCAGATTCATCATATCCCGCCGGCTGGAAATGACGCGGATAGCCAGCCTCGAAAACGAAGTGCTCCACGAGCGTCTCAACAACACTTTCAACGACATGCGGAGACGCGGAGGCGACTTTCTCAAACAAACGCGCAGGGTCGCTGACACGCAGCGCTCGATCCAAAATTTCGGGGTAAATCAAACTTGAATACAAGCACGCAGAACCTGGTCATGAATATGAATTATAAACTGATAAATATATCATCTTTTTAGAAAGAACAAGACCATATTCATACTTAGTGTCGGGTAGGAATATGCCCAGACGTCAATATTTCTCAAAATTTAACTTCGTGAATCAGACTCAGTTTCTCAGATCGTAAAAGGATGTACCTTCGTCCTTGCTGCCTGTCTCGGTGTCGCTAGATCGGATTTCAGAGTTGACTGGTTTTGTAAGACATTCGCAGTCTCCCGCTCCGCTGTCCGCAAGCATCTTCTCGAAGTGTATGTCAGAGAGACCTGCTCGGAGAAGTGGCAGGACTTGCACTCTTCTGTGTGACGGTGTTGATGACGACGATGTAGACGAGGAGGAGTGGGAACCTCCTCCAAATTGATAGTCTTTAGCAAAATATTGGAAGGTGCCTCCATCGTAAGTGAACTCCGAAAAGAGCTTTGTTACTCGACATAAATGCGCGAAACGTTCATAGCACGCAGTGTTTGACTCAAGCAGCGCCAGTCCCAGTCCTCTTGGTGTTCCTTCATTATTTTTGCTTGGATTTACTGGCGCCAGGAGAATGTCTGCCCAAGTGAGAAATGGGTATAGCTCCAGTGTAGCTCGCACAAAGCGCTCGCAACTGCTTTTCCAACTCCCTGAAGATTGTTCTTCCTCCGACAAGGCACGTGCTTCACCATTCGTAAGTTCAGAAAACTCGTTCCAAATCGTAGAACCTGAAAATGGTCGTGATGGAGGTGGAGCATAGGAAACAGTGGCAACAATGCGACGCCGCGAGCTCGACCGAAACATCGGAGGTTGTAACATTTTTACAAGGCAGAACGGAAACAAGTACATTAGATGTACTTATTTTTTTCAAGAGAAATTGTCACCGGGAATGACCCATGTGGCCATCCAAAATAAAACTGTGCTGCGAACCACTTCAATCTTCACTAATTTATCTACTTACGTTGCAGGAGCTCCGCAGAACCCGGCGAAGGTGCCTCAATGCTGTTTGCACCCTCGTCATCATCTTCCACAAGTTCGGTACAAATGTTTCGGAGCAGCGTTTCAATCGGCGCATCGGCAGCGTGCATCCGTAAAAAGTGGGCCCAAGCCTTATCGTTCATGGATAAGGGGCCCAATATCCGCAGTAGCTCAATCGCCGCTGCTGTTGAATTTGAAATTCCTCCAGAGTGGTACTCATTGTTCTCCTTGTTCGTGGGATCACAAGACAAGCTACTTGAAGACCGGCTGCTATTGTTTGTTCTGGCTTCATTGTGAGGCGAGTGCTGATGACCTCTTCTAGAAGCACACTCAACTTCCTTTTGCGGGCATGTCGTTTCACCAGCAACAGCAGGCCCCCCTAAAAAACCATCCGCTTTCTCCATCCTTTCATCTGTTGTAGATCCAAAGTGCGCTTTTCTATTTGGTTCTTCACATGCGAAAGTCTGTAATGACTGATTGTTTTCAACATCTTTAAGATCCACTCCAGCATGATCTAGTACTCGTCCACTTTCCAAAATGTTGCCTGTACAACTAGTGGAAGTCTTCGTATCACCTTCATCACAAGAGAGGGCTTCACATCGTCCTGAACTAGAACAAGGGGCAGCTCCTGCACCTGGCTCTACTTTGGAGTCAACTTCAGGCCTTTCTCCTTCTAGTTCGACATGGTGAGCATGCCTCCCTGCAGCCGCCGCATCGTCTTGATCTTCCTCGGCAAAAAGTGCTCGATACCAATTCTCAGTGTCGGACCATTCATGCCTTGCTGAGTGCAACTTTAGCAGATCACGCACAAGCGGATTCAATTTTTCTCTGCTTTTTGGTGCCGATTGTTCCCAATCTCTCATCAACTCCAGTAAAAACTGTGTGTCGTGCTGTTGGGACGAGGTAGCGGAAGAGCGTCCATCAGGCATTCCCACATAAATATTGGATTGATTCCTGGAACGATGAAGCCCACTTTCGCTTCCTGATGGCCCCAAGCGACCGGCTGCAAGTCCACTGTCGCGGTAGTTATTCCGACAACTCTTGCTAGTATGCGTCGTTGTGTCATTCCCTGTAGTAGTAAATGACTCCTGATTACACGAAGACGAGGATACAGCGCAAGCCACTGCGGAAGATAACGGCAAACCCGCCCGCTGTGTGAAGCTTTGTAACCACCTCTCTGCTGCTGAGTACTGCACCACAGCAGAATCTATACTGCAGCTGCGCACCCGTCTCCCTAACGGGAGACCTGCTGACGAAGAGGAAGATCCACCAATCTGCATTGCCGCTGTTGTTGCGCCAGCTGATTTACTATTAACCAACGACGTAGCTGGTACGCCACTCGATGATGACGTCCTCGATGGAGAATTACCCGTGACTACGACCATCTGGCTTGATGAAGACGCTGATGCGCCGAGAGTAGAAGTCGTGCTTGGACTCGTCTTGATGCTAGCACAAGAGGCAGCGACAAGCAACTCTGCGCGAGCAACATCTGCGACAAGTTGTCCGAAGGCGAGTACCGATCCGCAGTCAAAATCGGCGCACAACTCGCGCAACAGTTTGAGCGATTCCGTGTCATCGCGGCGACTCAGCAACCGTAGCGTATAGGCCAAAAGTGGGTATGCCCTCTCACCTCCTTCGTGCTGTCCTCCAGCTAACAAACTCGGCTGATGAGTATTCTGCGCCAGCGACGAGCGCGAGAATGGTGCTGCAGCTGCCTTTTTCTGCTCTTCATGAAGCAATGCTTTCAGATCGGCTTGCCCTTCGCTAATCGACAATGCGCTACATGCATAACGCACCCGCCAGAACAGACCACGGTCTCCGCGACCCAGATCCATGCTCTGCTTGGAGGAGTGAGGAACCACAACAGAATCTGAGGACGAAGAGGAAGAGGACGATGAGGTCATCATTATTTTTCGATCATCTGCTATAACTAGTACTACAAATCATGATGGAAGTTTATTTGTGTCAACAACTACATCTTGGTCATTTTGTCGTCGAATAAATCATTTCTTTTCTATGTGCTCCGTTACTCTGTGACTGTGAGTGCTTCTACGTTGACAACATCGCAATCGAAAGATAGATCTTTGTCGACGAACCGACCTGCAGCTTTGTAAAATCTCAATCGCGTCAATTCACACCGAGCGCCAGGACATTCAACCATGAATGCGAAACATCGACGTCTTGCTACATCATATGACTAAGACTAAGTAACTAACTTCTTTATCTTTGACTCAACATTAGCATTGGGCTGCCTGCTACAGACAATAAAAACAAAATAAGCGTGATTTGCTTTTCTGATGTTTCGCAGGTGAATATTGATATGTTCAACATCAACAAAAAGAAACAACACCAAAATCAACAAACTACTAGTTGTAATCATATGATCCAGCCAAACTACTAGCAACCATGCGTTTGTAGTGCAGCTGCAGCAGCCGTGCAGTGAAGATAAAGTAAAAGTTGAGCTGCAGTTATCTTGCTCAATACACTTAGCAACATGACAACAGCACATGCACTCTGAGCGTCAGAGTCACACTTCGTTTAAGAATCGGAATCCCTACTGGATAAATGAGAGTCGTCAAGCAGCTCCAATGCAATTGACAGGAACATATGACCACATCAGAAGGAAACACGACAAGAGAGAGTGCGGCACTTTGAAAGACATTCTTCTACAAGTGGCGACGTTTTTCACCGACACCGCTTTAGATTTTCTTGACTACTTGCAGGATCTCTACATCTACACTCTATATCTGATATAATGTCCGTGGTAATGTTGATCGACGCGACCTTCACTAACAATCACGCTCACGACCACCAGGAGAAGCACAGGCTTAGCGGCAGCCATCAGAACAGGTATCTTCAAACGATACGGAAAAACGTTGATGGTTAGTGCCAGGATTCTATCCGCGGCGTCAGGTGGAGAGTAAAACCGAGTTTCACGGGGCTTCCGTTTCTAGTGTCTATGTACTATAGACTTTCAATCACGACAGAGATTTTTGAAAACTATGTTTTTGTCATTGATGCAGCAATACTTTCTGTTCATTTGGGCTAGTACAGCACTACCAACACCATCATGCCATATCCTTTGTTGCAGATCGAGCGATGAACTCTGATAGCTTATCTAGTATAATTCAAACAAGGCAATGATCGAGTAGACGATGTTCATGTTGGCATCCTACAAGATGTGTGATTAAACTATGCTTGTGTCTGCGTCTGGCAGCGACGAATAATATCATACAAAGCCTGTTGTAGTTGTAGTAGATAGGCGCTTTCAGTGGTCTGCGTGTCTTCTCATACAGAGTTGTAACAATGTTGCCTCAATGTTCAGCGTGTTGAGCATATCTGTACGAATGAGAGGTAGTGAAGCGTCAATAAGTAGCACTGACCAAGAGGGACGAGAGCATCTGTGCAATCTCTTCATCTTCTTACTCAGTTTATCCAATCACCCTTCCAGTCAGTGCTTCACGATTCTCGCCGGGTAATTAAATGCTCGTATTGCGAGGAATATAGACCCAGGCTCCAAAAAAAAAATGGTTATGAGTGAGTGAGTGAGTGTGTGAGTGAGTGAGTGAGTGAGTAAGTGAGTGAGTGAATGAGTGACTGAATGTGTGAGCGACTGAGTGAGTGAGTGACTGAGTGAATGCACATAGCGCGAGGTGGTGCACGTTGTGTTTTATGTCGTGGCACGACAAATTATTAGTCTACTTCTTCAGTTCTCTAGTTTTTCTCCTATTTTCCATCCTTTTTGAGGATCGATTCCTCCTTTGCATTTTTTCTGCTCGTGGCTCCTCATCATGTCGACTCTTTTTGAACTATATCAGTATATCTACAATTATATCATGCGTTGACTTACTCTTACTATGTATATATCTTCTGAGAAAAACAACATGTATCTTCAATGTCTACAACCAGAACCACCGATTCCGTTGGTTAAAAAACCGCCCGAATCGGTCTTCAGCCACTGGCTGCCCTGGCTTAGCGGGGGCAGCAATCCTTTGCGAGCTTCTTGCCTTCCGGTGTGTTCCACAAATCCTTGGGAAGCGGGTGCGGAACATTGTTCACATTTGTCGTCTCCAATATCAACATGGCTTTTTCGTCAAGACCAACGAGATCAGTTTCGTAGGATGGACCGCATACCTTAAATCTTGGGTTAGTTATAACTTCATTGTTCTTGTTCATCTTCATAGCAGTTATTCTGTAGACTTCTGGAGTTTGTGGTTAATCTCAATCTATCAATTCAAAACAAAGAATATCTTACGTACAAAGAAATGAAAAAGAGTCCTAGATTGATGATGAAGAAACTTTTGTTGTTTTCATGGCTTAGACTTGATTTTTGTTAACGGCGCCTACATAACGTATTATTTGTGAAAAACTGCAACGAACACGAGGAACACGATAAAAATTGTATTCGTGGTACCGCGTCACTCTTCATGTATTCCTCGAAAGTGTTCATGGCTTTCTTAGGAGCCCCCTCTTTCCAAGCTCGCGACGGACGCTTTGTGGCGGGGACCTTCGACCAAATCACACCGCCTTGCGCTCGCAAGAACTCTTCGAGACTCTTTGCTCCCTCCGCGTCGCCATTCAGCGTCACAACTCCCTGTCGCATGTCCCGGCACATCACAGTCATAGTGCCCGATGAGCTGGAGCTGCGAGAGTTTCCTTCTGGTCCACAAGGACACGAAGACGACCCTTCGCAGAAGCAAGACCTTTTGCCATCGAGGCGCGCATGAGCACCAACTGCTGCAAATGTCAACATCCAGAGGAGTTGAAAGAGGTCCCGGAGGGGACGTGACAAGGACAATGCAGGAGAAAACTTTCGCATCTAGTCTTGATCTAGGGTAGTGCCTGGCTAGAGTTGTACGTGGACTACGTCAACTATGAAACAGCAATTACGTACTTTATCAAACCTACCTGGTCGGCGTCGGCAAAAAAAGAATGTGTTTGAAGATGTCCTGGATATCCTTAGTAGATGCGATATTTGACCTTGAGGAGGATGAAGGGAAAGAGGGATCAGAACCTAGACGCGTCTCGCACACTCAACGCTCGTAAGAAAGCATAGCAAGGGCGAACGCGCAGAAGCTATAGCCTATTCTATTGATCAGATAAAAGCCCAGAGCTGATGCTTCAGCCCTTGGCGTCCCACCTCCCAGGCACTCTGGTGGAAGTGCACTGGGGAGGGTGGGTGCTCGCACTGTTGACTCTAGACCACCGTTCCTGACAAGTCCAAGGGTACCGGTTCACCATACCAGAATCTTCTAGACCCAATCCCATCCATCCCCCATGAACAATCGTGGCTACTCAAAAGGCCAGCAGGCTCAAACTAGCTACTTAAAAGTTACAGGCGAAAGAAGCAGAAAGAGGCGAAGAGCAAGACCATATTAACTCTCCACCCTCGTGCCTCACTCTCGTACCCGTTCAAAACAGAAGCGAACGACAGATAAACGAAAATTAAGTGACCAACTGGATCAGCCGAAATCGAACGGAAGTCTCTCAACAGACGGAAGAAGCGAGAGCGACTTAACCCTCTAACATCGATGACAACCGCTCATCAAGTCACGAATAAATGACCACATCACGAACTCATAGACATAATAACCCACGCAGCGCGCAACCGAGTCGATTCAACAGAAGTCATATTGGCTCGTAGGGAAAAAAAGTAAATTTCAATTTCTTTCAAACTGTTAGTCGGCTAGGCGGTGAAGCGCGAGCGCGTCTAGGGTGTCTGTGTCTGTGTGGATTGTCCACGAGTCGCTGCGCGTCTTGTCTGGCGCCGGCTCTCCCATATGAGCCAGCGTAGCGTTGTACATGTACTCCCGTTGTGAAGCCGCGCGTAACTGCTCAATGGATGGAGCGTCTTGGCGCTAGTGGTAGTGCTGCGGCACGTGGCGTGGCGCTGGATGTGTCAGTGACGGCCTTGGACCTTGTCAGCGCTGTGGACTTTGGCCTCCATTGGGCGAACCCATCCGCCCAGCCACTGTCCACTTCGTTCACGAGGCGAGACAGCAACAGCGGGGGGGCCTGCCCTCACCGTGGCCTGGGTTGTCTTCTTCGCCCGGTTCAGCGGCCTCTACCTCCTACCCCATCAGCCGCTGGCGCCCTTCACACATCTTTCGCGACTCTCCCTCCCTTAGGTGCGTCGCGTCTCCACGTAGTTCGTTTATAATATGGCCAAGCACGGCGCCCCCCACCGCAGGCGCCACGCAGCGGCCAAGCCACCGCGCCACCCGTCCTTCCCTTCCCACAACAGAACGCTCGCAAAGAAACTATTGAAAAGGCGAAAAGCCGGAGAACGACACAAGAGAAAATGGAAGCCGAACCCGGCGGCACCTCCGCTGCCTTGAAATGTTCCCAGATTTGGGCTTGGTATGTTTGTCGATTCCGCATTATGTTGCCGCGGTTGGCTTGGCTAGTTTCTGGCACCTTTTCAGCTTCTGGAACAATTTCTGTCACACCCCTGAAGCGGCTCATGCAAATCTGGACCCTTTCAGACACCAAAAACGACACCAGCAGCGGCCCAACCTAGTGCGGAATCGACAAACCCACCAAAGCAGATTTTTTCCTCTCCAAATCCGGAAGCCCCACCGCAAAGGCCCGCCGATACGGGGCAGACCTTCCCGAAGCCTTCCACCGGAACCTCTGGGACAAGCTCCAGAACACACGAGGCCAGCCTGTTCGCCTTAGCCAGTCTGGCTGCCTCTGCTGGCCGCCGAGTGCCATAACGCCGAACGAATTCCGGAGCACCTCCCGAAAGAGGGTGCGCCCCCGTGTCCTTCACAAGGCTCCCCACACCTCCGACGGGCTTCCAATTGGCCACTAGCCAGGGGGCACCACCCTAGCGTCAAACAGGCTTCGGGTTAATATATCCTGAAGGACATGCGACGGCCTCATCATTGAGACAGCGGGGGCGCCCACTCAGTGACCAGCCGTGGCGAAGTGCTTCGAATCGACTGGGGACCTCTCAGCCACCAGAAGGGACCACCCAAACAGTGGCGCGCGAGGGGTGCCAGACAGCGCAGACAAAACCAATGGTGCTGTGGCTGGGACCCATCCCCACGAGCCCAGGATGCTTCGCCTGATGATGGGGCACCGGATGACCAACGCGTGGCCAGCGTGCCTTGCACCTTCCCTCTCGCGGTTCTTCTTGCAAGAAGAAAGCCGCAGTGTGCTGCCACAGGTGTGGCAGCACGAGCCTCCACGCGAGAAGGCAAGGCGGGCACAGCTAACGCTCGAAAGCCCGCGTCAGACAATTCGCGCAAGGCTTCGCGGACAATGCGCACGGAAGCAAACGCCCAAAAGGCGCTCGCATTAGCCTAGCTGGCTTAGACCCTGGCTATCAATTTTTTTTGTCCGATCGAGGTGGAACGTTCGAAAAAGTAGGAGATTGCGTCTCCATATCAACCTATGCGCATGATGGGCACGCCGAAGCCGCAGTTGAATACTAAGGTTAAGAATTTTATATCTAACGATATTCACACTCACATAGAGACCACACACGAACAGTAACCGACAAGCAAGCAAAACTTCTAGTCTCTTCCAACGAAAAGCAAAGCAACTAAGAGAAGCTTCTTTCTTCAACGTCTTCAAACTATACGAAGAACCATTGCTACTCATTATGATCTAGAAGTACATCTACTTTGCTACCACAACGCAAATTTAGAGGGTAAGGTAGTTTGAAGATGCAGATAGTGCATAACGGCGGGTGTCCACCTCACATGGGGCAGTTCTTCTTCATGATACTTGCCACCGAAACCGAACCTGGCGGACACAATCTAATCAAAACATTCTCTAAGTAGCACCGAATTCGCTGGGTGGACAGAGACGGGCGGCCTAGAAGGTAGTTACTCTCTAATCTGTCGTCTTCGTCTAACAGTGAAACTAGTCGTAGTCGTCGTGATCGTGGCGTATAACATGAGCATTGTAATAAGAATATACCGATCTCAGCCCGTGGAGGGTACTCGTGGCGATCTAAATTCGATAGCATCCTCACGAAACATCCACCAATATTTTTCACTTGATGTCACGACCACGCTTGTTTCATTTTGTTACGAAGCATTGTTTCAGGATCTTCAACATCCAATGTTATTGTTAGTGATAGTGATACTTAATCTTATTAATTAAGATAAGTAAGTAAGTAGACCGAGTGTTTTGCAACGCATGGTGCTGTACACAATAAACCACTTTGAGTAAGATATGACCGAGAAAGGCTGCAAGCGTGGACGTGCAGCACCGTGCTCCTCGATACTTCAACTTCGACTCCCTCTGATTCTGATATTATTATTACTTGTAAGTAAGCTGGTAAAGAACGTCCGGCAAGGGCAAATGAGGACCCCCTCCGTCGAGTCAACAAACACATTTACTTTTACAATTTCAACACTTTCTCAAGGCATAAAAGGTATATCCTTCCCTAGAGCAGAGTCGGACATCATCAGCTAAATGGGCATGCGGTAGTTCACCCACCAGATCGTCAACTACACGAACTACAACCATCAGCATCGATCATATCGTTGTCTTTCTCCACAAAATATGAGTGACTTCTACCCATAGCCCTATCAAGTCCAAAGGATGTGGATGTGCTTTAAGAAATGAAAAGCACACAATGAGGACGAACTCTCTGCATAATTTCTATGCGGATTAGGAATCGCTGCTCTACAACGGGTCTCGGTGGTCCAGTAATATTCCGCCAAAATGGAAAAGATTCTTCTTGTTCTTTCTTGTTTGTCCTTCTCCCCAAGCTCTCCCACAGCAAGCACTGACTCCTACCGTGCGGGTCTTCGTGTTCTTGTGGCCTTATCGGTCCCCGCCGCCAGTAATACAGCCGCACAAACCCTTGAACCTTTTCTTTTTCCCTGTTTCCCCATTGCCTGCACCCGGCACCACGCTCGTGTACTGTTTTTTGAGCATCGGGCTAACGATCGCTTCGAGGCCATCTCGGATCTTTTCCAGCGCTGCTAGTTCTGGATTTGGATTGGCTTCGAGCCAGTCCAGAGTCCGCTTGATGGCCTGCAGGCCCTTCTTTCGCAGGCTACCCCTCACCAGACGTTCGAACTCAGAGGATTCTTCCAGCGTCTTTCTTGCGTTGTAGCAATAATTTTCCAAACTGTTGCGCACCTTCAAGATGGCACGAATCTCGCGATCCTGCGCATTGAAACGCGCCGCGTCCAGAATATGCCGGTCCAATTCACCCTTCGTCAGACGCCCACTCTCATTGGAGATCTGGATTGTCCTTGAAATTCCTCCGGAGAGCTCTTCAGCCTGCACGGAGAGAATGCCGTCCTTGTCAATGTCGAAGGTCACCTCGATCTTAGGCGCCGCCCTCGGAGCGGGCTTGATGTCGGTTAATGTGAACTTTCCCAGCATATTGTTGTCCTTGGTCAAGGGCCGCTCGCCCTCGAAGACCTGAACCAGGACTTCTCGTTGGTTATCGGCAGCGGTGGAAAAGCCTCCGCGGACCTTCTTGGCGGGGACAGTGGTGTTTCGCGGAATCACTGTTGTCATGGCTCCGCCGGCCGTCTGAATGCCTAACGAGATTGGCGTCACGTCCAGCAAAAGCACGTCTGGACCCTGATGGTGTTTTGTCAAGATCGCCGCCTGCACCGCAGCTCCGTAGGCCACGGCTTCATCCGGATTTACGCTTGCCACACGACGGCCCTGCGACTCACGCTGATTGCCATCGTCGTCTTTCCCACCACTAGCAAAATGTGCTTGAAAACCGAAGAACTCATCCAGCAAAGAGTGAATCCGAGGAATTCGCGAACTTCCGCCCACCATAACCACATCGTGGATGTCCTGTTTGCGCACGCCGCTTTCTCTCAAGCAATCATCCACGAACTTCAGTGTTCTTTTCAAGTGAGTATCGCACAGTTTATCAAAAAAGGCTCGCGAAATCTGAGTATTGAAGTCTGTGCCTGCGTACAGAGCGTCCACCTCGATGGTCGCCTGAGTGGAACCCGACAAGGTGCGCTTCGCACGCTCACACTGCGTCCGGAGACGGCGCAGGGCACGTGAGTTCATGCGCTTCATCATCATCGCTTCCATCTCCTCCTGCGTCATTTTTTTGCCAGAAACGAAGTAGCGTCCGTCGCTGGACGCATTGAACTGGCTTTGCCGCGGATCGTCCACGCTGCTTGATCCTCCTGTCGCGTAGTCGAAAAGCCCACCAAACTCCCCGAAAAAGGATTCCGATGACTTGCTCTCCTGTTCTTTGCGGTTTGTTTCTTCGATCAAACCTGGATTTTTTCTTTCAAATTCCTTTACACAATGGTCCACCAGCAGCGAGTCGAAGTCTTCGCCGCCCAAGTGCGTGTCGCCGGCAGTAGCCTTCACCTCAAACACGTTCTCTTCCAGCTGCAAGATCGAAACATCGAAGGTACCACCACCCAAATCATACACGAGTATATTTCGTTCATCACCTGAAAAGAGTCGGGGCATGCACATGATTTCGTTCATCTTCATGTTCATGTAATGATGCTTAATATCTCTTCTGAAAATTCTAGAAGAAACAAATAAAAAGGAAAAGACTTTTTATGACAAAAAAATAAATGTTGAAAGTCGTGGTCGATTAGTAGTAGTTGAACATCATAATCATATCTTGGGTAGGTGGGTTCGAACATGATTTAATCACTTCCTCTTTCCTCCGCAGTGTTCATGCCATACGCGATAGCCGCCGCGGTTGGCTCGTTCAAGATTCGCATTACTTCTAGTCCTGCAATTTTCCCAGCGTCTTTCGTGCTCTGTCGTTGTGAATCTGAGAAGTATGCCGGAACTGTGATAACCGCTTTCGATACCTTTTTATTCAGTACCGCTTCAGCCGTCTCCTTCATTTTGCCCAGCACCATTGCTGAAATCTCCTCAGGATCGAAGTCCTTGGTTTCGCCACCCTTCATCGTAATCCGAACTTTCGGAGTTCCCTTCCGAGGACACCCAACGACGCGGAAAGGCCACAACTCCCTATCCCGTTGCACCTCCTCATCACGGAACTTTCGCCCAATTAGGCGCTTGACGTCAAATACCGTGTTTAACGGATTTCTGTTCGTGTTCGAGAAGAAGATCTTGATTCAATTTCTGAACTTTTTAAACTAACGCAAACACTGGTCGTAGGAAAATATTAACTCTAATTCTACACTAGCTTCATCCAGTTTACCTACACGTACACGTAAACCTAAACGTATGCGAGGTAACTAAAAGTTATAGTAGTAATCGTACCTGGCTGCTTGATTCCACGCTGCATCGCCAACCAACCTTTGCGTTTCATCAAAAGCCACGTAGCTCGGCGTAGTACGGTTACCCTGGTCATTGGCAAGCACCTCTACCCCCATTTCCCGCTGGACTGCGACACAACTGTACGTAGTGCCCAAGTCAATTCCGATGGCGATGTCAGCAGCCTCAAGGTTTTCGTCTGGGATGTCACCAGCTCCTCCCAAATCCATATCCACCTCATCGGGTGACGCACCAGAAGACTTCACGTTCATTTTGTCGATGAGGATAAGCAATTACTTCACTTTGCTTTATTCTACTACTTCCTTGTTTGCTGATGTTGAAGTAGCTGCACAATAGAACTAGGACCTTTTACTTATGTATAAGCACTTAGGTACACACTTAGCCAATGATCACCGTGACAGAAGATGCCAAGTCGAGAAGAATTTTTATGATCGAATGTACATGCGTCAGAACGACGGGATGAATATTAATGAAGTACTTCAACCAATGCCAAGGACAAGCAGTGAGAAAGAGAAATTTTTGATAATTGAGCAGACAGAAAAAGGCGCAATGTCAAAGTTGTGGGGATTCATTTCAATCTGTAGTTCGTGTTTAAGACGAGAAAAAGAGGCATAAAATCAAAAATGACAACTCCTATAGTATAAGTATTTATATATAAAGTATCATTTTTCAAACCAGTCGCAGTCCCTCAACAAATGAAACAGACACAGACTACTTTTGGAGTTATGAGCCGCGTGACCTACTTACACCGTCGTGAGGCTCTTTCCTTCTCTCAGTATGACAGACCATAACACCACATTTCGTCTGGAGAAACAGAAACAACATTTATCTCTTCATCGACATCTTACGACCGTGCCAATGTAAGACGCAGACGGCAGGATCGCAACTAAGCACTCGGAGCATCAACCGACACTACTCAATAACAGATTCAAAATTGGCTCTCGCAACATCGTCTCCTCTGGACCCAACGTAAAAGCTCAAACAGATCATATTGAATATTATTCATGCATAGACAGTCGCTCGAAAAATACAAGAGAAAGAGGTGAGCCAAATTACGGTAAGCACGAGATTGCTACGACGACAAGCCGCAAATCTATTACTGATGGAGAGGAACGAAAGTACGAAGGCGTAGGCGCGAAGGCATGTTTCTAAGTAGAGGACGCAAGCCCGGTGAAAAAGAGATGTTGAAGGAAAATGTTACTAGGAAGCGAAACCGCAAGAAGCACAAGAGGTCCTGTTTCTTCTTCTGACACCTAAATTTTAGTACACCCAAAAAACCGAAAGATTCCTCGAGATTGAAGATCATCATTAGGCTGGTTGTACTTTCTTCCACAGTGAGTACGCGGAAGTTTGGTCAGGCACACTGTTTTGCCTTCACCCTTATTTATTCTTGCTTTACTGATGTCGAACTCGATGAAGATTTGACTTTGAGTTTGACGCTAAATAAAAAAATGGTTGCGCAGAAATTCATTCTCGTTGTTCTCTTCATCAATGGATTGATCGAGTGAGCCTGAGCTGGTCACAACCTTAAAAAAGAACTGATTTGCTCAATTAAAAAATTAATTGTTGTAAGCGAGAAAAAATTAGGGTACCATCTTCAGCAGAAGAAGGGTAATGGTGTGGCGCGTTCTAGTGTTGATATCACAGGCTAGCGCAGGGATGACGATACCCCTGCGCCTGCGCTGCTGTCAAGTTAATTAACTGCGCTCGTCTTGTCTCGTATCAGTCGAAGAACCTGGCCAAGGCTATGACACAGAAGCGCAACACATCAGAGCCAACATTAAACCCACGCCCACGAAAGCCAACGACAGAGCAGAAAGGCCAACGACACAAAGGAGGCACACCGATGAAGGGGGGCGAAGCTGAGGGTGCATGGGCGTGACGAAAGCGCTCCCAAAGCCGAAAGAATAAGACTCATCGCGGGAGCGGAGCCCACGCAGCGTGAGTCTGTGTCTCAGAACTAAGGCACGGGAAGCGGAGGGCAAGGCGCCTGCAAAGCGCGACCGCCTGAGCGAAGGGCAAGGCGATGGGCATGGGGAAGTGTTCGTTTTGTGTAGTTGGCTGGCTTGGTAGCTTCCACGCGGTCTTGGTCTAGTGTTGATATTAATAGACTCAACATCTGACCCTCTTATTATGTGGGTTTTGGTCGAGTCCACCCTTCTGGCACAGGTCCCATGTCGCGGATGATTTCGCGGTGGCCACTCCACACGAGTTGGATAGCCTCTGGACTGCCGATTCCGGCGGAGCGGGGGTCGTTGCCCGGTCCGAACCAGTGATTCTGCGGTGCGCCGGTCGTGCGGCCGCGAATGCCACAGTAGGTGGTACCGTTGACACTGGAGCCCAGCACCTTCTGGATGAGCGCCTCGTCGTTCGAACAGACACAAGCAGTGAGGTGATTGTCCATGCGCTCCAAGAGAGGGATAACACAACGCTCTAACTCGTTGTTCTCGCTGCTCCACTCTGTGATGACTTGCACCGGTCCGAAAATCTCCGCTGTCACTGAAGGATAGTTTTGCGGCTTCAGGATCTCCGCCAAGGGAACGAAAACCGCTGTAGGCTCAATCGCACCGTAAACAGCCGGAATGCTGTGTCCGGTCAACGCTTTCCCGCCGAAGAGCAAGCGCGCACCCGGGATCTTCAGTAAGGCCTCGACATGACCAAGCATCCCACTTGTGGTGTGTGTCAAAACGGGCGCGATCGACAGGTTTCCCAGGCTGCGCTCACCAGCAATGGTCTTGAGCTTGTCCACGAGACCAGCCTTCATCCAGTTCGAGTGCGCAACTAATATCGAAGTCGCGCTGCACTTCTGCCCACAGTTTGCGTACGCGTCTTGGTCGCACATCCATGTGACGAATGAAGATTAGAAGCAACGACTCTCCAGAGAGAACTTCCAAGTCCAAGTGTCAGTAAAGATGAAACGACTTTAAGTACTTAAAAAGCAATGTATTGTTGTAAGAATTAGACACATGAAATCCTTTAGCAAGCTGTTCGTGTTATTTAGGACGAGATTTACTCGTTTTTTTTTTAGGAGTATCAGCCACTTATTTCACCAACCTTAATCAACGTCCCGCACGTCTGGTCCCATGACTTTCCAATTGAACCCGGCGTCCTCAATTCGCACCTTGCCTCCCGTCGCTTGTAGCACTGCTTTTGCAACCGTGTTGCTACCAGTGAACTGCATCGCCCGCAGCGTTTTGCTTTTCGACGCTACATCAACGAGTTTGGCAGTGCCCGGACCCGTACCATGGATCAGGTTCACGTCAGTTGGAGGCATTCCGCACTTCAACATCAAACGAATCCAATCCTCGAGCACAATAGAGCACTTCTCCGAGCCCTTGATCGTCACGTGGTTACCCATGTACAACGCGCCCATCAACTGCAAAACTGGAATTTCGAGAGGAAAATTGAATGGAGCGATGATCATAACGGGGCCGAAAGGGAAGCGGTACCCCTGCGACTGCTGTCCGTCATGGTCACCGGAAACCTGACAAAAAAACAACGCCGAGGTCGGAGACAAGAAATTATACCATTCATGACGAGAGCGCTCATCTCCTATCTTCCAGCATCGAATTCGACATCGAATTCAACATCACTGATGATCAAAGGGAAAAATAAGTGGATATCTCCTCCTCGTCTGATAGTAGTGCCGGATAGTCACAATCCTGATGCTGTAGCTACATATAATACGTGAAATCCTCTGGCAAGAAAACGAACTTGATCCGCGCAGAAATTCTGCAGAAATTTGTGGACGATAGATACTTCACCGTAAGCCTGCGCGTAGCTTTTGGGCACTACACGCTGAATCAGACGCGCAAAATGGTCAATAACGCGTCCATCTTCCAGCTCCTTCGCAAGCAAGAAACTAATCCGCCCATACATTGTGTACCTGTCAGAAAGGAGTTAGAGCTACAGGAGACCAGTCGGACGCATTTCCTTGGAAGTATAACATGGTCTTTGGTTCCTGATCCTGTTCTATCTTGCAAAATAAAAAAGAAGTAGCTGCAAGACATGAAAGAATAAAAAAACACCCATGATAATGGCACGTCAAACTACTTGCCTCATATGAGTTCGAGTTGTAGAACCTGTTCACTTGCTTTAGCGGGTTGTGCAGCCCACTTTTCGGTACCGCGTGCATTCTGTCCAAAAAGGGTTGTAGCTCTGCGTCCGTCTCCGTCAACGGCATCTGGATAAATGCGTCGCCATTCAAGGGATCCACTACTGGAACAGTCTTGGATGTCGGACACCATTCTCCGTTGACGAAATTCTGTAGCTTCACAGTTCCCGTACCGGAGCTCCACTTCAAGTCCTTCACAATAGAAAACGAATTCCAAGCGGGAGGAGCGACGCCTTTCGAACTCGAGGAAGAGGGCCCAGCTGCGCTGCACGATAAGACATGCCCAGCGACGTTGGCAACGCGAGCGTTGCCGGTCGTGCCGCTTGTTGACATCACGCACTTCCTTGAGGTGGGAGTGGAAAAGCAAAAGATAGAAGAAAAACCCCAAGCAGCACAAGCTACAACGACCTAGAGGAGGAACAGGAGGAAAAGATTATGAAAATCAAAATGAAGACGAAAAAAAGAATTATATTGCGCGATTCTGCTCCAGGAGGATAAAATGTGGCCACTGATGCTAACCTATCGTCACAACATTGCACTTTTTTACTCGAGCACAGGGCGTTTCTTACGACAGGGAGCAGAACTTGTTTTTACTTATACTTGTATAATACCACTACCACACATCAGGGACAGGGAGTCAATGTATACTGAGTAGAGGGGAAAATCTATCAGCGTTACCAGACGCTGGGGAAATACTACGACCGAAGAGCAGCATTAACGTTTAGTAGGTTGAAAGAGAAACATACTGCACCGATCGTCTCACATCTCAAGCTGCACGCTAATCAAGTGAGTCTCCACATCGTCGACAACCATGCTAGAAGTGCGACAGACGACAACAGAAAAACTCGTCCCTCTCTCGATCTCGTCATGTCTGTGTCGCGAGGACACTTACAAGTTGTTTATCATGATTGCATCCTCTGAGTCTCTCGCTCGACTAAAACGTAGTCCTACAACTTAAAGAAGACCCCTGCGAGCCAGCCAACCGGAACAACAAACACGCGGCCACGCCAGGTCCACTGCTCGCACGAAGCATTACGGTCGCCGGTCGTGACCCATTGAAATCGATCGTCTGCTCAAAGTCAAGCGCGGTTGTTAATATATTTGACTTCCAGATTTCCTCAACTAAAGACAAAGCACTTGATTCGTAAAAAAAATCCGAATCAGCTCGTATCATGGGGATCGCGATGTCCATGTCTGCAAACGACCATATAGCATAGCCATCATGGGTGATATTTTCATTTTCAAAGAAGTTCTACTATTTCGGCTCTACTTAGCAGCTGTTACATTTTTCAACAGCTTGCTGATACTATATTTGCACTTACACTGCAGCTGAAGAGTGACTTGCAACAGTTAACACTGACGACATCAAAATCTGTATAAATGTCTATAATTATATATTAAACATGAAATAAGTTATTAAACATGAAAGAGTTAAAAATACTAGGATCATTCTTATGCATATGCTCCAGCTCAAGCTCAACGTTGTCCAACGTTGTCCGGAGGGGCTTAAGTGGTCTAAGTTCAAAAATCAAAATTTTTTGGTTAAAGTTGCATTGATTCACTTTTACTTGTTGGTACTTCATTTCTAAGTAATGAGGCTCATGGTCCCCACGTATGCTTTTGGTCTTCATTTACAGATACATAAAAATCCAGTTCGCAATTGCATTTGCAACAACTCCTGGACCTGCGACTGCAATAAGCGAAACAAAGTTACGCATTCCCGTTCAAACACAAACATGCATCCAGTCTATATTCATCTATCTAAGACATATTAATTTCTACTTCTTACGGCGAAATTGAAATCGTTAAAACACAGAGATAAAAAGCGTAAAGGTACTTATAATATATATAAAAACTACAAATGAAGCGCAGCGCCGAAGGGTTTTAATCCGGAGCGTCAACACCCACGGTCGAAGTCCCACCTTTTACCCTGCCGTCTAGCGTCAATCCCGGCGGCTCCCTGTCTTCAGTTGCTTTCCGTGTAACTGCTATATCAGGGGGCGGTCCGTTACTATATATCCCGCTCACCGCTGAGGTTGACATAGACGGCGGGTCAAAGCTATTTGTGCCCACTGCACTCTCCTCGTCCCTAGAAGCGCGACCCGACGAAGGTGGTTCCCGCGCTCCAGCTTGACCAAGCATGTTTGCTAGTGTTGCCCCGAAACCTTGCGCTGCTGACCCCGAGCTGGTCTCTCCCGGAATATTGCCAGTAGCGGTCGTCGTTGCTCCTCCTGGTTGCGCGTTATTAGCATTTGCCGGTGCGGGAAAGGCACTGTCTGAGAAAGATGATTCCCCACCTCCTCCTGCACCGTGAGAAGATGCTGATGCTGTTCCGCTCACTGGGGACCCTGGAGCACTTGGACTCTTGGGACTTTTCGATCCCGCTGCCGCGCGACTTCCCTTCATTGCTGATGGTGTAAAGGAGGACGCTCCACCGCCTTCAAGGCCTCCGCCTCCCATACCTCCTCCTTGCATTATGTTGGACGAAGTCATGGACATGGATGCTGTTATCGTTGACGACGAAGCTGTGCTCGTTGAAACTTTGTGCTGGTGTCCTAGATGCTGTAGAACAGCAGTAGATGCAGCAGGATCAGACCCGATAGCTGTACTAGGATTATTTGGGGCACCATTAGTTGTCATGCCAGCGCTCTGTGAGGGTGATGAGCTACCCGCATGATGAATGCCAGCGTTGTTTGACAATGACGGTGACGGTACGGCTGGTGCGTTGCCGTAGACACTAGTCGGCGGCACTTGCAATTGGCGAATCTGAATCTCCAAAGTGTCCTGCTGAACTCCGATGTCCTCTATCATTTCGCGGATTATATGTAACTCTTCCTTTATGGGATCCAGTAGGCTACGCAGAAGCCGCTGCTCCGTACCTGGTGAACTTTGCACTTTCATCACGAAAACCAATTATGTAAGTAAGCTGTCCTAGTGGTGTAACTCGATCCACGCCTGTTAGTGTTTTCCAGTACCCCCAAGAAATAACTAGGAGGACGAGGACAGTGCGTATTTTACTAGCGTGACACGTTGCGTTAAACAGATTTCTCACTAAATATAAATCATAGTCCGCTTACCGCTGCTGATATTTGTCGATGCTGCGGCCCCGCCGATGTTGACATGATGTGACACTGCTGAGGCTGCTCCCCCGAAATTGTGCGTCGTTGCCCTACCGACCGGAGGCCCGCTGCCGGGGTTCAGCATCGAGTTTAGACTTATGAAGTTGTGATTGGACACCGCGGATGCTCTTCGCATTCGCTCGGCCGCTGACATCCCTCCAGCAGCGCCAGCGGGTCTATTGCTTTGAGCACCCACACCAACGACGCTCTGCGCCTCCATTTTCTCGCCGCCTACGTTGCTCTCTTTGTCCGCTGCATGATGAGAAGCAGGCGCCGCGAAGCTCTGCCTTAACCGATTCCCCAAGACAACCTTGCTGATGGCTTTCTGAAGCGCCGGCACGCCTGATGGTCTCCGCTGCGCAGAATCCTCCTGTTGCACCTTTAGCTGGTGCATCTTCTCATGAATCGGATTGCCTGCGAGCCTAAAGTTCGTAGCAGTTTGCTTCTCCATCTCACGGTGAAGACGGGCTACCTTTTGGCCATCAAGAAAAAGAATCCGATATCTGTGCTAAGTTATTCTTCTTACGATGCTGTGAAGGTGAACTACATGTTACTCTTGGTCTTGTTACCAAACTAACTGTAGTAGAGATTGATGTTGCGATTGCGAACCAACAACAAGAACAGGGGGCCAGCGCCAGCGCGGATTCACCCGGGCCGCAGCGATAGCGAACACCGGAGTGCGGTACTGATTACATTTCTACAAGCCGAGCGACTGATTTTTGTTCGTGTCCCGCTGTCCTTGTGTCCCGCTGTCCTTGTTTCCCGCTGTCCTTGTGTCCCGCTGTCCGTGTGTCCCGCTGTCCTTGTGTCCCGCCGTCCTTGTGTCCCGCTGTCCTTGTGTCCCGCTGTCCTTGTGTCCCGCTGTCCTTGTGTCCCGCTGTCC